CCCCGCTGGCATCTTATTTCGACTCAAGTATGGCTCTACGGTGAACCTTATCTCCAAACCTTCCAACTTCCTCGCGGCATTGGCACTGACACCTGACAGAGCCTCAAAAGCTAGCCTGGCCGGGTTGGTGGTGTCTGTGACGGTGTCGGTGTCGTTGTCGGCGGTCGGTGGTCGGTGGTCGGTGTGCGGGTGGTCTGAGCCCCTCCTCCATGTTTCATCTCAGCCCCATTGTTTCAACCAGAAGCGGCTACCTGAGTAAACCCATCAGACGAGGCCACAGGCAAGATTCAATGCTACCGCACAACGGCCGGGGGGTTCGCTCTGATGTGCGCTCGCCACCGCGAACGACAAGCAGAATTCAGATGAGACGACATGCATATCAGCCTACTCAGTCGCATAGCTGCATGAGCCATCTTCCGTCTGTTCTTGCCACAATACCGACTCGAACCGGCCTCAGCCATGGGGGGAAATTGTGCCCAGAGCAGCAGCAGCACGGCCAAGTTTGCGCTGCATTGATGGACTGTTCGGCTGCCTTGTCCTGAGTCGTCCCTCCCACCTCGCCCCCATCTGCACCGACAACGAGGGAGCTCCATGGCCCAGCAGGTGTCGTATACACCTACGAATTATCAGCCAGGGATGGGCTTCCGCCAACTTCTCGTTAACTTTGTATGGGGCTGCTGCACCACCAGCACCGGAGGAGGCCAAAGCGCTGCCCCGAACTGGAGCTCGGCAATTATACACCGCAGGGGCCCGCGGTTTGTCCACGCGGCTGGTGACAGGTGACGATGCTTCCCGGCTACTGCATGCCACAATCGCCTCGACGCTTGCTCTTGCACGAGGCCGTGGATGTCAGGGGGGCCAGGTCGAGCTCGGAGTTTCTCTTGTTCCAGCGTGCCTAAGCCGCGCGACAGACTTCGCACCAGCGCTCTGGTCTGAAAGATCAGATCATGTCAGTAGACTAATCACGGCTAGGCCATTCGAAATGGCACCCAACAGCCCGACGCTGTATCTCGGCGACGCTGTACCACTGAACTTTTAACTTGGCAGACTGGTTAAAGTATAAGTCTATAGGCTGGACCACAAGTCCCGAAGAGCAACCGACAGGCACGGAGGAGCCCATTGGAGCCTCGCGTGCACGGAAAGTGGGCAATTGCTGTAGTCTGTGCAGTTCTGCAGTGGTCTCGGCGAGGTCAGTGATTCCCGAAGCCACCTGTGTGATAGGACGGCCGTTAAAGCCCGCGCGAGCCGTCCCAGGTAAGAGATAGAGAGGACGTCGCCAACCTGTGCCAAGAACTAGACAGCATGCCACTGGGATTGAATACCGTGCACAGGCCAGGAAGATCGCCGCGAGCCGCCTGTTCGGTGTCCACCTAGGTAGTTCAGGCTACACCTTGTGGCCTTGGGATGTTTTAGCCTCTTCTTGGACTCCATGATGACTACTCCACGACCCAGCATTGGCCCTGACGGAGCCTGTCACAAGCAATCATGAGCCCCAGCCGTCGGCCCGGACTCAAATGAGTGAGAGAGGCCTGGCAGGACCAGGCGTGACGACGCTGGTTCGTAGGAGAGAGCGTGAAACACGGCTTTTGCTAGCAGGCTAAGCCTTGCCTTTCGTCCTGAAGGCGGTCGTGTTTCAGTTATGCTGGGCCTTGCAGATCCGACTGAGCCCTATGGCTGGGGTCTGGGGTGTCCAAAGGGTACATGTCTCTTGGAGGTAGTGACTTTGACGACGACCTGAGTAACTTCATATGCCGCTGTCTTATTGATGCGTTCTAAGGCTTGGAATCCGCCTCAAGTGCCCAGCGGTGCATTATCAAACACCACCGGAGTTCGGGATAGAGTCCCTGATCTGCATCGGTTGTGGGCATAAGCAGCGTTCATCCTGTGCAAGTGTCATCCGTACACTTGTTGCGATGGTTATCTGTCGTCCTGTCTCATGAAGCTGCCAAATCTCTCTATCTCTCAGCCTCCCCCCATCCTGCCTCGGGAGCTGCCGCAAGACCAACAACCTGGCGAGCGACATGACTGCCGCATTTCCATCCCATCTCATGCCTTGCCTTGACGCACGCGCCTTTGGTCATACCGCACGCTGGCGTCTGGCAGCCCTGCCCAATCTGAGACAGGACAGTGGGGCCAGCTGAGGCCAAGCTTTCGGGAGCAGCACTTAAGCTTACCTCGAAAGTCCCCCTTGCTACACGCACGAGGGTCGGCCAGGGTCACGACCTGCTTGCTGATGCGTGCCGCGGCCGCCACTCTCCACAGATTTTGCCCCCCATGGTGTTTCGTCGATGCGGAGGATATCAGGGATTTCCAAGGCAGGGTCACAGCAGAGGATGCCCTGTTGGGAATCAGTTCAGGATCACCAGGATCATCTGCAAATCTCGTTACCGAGGCAATCATGGCGCATCACGGATTCATTGTTTGCTACAGACGACCAGTTCAAATGGGTATGGTATGGTGGCATTGCAACAAGGCTGGCTGAAAATCCGTGCGAGCCTCGAGATATTGGGAGATCGAGCATATCACCATCTCACCTAGCCGGCACCTATCTCGAGGCATCGCTTCCCGGAAGTTAGCTTGCCTCACACCATCCCTCCAATCCTCAATCACCAAATGGTCATCGCATTATTTACGATTTTCATCCCATCGATTTGCCTTTCCCACCGTTGTGACCTGTCGAAGATGACAGTTTCCTCCCCGACATGACAGCTGCCTCCAGGGGACCGCCTCTCGGAACCCAGCTCATCCGGACGGTGGCCAAGCCCTGACAGATCCGAGACTCGTCTCCGCCGTCCTGGCCCTTGCCCACTGGCCGATCTGAGACCGTCTGCCGCTGTGGGGGGATACCATCTGTTCCGTACCTTTGTGTACTTTGTGGAACGGCACACAAACCACCCAGCAGATCCATCGCTGATGATGCTGAGCAAGCTGTAACAACAAAACCCTGGGTAGCACGTGCCTGGCTCCACCATGGGGGAGGATCGTCTGGACGGCTGACCGGCGGGGCGTCTGAAGATGACGTGGATCTACTTCTGGGCCAGCCCTTGGGACGCACCCAGCGGTGAGAGACCAGCAGCAGCAGCAACCCCAGGATGGGCGGTCATGATAAACGGCCACGGAGAGTTTTCTGGTAGAGGCCCCCATTCCTCCCACCCAGGGCCCCGACGATCAAAACACAACAACCCCCGTATTCGTGTTCCCCTAGGGGCTGAGGCTCAGCCGCCCCTGCGACGCCCGAGGAAATTCCCACCAGATTTAGAACATCTCGTTTCTGCGAAATCCACAGCGGGCTGTATTCCCACTGCGGCACGACCGCTGGCGGAATGTGGGAGATGATCTCATGGGCTGGCGAGTGCCCCTGGGTGCGCCGATGGGGGTTGTGGGCTCCTCTGATGTTTAAACACCTCCTGGGCGAGATGATGAGACGAGATTGCCCTCTCGTGACGGGGTTTCCGACCGAACTTTTTCGAGCTGGGCCCTCGTTCGTGTGGGACCCTTTGGGGGCGGGAGGACCACTATCCGTGTTCGCTTCTGCCTGGCCACGACATGGCGCTGTGATGACGGCTCGCGTGTGTTCGGATGCAAGTGCAAATCATGAACCCATGGGTACGATGCCCGCGAGGGTGTCGTTTGCGGTTGAGGCTGGTGGGCTGGACTGGGACTGAAGCTCTGGTCCTCGCCGAGCAGCAGCCTCGAGTGAGCTGTATCGCTCCGTTCGGTCTGAGGAGCAGAGCAGGTGAATCAATGCTATAGCGGGCAACAGGTGCTGAAAAATGTACATAGTGGATACAGTTGAGTCCTTGAGGACCATCCCATTGCTGTACCACGGACAGGATGAAGCTTCTGTCAACCACAACAACGTGAACGCCGAATACGAATAATGTGTTCTTTCATTATATATGATGACCACTGATCAAATTACGACAGATTGTAGTAAACAATGTCTTCTCTTCCCGCTTTCACATCGTTAGTCTGAAATTCTCGACCCAGCCTGAGCCTGTGCCTGTGGTTGAGCCATGTCCTCGGTATGTCCCCTTGTGCTGGTGGACAGACGCTGCTGAAGTAGATCATGCTGGCCACTGTGTAGCGAGAATCATAAGGAACAGTCGTCAGAGATCATCCTGAGGTGCGATATTGACAGACCGTGAGAAATGACTCGACTTGACCTGTAGTATGTGCGCGGTGGCATATTAAGAACATGTCGATGAGTCCGGTTCACCTACATGTCACCGGAGGGACCGTGAAATGCTACATATACATATTTTACAAATAATTCACGTAAGATAATCAGAGAAAGGTAATGAATAAGGGATTTTAGATTCACACAGAGCAAAACTTGCCGGGGCTCTCGAGCCTGGATGCGATCATTCTCTACGCCACCGCAAAAACTATCTCCGAGAGGCATAGGACCTGACTGATAGGCGTTCCACGGGCTGTTGTCATTGATACTGCTAGATCATTTACCGTGGATCGAAATCCAAGTAACTTCCATGTTATAACGCACTGTCAGAAAACTGATATCCAGATACAATGGCACAGCGCTTTATTCGGTTGACGCAGATGGTGACTGATGCCGACAGCCCGAGGTTTGTTGTTGTAAGGCGTTGTTCATGAGGATCACGAGGCAGATGAATTCCACTTATTTTAGTGCCAAGCACATGGGCGCAAGTCGCAATGGGCTCAAAGAGCGTGATCAGACATCGGCTCGTAGACAAGTAGGCCACACAAGATGAAGCAACCACAGGGTGGGCGAGGTGATCCCTTTCACCATATGCACGTAATACAACGAAGGGAGATAGGAATAAGGCTGAAGCGCGGGAGGCACAATTATTCATACATTATAGCCGAGTTTCGTGGCTCTGAGATAGCGATACGTCTGTCGTCTGTCGTCTATCCAGGCAGCGATCTAGATGGCTCTTGTTCGAACTACGATTTCACGGAAACTTGAAATCAGCTCTGCCTCCGCAGGGTTTTTCTGAACCGCTGGACGATCGCACACGTCATGTCATGAGCATCCCATCCAACCTCGTCACGGAGGTCCTCTCGTTCTTCCGTCTAAAGTACCTCGTCGCGGCCGCCTCCCGGACCCTGGTCTCGGCGTCGAGCTTCTCCTTGGCCTGGCGCGCCAGCTCCTTGATGAGGTGGCGCGTGCTCTTGGTGAAGATGTTGTACCACGAGGCGTGCGGCTTACACCTCCTGCGGTCGCACATGCCCGCCGTGGCCAGGGTCCACTCCCTGCCGTCCTCAGCCTCGGCGGCGGCAGCCTTCATCGCTTGGACCTGCTCCTCGGTCCAGCCGCCGCCCGTCGCGAGGCTGTTGTTCTTGTAGATGGCCTCGCCCTGCGCCGACTTGACGAAGACGCCGAACTCCTCCGGGCAGCCGACAAGGTCCAGCCGTGAGTCGTACCCGCACACGTCCTTCTCGAGGAGGCCCTCAGTGATGGCGGCCTTGCGCCGGTCGTTGGCCAGGTCGAGGAGCTGCTGCATCTTCTTGTTCAGCACGATCTCCTCGGCTAGCGCGTACCGGTCCGCGGCGGAGGCAGCAAGAAAGGATTGCTCCTCAGGCGTGAAGACGAGCGTTTGGTCGACCTTTGACGAGAACTCGCTGGGCACGGCTGTAGTTGTTTGTTAGCATGAAAACGTAAGATTGGCCCATCTGCCTAGAATGGGGCATATCCTCACCGAATGGCTTCTTCCCGAGATGCCATGGCTCCTCGCCATCGACAGACTTGTGCACCGCGGACACGTTCAACAAGCCCATAAACTTCTCCCTCGTAAGGTCCGCCTCCTTGGCCCTCAGACTCCGGTTCTCGGGCAATGACCGGACCAGCTGCTCCCACCAGCCCTCGGCGTGCTGATCACTGCAGAAGACACTGTAGTCCGCATCTCCGCGGATGTCGTCGTAAATCCTGGCCGGCCTCCAACATCCCTCCAGACTGCACGTCTTCTTGTACCTGGTGACGTTCACCCCCTGCCTATCTGTGCAGCCAGGACACACATAACGCTGGATCAGGGCCTCGCCGATCGTCTTATCGATGTTGACGCACTCGCCATGAAACCAGTCGTCACACATGTCGCAACTGATCATCCACCTGTGGTCGTCCGGTCCCCGGCAGATGCAGTAGGGGCCGTGGTCCGACTCCTCCTCATCGCTAGCTCCTGCCTCGCTGGATGCCAAAGTTCCTGCTATGGGTGATGAAGCTGAGGCCTGAGAGGCTGTGGTGGTGGATGTTGTTTTCTTGGCCCGTGACGAGGCTCCAGATTTGCTGCCGCCCCGCGACTTTCGACCGCCGCGGGTCCCACTGCCGATGGTCTTCCGGGCAGTTTTTTTGACCAGCTTTGCAGTGCCTTTCTTGCTGGTGGCTCTGGACACGGCCGCCAGCTTGGCATCGGGCTTTTCGTCTGCCGTGCCGTCTGCCTGGGATATTGAGGGCGGTTGGGATGAGCGTGGGCCAACGGAGCCTGCACTTGCAGTTTCTGGGATTTGTGACATCCGGGGGTTACTGTCAACCCCATAGCTGGTCTCCCTTTTGATGTCCATGTTCTGCGCCGCGCCAGGTTCAGCCTGATCGATGTCCATGGCCGATGCTGATGGGGGTGTAGTCTCTGGAGGGGGCTGAATGGTGAAGTGAGAGTTTGTGAACACAGCCATAAGGTGCAACTTATCGGCCCCCTCAGACTTATGTGGCCAATTTGGATTGTTCAAACGCGCCAGATTTGTGAGGCCAAGCAGAGATTAGTTGAAATGTGCTGAAAGTATGATGATGCACCAGGATGTGGATGGCATATTGTGATTTCATTAATTCATTCCATCCACGGCTTCATGGAGCATCGAGGGAGTGAGAGCTGATTGGCAGCTGGTCGACTCCACCCAGCGCGACTTGGAGAAATCGTGAATTGGCCCGAGCTCCTTGCAGCTTTTTGGATGATGCGCTTTTGACTTCGATCCCTGCTCTAGCGGCAGTGGTGTATTTCCTCTATTAGTGGCGTGAAACTTCAGCGACTGCTCTCTTGCTCCGAACCGCCCTTTACCTCCTCCTCGATCCCAACCCACCAACGAGCAAGATGTCGCGATCAGTGGCCCCATCCAGGGCATTGCTGAAGGCCTTCCAGGAAACACAAGTACCATCGCGACAATGCCGGCGATTCCTTTCCTCCTCGCCGGCCTCTTTTACTCGACGGCCAGCCCTCGCAAATACCCTCGACCAATCCTCGAGGCACCAGCCCTTGGTGCAAAGGCGATTCAAATACAAGTCAGTTGAGGAGGCTAGGAGCCGATATCAAATAGGAGTAGGCAAACAAACTTGGCGACAAGCCACTTCCCATGCGTAAAGCGCAACATCCGGAAGCTAATTCGAGTTCATTCGCAGCCCTTTTCCTTGAAGGCCCTCGTGCTGTTCGTTGCGACAGCGGGCGGTCTGACTTGGTACTTTGAACATGAGAAAGAGCGCATGCAGAAGAAGCGCATAGCAGAAGCAAACAAGACGGTTGGCAGGCCAAAGGTCGGCGGGTCGTTCAAGCTTGTGGACCAGGACGGCAAGCCCTTTACCGACCAGGACATGAAGGGCCGGTATTCCTTGGTAAGTAGATCCTCTGCGCCCGCCATACAAAATCAAGTGCATGCGCAAGAGTGGTGGCTGACTGGGCGTGTGCGCGCAATTGCAGGTCTACTTCGGGTTCACACACTGCCCGGACATCTGCCCCGAAGAGCTCGACAAGATGGCGGTGATGTTCGACCAGGTCGAAAAGGAGATTCCCGGTGGACTGAACGGGATCTTTGTGACATGCGACCCTGCGCGCGACGGTCCCCAGGAGCTCAAGACGTATCTGGCCGAGTTCCACCCCAAGTTTGTGGGTCTGACGGGCACATACGATGAGGTCAAGGCGATATGCAAGGCGTACAGGGTCTACTTCAGCACGCCCTCCAAGGTCCCGGCAGGAAAAGACTATCTGGTTGACCACAGCATATATTTCTATCTGATGGACCCGGAGGGCGACTTTGTCGAGGCACTGGGACGGCAACACTCACCTGATCAGGCAGCGAGTGTGATTCTAGGGCATATGAAGGAATGGAAGGGCGAGCTCAAAAAGCAGTGAAAGGCCGTGTGAGACGGCGGGGTCTCTCCACTCACCCAATGCCACCAGCCTATTTATTCTGTCCCCATTGTGGCGATCTGGAGGTTGCCAGAAATGGGCAAGGCTTGGATATTGTATGATACTTGTACACCAGTAAATTGGCACATGTACAATCAAATGCATCTGGGCCAGGTTTGATATATCCGAGGCATCATTAGTGGCAGCAGAGGGGGCCGACATGCGATGAGTGGTAACCAAGCTGTTTTGGAGAATAGAAAATGGTGGCTCGATGCTGCTTGAAGCATAGCTCGCAGACCAAGACGTGGTTCAATTGGAGAGATGTATGTTAGTGGTCGATCCCGCAATGCTTCTGGCAGAGTTGCAGCGCGGCTCTTCAATGTGCATCTTCGCTCCGAGCCATGTGACGCTAGGCCATGTGGAATTCCAAGGCAGCTTCGAATGCCTGTTTTTACTGCACAATGACTTCAATCTCAAACGATGAGGCGACCTCTCGTGGGCCATACACTGATACGCGTATAAGGCGCAGGCAGACGAGAGAGCTAGCCCGAGGCCAGTAGACTTGCGCCACAGTCTCAGTTGCCCTCCCTGCCTCCCTAGTAGCGGCTTTGGCACTGAGGGAGATAGAGGGACAGGGGAACCAAGTTACGTCACCGCCACGGCTCAGGCCCAGCAGTGACGACCAAGCCTCATCGTTCCTATCCAATTCAAGTTTGTTCTGTCTGTCTGTCTGCTGTTTGTCTGTCATTTCCATTGACAAGCGCAAGCGCAGAGGAAACCTAACCTTTGACACATGATAACGTTTTGACACCCCTGTCCCTGCCCATGTCCCTGGTCGCCGTCCCCAACCTCAACCTCGTCTAATTCCTCGTCAACCGCGCACTCCCCACGCGCACAAAGAAGCTTTCCATCGTGGTCTATCGACATCGACGTCGCCAGCTCAGATAACAGCGTCAAGCCTCTTGTAGCCGCGACTCCGACTCCACCTAAAATTGTCCCTTGTTCCTCTCCTGCCGCAGGCCTTAGAGACGAAAACCACACCGCAGCCGCTTATCTTCAAGGCCGCGAAGCTAAATCCTTATGCTACTCACCGCACATTATTTTCTAAACTCGTTCACCTAAGCTATAACTGCTGCGGCCGCAAGCAAATACAAACTACACACAGCGAACCACGAGCATATTTTTGTCTGCTGTACTTACTCATCGTCTTACGGCGCATCTGCATTTACAACAAATACTGCCACCAGCATGCCTTCCACGCCACTTCTCAACGCCCAAGGCCAGCCTATTAAGTCTGCCTTGAAAACCGAGGACGATGTCGCCCAAACGCCACCCTGTGGCCCCACAAAGGGTAAGATTCTCCCCAAACACAAATGCCTCTGCTCTCATATCTTCACTCATAGTCTTATCGGGCGCCTGCATCTGCGCCCAGCGCACGGCACAGCGCAGATTTTGTCCCACGTGTGTTTGTCCCGGTCTGTTGTAGTGCTATAGACTGGATGGCATCTCTCAAGTTTTGCCTATAAGTTCTGAAGACAATGGCCACCATGAGAGGGCCGAGTTGGGTCAACCTTGGCTCTCTCAGCGGATGGAAACCACGGGATCCCCCTTAAAAACTGTTTCTATTGAACTGCTGTTTGTCTCTATGGTCATATTGGCAATGCTCTTGCTAACAATACCCTCTTTAGCTGTCCAAATCGCAGAGCCTGAGCCCCTTCCTCAAGAGGAGCCGAGGCCAAGGAGGGAATTCGCTGCCAGTGTGAGCGGTAAACGCCTTAGTGGGCGGCCACCAATGCCAGCGACAAACTCATCTCGGGCATCCTTCGCCAGTCAGAGCAGCATTGAAACCTTGGATTTGAATGGAAGCCAGAGCGTTTCTTCCTTGCCGCAACTCCCAGAAGACGCCACAGCCCAGGGTGACTCACAGCCTCATGGTTCTCATCAGTTCACCAGTGGCTCTCAGAGGGTCGATCGCGCTTCTGAGAGGCTACTCGCTCAAGTTGCAGATTGGATTCAACGCGAGAAGGCCAAGCGGGAAACCAAGAAGCCTCGGAAGCACCACCACCATCACCTTCACTCGCGGCGGAGGCACAAGTCCCCACCCGAGGAGGCCCCGGCGTCTGAAGAACCGGAGATGAGCCCTGAAGCCGAGAACCTGCTGCAGAGGACAGCCTCTATCGACTCCAATTCCAGCGATGTATCGCTCGACCGGCTGCAGCGTATTCTCGATGATAGCATGGCCGCCCTGGGTATCAGTTCTGTACCGCACTATAGCACTAAACTGGGCCGGCGGCTCTCGCACCGCAAGAAGATCTCCTCTCGTTCCACTCTTCAGCTCGCTCGAGCATATTCCTCGGACACGGACTACGTGGATGGAGATGCCATCGTACCAAGTTGCGATGCTATACTTGACAACACCAAAACACTGAAGTACTGCCAAGGATCCACGGACGAGCAATCATCTATGACTGCAAAGCGAGAAGAAAAAGAGAGGCAAGCTTGGGCCACCTTCAAGAACGAGATCATCCGTCTTGCGCATACCCTTCGGCTCAAGGGCTGGAGGCGCGTCCGGTTGGACTCTGGCGACGACATTCAGGTTGAGCGTCTGAGTGGTGCCTTGACCAACGCAGTCTATGTTGTGACGCCGCCGGAGAATCTGCCATCCGGTGACTCGGAGGTGCCCAAGAAGAAGCCGCAAAAGCTGTTGTTGCGGATATACGGGCCCCAGGTTGAGAACCTGATCGATCGGGACACCGAGCTCAGCATCCTCAAGCGACTGGCCCGAAAGAGGATAGGACCCCGGATGTTGGGTACATTCACAAACGGTCGCTTCGAACAATTCTTCAACGCCGTGCCCTTGACGCCCTCGGAGATGCGGCAACCAGCGACATCCAGGCAGATCGCCAAGCGCATGCGTGAGCTCCACTCCGGTATCGACCTTCTTGATGAGGAGAAGGATGGTGGCCCGACACTGTTTAAGAACTGGGATAAATGGGTGGATAATGTTGGAAGGAGGACGCTCTTCCTCGACCAACTGGCTGACCAGGGTTCGCCATTTGGAGGCGTGGACTGCTGGAAACAAGCAGGTTTTGTGTGTGGTGTGGAATGGCCCAAGTTCAAGGCCATGGTGGATAAGTACCGGGACTTCCTCGTCCAGTCCTATGGACCTAAAGGCCTTCGTGAGAAGCTTGTCTTCGCCCACAACGACGTAAGTTTCCCCTCATCTTGAATGTTCGCAAGCCAACCAAGTAGTTCAGTTTGCTCACACACAAGTCTCCAGACACAATACGGCAACATCCTCCGCGTCTGCACAGACGACGAGAAATCTCCGCTCCTGCAGCCCGAGAACCAGCACAAACAGCTCATCGTCATCGACTTTGAGTACGCCTCAGCAAACCTGCCCGGCGCCGAGTTCGCAAACCACTTCACCGAGTGGGCGTACAACTACCACGACCCGCACACTTCGTACGCGTGCAACGCGGAGCGCTACCCCTCACTCGAGGAGCAGCAGCGCTTCATCAAGGCGTACGTCGAGCACCGGCCCAAGGTCGGGCCCTCCACGGCGGCCTCGGCCTCGTCCGACGCGGACATCACGCCCTCGGCGACGCCGCAGGTCCACCCGCAGACCCCGAGCAGCTCCGTCGTCGAGTTCATGCTGGACGCGCGCGCCCCGCCCGGCGGCTGGAAGGAGGAGGAGCGCCGCGCCGAGGGCGCCGCCGACCAGCGCGTCGCGGAGCTCATGGGGGAGACGCGCCTGTGGCGCGCCATGAACAGCGCCCAGTGGGTCGCGTGGGGCATTGTGCAGGCCAAGATCCCCGGGTACGTCGAGCCGCCCTGCGACGACAGCGGAGAGGTCGAGGGAGCGAGCGATACTGAGGCGCCGGCCTCGCCTGCCGCGTCCGATCCTGGCGCCGGCGGTAGCGCGGCCGGGGGTGAGGAAGAGGAGGGCTTTGATTATCTCTCGTACGCGCACGAGCGCGCGCTCTTCTTCTGGGGCGACTGTGTGCAGATGGGGCTGATCAAGCTGGAGGAGCTACCGGAGGGCCTGAGAAGCAGGGTCAAGATCATCGACCACTGAGACTGGGTCCTGGGTGCGATGTATCGTCGATTCGAGTGTGATGAGTGTGAGATGCGTCAAAGTCTATTGAACCTGGGCTGCTGGAGCCAGGCTTGGAAGTAGGCGAAATATCGAGACATCAGCGTTAAAATTGTATCGGCACGTTTTTGAGAAGTAGCCGCTCTTGCTGCGTGTTGAAATCACCACCCAACGAAATCAGAGACGAGACTTGGTTGCTCACGCAGTCAAGTCGCACAAGGCCGAGCTACTTCGGACGGTGACATGGCTCACGGGGGTATTCAATTCACTCATCGACTCCTCGAACGAGCACGTCTCGGATCAAAGACCTAGGTTCAATTACGGAGGTATATCACAAGACCATTCTTGTTCTCCTCTTTCCCTCCTTCACCCAGTTGCCCGAGGATGAGCCGAACCATGCGCGCACGCCATAAAAGTACACGCCAACGAGTAGACCGCCACATGACTAGGAAAATAAAAAATACAAGAGGACGGTTTTTTTTTAGATACAAATAGATTGGACAAAGTGAAACAAGAACAGGAGCGTTAGAGACAAGGAAATTTGGAGTCATCATCGTCATCATCATCATACTTGCCGCGAGGCTAAATAGTCCCTTCTTAGTCCAGCCGTGAGGCGCAGATCGATCTTAAAGAGAGAGACAGACCACCACCATCCATGGGAGAAGACAATAAGGGAATTTCTGCCATCGACAAACCAGCGTTTACACACACCCCTTTTACAACCGTGGCAAGCCTCCGATATAAGGACCGGGGTCGAGCACGGCTTCAGTAATGAGGCGCGGCCTCTGTGGCGTCGATCTCTTCGCTCGGGGTGCAAGAACCCCTGACAAGCTGCGGTGCTGTAATAACCCGCAGTTGAGTTGCTTGCTTTCTGGCATGGCACCCTCCTCCCGCAAAATAGAATGAAGCTTTTTTGTTTCCATGCGGCCGCGTGACCTCATTTTCTAACCATTTCATGTCGTCGTGAGACGAGTTATGTTTGCTGTGTTTGCTGTTGTCTTGACAGTCAACGCTCGGCCGAGCACACTGTACGACAGTATTCCAACTTCTTCATAAACTTCCAGTCGCCTGGCTGTGGTCTTCCTCGAACTTTGTGTCTTGCTCAACCCCCCTTGCGGAGTTTCAAGACCCATATGTCTTGCCCTTTTTTCTTCTTTCTCTGCGTGTCCTCTTTCTCGTGCCTTCCTTGTCTCGTCCGGCTCAATGTCTCTCCCTCCTGTGGCTATGGTGATGTCGATGTGATGATGAATGGCCATGTGAAGAATGTCCATGTGATGAATGTCCATGTCTGCTACTGCTCGAATGATGTCGGGACGAGCTTGGCTGGGAGCTTTCCAAAGCTCGCTCCATCTCCTGTACCCTCTGCCGGTAGCCTCGAACAATGTCTCGAATGTGGCGGATGCGGTCGAATTCAACCTCGAGGTCGTCGATTTGAGCCATGATTGAATGGAACCTCCGGATTTCGACGTCGCAATTGTCCATCAGGTTGCCGGCCTCGTCATACACGGCCATGGTGACGATCTGAGACTGCTCGGTCAGGTGGTCTAGTTGCTGGGAGATCTGCTGCATGAGGCGGTCGAAGTGCCGTCCCAGCTGCGCAAGAGAGCTGCTGTCTAGGATCAGAAGGCCCTGGGAGGAAGCACGGCTGGCTGCGCGTGAAGAGCTTGATCCGCCCGCAGCTGCTTCCCTCTGCGCGTGCTGAAGGACCGCAACCTCGTCGGCCGAAAGGCCCAGCTGACTGACAGGGACCGCTTGGGGGGCCTGCGACGAAGACGACATTATCCCGGTCGAGAGTTCAGGTGAGTCCGGAGGGCGGGGGACCGGGGGTCTGTCGCAGAAGCGGTCAAGAAGCTGCTGCTACGTGGGGACTCGGCGTGTGCTTCAACTCCCCGTGCGAGGAGGGGTCGTAGGCTCTGGTGAGGTCCCTCCAGGGGACTCAGGTTCGCAAAGCAGCACCTCAACCCTCCGTCAAGTCGCAATGCGACTGACTGATGGCTGGGTGCGTTTTGGACGTGTAGAACCACAGTGGTTGCGGTGCGACCGACTCGGAGGCAGACGGCAACAATCCCACAATCGGATTGCGGGGTACGGGGCACAGCGCCGAGTCGTCCCACAGGGGGAGGACAACGATAGCGACCTCAACTGAAGCGTCTGCGACTGCTTCGCGCACGGCTTCATTGTTCCGGAGCAGATGCGCTCATGGCAATGCTGTGAATGGTGTGAGACTGTCGTTGGCAAAGCGCACAGATTGACCGCAGGGTATACCAGACAAGATCTGTCGCGGGGCTGGCCGGGAATCACAAGTGATAGCCGGTACTGGAGGAGAGTGTATTATGGTGTGATACAGAGAGCGGGCGTATATAACGCGAGTAGAAGCCTGAGAATTACAGTCGACCTGCCGACTAAGCAAGATAAGGAGAGGGGGAGAAAAGATGCGCCACGGGGCCGATTGATGGTGGGCAGTCTGTAACGAGGGGGTTGTAGAAGCAGGCCGAGCCGAGTGAGAATCAGTCGGCGGAGGGTCTCCTCTTTGGCCAGGTGTGGTGGTGACACAGCGAGGTTGACGACGGAGGTGTGCACCCAAGCAGTAGACGGCCCAGAGTAGTGCGCGCCTGGTGGGAGGGCTTCCGAGACAAAGTGCCTGCTTGTGATGGAGCAAGACGTAACAGTGACCCCGGATACCCCGCGGCTTGTCTTGCACCAACTACCTGGATTTGCGCTCTCTTTGCGCGCCAACTTCTGCCTCGGCTGCGCGAGGACAGGGAGACAGAGACGGAAGACGAGCAGATGGTTGTTGAAGGCGTGCGCTTAGAGGCGCGAAAATGGCTCGCCGGTCTCTTTTGCTTGGCCGAGGCGCGACGGCTGAAGTGGGTGGGTATGCGACGGAGGCAGCGCCGAAGCTGACAAGGATGGGTGGTGTTCGCACGGCCCAGGGAACAAAAAAGCAAGAGCAAGAGCAGAAGCAGAGGCGAGCTGACTGACAGATGAGCTCTTTGGATGGGTCGATGATTGCGAGGGTGGGACGGGACGGGACAGGTCCAGATGGAAACGAGTGGGCGACTGGACAGAGCCTTGCCTTGGCTTATTGCGCTGGGCGTCAGTCGCAAAGGTGCGCTGTGGGTGTTGCGCGAGAGGGCGATTAAAGGTAGTAGAAATAGTCAAAGGGATTGTTGGGGCCAGACGGGTATTAGTGCGGTGTTCAAGACAGCCTCAGGCACGGATGGGTTCCCCGGATCGATATGCACAGAAGGAGGGTGTCGGTAATGATATTGTAATTGGTATGAAGGGCACGAGCGTAACGAGGAGATATTGAGAGGGCCAGGACCAGGGTCGAGGCCAGGGCAGGGGAGGGGCCGAAGGCGAAGAGAGCCAGCCTCCAAGCGCAAAAGCATATAAAGTCGGTGAGAAGACGGCTTGTGTGAGGAAGCAGATCGCAGAAGGCAGAAGGCAGAGGGCAGAGGGCAGAGGGCGGAGACGAGGCAGAGAAGACGCGAGGGAGGAGTGATATCCCGAGTGGACCGTCCAGACAAGTCCAGACAGAGGCAGACAGCCGGCAGACGGAGAGACGGACAGGTAGGTAAGCAGTCGCAGTCGCAGTCGCAGTCGCAGACAATCAGAAGTCAGATGAGGACGGTACGACGGGCAGGGTTTCAACAGGACAGGTGAACCATGATGGCGACTTGTGCTGGGCGGAAATGAGCTGACATGGACTTTGACATGGACATGGACATGCGAAGCGCGGAAGCGGCTTGTGGGCAGAGGAGGAGGAGCTTTGGGGTGTGCCTCTTGGTGCGCATTCCAAGGTTGAACGTACGTACGTACGTGTACGCAGAATCAGAATCAGAATCAGAATCAGAATCAGAATCAGATTGCTCGCGCCTACCAACTCTGTTTCCTTCTCCGTTTCTGTTTCCTGTGTCTCTCTCCGTTGGGTGGGTTGCTCCTGCAGCGAGAGCGAGAAACCGAACTTGGACCCGGAACGGCAGGAGAGGGGCACATCGGGGCACATGGGGCATGAGCACATGGGCATACTGTATCAGCAGGGGTGCCTATCAAAGTGCAGTACGTTCCTTCTCTCGCGCGGCGTTTCGCCCACTGGAAGGTGGAAGGTGGAAGGTGCTCCCTCCTTCCCAGCTTTCCCTTCACAGCCCTACCTGGATTGGCAGGCACAAGTAAGTACCCGTGTAGAGTCAGTCCCCTCACCAGTCAATCAGTCACTCTACCTATTGCTGGTTGCCTCCTTATCAAACCACCACCTGGTTAGGGAGATGAGATGATCTTGTCAGATCGAAGCGCCTTCGCCCCCTCCAACGCTGGACCAGTCTAATTTGATCCCCATCACACCCAACCCAGCCTATACAAAGCTATCACTCGATGTGTCCCCCAGTCCTTGGAGCCGCAGCACATTGATAGACGCCAGCTTGGTTGCGGTTGCGGTTCGCGAAACAACATTCTCGCCTGCCTCAGTACCCCAGGAGCGCCTCTCGAAACAACCCCGGGCCGATACTGCAGGCTGGATGCATGCACACGCTCAGGAATAACCGCCGGCGGCTGGCACTCTTCTCTGCTTGTCTGCACAGTGACCTGCAGCTCACCCACATCCAAAGGTCCCGTATCATGTACGGCACTGGAGACCACCTACATATCTAGTCAGGCACCCCCCTGGCAGCCCTAATGCATCTCCGGATTCTGGCCCCCAGAGCCTCACCTCATGCTCGTCAACACCACCATTGCCGTCCTCAGCGGGAAAATGGAATTACCCGCCTACACAATCCATCATCCACTGACCCATGGCCCAGAGAACAGCCGCCGCCGAGACGCAGCACTGATGTAGCCCCCCAAGCCAGCGCCTTGCTTGAGACGCGCGGCTATATGTTTTCCGTCCTACACACTATGCGAAGGACCACCAGGGAAGAGCTCCTGTGGGGCTCTGCCCTGAACTTCCCCGGCCGCCAGGGGCCTACCTGCAGCTGACAGCGACGATCCATGTGCGCCCCTGCAGCCCAGTCCAGCCCGGACGAACACCGCTCTCTTCCAGCGTCCTTCCCAGCACCGGTACATGACGTTAGCAGGTTCTGTAAGCATTGATCCAGGCCATCGCAGCATTCCCACCTCGGAGTATCTGGAAAACTGGCAACAGACCGAAAGGACAAGAAAAAGTCTAATGTGTGTGCGCGACCGCGACACCACACCGCTTGATGGAGTTCCGCGGGTCTCTTCCGCCATAGCACAGATCCGATGCCCTCACTCTTGCTTCGCGACCAGATTTTCAACAGATATCGGATTCCTCTTTCCCGTGTGGAGATTTAGTTTTTCTCACCTTTCTGTTACCGCGCTGCTGCTAATGCTGCGAGAGGGGTGCTGCCTGTTAATGCCACGAGCTTCCATCTCCAAGGCAGGCCCTGGAGCCCTTCCGGTTGGGCGGCACTTAGTCCTCGTCGATGCACTCACTTGCATGGAATGTGTGGTCTGATCTTGGAACATCCTTATGGAACATTCTCACCGCTTTCTGCCAACGGCCTCTCATCCCGACTCGGCACGCTGCTTTCTCGGGGCTCCTCTGCCGGGGCACAGCGGCCCGGGGCAAGTTTCCTTTTCAGAGCTCTCGTGGCATAGCCAGTGTTGCGTCTGGACATTCGAAACCACGCTGTCAAGGTTTGAATATCAGGAGACAGGCCTGGAAGCAAGGCGATCAGGGTTGACTCGAGATTTGGAGTCAATAGTTGGCAGACAGAAAGCATATCGCGTCAAGACTTCTGCATCCCATTGGCACCCACCCTGCCCTTCTCTTCTTTTTGTTCCGAAAGGTGTGCCAAGGTAGATCTATACTCCCCTCAGAAAAGCAATTTCAGGGACTGCGACGTGATTCTCAGCCTCAGGAATCGGCTTTCCCCTTGACACGAATGGAAAAGCCGGGGAACCAGTTTTGAATCATCCCTGCTCATATGTCTTCAGCCTAACTACCTAGTCTAGGTAGTCCATGTCCAAGCCGAGCATCCTTACCAACGGAAGCACCAGCCGTAGAAATTAAATCAACAGGCGGATCCGAATCACACCTCATTGTTACCCTGGTGAAGACATCAGAGTTGTAGTCATGCCGCAATGGGCTGGTTCAACGCCGTCGCGCCTTCTTTTGACTGCAACCTAAGAGGTGACGGTCTCGAGTTCTGTTGCCCAGTACGGCACGGCAGTGTTACTCAATAGCACGGAGGATCGTCCTTGGGAACCTGGGCCCTGATAACTCGGGCTCGGGGTTGCTCTGAATACTGCAGCGATGGAGAAGAGGCGTGAATAGTGTCGGTCTGTCTGCTAATTCAGGGTTGAGAACATCACTTGCGGCCTCGACTTCGGTTTCAGAACTCGTAGGATGCTATCTACCCGAGCTGATGAGCGGTCTAGATGATGGACTGTTGATCCTGTGCGCTATGTCGGCATTTGATATCTAGTATTCCTAGGTTCAGGCTATGCTGCCGGATCAGATGTGACCACGAAGAAAGACCAGGTGCCAGGGATGAGTTGCGGACTCGACTCGGTTGGGGAAGCGCGTCTCACGCCTCGCATGATCCGTTCTTTCCGTGCTCCTTGCAAAGAAGTGGTCGAATATCAGACACAGCCTGCTCCGATACATCTATGCCCGTAGAGTTCGGCGACCGACGCCTCGACCAGCCCGGTCGAGAATGCCCCAGCCTCCCACCGCCAGACTTTATCCAAACCTTCACGTGTCACACTAACCAATCACTCCATCCCGCCCGGCCACTTATGCTCCTTCAGCGCAAGCTCCACCGCGGCGCGGACATCGTCCACAACACGGTAAGGCGTCCTGGCCTTCCCCAGGCGCTCGAGCGGCGCCACCTCCTCCTTCCAGACCCCCGTGCGCACGAGGCACGACCTCCAGACCGGGCCCAACGCGGTCTTCTGCGCGACGCCTGTGCCCCTGCCGTGCGAGTTCCAGATGTGCGCGCCGCGGATGTCGCTCTCCGGGTTGTCGCCGACCATGTAGACGGCCTCGAGGGGCCCGTTGCCGAGGCGCAGGCGGTGCTGCTCGAGCGTGGCCCACGCGTGGGCGTACGTGGCGGCCCAGGGCTTGCCGAACTCGAACGTCTTGAGGTTCCCCGGCCGCCACCCGGGCGTCAGCTGCTGCCAGACGCGGCGCACCGCGGCGCGGAACGCGCCCTGGCCCAGCCGCGACAGGTGGTAGCCCGTGCTCCACTGCATGTCGACGTTGCTGAAGATGAGCGGCGGCTGGCCGTCGGCCTGCCAGCGCTCCCCGGCCGGCACGGACGGGTCGCCGTTCTTGCTGCTGTACGTGCCCAGGTAGCCCCTGTGCGACAGCAGCAGGTCCGTGATGAGCTGGATGTCGACGGCCCAGTCGCGCGGGTCGTTGAAGGTCAGTATGCCGTCGATCTTGAGGCAGTCCTCCAGCCTCACGGCCGGGTCGGCGCTGGGGTTGTAGATGGGTTTTGGGAGTGGCAGGATCTCCTGCTTGTCGTAGAACTCGCGCAGCGGGTCGAATGGGAAGATCTCAGGGCACGCCTTGAGAATGTCCCCCGGCGTGACCACCGACTCGAAGCCGTACCCGTTGGCGATGCGCCGCGCCTTGGAGGCGTCTGAGCCCAGGACGAGCACCGTCTCCTTCCCTGAGAACCTCTTGCTGCCGAGTGATTTCTCGAGATACCCCTCTAGTTCTGGGTGGCCCAGTTCCGCACCAGGGTCAAGAAGCTTCTGATAAGGGGTGTGGCTCTGCACAAAATTGGACACGTCAAGGTCCACGCCGAGCTTGTTCGTCAGGTCGGCCACCCGCTCGGCCTCAGACTTGCCTCCTCCGTTCGTCAAGAGGATAAACGGGATGTTATTCCGCTGGAGGAACTTGAGAGTCTCAGTTGCACCCGGAATCGGCTTAGAAGTATGCAAGAGCACACCATCGATGCTGAATCAGATGTCAGCGTCTCTCTGCACGAGCGATTTGACACGGTAGAACAGCCCAGGACTCACTCAAACGCAAACGCAAACGCCGGCGTCCCGTTGACGCTCTCCTCGCTGCTTAGCGAGGTCTGCGAGCTCGCCACGCTCTCGCCCGCCTCCGAGGACGCACTGCTGCCGCCGTACGTGCTGCTCCACCTCACGCCCGCCGCAGCACCAACACCCCGCGAGGGGGAGGGATGATATCGAGCTGTTCTGACCCGGGCTGCACGACCCGCCGCCGCCGCCGCCGGTGCTGCTGAGGATGAATAGCAGCAGCTCCTCCCCGCCCGGGCCGCCGTCTCGCCGGCGTGCCGGGCCAGCAGCGAGGACCGCAGCAGCAGCGGCAGCACCTTCGCCCTCGAGGACGCGCTCATCGTGGCCTCCGGAGCTCTGTTCCCCTCCCTGCCGGATTCCTGCCCTGTGCCGTTGCGTGTGATGTGCGTACAAACAGAGCAAGCGGATTTATTCAAGTAATGACCAATTTCCTTTTTTTTTTAAAACAAAACTTTAATACAAGACAAGAATGGGGCTGAGGGTGAGTACTGAGTAACCTGGTGTGTGAGTCGTAAGTAGATACATGCAGGACTATTCTATGCATGTTGAAACTGGACGCCCCCCGGCCGGCCGGCCAAGGAGCCCCTGCTGTGACGGAGCGGCAAGCTGCAGCAGGTGCGGTGTGAGTGGGGCGGGGCGCTTTTACTGTGCAACCTTGGGCATCTCAATTGATGACTCCACGCCGATCAGCAAGCACCATTTGTTTGCTTTTTGATATCGACACATGGCCGTCTTATCCCTCTGGACCTGTATCTGGCAAAGAGCCTCGCGTGTACACTCCACAGCGCACGTATGTAGTTCATCACATTAAGCCTCAATCATCACCTGCAAGGAATTACTGCCGCTGGCTTTGCACCAGCCGTGGGCTTTGGATTATTACTCTCGCTACTACAGGAATATAATTACAATACGCTCTTCTGGCCTTCAACCATATTCCCACTTCTATTATCCTTGCTCCATCGCGTCGCCTTCAGCTGTATGCGGCAGGTAGGTTGTGACATAATTGGACCGACGTCGTTCGATCCGGAATGTCGAGGGAGAAACATTGCGTCTGGTACAGGGAGTCGAGGATGACGAGCAATGTGTTCCCTCTCCTCACTTCGATCCGTGTGCCAGATTTGCGACCACACTCAAAGACCGGGACCGAACGATTTCAGCGGGTTTTGGTTTCTAGGAGAGCCTGGAGCCCCTTGGATCCCAACTTTTCGTAGTCTTGTCGTCTTCTCCGTCAAGATATTTTTCGACAGCCTCTGAATTCGACCGAGCATTGATGTCCCTGAAAGAAATGACCCCACACAAGAGCTCCTCCCAGTGCAGAATCTAACCTCCCCTACCCTGTCTCTTCTGTCTCAAAGGTCTGCGCCGCTACACCTTGTAGGACAGGCAGAAAATCTGTGCGGGTGTGTACAAAATGGTATCAGTCGCAGTCGGTTGTGTACACTGAATAACAACACATCGTCTCTGCCTCCAACGCAAATAAAACGAAATAAAAAGCTGGGTCGCCGCGTGCCGCCGATGCCAACGCTATGCAATGAAATGCCTCTGTTGTCCAATGCCTGTCTCTGAAATTCTCGGCGTAATCAAAAGATGTGACGGAACACACCTCAGCTGTAATCGTCCCCAGGCTGCAAACAAACCTCCCCCCCCCCCCAAACAACGCCTTTCTTTTATGGTCCGGTCATGCCCATGATTAGGTCCCGAACAGGCCGACGTCTTGTGATCAAGTATTCGAACGGCCGTCGGCAGCGGGAACAAGACAGTTACACAGTTCGCTAAGGCGCCGTGTAGCCTAGGCCCGACTGACTTGGCTCTGGCTGGCGCTCGTCCTGCTACGCGTCTCATCCTCTTCGAGCACGTCGCTGAGGCGGGTGGGGTGGTGATGGCGGGGCATGGTCTCCCAGCCAGGGGCAGCATAGCCAGTGCCTGTATAGTCAGGCTGGCCCGAGGTGTACGTCCCAGACCATTGAGAGGCCGAGGGAGGGTAGCTGACGCCATGCTGTGCCGAAGGAGTCTCATATTCTTCTGTCCAAGAGTCAGAGTCATCGTCTCCCGGCGTGCCAGGAGCACGGTAGGGGACTTTGTCTCCATGGGAGTCCCGGACAAAGTTGCCTTGCGCATCGATGACGTACTCACCTTCGCTATAGCCTGCCTCGGATCCTCCTTCGGCTGTGTATGGCCGCTCCTCTTCAATATCGTGTGGCTGTTCGTAGTAGCCTCCACCTGCGCCCGAGCTGGGCGCTGCTGGCGGGGGCGGCTTGGCCTGGGAGTACTGCTGAGGGTACTGCTGTGACGGAGGATCAGGCTGTTGCGCCTGACGCGAATCTCGGGTGCTGGGTCCCCGGCTGACACCTTGAGTCATTGGCACCACCTGCACGCCTCCAACAATAGTAGGTAAGCCTTGCTGCAAGGAAAACGTGCGATCACGTTCCTCTTGCTCTCGCCGACCCAGTTCCTCCCAAGCTCGACGTGCCTCTTCTTTTGATATGAGTAGCTCCTTCTGCATCTCGTTGACACGCTTCTGGGTCTTGGAGTTGGCGCGCTCATTCTCGAGTGCTTCTTGGATGGCGGCTGCCTTGGAATGACGCTCGTCTTGCAGTGCCCTCTCAAGCGACGCTTTAGTCTCCTCGTGTCGCTCCAGCTCCGATCGAGTTTCGAAGAACCACCGCTGGAACTTTCGCTCCGAGCTTGCTCGGAGGCGCTGCAGCTCGACGACGGCATGGAACAGATTAGCGCCAGCCGCAGACAGATCACTAACTTGCCGCGATAATTGTGCTGACACAGGATCTCGATCGATTTCGTCCGCGTGTTGTTGCAGCTTCCGTATCCAGAACGAAGTCAGCCCCTCCCAATGAGCTGACAGTGCCTCCCACCGCTCGAATGCGTGTGGGAATGAGTTTCTCGGCTGGGTCTTGGTCGCTGTAGATGTATCACCAGGCTGCGCTGCTGGTGCGCTTGGCATCTGCCCACCAGCTCCACCGCTATCTGGCACACCGGAATATTGCTGTTGCTGTTGTGCGGCGGCGGCCGCGCGTGATTGACGATGCGATTGAGAGGGTTGGTGCGGTCTAAGTGCCGGTTGTTGCGCATGTGGCGCCGAGGGCTGTTGTTGCTGTCTGCGTTGCGTACCGCCAGCAGGGTCCAGCGTTTGTGTGGGTATGGAAGCGGAAGGATCACCTCCCTGAGCCATACCACCAGTTGGCCCAGCGCCAGCAGCGGGGGCCCTACGCTCTGCCATTCTTCTCTGTTGTTCTTCCACTTCTCTCGCCTCTTGTTCGGCGTGCTGCCGCTCCAACCGGTCACGTTCTGCACGCTGGCGCTCCTCTCTGGCCTGGCGCTCCCGCATGATCATCCTCGGGCCCTTGATTCCAGATGGCGAACCAGTCTGGGCCGGTGGGGCTGTCGGTCGCGAGGTCGAGGAAGAGAAACCGTTCGTGACGGCGGGCTGACCGCCGGCACCACGGAGATCGGCCATTGATGCGTTCTCTTCAATCAGGTCAGGGGTGAAAGGGTTGGGTTGTCTCAATGCCTCCTCGAGTGCCCAGAGAATGGCACTGTGGGTATGCTGGGAGATGTGCACAGCCGGGTGTGCGGCTTTTCGGTGGGTCCGATTTGAGGACGAACTTCTTGGAGGGATGAAGGATGGGGGGAGAGTTGTAGAAGCCTCTTCGAGGGGGTCGCTGAGCAGATCCTGGGAGAGCTGCCTCACGGGATGGCGGCGCTCTTTCTTTGCGGCTGGGTCAGGTGTACGTTTAGGGTCAGCTGTCGCAAAGAGTCCTCCGGGGCTGATACCAACCGAGACTGCTTCCAAGTGAACTCGTCTTGGAGGCGAGGCAGGTTGGTTCGGTGGTGGACTCGGTGTGCCGACAAAACGGGGAGTGCGGCGCAAGCCTCGATGCGACAGCGGTGTGGACGTGCCTGACCTGGAGCTATGCTCAGGAGAAATTGGGGTCTGCGATCGACGAAGAGTGCGCTGCTGGCGCTGCTGCGCTGGATCGGGGGATTCGTAACGTTCGTAACGGTCGTAAGAAGTGAATTGGCCTGGGTCGGTCACCTTTGCGGTCGCCGCTCCCTTATCACCAGACAGACCTGTAGTGGTAAACAAGGTGAACGATCACCACCCGGGCGAGTGGTGACGGGGAAAAGTCAAGTTTAGGGTTTGGTGTTCGGATGACGAAAGGCGGCCTAAGACAGCGAGGCGTTGGAGCGGTCAGTAGTCTGGTCCCAAGGTTCGAGGTCTCGGGGCCTGTGCAAGGCTCCCTCACGCCAGCAAGCTGGAGCTCGTGCAGAGCAAGAGACGGGCAGACTGGAATGGTGTGGGGGCGGTGGTTCCTGACTCACTTGGGAAAGTCAATTGCAGGCCGATTAAGCTGTTACGCGGTACACAGCAAGAAGAGAAAAGAATAGCCAGCAGAAAGGTCAATTGGGTCCAGAGAGCCGGTGTGGTTGTCGCAGTCGCAGTCGCAGGTGCAAGGGTGTGCCACGATCCGTCGCATTGGAAAATCGAGGGGGCTGGTGGTGGTGGTGGTGTTGGCGCGAGTATGGGACTCGCTCCTCTAGTGAGTGGTAGAACAGGCACACGCAGGATTAAGCAGGTGGCGGGCAGATCGGACGGGCTACTGTAAAAGGCCAAGTGACGGGTCCTCTGCAGGCCGCGGTAGCTTGGTGACGGTCAGACGGGATGAAGTGTCAAGCCAGGTGCACACGCACACACACACCCAAACGTATGAGTGAGTGCAAGCTTCACTCACCTGGTGGTGTGCAGTAAAGTGTTAGGTCGAGTTGTCACCAGGGTGTCGCGCCAGCGGAGATGTTGGCGCCCTCAACTTGGGAGCCAGGAAGAGAGAATGATGGAGTGCAACGATGTCCGAGCCCAACAGTGCCCAGTTGGCCCAGTTGTCCCAGTTGTGTCGCTGTTTCTGGTCCTGCTGATGCAGGTGCTGGCGCTGGTGCTGAACCTTGAATCTTGATGACAGCTCGGCCTCTGCCCAGCTTCCCACTCCTGCACCCTCTTGTACCCACCTCCACTCCGATGCCCGTCACGACCGGGAGTGCCGAGGAAAATAGCTGGTCGGGCGGTGAACAGGCTGGACTTGTCTTCCGGGTCATAGTCGCATGTCAAATCGTGTCAAGATCGTAGCCGTTGCGCCGAGCCACACAGAATTGGGTGAACAGAGTGGTGGGTCAGAAAATAGAATAAAAACACAACAAAGGAAGCTTGAAGTGAAGCTCGAGCTCCCTCCAGTCCGGGAATCCAGATCTGATCTGACAGAAGCTGATGTGATGATGCTCAGCTCGTCGGTCGTCTCCACGCGAATCCGACTCGCTCCTCGTTGCCAGGCAAAGATGTCGCAGCGGAGGAGAGCTGTCCCAGGGTGATGCGCACAGGCCCTTCTGATGACCGTGGAGCTTTACGAGGCTGGGCTCATTTCCTATCCGGTAGAGAGCTGTTGTTTTGTTTTGATCACCACTGCGGTCCCGTCTCAGAGCAGACAGGAAGCTGCTGGCGGTTGCTGACGTGCTGCTGATGTCGGATTTATTTTTTCTTCTTCTCTGCTCTTCCACGAGAGATCGGTGCAGAGGCGAGAGAAGTGGCTGACTGGCTGGATGCAGGGCAGGGCAGGGCAGGGCTCGGGAGGGAGTGGGAAGGACAGCGGACGGACGGGGTGTGTACCGTAATAAGAGAGTCTCTGGAACAGCCGAACAACCCCCTTCAGACAGACCAGCCTCACCTCATGCAGGTCTCGTGTCTCCCGGACTCTCTCGTGGGAAAAAGGAGCAAAGTTTCGTTTCATTCGAGCCCAGGTAGGGTGTTTCCTTACTACCAGGTCGCGCCGGAACAAGTCAAGAGATCTGGGGACATGCGGCACGGCGGCCTGTCCATGTCGTGTTATCAGCCCAAATGCGTGTGCCGCTCCTTCACTCCTCATAATCATCCTCCCCCTCCTCCCCTGCTCTGATATAGGTAGCTGGTGGTTTAGGTAGCCTCAGCGCCTTCAGCCGGGCCCTTCCTTCTCCTAGCTCTTGTACGATGCACGATGGTCCTTGCTCAATATTGGGGGCGTCCAGCATCCGCACCCGGAGCTATCCTCGCAAGCACGCCGTTGTTCCTGACTGGAAATGGGTGCCCGACCGAGCTTTTCAACACTCTAACTCCAGCTTGGCCCAGCTCGGTCTTAGATCAGCGCGCTCCCAGCCGTCTTATCCATGACTTCTCTTCTTATTGCCATGGATCCCGCCTTATTATCACAGACGAAAGGGTTAGGCGCCAGAGTTATTTTTCAGACGAACTCGTCATACTGATGGGCCACAGACCTTGAGGCTCAGGAACAGGACCAGAAAATCACCCATCAGCGCCATCTAATTTAGCTCGGCACGCTGTTCTAGTCTGTCAAAGAAGAGTCAGGCTCACGGCTTGTGGGGCCCATTTCTCCCTGTCATCAGCGGTCAGTCCAGGCCTGTATTATGTATCGTGATCTGCCACGCTGCCAAGTAACTATCTACAATGTGTAGCTGGTTGCACGGAGGCACAGGACCCCGTCGATCGCTAGACCGAAGCTTGCAACACGCGGAAAAATCTCTCGTAGCCCTGTGTGATGGGCATCTACGATGAAAAGCTAGTCGTCACGGGAGACACAAGGCTCCCTCGTCTGTGACTGACGATAGTCGCGGTTGCTCTCATCCCGTCCGTCCTCGACTCCCTCCTCCCTCGCCTGGCCCTCCCGTCCAGGCCGTCGTCCCACTGACCACCAGCGGTCCGACCTCCAACAGGAGTCAAGTTCGGGGTCACCGTCCCCTCTCGTCGATGCTGCCAAAGTCTTGTCACCCCACACTGGAGTGCTGCCCAATCCTTCTATGGACCTGGGAGAAAAAACGTCATACCGTCTTCTTGGGACCTTTGATGTCAGATTCGCGCCAGAACAAAGTAGCCACAACGGCGGTGTCTCCCCTGGAGTCTGCAAAGCCCCCATGCCCTGCCATGATGACCTGCCCTGCCCTGTCCCGCCATGTCCTGCCCTGCTATGTGCTGCCTTGCAAGGTGGCTTTGAAGATGATGATGTTGGGAGGCCGCTGACGATGCAGGAAATCATGGAATTCGGGCATGTATGCGTTGGCAGTACATGGGAAGGTGACGACAGGCCCTGCAAGGTGCAGGTCCCAATAGGCTGGATCGGAGGCAAGGGCATGCCAGACCGGTAACCCCTGGAAAGTTTAGCCACCTCCACCACGCCGAGGTGACCTGCATGCTTTGGAAAGGTGGTGTACTGTAGAGATGACTTGTCAAGGTGTGGCTTGATTCCGCCCTCCAGGCGTGTCCCCGGCCGTCCGTCTATTGTCACAAGCGTCCGCGGCGCAGCGGAAAGTGAGGCTGGCAGAAACCGACCTTCCTCCTAGGGCCAGGCCCCTCCTCGCGGTGGGCGCCAAGCCTTTGAGACATCGACTGGCACACCACAGACCCTTGCTTCGCAAGACCGGCAACTTAAAACCTTTCGAGGCGGCCGCCAGTACAGGAATGTCTCGGACGGGGCGGGCGGAAAACTTCAAGCCGACATTGTGTGCTTGGAGGATGGTCCTAACCCTGATGGGGGTCTTCCTCTAAGACAAGGGGGGAGGGCTGCAAGGGGTGTGTCACCACACTTCTTGGACATGAAATTTGCTAGAGCAGTCTGAAATTAGACACATTCAAGCTCGAATGGTATCCCTTGGAGCTGGACTATGGCGAGCCAAGCGGCAGCAGCAAATAGTGCTGATGGCTTCCTCTTTGACATGGGGTCTCTCAAGGTCTGTAAGTCGAGTAGTAATGGCTTACACGCCCGAGACAAAAAGTATGTCCATATCGACCATAATTTCTTGATCCATTAATTGTGGTACGGCATGAACTATTTGAAAATTAAAGCCTCTTTCTGGAGACTATACTTGAATAATAGCCGCGGATGGTTCTGATAGTCGGAGATATAGATCTGGAAGATGTGACTCCTCAGCCTTATTTGGTGCCTGGGCAGGTATCAAACGGAGTGGATCAGAATCTGACACTCGTGTGGATTGCAAATTGTGACACGTCATTGCCTCTGGCTGAAGGAAATTTACGATCGTTTGTCATTTCAGATTGGCGACGGTGTCACTCTGGAGTGTTATGCAAAGACTGTAAGCCAGGAGGCAATAGGGTGGAGCTTTCAAAGGAGGAGGGAGACAAGGGATATCGCTTCCACATGCCGCGGAACCTGCCGTCAGCAGTATGAGGCGTCATGTACGACGCTTATAAGATTAGGCACTTTACATAGCACAAATAATTACACAAAATTTGTATCCCAGCAATAGACAGAATTCCAGACCACGATCCCTCAAATTCGTTGTGATGAATAGAGCGGAAGGAGGATGGGAGGCAAGTCAGTAGCCAATGAGACATCCTGCCGTGCAGGGGTGACGGCCCGTGCGGCTGGTCGTCCGACACGGGAGCACGCAGCATTCCGCACGCGGTGCAACAGTCCGTACGCAATCAATCCCACGCGCGCCATCTACGAAACATGCCGATCTCCAGCTGCTCGTGCCAGTTGTGTCGTTGAAGATATGAAGACAGACAGAACGAGGAAGCCTTTCTCACGCCATTGCTGGTGGTCGCCCCCACGTCAACTCTGGGCAGAACGCGTTCTTGAAAGCCGACCCGCCCAAACTAGACATCTTCCGAACCGAGCCTGGACACTCTCGCGGCTATTTCTGATGCCCCTGCAACTGAGCATTGCTCGGTCCGAGTGTTGAAATGAGTCGTGGACTCGGCGGCTCATCTCGGCTGGATTGACGTACGGGTGGACGGACGGGCGGTCGCCCTTGGTGCCTCTCCCTCGGCATGTAACAACGCGACTGGAGCACAGCGAGACCTGGCTGTCTGTACGCTCATCACAGACAACCGAGATGCGTTTCTACGCGTCGTGTCCCCGAGCGGTCTTCACGGTCACACTGCCGTCGAGGAGCCAGGCCGTGCCCACCCTCTCGATGCCCGCCCGGACTCCCGACACCGATACGTACGATTCAGGGGCCGGTTCTGTGGGTTGGTTGAGGCACAACGGTCCACACTTCTTCAAGGCACTACAGACTCCACACGAGCACTAGCGCCGCAAATCTGCACCCTTGGCGCACTGCGCAAAACTTTCTGGAAATATAATCCCACCGGACACTCTTCCTCCAACGACCAAGGCGTCTTAACAGACGCCCGGCTAGCTCAATCGGTAGAGCGTGAGACTCTTAAGAACCTCACGATTCTGACAGAATATCTCAAGGTTGTGGGTTCGACCCCCACGTCGGGCTCAATTCCCGTCATGGTCACTTTTTTGTACCTCTTTCGGGTTCTCACGTACCTGCCGCGGCGGGTTTCCCAGGACTCTGATTTCAGATCGGGGGGATGGGAAACGGAAAGCAGACCGGGGACGGGACCATTTGTCATGTCTACTTGCTGACACAGTGTATGCTAATCCAGACGGTCACTGTCCACCCCTTGGCATTCTTTTTTGCAACTTGCATGATGCCCGAAACTGGAATTAGCACACCTTCTGTTAGTTCGCTCCCATTGGCTAGTGCCTAGGTTGTTGCACACAGATGAGCCCATTCTCTCCACCTCGTGTTCGCGGGGTTGCATCAACCTGCATCACCAGACACACCAACTCAATCGACCGTCCACGAATTGCGCTCAACAACGCAACTTCAGCATACGTCACATGGTATGGCCACCTAGGATAACTGGCCAGTCGTATGGTCTCCGATGTGCCTAAATCACGCCACCCACCCATCGATGTGGCATTACACTGGCCACCTTTAACCAACCCAGCCAGATTGAAAATGGCTCATGTCGCCTGCGTGGCCTCCAGTATGCCTAAATCACGCCACCCACCCATCAGTGTGGCATTACCTATTGGCCATCTTCAACCCGCCCAGCCAGATTGAAAATGGCTCGTATTGCGCCACGTATGAGTGGCACCATTCGGTCGCCAAGAAAGAGGTAGCCACCAAGGTGTTGCATCCAATCGTCCCGCATGATGCGCAAAGCCAGACGCTAAGGCAAACATGGCGATCCGGCGCACATAACTGGCCGCGTGATGAAACACTGCCCAGGTCCATGAGGGCCGGTAGGAGCCAGCCAGGCTGCCAGGCTCGCCAGGTAGTGTCGCATAGACCGCAGAGCCCGGAGGTGTGGATCGGCGCCTGATGCCTCTGTGCATTGTCCGGCTGCATGCTGGCCTGAGGCGCGGCCAAAGCGGCGAGGCGAGGGAGCCATCAAACTCCCTCGCGGACCTCAGCTACATTCCTCATTGTTGGCAGTCAAACGGCAGTCAAACAACATACAATCTTTCCTGAAATAGACACAGCCTTCATGCCTCAATCACCATATGAAACTCCTGTAGGCTGTCCATCCAAGAAGGAGAAGCTGCCAAAGGGCGTTTCAGTTCCTCACAACATTAGCAACGAGCTTCATCAATTACCACCAATCCCTCACTTTCCCATAAGTTCTATTCCGTCAGTCATGATTCTGTCGCAGCCACCCTTGCTCAAAATGGCTGAAAACAGGGAGCAGGCGCAGATCCAGAGCCAAAGGGCTAGGCGCCAATGCCACTTTACAATCGTTGGCAGGTAAGTGGCATCCATGGGGAATTTGCCAATGTTCCCTGCTAGCGCCAAACGCGGCCCCCCGCAGGCCTCCCTCCTCCTTCCGGGGCTATGAAAACGCGCGAATTTTCCATGCCATTGGTGCTGCGCCGTACTTGGTCATGTATGTGCTCCCCTCAACCCAATCAGAGAAGAGGGTCAAGGCGCTCGATGTGTTGGTGGTCAGGCCGCCATTTTTGCTCATTATTTGAAAAAGCAATGTTGGCAAGTTGATCCGCGTATGAGCATCTGGTTGGTTGCTGCCAGTCATGCGGCCACACAGTCTGGCCCAGTCTGGGATACGCAATCATTGGCGGCCTGTTTTGTGGCCGGCTGGATCTTCCGATGGCTACTTACATGCTGGCTACCTGCACGGCACTGCCGGCAATTGGAGAGCGTGACCAGATGGGGGACTACAACTAATTCTGTCAAAGGCGGCGCGTGCTGTGGCTGGGCCGTGGCCGCGAACTTCGGCTTGAGTACTCTGGATGGTGCTGGTCTTTGTCCATAATGACTGGGAACTGTAGACTCGGCAACACCGTTAAAAAATTCTTAACGGCTTCGTTGACTAAACCCCGTCGACCCTGACACATAAGGCAACGCAAAAATAGCGATGCTAACTCTTTTGGGCGTTGAGCCTCGCGCCTCGCGCCTTACATCACCTGGATGGCGCCTGGCAAATCTCAATGTTCGACTGACGCATCCGCCTTCCCCGTTGCACACGACTGCTGCTTCTCTACCTTTCCTTTGTTCCTTTTCCACCTTGTACCCTGTTGCTGCAGATCGCATTGGGGTTGCACATGTCTACCCGGATACCAGAGTCCGTGTGTAGTGGTTGCGTATTGAAAAAAGCGCACCCCTGAACTTGATGGGCTTAGGGGATAGTTATGTACCACCCCTGGGACGACAAGGGTTTTCGTGAATTTATTCTCGGAACCCAGGGTATGATCCTGCCAAGGCGTGAGCCCCTTTCGAAAGGGGCTGCACAAGGACCAGGAGATCCAATCGTTGTACCAGATCACCAAGCTACTGTTTCGCAATAGGGGATGTCATTGCGGCACAGATCGTGTTGCCAAATTGGTGACACAAGTATGTCGTTAGTTTCGAGCCACGCATGCATTCCGACCTGGTTAATTTCGGCCAGGCGTGATCTCCCAGACTAGTTAATCTCCCAGCCAGCTCTGCTTGGTGACAAATTAGGAGGACACACCCCTCTGCAGTTTTCCCTATCAGGCCTGTCCTGATCTCCCCCTGGGACTCGCACGATGCAGTCACCGCTGGATTAGGTGCTGAACACCACCTTCATGCAAGAAGCAAGCGAGGCATCACCGTGGTATTAGTAAAATAGTGCGAACAGCATGTGCATGTACTACACATCGTCGAAGCAAATTTAGCGAGCAGTCTGACCCTTTTGAATTTTGAGCGCAATTATATTTTGCCGCTTCCCAGACTCAAACCCCATGATTATCCACAGCAGCGATCCATTTCCATCACTTGACGCGATAGAAACCCATCAACCATGGCTAGCTCATTATCATTGTGCGCCGACGACAAAAGAAGGTGGTTACTGGGAGCCCTTCAAGAAGTCCAACAAATATTGAATTGCAGGCATGAACAGGATCTCCAAATCCGTCGTCTTGTCGAGTGTCTCCAAAAGGAACTCGACATAACCGAAGGCGAGTCCGAAGTCGTGGAGGTAGGAAGGCCCAACCTGTGGCAGAGATCCCATCCCCAGGGCCGTTAAAATTGACTTTTGTAACGCCGCACGCGGGTTTAGTCTAACGATTTGGAATCCGACTCTCTCAGCTACCCACACGATTCAAGAGTAGCTTCAACAAGTTTAGATTATCATAAGACAATTGATGTGGAAGAGTTGGGGGAGTGTCCTAAATGTCAGCACCTCGCAGGTAAGTATTTACAGGTTTCTTTAGCGAATTCACATTAATTTCTTCTAGATGACTGCGATTGTTATTATAGCGAAGATGAGATAGTGGATGATGTCGAAGAGCAGGAGGGGGAGCGTGCTGCATGTGGGCATCTGTTCTCTGGTAAGCATTCACAGGTTTTTCAACGAAGTTGTATTGATGGTCTCTAGCTCGGTGTGTTTGTAATCATGATGACGATGATGAGATAATCTCAAGGGACGGCGTCAACAATTTGCTCTCAGGACCAGCAGAGACTACGACCTCATCGCCCGCGCCATCGATGTCACAGATCAACGACTTGACATGCGGCCACTGCAAAGCCACGTTCCGCACTACACAGTGTTTGCGACAACATATCAAGACACACACCAGACCCTTCCGGTGCCGCATCGAGGGGTGCCACTTTAGTGCCTCGCAACCGAGTAGTCTCCGAAACCACATGAGAAGCAAATCCAGGGCAGACGAGAGGCACCTCATCGTGGCCCAGCAAGAGCGCATTAATTTGAGACCATTTTCCTGCACAAAGTCTCTCTGTACATACAAGACGTTCTACGCGCGACACCTGCCAAGGCATCAAGAAACATCAAGGTGTCCTCTATTGGCTTGGAGAGACGATCACGGTCTGGAGAAAAGGCCCGGTTCTCCTCCGGAACCGTCTCGTTCCATATAGACCTAACGAAGCTGATTCCCCCCAAGCCTTGCAAAAGGGCACCACGCCGAAGGCGCCAGCACAGTCAGAATTGTACAGTCTGCTTATACTTACGATTCCAATGTATTGTGATTGCATCCTCTGCGCCATATCCGTATCCATTGCATGCCGCTTGCAACATCGCCACATCTGCAGAATATAAGAGGATATGGCTGGTGCCCCTCTTCTCTGAGTGCCCATAAAGGTCTTTCACGACTTCAAGGTTCGTTCCCGCTCGAATCCTCAAGCTCAAGAGCGAGGATTGTGGCCAGCGCATGAGTGGGCAGCGCAGGACCCAGCAAAGCAGGCCGCCAATGAAAGCTCACAGACTAGGGTGATCTCAATACCTGGCCGCATCACTGTCCGCCCTCATCCAGTGCCCATCATCTGGATTGACTTGTCCGCCCTGCCATTTCTGGAAATGTGGAGTGCTAGAACAAGAAGAACTCAAAATGTGATCTATGAGGGTTCCCGAGCATCATTTCAACGCCGCAGCGGTCCGCTTCGTTCCACTCTGCGTACCTTCTTCGGTGCAGCCGATATGCCAATCCTTCGTGATTTTAGCCAGGTCCCTAGCCACGATTCGTTCGTCATGACTTAACAACATCATGCCAATCAATTTTCTAAGTTGGGCCTCCACAACACCTGTGGATTCGGTTGCTCCTAGTAACTCGCGTTGCCTGTCGACTTCCTTAAGCCATTCCTTCATGGCTTCAAGCTCGCGGCTTCCTTGTCTGCCTACCAGAGAAATGAACCATTCACCATGCCTCCCATGATAACGTGAAAATTGGTCTGGAATAACAAAGCATCGCATAACGTAAAGCATCACAACCCCCAAAGCAAAAACATCTGCTGGCAGTCCCCGCTGCTGTCCCATAAATTCAGGAGCGATGTACCACGGGGTGCCGCCACAACAAACCTCGCCGACTGGCCCGGCGAGACCGAAATCAATTAACACGGCTCCGTTCCCAGAAGCTGAGAAGGCCCCCGAGGCTTCCCAGGGCGCCGGGGTATAGAGGATATTACCCGGCTTGATGTCATTATGCACAATGCCTTGCCCGTCCAGGTATGCGAGAGCGCTGGACATATCCTTCAGTATACGCACAGCATCGGTCATCTCGCCACGGAAAAACCCCGGCGAGCTCTCTCCCTGTTGTGCGCACCAATGCGGGCTTTTGAGATCCATGGCTGGCTTGAGTTCCACATACAAGGACAGTATGCGCGAATCATAACCAAGAAGACCAGCAATGCAAGGCTGAAGAGTGATTAGCAACGCCAGTCTGCGCTTACAGGTGCAAGACACCCCGTCTACTCACGTGTTGCAGATTTCGATGTGCGCGGTATTCGCGCTGCCACGCCCTGGCGGCTGAGGTACTGGATGAAGACGACAGTATGATTTTGACTACCACAGCCTGGGGAGCAGAGCTGTGATTATGAAGAAGAGCTTTGAACGTGTGACTCGAACGAGTCTTGTGCGCCCACCCGTCAAGGCGCTCCAATGAGTATTCGGTGCTGCCCGTCACCTTGTCCACGACGTGAACATTCTGGTGTTCCCTGATATTTACACCGGGCCAAATGCCTTTTGCCTGCATATCCGGGGGGCGGACAGCACGATCTTTCGCAGAGGCAGCAGTCTCGCCTGATCTCGAGAGGGTCCAGGGCCATGTTTGGCCTCTGTATTTCTTTGCCTGCGACTGGACTTCCTCCGCCGATCTTTTAGCAGAGTGGGCAATGTCTTCTGTGCGAAGAGCGATTTCGCGCTGCCTCAGCTGTAAATCGACAGTAGATTTTCTGTCCGAAAGCCTCCAGGAAGCCGGGGTAACCTCAATCGTTAGCCCAGGTGCCACTTCGCACCCAGTGAGCGTATTTGGCCCCCCAGAGAGATACTCAAGTGATAAGGGAAGGTCCCCGGTGTTGTGCAGGACGATATTGTCAGATAATGGTATGTAGTAGAGATCGCAACTAATGCTGCGAATGTGCAGGGAAAAGCTGACCTCGCTCGGGCTCTGAGCAATGCCGATCACCTCAATTAGAGGCCTACCGCCTGCCTCTGCTGTGATGAACTTAGGGCTCATTGTCATGGCCTGCATCCCCGACGCCAGCTCCCCAAAAGCAGAATTGCCCTCGGCATGCTTGAGAATAAGCCGTGCCCCTGTGTCTCTCACGGTAGGCTGCAATTCCAGCTCATCAAGACTGAGTTTTGTGTGAGGGTCGTCAGGATCCTGAGCGAACTGCGAGTGGCTCGGCGTGTTGTCTGTGAGGATATCTACGGTGGATCGATATGCCTCCGCGGCCGGCCTCACGCCTGCTTGGAGGTAACGGTCGACTCCCGGGAGGGTCTGCTGGTATCTGGCGTAGCCAGCCGTGCCCTGCGCGAAAATGTCTGCGACAATTCTAGACGTCCGACCGGCTTGTCGGGCTCCTAAATGACATTGACTGCCGACTTCTCGGAAGGTTTGTTGGTATGTCAAGCGGCCCAATCTAACCTCCGCAGAATCAACTGAGGTGGTTCCAGCGTGATCGGCAGGTGGTTGTTTGTCTGGCTGGCTGTGTCGACGGTCTTGTCGGTGCTTGGAGCCGGAGTCCTTGTGCCAGGTTTCCCAGAAACTGTCATTATAGGGATTTGTCTTCTGAGTCCCTGTATCGACCATGTCGAAGCGAAGAGGGCAGTAACTTCGAGAACAAGGATGATTCTGACTTAGACTGGAAGCTGAGAGCATAGAAAACAGAGCGCCTGAAAACGGCCAGGAATCTTCGAAGTTGCTAAACGTGGCGATCAAGGGCGACGCTGGGGCTCCGGGCCCCGAACAAGTTTAGGTTTAACAATGTTTCCGGCCCCGCGAGAGAAAAAAGAGAGGGGGATAGAGATGTCTCGCGCCGCGCTTGGCGCGCGGGAACATCTTCGTCCAAGGGGCAACCTGGTCGATAGGGTGCCCACTTGCCGCCTCATTCTTCTCCACTTCGTCGCAAGTACCATATACAGCACTCAGGAATTAGCGGGGTCTGACTTCAACTCGCATTTCGCCTTGGATCCGCTTTGATCCAGGGATACGGGGCGGGAGGGACGGCGGCAGAAGTGTGCTACTCTGTTCCTTCCCATCAGGTTTGCCACATCAGATTCGTCACCCCGCCCGCCTGCTTCCATTTCATCGAGCCTGTGACATCGTTCACCTGAATCCTGTGCCGCCACCAGCCAAGCTGCGCTCATTGCGGTCCTTGATACGAGAACTGCGCCTGAGGCCCCGATTGATGCCATGGGCTGGTTCCTGAACTTTATTAGAGAACCGATTCTTGTTCCTGCGAGGCCTCGAGCTAATATTGCTACGCAAATCTTGCACCTCGGCCTCTGACGGTGTGTTGTTTGCAGGCGTGGCAGCTGAGTCGGAGGGTGCCGTGTGTTTGCAGTGTGTAGGTTTAGTTGTCGCTTCCGCCGCGGTTGGGAGTCCGACGCTGGACGTGATATCGGTATTTGGCTCGATCGGAGGCAGGAGCTCGGCAAAATAACGGACATACGAGTCGAAAGACTTGGAGTGGTATATGTGCATTGCGTGAGGCCAGCTCCCACATCTCTCGTCTATCAAGCGGGGGGAGCTTGCGAGGCGTCGGAATGTGTAAAACCAGATGTTCCACAGCTCTTGCTGCCTAGCATCCCTCCGCTCTGCGAGCAGTCGGGTAAAATCCTGTCTGTCCCGTGCCACCCGACTGAGCTCAAGTATGTCGCGGTGGAAGGCGTCAGCGTCTTGCATTGGAAGGGTTATGCAATTCCAATCTCGGGGCAGGGTAGTGAAGAGGTCTTCTGGTTTCATGTTGAACTTCCACGCCGGCCAACAGAGGTCGGGATGATCGAGGAAATAGTCCTGTGGAGGAGGTGGAAATAGATCTGAGGTATTCATTTGAGAACAATGGGCTGACTGCTTGATCTGGGGTGGGTGGCAAGGACGATATTGATGTAGCTTCATGGCTTCAGCAGGCGGCGCAAAAGTTGTTGAAGGAGTAGGGCAAGGACCCGGGCAGGCTAGATGCTGCAAAAGATCTGGTTGGTGTCGGGTCCATGACCACAGCCTGATTGGCTGCAGCTCGCCCCGCGCTTACCCTGCCCGCGCGTTGCGGCCCCCGAACCCTCCCTCCCATCTGAAATCTGCCCATCGTCTCCACGGTACAACAACTCGGCAGAACTTTGCCAATGTCACTAGAATCGCAGCAGAAGCGCATTCTAAAGCGCCTTGCGGGGCCTCTCTTCCCCGACCCGACACCCAAATGGACGGACATCGGCGACGATACGAGAAAAGAAATATTGAAGGAACTGCTAGCACGTCTGCGTGCATCGCAAAACACGGGAATCGCGGATATCATTGAAGGAAACCCAGACTTGGGTTGGGCTTGCTTGCAAGAGAAGGTGAGGTCTCTGCGATGGACTCAGAAAAAGAAGAGTAAGAGACCCCATCCAAGGCTTGGTAGCTCGGTTCTAACAAGCAACCCGATAGATACAGAACACCAAAACGAAAACGCGGAAAGCCAGGACCCCTCTGTGTAGATTTGTATCGAGGTCGCTTGTCTCCAGCCCCGCCATCCCCTCATACTCGACGATCACCGTTCCTTCCAGGCATTGCCTCCTACCACACTCGGACAATATGCGCGGGTGGGAAGCGCCTGATCCACCGGCGAGAGAACTGGCGCCCTGCGAGCTTCCATTCACTGCGAATCGCGCTGTCCTTCTCAACCGCCCGCAAGATGTCTCTCATCAGTGTCACGAAGTGCTTTGTTTTCGCGGCACGCCTGACCATCAAGTCCATGATGAACTTGGCAGGCCTCCCCCCCGAACATCTCGGAAGGAGCTGAGCACTGTCATGGCTGCTACTCATTGTCAACCGTCGGCCCACCATGCGACACGAGTAGCAAGACACGACCAGATATTCACCACCATCGTTAATCCCTGACAGCTTCAATGCACATGAGCATATAGCTATTCTCGTTGCGGATCGTTCCTGATACGGAACACAGGTACGGTGAGGCGCGCTGATGGGGGCCATGTCCCGCAAACACGGCACGAGCATGCTGCCATTGTCTCGCTTGCTCCCCCCCCCCCCCCGGCTTTGGTTTCCGGATAAAATCAAACCTAGAGGTCCATACCATCCCAGCAGCACCTCCATTCCAACCTTTCGGGTCTCAATGGCGCTCTTCATGGTGATCCCAAAGCCGCAGGAGGTCGCGAGACAGGTGCTGTCTCTCCGAAGCTCGGAGACCAGTTTCAGGGTGTTGCCGGCGGCCGACCGGTGGTGGACTGAGTCGATAAGAGGAAACTGTCAGGGTGCTGTGATAGGCAATAGTATGGCTGAGCTTGGCTTGATTGTGACGCTCTTGCCTGCATATCTTGACAAGGACCTCTAGATAACGTTCTCGCGGATACAGTTGACGATACGGATGCCCAGACAATGGATTAGGGATCAAAATCAAGTTTATGGATGTTCGCCTTAATCCTCGAGAGACAGACTTCTACTCATGGATGGTCATTTAAGGCAGGTAGTATGTTACCAGATAGAACCTTTATTCAACTTTTGCTTGAACTTCTTCATCAAATATCCACAGAGCCCAGCTTTAGTAGCACGCAGGGCTGTCGCAACAACTGCAAGAAGCAACGTAAACGCAGAACGCGAACAAAGAAACATTGCTGAGGAAGGAAATCGCCATACAGAACGCGCTGCAGATATGGAGAGGTATTGCCTACATTGCAGGATATGAGAAAGTATATATCTGAGGGCACAACTTCGGAATACTCTATGCATCAGGCTTGAAGCAGCCATTCCGTCTCTACGCTTGCTTTGTCTTCCTGTAGTTACCACATTAAGTTTCCTCATCCCCAGAGGATTCAGCTGTGGTATCTTTTGCTAGGCTCTTGCCACAAGTTGCTTGACTAGTCTGCAGTGCCTTGGTACGGATAGCACGTTAAGCTAGCGCATGCTCTTGCCGTTGCCACAGTCACAGTCATACTGTTTTTGTCTTCTTCAATATGATTTGTCCCAGACCACAACATAGCTGCCGTACTTCTTATGATAACCATTATCAGGAGCATGAATTGTATTGGATTGAAGCATGACCAGTATCAGGCACATCGACAACTGTAGTATGACCAGTAAAAGGGAGATAAGACGGACCAGAGCAACGGATGACTAGTCATACTGGCTTCTGAACAGGAGTATGACCAGTAACCAGGAAATTGGACCCTAGCGTGACCCGTGAGTAATAGGGAAATCGGGAAGATGGCTTAACATTGATAGTGGTTATACCAAGTCTGGTTCAACACTAGCTTCAACGTCGCCCACTACCGACTTCACAGCGCCCCTTGCCGACTCCACGTGGCTAGCCCTACCAATTATGTCCTCCAATCTAGACCCCCTGACTTCGCTGTTCCCCGTCGGGGACACGAACATACCCCCAGCCAAATGCCGCCCGCCAGGGCTATTCGTCGGTCGCAATAGGGCAGCCTTGACTTTTAAGAAGTCGACTTCTTTGGTCGCGATTAGACAAGGAAGCGAGAAACATAGATCAGAGAGTCAACGGCGCTTAATACAGCCCCGCATGGTGGAGATACACTCTCATTAGCTAGAAAATTCCAATGCTGCGTACTGTGTGGAAAAGTCTCTGAACGGACTCTTGCCTCGGCTCCTCAACTCCGAAGGCTGATTGGTCGATCGCCACGGCTTGCCAAGACACCTCAGCAGTCACCGGGGGCGGGCGGCCGGCGCCCCCGCAGCTCCCGGGGCGCTGGAGAAGAGGTCTTGGTTTCATGGAAGATTAGCGTGCATCTTCCATGGATCTGGCTGGTACGGGAAGGTGCGGGGTCTGCAGGGGCGCAATTGCAAAATGAAGATGAGCGGTCTTGTACTACAGTAATGGGAAAGGTGCTGAGCGCTAAATTCCCACCAATGGGCATAAGTGACCATTATCAGCGTCCTCTTGGGCGGCGCGGGGCGGCTCACGATCGGCTTAGCAAGCCCCAAGACCAAGCTTCCCCGCATCAGGCAGGAAGGGTGCACACGCCTCTTGGTACTGGTCGACATTGGGGCCCGAGCTTCCCGTCGCTCGGGGTCCATGATGCGATGCATTCGCCTCCTGGACAACGTATTCCTCTGCCGGATTGCGCACTGCGAGAGCTAGAGCCAGAGCCCGACTGTCCCCGATATCCGTCAAGTTCCTAGGGTCTCGGTGTGCCGAACATTGGCTGATTGATTTTGAATTTTGCGCATGTGAAATACCGACCAGCCGTTCTCTCAACAATTTCCCTACATCCTGATGCTTGAACTATACATAACAATCCTTCAATTCCAGACCTCTTCACAAAGTGAAAACCAGGAATCCCCGACAAAGGAGACGGGGTGTTGCCGTTTGGAAGCAGTAGGCCGATGCGAGTCCGAGTCTACCTTCATCGTATGGATCGGTGTCGACTGGCCACGATAATCATCCGACATATTCGAATCAGCCCTCCCTAAAATATATCAGAAGGCTATCGCGTCATACAACTGAGTGCTCTCACCCTGAGCCACCACAAGTTGGGCAATTGATTCCACCCGCAACTTTGCCCGAACCCTTACAACCTTCGCATGGTTCACGGTCATGGTCAACGCGCTCGTGTCGACTGGAAGCAAGCATTATCTGAGGAAGTGGAATTATCTTGATGGGATGACTGGTTCGATTTCTCTGGTAATGGCAAAAGAAGAATTCATGGTCGCAGGCTGGGCTGCAGCCAGCAGGGTTTTAAGCCTGTTTGGGTGCGCGATTATCGACCAAGCTAGCGCGCGCGTCACCGACGGATTAATATAATTCCGGCAATGACAACATTACCATCCCTTGCTTTGTGATGCTTTCCACTTGCTCTTGACACATCGTCAATCCAGAATGTCTTGGGAATGCTCGTGCTCTGCTCTTTTCAGGACGAGCGACGGCTTGAATCGCCATGTAGATGAATACAAGGTTAGCATCCTTCTGTAATGTTTAAACTCAGCTGACTCTTTCAAGACGCGAGAGAAGGATCTGGATGCTGAGAAGAAGAAATGCCGAACTCACTGGGTTCTCCCAGAGACTGATGCAAGTGAGGATGATGGTGGTCATAATAATATCATCCCAGCCGGAGCATGTCCGCGAGCCTGCCAAAATGGGAAGGTTTATGAACTGCGCAAACATCTAAAGCAACATTTTCAACGACGTGGGTATATGTTTCCCGAACAGCCTCTCGTACTGATTGGTTTGGTGCAGATGTCCAATGCCATGAAGTTTGCGTGTACTGCCACCAAGCTTTTGAGCAAGCCAGCAAATTCTTGAGACACATTACACCGATTAATTGCACCGATGAGCCTCTGGAGGTTGATCAGTCCAAGAATATCTATACTATCTCGAGACGCGATATAATAAGGCAAAAGGTCGACAGTGCCCTGTGCGAAGAAGAAATGAGGTCTAAGAAAAGGCTATCAAATATTGCAAATCTTGAGGCTAACCGCGGACGATCAAAGATGGCAAGATTAGGTGATAGCGACGCGATGGCACCTCAGCAAGATGCGCTGCCCGCTCCGAGAGAACTGGACATGCCCGGCGCGGCGGCCCCTCAGCAAGATGCGTTGCCCGCTCCGAGAGAACGGGACATGCCCGGCGCGGCGGCCCCTCAGCAAGATGCGCTGCCCGCTCCGAGAGAACGGGACGTGTCCGGCGCGGCGGCCCCTCAGCAAGATGCGCTGCCCGCTCCGAGAGAACTAGACATGCCCGGCGCGGCGGCCCCTCAGCAAGATGCGCTGCCCGCTCCGAGAGAACTGGACATGTCCGGCGCGGTGGCCCCTCGGCGAGATGCGCTGCCCCTTCCGAGAGGACCCGACACGCCCGACATGACTTTGGATTCGTACATGGACCGTTACGCTCCTGTTCACAGCGTGCTCAATATCCCGCTGCCACCTATCGACTTTACCAAAACTTTCGACCCTTTCAACGCTGTCATGTCTGACGACCGTCATGTTAACGAGTCACGGAACCTCCAATCATATTAATGCTCAGCGGATGTCGCTGTTGTCTGCTGGAAAGTCGCATTGATTCGGATTTTGGAGCTTTGGATAGCAGCGAGCTTGTCCTCTATAGTTTTCGTTCTCGGCAATTCCATTTTTACCCAGGGATTCGCAATGTCCTGTGTCGTAATCTCGCACTTGATCACATATGCTTGCTCCATCATACAAAGGGTTCGTGCATCAAGAATAATCCTGTTATAAGTTAGAACGTCACTAGGAATAAAGCGTGTTCTACTTACAACCCTCCGTCTTTGAAGTGTTTTTCTACTTTCTCACACCCTGTTTCTGCCAATAATTCTGGCGCAGGTGCCTCCCACAGCGATCGGCTCCCGCTCTTCAAAAAAGACAATTCGAGGAGATGCGATCCTCGTATGTAGTTGACCTGAGATCCCATGGGCAAGAAATGCACCACGAGAGCGTGCCGCTTATCTTCAGAACCACGCCTCCGCCACAAACTCACAGCCTTGCCAGGATACGCTTGATATCTCAAGAAATGCCCGATCACACATCCATCAGGAAAGACAGAATCGATGATGGATGTGATGCACTGGGACTTGTTAGGTGTGCTTCCATAGTCATGCAAACGTACTTACCTCATCGTCAAGGATATGTTGCCGGATGAAGTCCAGGCCATGCTCAGATGCCAAAGGGAAGCGCCGCCGCTCCAACTCTAGTATAGAGCGTCCTATTCCCGGGGCGTCTAGTTCCAGGAAGCCATCATCAGCAAGAGCACGCTCTGCCATTTGTGTAAATTCTGGCATTGCGGATGCTTGGTTGTGGCGGACGGTTATGGTGACAAAGGTGCAAGCCGTCCCCGCTTGAAGATTTTTGTTAGCTCAGCACAGTAACCGATAAGACTCCGCCCCACGGGTTCTGGATAAAAGATATTCCTTGCACTGCAATTTAGGCTGTATGGCGGCGGGTACTGCGCCCCTCTCACTAAGACAGGGAGCATGTGAGCCCCGCGCATTTTGAGTTTGATCCACGTCTACGATGCCGAGAATCTCGATTGTGAGATGAGCCAAATAACTCGACGCTCCATCTCTCAGGGAACCACGTGCCCGTCCATTTGTGTCCTAGCCGTGCCGCTGCCGACTTGGCTCCGCACCTCGGGAGCGGCCCAAATAGAGACCTCACATCCCAGAATAGCCCTCCATCGCTGGCAGGAACGCTGGCGCCAAAAATTTCCGTCTCGAATCGCCGATCTGTCCACGCTAGTTGGCACAAGTGGGTAATTGGCCCAGCCCAGGTTGGTCCACTGAGGGACGTTTCTCATGACGTCTCAGCAGTCTCCGCGGACGATGTCTGGCTTTGTGAGAGCCAGCTTTCGCATGACTTCACGAATCGTAGCGTGGAGGTGTTTCCGAAACAAACAGTGTCAATCACATTCTTGTCCAATTTTCGTGGCCCAGCCACACACGGGTGTCGTCCCCGTACCCGTGCCGCTGCGGGCACGGTCACAAGCAATTACGCGAAATGATAAGAGGCGCTTCAATCCTCACGGCCCTCCTTGGTCTAGCCATGCTGCTGTGATGCGACTTCTACTTCAAGGTGGTGGGTCTCGATACAGAGCAAGTTACTCTACTTCAACAATCCATCTAAAACGCTTCTGTGACCATACCAGCTTTATGGCAAAAACGCGAGGCCGAACGAGCACGAGGGAACGAATTTTCTTCATGGCAGGCTGCCGGCTTTGGGCCTATGTCGCAAGTCAGCAGTGAGGGGTAGAAGGTATACTTCGCAAAACAGCTAGAAGAGGCGATGGAAACACGACAATGCACAAATTGACCGGTGGATCAAAGAAGCTCGCAAACGGAAGGACCAGTTGACGTTGCACAACACAGTACCCACAAAGCGAAGACTGCAAATTATTCTCAATCCACGACTTAGTCGACCATCTATCTCGCTTCTCAACTATCCATGGTTATCATCGTCGAGATCGTCGACACAGCCGACAGCAGCTCTCGTTACGTTGCAGCCGTCTATGGTGTATATGAAGCTCGGAAAATGATCCTCCCACTTCTTGAGGGTGGCTATCTCTTCCTTATTACGATCCAACGTCCGTAGTGTGAATAACTTTTTATCGGGGACATTAATGGCGCTCTTGAAATCTTTCATCGTGGCAACCTCCTTCCCGTCGACGCGATCGACGAATGTGTGAAGCGAGAGCCCATGCATATCGGCAGGACTACTAGGCGTGGTAGCGGCGACGTAGACTTCTGAATCACACGTTCTTCTGAATCGGGCTCGAAGAGAGGGTCTGTGAATAACAGCCCCGCAGATGTAGACGAATTTTTTAATCTGCGTATGGTCGATGTGGACCGCAGGGACCAAAAAGTCAACCACTTTCCCGTCACGGAGAACCCGAACGGGGATACGGGCGTCCGTAAAGATGTACCGCAGGTCGAAGCTCTGTGTTACCCGCTCCTTGTTCAACTCTAGAATGATATCACCCTTGCGCAGCGGATGCAATTCGGGTTTGCCATCCAGCGCGGTGCATTGCAAAGATACAGTCTGATCCGGCAAGCTTCCCCAGAATGCATCGACAAGCGAAATGCTTTCGACGTCAAAGTCCTGGAATCGTATGTTACTGGGCTGGCCTGACTTGCATAGCTCGGAAACAACGTCCACTCGGCTGGCGGGGAGGAAGTAGTTTTGGCCAGCGGCGTGACTGGGCCAGACTTGCTGTAATCCAGCCACTGTTCCATCGTCATAGAGAATGACGCCGCTCTCTCTCCGAGAGTGGTGAAGTGAGGAGCACAGTCTCATGGTGGAAGGGAAGGTAAGGACCTGCACCTTGTTGGTAGAAAATGCGATCGCTAATTAGCTCAACATAGGTCAACCTTCTTCTCGGCATTATCGAAGCTTGCCAAGTAATCCCCATCGCCTTCTTTAAGGCGTCTTTCCGACAGGGAAGCCGGTTTGAGGTCTAGGCCCTGTGGAACATCAGCAGTGTTGTACTTGATGAAGGTGAAGTCGACCGCCTCGTGCATGAATATGATGTGCGCCCGTACTTCTGTTCCTGCTGAGAGCGTGATTTTGACTTGGTCGACCCATGACGAATTTCCGCGACGTGTGACAACAAGGCCATGCTCGAGGAGCAAGCCGGTCCTGATGAACTGCCCGGTGCCGCACCCGTCAACGTCCGCAGAGTGGAATAAATGCAAAGACACAATACCGTGGAAGATCTCGTTGACTTTTTTGCCAAAACAATTTTGGGGAAGAGTCGTTCTGATGCCCTATGCCACGATCCCGCCCGTGCCTGACCCGACCAGACCAGAGGGCTGGCCGGAGGCGTCGCCGGAGGGCACAGACATTTTCTTCTCGACCCAGTTACCTCCTTCCACAGGCTGCCTCCTCATCTCCACTGGCCATTCGGAATCCTGGGGTGGAAGGTAGGCCGTAGTGCGCACAGTCTTGCGGTCTCTGATTTGTCTGTGTATGGTACTAATATGTTGCCCTCCCCGTCCGAGGAATAGGAGCACTTTCAACAAGCTTCCCATGTCCGGTGTTGGGTGGCCGTTGATGGACTCAAGCAAATGATGAGGTTTGAATGCATCAAGACACCACCTATAGGGTAGTTTGCCCAGGAGGCCGTCACCCAGTTAATTGGGTGGAAGGTAGCGCCGAAGTGGCTTATGAGGTGATGTGCAGAGATGGCGTGGAGATCTTCGATACAGCAATTGACTGGGACTTCTCGATCCCGGCGCCAAATGCGGAAGCTGACCTTTCCGATCGATATGATTGTCCTCGTACATGCTCAGCCTCCACAGATTGACTTGCAGCTTTTGATCCACCTCCAGAAGTATATCGCCCGCTTCGATCTTGCCGTGCGCAGGGCTTCCCTCAAGTACTGCCTCTGCGACAATGGCGTTGGCCTTCTCTTGGCCCCGCATTTTATTGTCCCACTCAGCCGGCAGGCCGTATCGCTTGCTCTCGTGGAGTGCTTGTAGAGTCCATTTCACCTGGATGGTGCCTCGAGGAATGGTTCTCCCGGCAGCTAGGGTCTCTATGACCATCTGAGGATAGTACGGGGGAAGGAGGAAGTTGAGACTGCTTTTTGGCTGCCCTGACATCATCAAGCCAACAGCCTCGCCTTCTATGTTTAGGCAAAGAAGCCACGGTATGGCGTCTGCACAAACATCAAATCAGCAAACCACATGCATTTGCGCCTCACTTCTGCCTCGTTTATGCAAGTCTCTAATGTCATTAATTTTTTTCCATAGTGTGCATGCTATACCACTATTAGCATTCTCAAAATCCACACATGAAATGCTCCTGGAAACTTCACTAAGATAGTTAAACTACAGCGTAGTGACACCGCAGTGACATCTAATTAGTGCTTATATTATAGTAGGGGCTACAGCTTGTAGGCCTTGTTCACACCATAACTACAGGTTGTAGGCCTTGTTCCCACCATAATCACAGGTTGTAGGATTTTCTACTACACACTTGATGCGGTCTGCCCTGTCCTGGTCATAAAAATTCAGGGGATGCAGCTACTGTTTGACATAGTTGTGGTACGGGCTCAGGAAATACAGCTGTGAAAATGTGAGAGAACTTGTTCAGTAGCAGGATGTATATAATAATTATATACAACCACTACATATCCTTCAGCCATTGAATTGAAAACACACACGCACACACGCACACACACACACGCACACACACCATCAATCAGCTCTACACTATGTCTTCCTCCCAACAGCCACTCTGCTACCGTTGGCAGGAGAAACTCAGAGGTTTTTACCAAGTTGTTTACCACTTCTCTTCTGAGATGAGAGGTATATCTAAACCTTGAATCATGTAATTTGAAAGCACCTAGGAACTGATAATTATCAGGTGGGCGTACAGCTTGGAAAGGCCACGTCGAAGCCGGAGGTTTAAGGTTCGATTCCCGATACTTTTACAACAACATGCATAATGCCAAGGAAGATGCGGCAGAGGTGGCTTGCAAATTTTTAGGAATCCAGTAAAGCATGAAGACAGGAAGTCAGTACAACGAGGTTGGAGAAATCAAAGTCGACCTCTAACAAGGAAGAGCCACACCCATGAGGTTTTGGACATGCAAGTTCATGAGCCACTCGTCAAAATTGGCAGGTTGGTAGAAGCATTCATGTAGCCGACCAATCTTATTTACCCTTGCCCGACCTAGCGCCCGTCCTTGGCAGGTGCCCACTAGATGCCACTTCGAACTACTCCGTGGGGTGCTTTCCTGTATGCTTGGAACTATCACCAATCAATTATGTATCGTTCACTCACCAGATGGTAGCAAATATGTCATTGCAACAACGGTCACCAGGGTCACAGGTATGCGTTGGACTCGCTGCAACTTATCTTCTGCACAAGGGACGGCGACACCATGTGGAAGGCCGTGACCAACCTCTGGGGCGGGAACCGACACCCGCCATCGCACACGTGGCCGCGCTCCACTCCACGCCATCGCTGGTGGCAAGCCTTACTGATTATCTCTCTTGAGAACTCTCCATGCCTTTATTAGCATACTCAAGTACCCAACATGTAGGCAGAACAGAGTCTGTGGTGCCGCCCTCTTTTGCAAGGCTGTCTGTCGTAGTGAAGTTGAGTGTTTGCTTGTCTGGAACACTCAAGCTTCGACCCTGGCTACATTCTGGCGTGATAGCTTGGACAGAGGGACAAGACTCTTCAGTGATGCTGGTCGCCGCGAGATTGACTTCAGGTTGCGAGAATAACAATGAATACAAAGCTACATATCCAGGCTGTAGGAAAAGGTCGAACAACACTTATCAGATTCCAGCACAGAAGATGAGCCTGCCCGAAGTTTACATGACGCCCCTTCCAAATTACTCTGTGAAATATTGATCGAACATTTGATCCAAATGGGGCGTCCTGGGCCTCTCTAGAGCATGGAGTTTGTATGTTAACCATTTGACCCCAAGCCAAACCGTGCAAAGAAAGCATTGAGGAAATGCTGAAACAGGCAGTTTCCCTTCTCCTGCAAAAGCCAACACCGCTATCGAAGTTGTGACAATGATGAAGCAAAATAATACCACCATGATCACTCCTCTGTGCTTCCAGAGATGCTGAATAAGGTGGAGACATGTGGCAGCAACAAGCACTCGCAGCAAAACAAGCGGCGCTGCTGTGAGGTCGTTCGAATCAGACTTCCATATACCCGCACCGAGTAGTCCACATTCAACAACGCCAATGATAAAACACAAAAGCTTTATTATTGGCACATCAATACCTATAGGCAGGTTCCAGTAGTACTGTCGTAGAATACTTTCAAGAAGAGGACAAAACACCTCGAAGAACTTACAAGTATATCAGCATAGAAACAACTAAGTATTTAGGGAACACCAAGACTTACCTCGATAAAGGTAGTTATGAAAATGCAGATAGCTCGCAGGGCTAGAAGAATATGAGAGGGATCAGGAAGGTGAAAGGACTCGGCGTTTTTGATGCTCAAGTGAAGCGCGATAGCAAGCGAGACGGTCGGCAACACAAAGATGAAAGGTAGTAAATAGGCGTGCTTCCATGCAAACCATGGCATTAAGGAGGGCTGGTTGGCCTGTGGACTCAGGCGAATGACGAACCAGACCAAGCCAGCTGCATTCGTAGAAGAAAAGGCACCCCACCCGTCAATAAGCTGGAAGAGACCATCCTGCGCCATACTGAGTGCTGGTAAGGTGTAGTTCGCAAGTAATGTGAATAAGGCAACCAGAATGAAAGGTTTCATGTTTGGACAGGTGTCGATACAATATATACTAAAATTTATTTCAGGTGCCATGCTTGGCAATACATGTACCTATACTTGCACGGTACAAAGACTTGACTCTTGACCACTAGTGTCCAGATCGATAGTCTGCTCTGCGCTGCATGGTAATCTGCAGAGTCGAAGCATGCCTGTTGTTCTCATGCAATTCTCAAGACACCTGGTACAGATGTCCCCTCCTTCTTCCCTTTTCTTTTTCTTTTCTTTTTCTTTACTCCGGCCATCCTCGCCCCACCACAGGCAAAAGACAATTGGCCAGAACTTCGTGTCATCCACCAGAGCCTGCAGCCTATAGTAGCCTTATTAAGAAACAGGGCCTACAAGCCGTAGTCTTGGTGGGAACAGGGCCTACAGGCCGTAGTCTTGGTGGGAACAGGGCCTACAGGCTGTAGTCTTGGTGGGAACAGGGCCTACAGGCCGTAGTCTTGGTGGGAGCAGGGCCTACAGGCCGTAGTCTTGGTGGGACAGGCTGTACCCCCTACCTTTCGTATTTCATATTGGCATCCAAAGTGTTTCGGTCCGTGGCTGGGATTAATGTCGCGACGAGGACGTCATCGCAAGTTGAGTGTTGCCCCGGCTTCCTCACATTTCTTTGTCACTTTTTATCCTTGGTGGAGAAGTCCTGAGTCATTCCAGTGCGATTATGCCACAAGCAGAGACACAGAGGCTCAAGAAACACTACACCTATTTATCAGACGGAACGCCGCATGCCAGTGATCCAATAAAACTTTCACCATCTGTTTATTCTCGATAACGTGTATTTAATTTCACAGACTTCACAATGATGGCCTGCTGTCGATACTCTTCACCTTCCCCATCCCGGACTGCTTCAACAATCTTCGATGATTTCGATGATGTGAGCAAGGCCACAAACATTACCGGAAGAGACGCTGATGCGACCCTTGAGGCTGCAGCAAGCAAGGAAGGTAAAATGTCTCACACGCTTTTTCCTGGCTGCTCCAGCTAACCACACTTAGTGAGCCCTGTATGCAAGCCTGTTTATCCCAGTGTTGAGACATCTGACGAGAACTGGGAGGACAGAGCAGGCTCTCCCGGGAGCTCGGGGAAGAAGCTATGTGACTCCGGGCTGGCGAGCCTGTGCCCTTCTTCGGAACAGGAGTCGCTTATGTTCAGCATGGGGGAGAGATCATCTGATTCTGAGGCGGAAGAACACAACCCCAGGTATCACCCGAGCCCGACAAAACACCAGGGTGCTTCTGACGCGACAATCACTCCTGAGGCGATGATGCCTCCTGAGTCAACGGCCCATTCATGCCGAACAGCCCCACCTAAAGCGGCGGCGGCCCCTCTTAGAATGACGCCCCCTCCCAAGGCGACGATCCGCGCTGAGGCTGAGGCGACGATCCCGTTGAACATTCCCTCTACGCAGTATATACCATATACTGCGCTAGTCGAGGAAATTCACCCTCCACGCATCGTGACCGTCGGTTCCGTCATCCGGCTGATCACGATTCGCGTAGATGTGGAATGGAAGTACTTCAGTCGTTTCTATAACCAATGTCTAACCTTGCTCGTCGAGCTGAAGGACGCGGACGACCAGTCAGACCGAAGCTCGGCGCTGAGATATCCTTCCGGCAATGATTTCGGTCAGGGCAAGGCGCTTCTTAAAAGCAAGCAGCCAAGCACATTTTCGGACGACTGGGGCAGGAGTATCTTGCGATTCTACTTCTACATTGATTCATTGCGAGTGGGCGAGCAAGGCAGCTACCGCTTTCACTACACTGCTATGATTCCTAGTGTTTTGGGTGAAGCACCGACCATGCAAGGGACGTGCTTTGTAACGGATGATTGTCCGGAGTTCAGTAAGTATCAACAAAACTGTTGCATGTTAGAACCGCAGCTAATTCCAGAGTCCAGCGTTCGATGAGATGGTATCCATTGAAGCGCATGCAGGCACCCTGCGTCGTTTCTGGAACGGGAGTTGCCAACAGATCGAAGTTATTACCAAGTGAGATCTGAGAGGATAAGGTTAGAGAGATCGAGGTATGGAAGGTAGGACGATAGATTATGAATTGACAAGGTTGCAACGCTCGTCACCGTGATGGATAATGTGTGAAGCCATTTCTGAAAAAATGCCTGCGCCCTGCATGCAGAACGCGTCCAGAGCTGTAAAGTTTCCATTGATGCCTACCGCGGTGTATTCTCCCTGCTCAGACTTATGTGTGCGATGATACTGGAGCTAGAATATTGATTGCGGACGATCACTGAGACACTTCCGCGTCACGTATGACAAGATCTTAGACAATAATAGACCATGAATGTCACCGCCGCCGTGATCTCCCTACTGCAGCACAGGAATCGTGGCCACCGAGCAACTCCCCTAATGCTAATCTCTCACATATACAAAGAAGCACAAAACCCGGCATGTCGTACCGCTCGGATCGAAGGCTCCCCCCTCCAAACATCAACATCGCGCTCTCGCCGGGGGCTGAGTTGTTGGCTACGGGCGTGTGTAGACCCGCGACCCTGAGGTTGAAGACAATGAATCTATCACAGCCAGCCGTCACAGATGACGATTCATGTGCAGGGCTCGCGGAATGCGTTTTGCAGCATGTGAAAATGCTTCAACGTCAAAACTCTCTGCGTTGGGTGATTCTAACATAATCCGCCCGTGCCTGCTTACATGCCTGCTGGGCCGCCTCCTTTTCTGGCTTACCACAATACCTAAACTTTCGGAATGTGACTGCCAAATTGAATCCTCCACCTTCCCCTCTGCTTCATGGTCTACCGTAGGAGAAGGAGGCGGATACGTAAAATAAGGAGGTTCACAGGGTTGGTTGGGCGGCGGCACACCAGACAAGCTTTTACCTCTTTGGTACATTTCCTGATCCTGAAAACGGTCAACCCGACCAGATTGGTCAAGCTCAGCTTCAAGATTCTGTGTCCAGGATCTGTTGTTGTCCTCAAGGACACTGTCGACACCCGGCTGAAGACGGGTTGCGAGTGAGCTGCTTCGGTCTCCATAACACATTAGTTGGCGCAGTTCGATTACTTTGGAAAAGACGCTTACATATGACCAATCTGGAACATGCAGGCGGCAAAGGTAGACTCTGCTAGGCGGCCTGCACGCAATCCACCACACTGTGTCTGGCAGGCCGCGGGAGGTAGGGTGATGCGTCTGACAGGACGGAAATGAAATTGGTTCTACCGCCTAAGCAAGGCCTTGGTAACCTTGTGGTTGGAAACTCAGATCCGAAGCAGCGTAGAGGACCTTGGTTCCGTATTGTCCTGTTAATGCTGTCGATGCTCTTACAGCGCTAAAACCCGTAAAGGAAAATGCGTGGCTCCTTCTTGACTCTTATGGAGCGTCCGGGGAACCCTCCCTCCTCGCGTGCCCTCGTCCTAGAGGCCCCTGCCGCCGACACCACAACATCGTCTGGATGATGCGTGACCGAGTGGACAGGAGAGCCTCGTTGATGCTGGAAGACGTTACAGTTAAGATTTCTGGACAGTGTGCCCAGACCAGAGAGTTGGAAGAAGCAACTGGCAGGTTGTTCAGACTTCACGTCAATGTCATATGGGCAGCGATCCAGATGAGAACATCAATGCTCCTAACGGTCCATCCCACTTGTCCATTACCTTATTTTTCTGAATACTGCCGGAATATGTATCTATTTTTCAATTTTTGGATAGACATTGTTTGCCCTGTCTCATCCTGTGCCATGAGGCGAAAAACTCACGAAATGGAGGCAAGAGGGCTGTCAAATCAGAAAATGCAGATAAAATTAGGGCATGTGATGTTCTTTCTCTCCTGTGTGTTTCCTCTGACGATCTACAGATGTATTGACATGCAACCTCTCAAGTTCTTGGTTCCGTTGGTCAATCGCTTTTCTGCACAACTTCATCCAGATCAGTCACCGCTGATCCACCATTGGAAGACTTTATTTCTCATCAGTGGCGCTTAGGAATATCGGTCTATTTCTACTTACGCCCGGGTTTTCAGGAGGAGGAGTAGAGGGAGGAGCCGAACCCTCTGATTTTCCCGACTCTGATGGCATGATTGACTGGGTGTGATTTGATAGGTTGCTAGCAGAAGGTATGGGGGGGTTTTTTTTGGCAGATGTTGGCGTGAATGAAAGGTTGTGACAGATGAAATCGTAATCTTGATGAGAGGCGAGTAAGGTTGTATATTAATAGAGAAAAGATTGATCAACGCCAACACATCCAAGTTCTCCCAGCTTTGACCATCATCAGATATATACCAGGAGATGCAAGCCGCAGTTTGGACGATGGCGCTTAGGCATGCCAGCAGGCCAAGCAACATAGGGGGGTGCTCGTTCTGGTCCGGAAGGACGTGTACATGCTTCATACTGCTGATATCACGACAGCCGGTGAGGCTTGCTCAAGATGCGTTGGATGTGATCGTATGCCGAGATGGGCAACATGACTTTGCTTCACCATGAAGGGGTGAGAGGCAGAGAATGTGCTCTCGGCCTAATTTGGAAGCATGTCATAAAACGTGCTCCTGGCCTGATCAGGAAAAGGACCGTAGAATAGACTCCGGTCTAATCAAGAAGGGCATCGTGAAACGTGCTCCTGGGCTTATTAGGACGAGTGAAGTACAGGGAGTCACCCTCTCCTGTGCGCAACGTGCCTGTCTGACTTTTTCTGTCGCTGGCAATGACCCCACGCGAGACAATGCTGGTCGCTGGTGATTGGGCGTTTGTTGAGTGCTCTTGTGATGGATGCCTGTCACATTCGTGGCCCCAAAGCGGCCACGGGGGCCGTTGTGCTTAACGCACTTGATGGAGGCGGGACCATGCGCCCCATCGAGATTGATGCATAGGTACAGCATGGTATGCTGTTACCTTTTCAAGGTGGTGCCATTTTGAATTGCCACCTGCACATCCGGAAGATGTTCGCAGTAGTGCCAATCTTGGCGAGGCCTCACCAGGCGCCACTTTCGACTTCCGTTAGCCGCCCGTCACCTACTACCTGTAAATGCTTCCGACTCCCCTCTGCAGTCGTCTGAGGGGGTATGTACCAAGCTGCTCGCGGTTCCCGGACACGATTCCCCGAATTGGCGGGGTGAATCTCTACCAATCTACTGCTCCTTCCCGTCCCACTTGCAACCCGCATGTGTACTTCGTCCGCACTATGAATCAAGCTAGGACGACTAGGGGTTTCGGCGAACTTTTTCTCGGAAACCAGGATAGAGTCCGGCCAAACGCGAGTCTAGCGCTTCTGCGCATTTCGCACCCCCGTGACCACTCCCGCGCAACCAACGCCAACGGCGCAACAAACGCACTTAATATCAAACTCGTACTCATACTCGCAGCCCCTCTATACTCTGGATCGATGTGGAGCCCAAGGGAGGCTTGAACGGCGTCAATGATCACTGTCGCTTTTCGGTGGGCCTCTGCAGTGTCGCACCGTGCAATTTCAACCGAATACGAGAAGAAAAGCACTACGGCATTTGGAATTCCGATGACGGCCTCCTGGTCTGCAGATCCATTCCTGCAGGTTCAGCAAGGACAGGGAACGGGAAGTGTGGATAGTAGGCACGTGGGTAGTGCGCGCTAGCAATCTTGGCTGGGGTAGGATTCTACGCCACGGTCAGGGCTACAGCTTGTAGGCCTTGTCCCCACCGTGACTACAGCTTGTAGGCCTTGTCCCCACCACTGCAGGGCTACAGCTTGTAGGCCTTGTCCCCACCATGACTACAGCTTGTAGACCTCGTCCCCACTACTGCAGGGCTACGGCTTGTAGGCCTTGTCCCCACCATGACTATAGCTTGTAGGCCTTGTCCCCTCCATGACTACAGCTTGTAGGCCTCGTCCCCACTACTGCAGGGCTACGGCTTATAGGCCTTGTCCCCACCATGACTATAGCTTGTAGGCCTTGTCCCCTCCATGACTACAGCTTATAGGCCTCGTCCCCACCATTGCAGGGCTACGGCTTGTAGGCCTTGTCCCCACCATGACTATAGCTTGTAGGCCTTGTCCCCTCCATGACTACAGCTTGTAGGCCTCGTCTTCACACCGCATATAGCCTGAAACGGCTACTGATTAATAATCTGTGGGCAGGTGTATCGGGAGAAATCGCCTTGATCTCGGTCACCTGGTTGACATTTCCTTTGCAAAAACCGACTGCAGACTCCATGATTCCTGACAAGCACTTGGTCATACATTTGCTTTTTCCCAATGGCTCACCCCTGTCGCCGCTATTGTTTCCAACATCTCTGTCATTTCCTCTCTTGCCCGGCTGATTCACGGCGCCTGGATTTATACAATGTATGAGATGTATCTCCGAATTGCTTGGGAAATTCTGATTGAAAATGAGGATCTGCTCTACCAGAGCCCGTACTAGATGTACCTAAGCGTAGAGGTCACAGCATATCAATTAAGGAGCAAGCCAGCTCACATGTCAGTAAGCACGGTCGACCGCCATGTACCTACACATACCTCAAATGAGGCCCCAAAAGCAGCTTCCACTCGTTAGACTATATAATCAGGCTTTTCTGGCTATCTGTCCTATATGCTCACCAAACGCTCAATGCCTTATGTTTCATGCCTGTGATCCAAAACTGAACGACTCAAGAGAATCAATGAAACTTATTCTTCTTGATCAGGATGCTGTTGACGCTAGGATCAACATCATTTCTCAGGCAATAGGGCCTATCCAAGGTCCCCTATCCTGCTGCGAAGCTGAATTTCAAAGCGCCACTACGATCCTCAAACACTACTTCGCCGCGCACCGCAAATCATACTTATGTCCTCGGCCTGGATGTTTGTTTACCCAATGTCACGAACGCGTGGTCGACCACTTGAGGAAACACCAACGAGATCCATCTGACGAACATGAATGTAGAGTCTGTGTGATGTTCTACTCGTCTAAGTCAGGTTTTCATCAGCATGAAAAATCTCTCCTCCACAGCATCATTAAGGACATAACCTTGAAAAGTGGGGTCAATTTCATGTCCGTCCTAGCGGACAAGTCAACCCAGCCTGCTCTAAATCAATCTACCAAGAAGAATCCGGACATTACTTTGCCCAATCAAACACAGCAAATTCCTTGTCACAGCGTGGTGGATTACGCGCAGAACACCCAGCACAGTCTACCTTGGGCGACCCACAACTCCCCAGCCTACTTCAATTGGTCATATGTAAGCGTCTTTTCCAAATTAGCCAAAATGCGCAAATTAACATGCCATGCAGGCCGGAGCAGCTAGCTCTCAACAAGGCCTCAGTCAAAACGTCAACAGTGCATCACTTGAGAACAACAGGTACTGGACACAAATCCCTGAGGCTGGGCTTAGTGTAGCTGACGGTTGGACTGCGGCACACAAGGCAAGCTCTGACCTCTTCACTGCATACCCCGATCCTGAAGAGCCAGGGCTTCTCAAAGTATCGTCTTTCGAGTACCCGACGCAAAGCAAGGGTCAATAGGTGGATGCACCAACACCAGCACATTCTACACTGTCAAAGGGGGAATGGTAGACCAAGAACTGGCCGAGGCCGAGAAAATGGCCAAGCAGAAAGATGAGGAACTGAACAAGGCACAGTATAATGTGATCATCTTGTACCAAAAGCATCAACACTGTGGCAATTTGGACCCTCTGGGGGCAGCTGGGCAGGCATATTGTCAGGCATATGAGACTTTCGTTCTGGCAAAAGAGGCGCACACGCAGGCATTGGCGGATCTTGCATCGAAGCAGCTTCGCAGACCGGGAGACGGGAGGTAATTAGATGTGTCCATCGTTCTCCCCGGATCACGGCTTAAATAGCAAGAAGTTCTTGTGCATTCCGCGGCCCATCGCATCTAATTATGTGTGAATGCTGACTGTGGCGAATTCGCGCCTTGAATGGTACTTTCGATGTGATGTGTATAATGGCATCCTCTGTATTGCATCATCAATCCGACCATGCAGCAGTCAGCTGTTGCCCTCAACTATCAGCATGGGGGTCACTGCAGCAGTCTCTTTTCACTCACGTGACCCCAGTCCTGCAAGTAGGACTTCTGTGGTACTACCCTAGAAATGGGCCGGGCCGCAGCGCGGCCAGCCGGCTGAGAGTCCGGTCCTCACTCTGATTGGCGGTTGAAGCGGCATCCACCTTAGGTATGTAGTGACAAGTGACAGTCTGCATAGGAATGGCTGAGAGGCAGGGTTGACAGAATGGCAAGACTCCAAGTACAGCTAGAGCCGGGGTACCTTACTGGCAGATGTATTTCACGGCCATTGAACAGCGGCCTAACCACCTCGCGAAGTAGAGCGGGGGCGGGAAAGTTGCTTCTGGATCCTCTCCTGCCTTCCAACACGCTTACCTGCCCTCTCCGCCCGACATCATCTGTACCCGTCTTCTCTTGGCCCTTTATGTCTTTGTTTCAGATAGAGCAACACGAAGCGCATTCCACCTGCAGCGGTAGCGATGGCAGAGTGAAATTTCAGTTTCGAAATATTTTACTTGATTACCTGGATTTCATTTCATCAGGGTGAGTGGGTCTGAAATTTCAAGCAGCCCACCCCCTGGGGCACCCCCCTGGCATGTCCCAGTACCCCTCGATCTATTACTCCTTAAGGTGCACAGATGCCATAATCTAACCCTAACCCAGAGATTACTCAATATGCTTATATATTATCTCAATTGAATACCTAAATAGGTTAGCGTTGAAGTCTCAACATTTTCACATCTGCTGACCACTACACTGCGAATTCGTAGGGGTTTCAAATCAACTCGATTGGACGCGTGGCGGGCAATCCCTAGGGGTCACTTAATTACATAACCCGGCACGTGACTTGTGATACGTGCCAACTGCGTTGGGCGCAGCCCAGGGACGGCCCTTCTATGTAGGTAAACAAAACAAAACGAACAAATTTTCCCTCCGTTGTCCGTCCCTCTGTTTTCCTCCTTCTTCTTTCTTAAGAGTGGGTGGGTGGGTGATTTTAAATGCAGTGCAAGCGTGGCCTATAGGCGGATAACAGGTGAGGAAGAGGGGAAAGACCAGGACAGACGCAGGCGGGGGACGCACTCCTTTTTGTCCGCCCGCTTCCGTGTACACAGATACTGCCAGAGATTTCTGAAAACCACCGTTTCGCTTCACCGGGGTCGGTGGATACCGAAATTCGCCATTGCTATGCAGCGGGCTGCGGCCAGGGGTACCAGCCCTGTGTGGAAAGCCCCTCCCTTCCTTGTCCATCATCTTGTCTCTCAAGTCTCCCATCGGGCCCAGCATTTCAGCCAGTACAGATCCAGAATAAGGGGATGAGGGGCGAAGAGAAGATGGGGACATGTGATGTTGGGCGGAGAGGTGTGAGGACGTGGAGCTGAACGCCAGCGGGGCTTTCTGGGCTGGGACCCATATGGCCCTTATCGATAGGTTTATCTTATCAGCCCACCGCCATACTGTAAATAGCTTCCAGGGCGCGCGCGCAGCTATGCTGCCCTCGCCTTTCTTTTCGCTAGGCGAACCTTAACAGAAATCAACATATTTCTACAGCCAAATCGAGCCTTTGTGCCGTGACGACGTAGGGACCGTCTCAAGAGGGCAAGTGCATGTGTGATAATGGCGGGAGAGGATTAAGTAGAGGGAGAAGAAATGGTGGTGGCTGGTTAGACGTGGAACCTGGCGGGCTGGGGTGCTCGGCGCGCTAAGAGGTCTCGGAGCCATCTGCCGCCCCGCCGGGCTTGGCCCTATCACACGCGTTCCCGCTCCACCATATGGGGCGGCTGGGCCGTTTTTGAACGGGCCGTAAAATACGACTGCCAGTTGCGACAAGGCCCCTGACCTGGCCTGCCTGGCCGGGCCTGGAGACTTGTTTGCTCCCCTCGTCCCCGGTCATGGCCCGAGGTAATTGCCGCTTCAACCGCCAATGACGGCGAAGGCCTCTCGGCCAGCCGGCTGGCTGCGGCGCGGCCTGGATATTGAATGCATATGGACGGTTGCCACACTCTGGTGAAAAAGCAACAGTACTGATCTGAACCTTCTCGAGGACACGGTCGTAGCCCAGGGCTTTTCCCGCTAGTGATCTTTGACAGAAAGCATCAGAGGTGCTGTGGCGTTTGCTCCGTCGCCCAAGATTGTGAGGCGGCACGGCGAGGCATCAAGACGGGGGCTCTCTGCCTCACCTCCGGGATGTTTTGGTGTGGTCTCCGGTTGGACAAAGTCACGAGGTCAGCTGCAGCTGGAGGAAGGCCTTTCGTACTTGCCAACCAGGCCAACTCGCTTGCTTGGAGCGGCTTGCTTGGAATGTCACGAAAACATGAAACGCCATTTTTTGAGGGGTATTGCGTCAGCCTGTGCGTGTGCCGGTCTATTTTCAACAACTGTCCTTCCACCGCAGTGGCAGTCCCCGTCCTCTCAAAGACAGCCTCTATCCTCCGGCTCTTGAGCCGTATCTCACATCCCCAAGGTGTTTGCTCATGTCCTGTTATAGGTGTGCCGATGCACTGTTGGACCCTCTCTTGGCACTTCTTTGTAACACATTCCAACTATAGGCTGGACACATTGTTCGAATGGTATGACACTCAACCATTTCCCGCATGTCACTGACCCAAAACGCCTGCAATGGCCCGTTGCCTATTCATTTTTTTTTTTAGCAGTGATTGAGTCAACGAAACAAGAAGTACTCACGCAAAATGTCTGTATAATAATTTGGCCCTGCATGTTATCCGATGCGATGTGATAATGGTAAGATTGATAGCAGCAAGGTATGAAAACAATGCTAAAGAGAAAAAGTGCTAGAGAGACCGGAAGGAACAGGCATGAAAGGGCTAGGACGGCATTTCAGCACGAGTGGGATGCTCTTTAAATAAAAAGGCATCGGCCAGCTTGTCTAACAGATTGATGGGATCAGGCTGCGGTGCACTCGTTACTCTAACGGTCCAATGTTGGCTGTCTGCAGGGGAGCAGTGTGACTTCGTGCCTCCTCTGCACTGGTGCCCATTTCTCATGCGTAAGTCATTTCTCGATAGTCAGGGTGGGAGGACAATGCAATTTGCGTGGCTGCTGCGGGATACGCGAGCATCTTAGAGAGACATGCCTTGGGCCCTGCGTGGAACCTGAACTTTCACGCACGGCACTCCTTGCAGAAATGATCTGTCACATCAGGATTTACCCCAGGCGAAGACCGAGCGTGCTCAAACAGGCACCAGGACCAGTTTGTCCTCAATGTATCCCCCTCACCGCGAGCGCACCTCGAGTGATCGCACCGGTGCCCCATGTACACACTATCACGGATCAGGACATCTTGTGGCGGCTCGGGCACACACTGTTGGAATGCCGGGCAGAGCGAGAGGAGAATGGATGGTAGTGCATATATTCTGCTGCTATCAGGAAAGTACTGGCGGACAACCCAATGAAGACACGACAAATTGAGTGTTTGATGATCGATATTATCGACAAAGCCCCCTAAATCGTAGGATCAACACAGACTGTGTGATTGGGAAACCTGCTAGTGTACATCCCCCAGGTAACTTGAGATGAGACGTAATCTATTTTGTTTTAGTAGCAGTTCCTCAGTGCTATAGCACCTGACTTACCAAAGTAGATGTACCTGTTCACTTCAATTCCCGAGGATGTCATTCTCGCCCACATTGTCCACCTCGCAGGAGCTGTTTCGTCTTTTACCATGACCTGGAAGAAGAATCTATATCGGCCGGGCGGCCCCGAGATAGCAATGTTGGTGAAAATGAAGTCGACAAAGTTTTTGCCCAATTGATCCTGGGTCTCGATAGGGAAAGCGACAGAATTGCCCGTAATTCCTGCATGCCTGTTTTCGAGCCACAGTCGTCCTACTTTTTCATTTTTATCAGGCATGTTATTGTACCCCCGTGGGACCCGTACATGCACGGGGCATAGAGCCACATCTGCAGGTGTTATCTCAGGTTTGAGCACAAAGGTGATATATTGTCCCCGGTTTCTCATTATGCCCTCCCACTGATCAAATAATTTTGTATCGGCGTGTTCCATTGCCTGTAGACAAGTGTAATCATCTGGGAACTCGGGTATTGATGCCGGCATGGCTGTCGCGGGAAGTGTTGGTGGAATTACTGCTCCGTCGGAGTTTGGAGATACCGTCAGACGCATGAAATCATCTTTGAACTCGGGTAGTGGTGCCGGCATGGCTGCCGCGGGAAGGGTTGATGGAATTACTGCTCCGTCGGAGTTTGGCGATACCGCCAGACGCATGAAATCATCTTTGAACTCGGGTATTGGTGCCGCCATGTCTGCTGCAATGTTTAGAAGGATTGATGGAATTACTGCTGGTTGAGAAGAATGATGGACAGTGCTTGTATGGAACTGGAATCGAAGAGCTATCATCAGAGAGTTCACGGGAAAGGACGTCCTTTCTACATTTCTATGCTGCCCAAATGGCATTGACCATGAGATCTGAATGAACTGCCACTTGCTTCTTCCAGCTCACCGACTACCTGCAAGATCTCTGGGCGCAGTGTGCTCAAGACTAAGTCTCTCCTGTCCGCCACGTCAGAGACTGTTGTGGTGTTTCGTGAGCAAGGGTCCTGAGATGGAGGGTTCTCCGGGATGTTGTGGGCAGACTGGGGTGTTTTCAGGACGCATGGGTCTCCGGGATGAGTCTCCAAGAGTGTAGGCAGGCCAACGGGATGATAACCATGCTCGCATGCTTCAATACCAGTGTCTCGTGTTGGTTCCGACTCCCACGTTCGTAATCCCGAGATTCAAGGGTCACTAACTAACCCGCAAATGGTGTGAACTGACCGTGGTATCTAGTGAGTACATATGGAGGGCAGCTTTCGTCGTAGCGTATCTTCTTCGAATTCCTCGGTGTGCAACACGAACTCTGCCTTCACTCCCGCCAACCATTTCCTCCGCAATTTGCTGCACCATGGAAATCACAGCGTCTCTCGCCCTGTGCGTCCTCACGGATGGCCAATCATATATTTTGGAGACCGTGGTCACTTCCAGCGAGACCGGAAACAATGATACCCAGTCAGAGATCACGATTGCGTCAAGGAGGTGCCTATGCTTTTCCCGCTACGATAACAGCCTTATCTGATGATTCTTTAGTCACATACATAAGTTTATCTGCTTCCATTCGAGGGACCATGATGCAAGTCCTGCAGGATGGACGCCGAATCCTTGTTTCTGGTATGACCGATGGACGCGGCCTGGATCTTTTCCCATCTTGTTCGCATTGGGACTCCGTATCTGGTGACGGGTGGTGCCACGAGCGGTCCCGCAGCTCTGACGGGAGCGCGATTTGCGGCGAGAATGGGGAAGGTCACTCGGAGACGTGGGTGCTCACTTTCTTTCTGTGGCAGCTCTAGCACATGGCCACCTCACGTCCAGGTATTGTTTTCATGGGATCTGCTTCAATATTACTCAATGACCCAAACATCTTCATTTCAATCTGAATTCGTGTCAGAACAGCGTATTAAATCCATCACGTTGCGTATTACACTCCACTAATGTCTCATCTTGGGACTATCTGCTCTCGTCTATTTGACCTTGACGAGGAAGCAGAGAAGACCAGGACTGTGAGGGTCACCCTTGCTCCACACGAAAACAGCCATTTACACCCTGCAGCGTGTTTCCCTTGGGAATGAATTCACACATACGTGGTTGATCTTCAGCTCGTGCCTCGCCTCCAAGGTATCAAGCTGGGGTAGGCGCGTGGCTGGAGGATGAAGTCCATTCTGGATCCGTGAATTCTCGCGACAGGCACTGTCTCACCGGCCTGTCGGAGCTTAGGCGTCCCAACAGCCATGGAAGAGTGTTCCAAGCAATCAGTTCCCGGCATATTAGAGGCACATTAGCAAACAGGAGAACCGGAAGCATGGATGGAGTAGTACAGTAGCATTCCTAAGGTAAGGGTTCAAGCCACGGCAGGGGTTATAGCTTGTAGGCCTTGTCCCCACCATGACTACAGCTTGTAGACCTTGTCCCCTCCATGACTGCAGCTTGTAGGCCTTGTCCCCTCCATGACTGCAGCTTGTAGGCCTTGTCCCCACCATGACTACAGCTTGTAGACCTTGTCCCCTCCATGACTACAGCTTGTAGGCCTTGTCCCCTCCATGACTACAGCTTGTAGGCCTTGTCCCCTCCATGACTGCAGCTTATAGGCCTTGTTTGTACGGCATTTGGCCTGAAACGGGCCTCTAAATTGACTCCTTGGTCGCTCGGTTGTTGTCCCCTTGCTCTGCATGCTTGTCCAACCGGTGCCCAGAGCCTGTAGTAGATCTACCTAAGCACCAAGGTCATAACATGAGAAGATTGAATGTATCCATGTAATCAATGTATCTCTCCGTCTGAAGGACATTGCGCCACCCTCCAACATGGCCACGCGATCAAAACTGGCGCCTTATTGGAACCATCGCCAAGGTTGTTTAAAAATCGGAAATGGTGCTCTACACTCGGTCATGCTATACGACTTTACACATCTAGCTCTTGCAGTGAGTAACGCGTTCCTGGCACACCAGAGCTTGCGGCCCTGCATTCTTGCATATGCAATGCAGGTGGCGCACTCCACGATCGAGTCTTGGTCTAACCGAACATGGGCCTGCTTTTCTTACGTTCCCCTGTCTTCACCCGAGACCGCAGCTTCGCCAACTGCTTAGCAAGCTCTGCGAAAATATTTTTGGTACGATACTATCATTCGCGTTTCTTTGTCAGCCACTATTAGATGAATCGCGCAATGGGCGCGAGTCCCTGCGAAAGGCCACGGCGGCACCGTTCGGTTTTCATCATTGTCACGACGTCTTACTTGGCGTGATTTTTCTCAGTCATGGACACAAGAGTCTTGTGCGTGAGATTGAAAATCGTCATACACGTGAGGTCGCCCAGGAAGGGAGCACGTGGTACACATTGATGGAATCGCAGTTTAGCTCTGGGCACGTGCCTTGTGGCTACGAGGTTCCATAGAAATGGCTTCATACTTGATGGCTCAGCCCCCCGGTGCACAGTCCAAACCTAGCCTCAATTCGTCTCAAGAACATCAATATGTATGCTTTTCCCTTCCCAGCGGAGGCGTATGTTGCCTTTACGCTGTTCCTCACATAAGTACTCCATTTCTTCGCTTGCTAAGCTCTAAAGTTAGCTGTCATTCTTACATGCGACAATTTGATCGGCACTTACAAAACTCTGGGCAAAAGGTCGTTGAGAAACACTTGCTGACTGCGAAGGCTGGCCTGGTATAGTCACAACCAGGGATTTGAACAGCATAGGTAAAGCGAAAACGCCCCTCTTTCAACACTCGCAATGAAGAAAAGAAGAAGGGGAATCGAAACACCTTCTTCCCACCATTGTTAAGCTCTAGAGAGGGTGGCCTGCTTCCAATACCAGTCCCATTCTGTAAACCTTCCACCCTTGTCATATCGTTTGAGTCCGCTAGCCCGACATTCAGATAGAGCTGAGTTTTGGAAAGACCGCTGAAAAAATCGCTGTCTACATCCAAATGAACAATCATTGGCTGGATATCGCAACCAACAGTTACGATAGTTGGAGGTGGTGTCTTCGCGAATAAAGCAAAATATGGCGGCTGCTCTGAATAAGGTGTAGGGATTTCCGACGTGCTTGACACCCCATATTGGCGAGATTCGTTGACGCCTGACGGAGAGGGGTTATTGATTTCCAACTTGATTGGGAGTGCCTGGGTTGGGCTGATGGTAGAGCATGGGGTTGTCGGTTCAGAATCATACAGCTCCTCTTTCGGGTCTGGTGAAGAGTCACACGGCTCCTCCTTCGGGCTTGTAGGAGAAGGCGTCACTGCGTTCCAGTCTGCGTCAGAATCAGGGGTAGAATGTGCCATCGTGCCTCTCTTCTTCTGGCAAAATGAATAGGTTAGATCTTGATAAACGTTACAAGTTGAAGGGCAAAAGACCTGGAAGTCTTATATACATCTCGCAACCACACTTTGAACCATTCAAATCCACTCTGATGATCTTTTTCTGACCCACACTCCTGAAAGCAGCTGAAAAAGCTGGGCTTGTGGTGTGGTGGATGAACAAGGATGAACAGACCCTGCTCATTGCCAACGGATCGTCTAAGTACTATGGCGGTAGGGGTAAAAATGCGCATTCCTGTTAGGTTATAACCCACATTTCTCAAGCTCTAGGCTTCACTCAATCGGCTCAACTTCGGAGACAATTTAAAGTAAGGGTCGCATCAGACACGATAATTCTTGTGCATTCCCTGTGCAGATTCATGCAGGCCTCATGTAGGTGCTACAGTGACCGCCGCCTGGCAAGGTTGTAGGGGCACAACAACGTGCGGATAGGATCACCAACATACTGGTGTGATAGGACTGCGGGAATCATGCCGGAGGGGAGGGGGGAGCTGCATGATGATTGCCTGTGAGACGGAGAAAAAGAAACGACGGGAACCAGCTTGGACTCACAGGGGGGCCAAAGTTACCCTGTCAGAACCGCCAGGCTCCAGCTCAGTGACACTAGGCCAGGCTATTTCGGGCAAGACTTGTGAGTCTCAGGACAACAGTGTGGATGGTCGGGACTCGTGCAAGTCGAATAGGGCAATGTGAAGCGAACGAGCTAATGCAGACGCAGTCGTGGAGACGATAGTCGCTGGCTGGGTTTCCCACCCTAGTAATGAGACCGATGCTTTCACCCACGCTCCTGCCCTCCTGAATCTCAACCGGTCTGCGACACAACCTGTCAGTATTTTCTAGCTCCAATGCAGAGATGAGGAAGGTGGGTGGCACCAGCTTGATCCCTTGTTCCCCATAACATGCTTCAGGCTAGGCACGACCAACAAGCAACATGCATACGCACCTCATGGACTCGTATTTCCTGGGGAAATGTGCTGCCTAGAACGATGGTGTATTTGGGAAAAGTCAGAATGTTGAAATGAGACCACAAGGCCGTCCCTGGAATTCAAGATGCCCCAAAGTGTTCTTTTTAGTGCTCAAACACTCGAAGGGCTGATGATACCTCGCACAACGCCCTAGTGAAACCCTTCTCGGCCTTTCGATCGACAATGCCAAACGAGGTAACAACATTGCTAAATATGGCTTCAAGCTGTCCATCGACAACATGTGGGGCCGTATTCGCGCCTGATCTTGTCTACGCAGCCTTATGTGCTATATTTAAACTTCTCTCTTACTGGCTTAAATATTATATCCTTTTCCATCATCCAAGCCAAACCTCTTTTGTTTTTCTTCTTGTGTTATGTGAGATTGTAAACTGCGTGGTGTCAGTCTTTTGGGGGGAAATTGTCTTATCTTTTGAGGCAGCCGTATTCAAAGGTGCCAACGCCGCACTCAACAACTCCGAGCAATCGAATGAGGCCAAAAAGGCAGCAATAAAAGCTAATCGAAAAGCCACATCGATTCCCGACACCCTTCAAGCCTTTCTAGGACTTCTCGATCAAAGTATAACAAGCTTTATAGCGTTTTCAAAAACAGGTTGCAACTGGCCTTTCGCATGCGGAGCTTCTGTTATAATGCTATGCCTCCCTCTTGTTCTCCAATTGAATTCAAAAAAGCTTGTTTCCAATGTTCTAGCACACCGGCGTCAGAAGGAGATTGAAATGTAAGCTTGTACGTTTCTAAAAGGCTTAGAAGACTACTGATGAATGGCAGCAGTGAAGAGAACCTCTTTCCAGCGTACGGTAACAGCTCGCGAACCCTGAGGCAATCGGATTGCCATCGTCGCTCCTGTGTCCTTCTCGCTTTCGGCTTGCTCATCCTTATTGCAAATCCCAGCGAGCCACAAACATTCCTACTCGTCCTTCCGTTAGTTCTTCACACAGATGAAAAGTTGGCCAAACTGTGGAAGGCTTTGGCCGATTCGGAATCAGCTTGGAGATTTCTAGAGGGCCAGTACCCATTGTTGGATCAAGGATTCAACCGAGAGACTACGTACAACTCAACATCACGCCTACAACCAGCATCCCAGGTGCTTGATATCACCCCTGAAAGGCAAGCGTCGGGCACAGCAAAGAAGCTGACCCAGCTGTATCGAATTTGGAAAGGGGGCTCTCAATATAAGTTCGAAGTGATGGGAACTTCTACAGGTATATCATGCTGGGGCAATCTCGAAAGGAATGAATTGCGAAGTAGAAAACTTTCTGGAATCGATGTGATGGTATGACGTGGAGTAGATGCGGATTAATCAGGTAGCATGATTCAATGACGTACAATCGGTATTCTTGAGGTAGCTCCCCAATAAACACAAATGCAGTAATTTCATTCAACGCACTAAGATAGATATACATGCGCCAGAGCTGTGATCAAAGACAGACCGTGGTAAGATAGGAAAACATTGAGGGCGCGTCCGACCGTCGCTCATCCTGCACATCAATCTACAGATATCTCAGGTCATCGGAAGTAAGAAACCGCAGTCCACCCTACATCCCTGCCGTAGCGTTCAATTTGCAGAACCTTCGTCACAACTGCTCGGATGGGGGCAGAGAAAGCTGAGCGTGTAGCTAGAGAATCATCAGACAAGGGTTTTCGTCGCAGCAAGGATATCACATGCACCTCCATGATGCAACTATCTGCTGCGCTGAGATCGTAATTTTTAAAGGGGTGTCGGTTCCCCGCGCTCGCTGACTTCGATCTCTATTTCGGTTGAGATGAATGATTTGCCATCCGGTAGCATACGGGTGGAAAGTATGTGCATATATATAGGGTTCTGAGACACGGGTGATAGGAGGAGCGACAAGACAAAATCTGCAAGATACTGAGATGTCGTGGTTGCCATGGTGCATAGATTGCAGCAGAGATGGTTGATGAAGAGGCGAGATTTTGGTGTAACACATCGAGGAAGCCGATCCAAGAGGCTTGGTTTTAACTAGCAGCGAAAGCTTTTTCTTTGCAATCCCCTGGCCTGTCGATTCTCGGGGTGACTTTCAACCTTGATGTCACCTGTTTCATCCTGTCCCGTCTTGTCAATAGGGGAGCAGTGATGTATTTCGGACTCCATCTCGAAGACCCCTGCGACCAAATCACCCCAGTCCATGAACGACAGCGAAGACTCCTTCCCATGCATGCCTTCGTATGACTCGTGGAGCCTTGCATGTGAAATGCAGATCTCGGATCAACATTGAATGCGTGGTGATCACAAGAAATTGCATCCCTCTCGCTCGGAAGGTTTCTCCCGATTCGTTACTCTCCGGTCCAACATTGCATATCTCAAAACCGCCACCATATGAAGCCTGTTCATGCACGCTTGAACTTCCTGTAGAGAGATTTGAACGTGATATCTCCAGCTGTGACGTGGGATTGGTCCTCTATCGCTCTTGGTGCATGTGATGCCTGATGTTGGTGGCACCCGGGGCACGTATCTCGCAGATTGACAGACCGCCTCGCCCCTCATGATCGCCGTGACTCGACTTGCGCCTGAGGAATGGACACCAGAGCGCGCAGTTCGGCACAGGTTGACGCTGCTCCCTGCAAATGGCCGCCATTAGAACGTCGTAATCTCGACCATTGCACAGATGGGCGCAGCCCAATACCCATCAGTGCCCAGGCGGGTCCGAGACCCCAGCCATGACTGCCTTCTAGCCCCATCATATCTAACTACTTCAATCTTTTTTTGATGCCCTCACACCTTCTCTGAAAACCTCTTGACATGATGAACGATTTTTTCAAGGAAACAGAGAAACTAGAAAACCGTGCAAAGGTTCTTCGCGAGGCTATGATCGAGAACCCGACCAACGCGGAACGCTCTGAAGATCCAATTCTCATTGATTCAGAGACCTTGGACGAGGCTGAAGCGCAAAATCTCCTCTCTGGAAAAGACCTGCTGGCGATGAGAGCCCACCAATGTAAGTAAAGTGACAGCTGGGGAAATTGACCATGAAACTCACATCAGTGAGCAGGGCATGCTCCGGATGATTTGCAAGAGTGTTTCGGACCATGCAAAATCTTTGCCCTCTACTTCTCATATGCTCGAATCATGGCACTCTTGCAGGGTGCTGGTTTCTCGACTGGTCTACGTATTGCAGTGGTCGAGGACAGCGGACAGAAAGCCCTGGGCATTTCCACCGCTATGGGGTTTGCTGTAGTATTGTCGGAATGGATTGCTAGCGAGTGGTGGGCGACGGGAAAGGCCAAACCAGCAAGCAATTCCGACCAGCATGAGAAGAGTTGCCATCATTGAAGGCAAGCGGGTTTCGGTCATTTCTCGGCTTGCGCATGGAACATCACCAAGGCAAACAAGTCTCAAAAGCTGGTTCCGTGACATTCCACGTCTTAGTCGCAGCTTGCATACTAATCTGGCAGGCAGGCAGGCAGGCCATCCCCCCAACGAGGGCGTCGGGCTTGGTCAGGCGGGGAGATTACACTTCGATCTAGTACATGGCCTCACCGGCTAAGGTCTTGGACTGTCTGTCGTCTCCTCCACCAAATTCGTATCGGTGTTGTTGCTTTTTCATGATGGTGTGGCAAACAGCCCCTGCAAACTTCCAGGTGCATTCACAGGTTGAAGTGAGTCGTTGAGATTTCGTGGCCGTCGGCCGCCCAAAGCCATGCAACGTAGATTGTCTGGTCACCTAACACTGGCCGGCACAATCGGCTGACTGGCTGAAGACCCCGAGGAACATTGGCCACTGCCCTGCCGCGTCTGCGCAGTCGGGGAGACATCGTCATTCTCGTGTGGTAGGTCCAGCTCGGCACAGGGATGTTCCAGACGCTCCCAGACACCCAACAATTGCAACTGTGACTGCGTACTGGGAAAAGCGCATCCCTGCCAGGTACCTCTACTTTTGTGAGGTTGCACAGTACCTTGTGAAATAAGAAACGGGACCAGGGTTTCCGAGAATATGTCCTCGGAAACCAGGATCCAGTCTAGACTATCTTGGCGTGACTCCTTGCAACGTGCACTTCCATCAGCATGACTCCACTGTTGTCTGGAACCATGATCGGCAGGAGTTGATTGGTCTGGTCACAATTCACCTCGCATTCAAGAGGTCCACATGGAGTAGACCCACTCACACCTGCTTCAGTGACGCTACGTCCCCTGCTGTACCACTGTGCATACGGTCCTCTGCAGTTTTCGGATGCTATCAGATAAAATGCCTGCAAATTCGTAACAGAGCGCCACAGCGATGTACTGCAACACCGCTGCCTTGTAAAAATCGTTGCCTGGTTGCCTTGGGCGAGCCGCCGCACCCATAGCGTACATGCCAGGACCGTTCTGCAGCCTTCAATTCTCAATGTGCACTTTTTCACGGATTCCGCTGCAATGTGCACATATAACGTGGTTGGTCAACGCAGGATGATTGTTACAATAGTAATTACTCAATATCATTCAAGCTCAGTCTAGACTGCGGTCATCCACATTGGCAAGCCTCAGAATGGTGTTCAGTGTACGAAAAAGATGGAAAGCCCTGCGGCGTGTATGAAGAGCACCCCTGTCGACGAAAGAAGGGAAAATGTAATGAGAAGACTCTCTGCCTCCAGTCTTTCCTAACTACTAATGAATGTTAGATGAATGTAGTACAACGCAGGTTCAAAAGGTAGCTTGGGAAAACCAAATTCGTCGCCCTTCTAAGAGCGAGCGGTCCTGGGGTAAAGTGATGGAGCACAGCAAGCCTCTTCTATTGCAGGATAAAGTGGATGAGGCTCTCAAGAGAGGAACGGTGATGCCACAAGGAGACTAGTCAGTCGTGAAGTGTAGGTTTAGGCGGTGAATGTGGATGTCGTGGATGAGACGAAGCGCCACAGGACCGGAGGAAAAAGAAGTCTGCCCCTGCTTGCCTTCGTCGTGGGCGTCGTGCTGGGCTGTCTCGCTCTTGTCGATTCGGAGAGATGCCTGGCGTTGTATGCATAGAGCGATACCAACAAGACAAACATGCGAGATTGAAGTCCGAATGTGCAACTTTAATAGTCCCAACGTAGTCCGATGGCAAGCAGGCAGGGAACGTGTCCGCCCAATCGTGTGCTACCCACACGGCGCGAGCGTTTTGGCCATCGGCCCGGCAAGGCATCTTATGGAGCACCCACTTCCCTCGGCGCACGTCCGAGGCTCGCACTTTTCTTCCCACTCTTCATTGCTCTTCCCAATAAGAAACTGTCTTCTACCCGTGCCGAAGTCGACAATCGCCTGAACCATACTCCATTCTATTGTCTGTCCAGCCATGGATCCCACGCAGATTATCGCATCCGCCAACCAGAAGATCGAGGAACTCGAAGGGGAGCTCAGGACAACAAGAAATGAGATCGAGGTAGGAAAATTGGAGGTTCAATCACTCAAGGACGAGATCGAGACGATGAAAGCGGACACCGGACATTCAGATGGAAGCCTCGCGGCAGAGCTCAAGAGCAATCTCGCGTCGGTCAGCCAGGAAAAAGAAGGGCTAAAGCAGGGGCTCGAGGCTGCGCAGGCACACATCCAGATACTGACCGGCCACAATCATGAGCTGATCAATTCCGCGCTGGTGGCTGAAGCGGACATTCGCGGGCGCGAAGAGCACATAAGGATCCTCCTCAAATTCATCGAATTCCTCGAGAAAGTGCCAGCAGGGATTTCTGCGTCCCTGGCTGCGGCCCGGAAGGCCGAGGAATGGTACCAAAATCAGCTGGCCGCCGAGAAAGGTTCCAACCGGCACTTGAGCTCAGAAGTCGAGAAACTCAGCGACGCCGTGAAAGGCCTCGAGGAGACCGTCAATTCGACGCGTGCTACGAACGAGGCTAAGGAGAGGGATATAGTGACGAGGGAGAAGATTATGGCGAATCAACTGTTGGAGGCCGACAAACAAAAGACAGCTCTTAAGCTCAACCTCGCCCACGCCCGCGGAAAGCTGGATTCTGTCGAGACTACGTCGGCGACCCTGGTTGCAGCGCACCAGTCGCTGGAACGGCAGCTCAGAGACGCTCAAAGTGGGCTACAAAAGATTGCACGGGCAAGGAAAAGGGCAACGGCCGAGGCCAGGGGCCAGTCCGCTGCCGCTGCCGCTGCCGCTGCCGCTGCCGCCGCCGCCGCCACGTCGAAGCAAGCGAACGAGGAGATCTCGCGACTGCAACGGATGTTGACGAGAAAAGAGGGTCAGATGGGGAAGCAAAAGGACATTATGGAGCGTCTGAAAGAAAGCATCAGAACCAACGAGGCGGAGTATAAAGAGACCCGGTCTATGGAGGGGTTCGAAAGCCTCAGTGCCTCCCTCAGCTTCTTCAAGGATAAAGACAACGAAAGCACCAAGATAATGACATCCATGCAGCGCCGGATCGATACCCTGCAGGACACAGAACGGGCCGGAAACTGGAAGCAAACCATCCGCTACCAGGAGGTCGAGATAATGCGGTCTCGCCTCCGCCAGGACGAGCTAAAGGCCAAGATCGAGCGGCTGCGGGCCCCGGCGAAAGCGCTCGATGAGTTTAGGCGGCAGCAAATGGAGGCGGTCAAGGTGCTCGAGCAGGAGAACAACCGGCTCCGGGGCCACAGCCTAGGCGAGATGCACGCCGTGATTGAGGCGATCGGGCGCAATAAGCAACTGCTCAGCATGCACATCCTGGATACCGTGTTCGACCTGCTCAGTAACATCCAAAGCGTACCGGCTGCTAATCAGACTGTTGACGAGATCTACAGCTTCCTGGCCTGCGTCGATAGCCACTGCCATGACTTTCTGAAACTTGCTATCGCCGACTGGCGCGAGGTCAAGGTTGTGATCAAGGATATTCGTAAGTTGTTGCCCAGGAGGGCCAACAAGGACAACCCGTCGGATGTGACCCGCATCGTTAAGGAGGTGGCGAGATTGAAAGTAGACGTCAGTCTGCTGGGAAACGGCCTCAAGAAGGAGTTTAAAAGGAGTGTGGTGAGAGAAGATGCCCGAAGGATGCTGGGCTTCTTGAAATTCGACGAATTTCTCATCAGTGGCTCCTTGAAAGTCAGAAAACCTGGCTTGCAGCTGGTCCAACGCCCCTTGCCGAGGAATCCGGGGTCCGCTCTGTCGACTGTAGCCCAGGTCATCATAGCTAGTCTATGCCTCTGGATCAGTGATATATTCTGCCTCTGGATGGGTGGCTGGTCGGCTATTATCTTTAGAGCATGTATATCTGTGGGTGTTTGTCGTTTGGTATTGATTTTGTCTTGGTGCGTGAGGCGATCCTGTAGACGAGGTGGACGCACCTAGGCTTGGGCGAGCAGGCTTCATTTACATGCCTTGGTGGCAAGTAGTCTGTTTGTAATTGGTGAAGTGTTGAAGCTGGGCTTGGGGAGTACTTTCTTCTTGGTCTTTGGCTTCCCCAACTACAAATCCTTATCTGCATCTGCTTTCCTACTCGCTGAAGACCAGGGGTTTGGTTTCGTGCACAGCCGTTGTCCTAATACTAGATCTTGGGCAGAGTAAAACCCCCTTTCAAGATGGAATCCTGCGGTTCCTCTGCCGGCGATTCCAATGTCATGGAGGACATTCGATCAACATTTTGATGGACCAAAGAACTGCGTTTGCGTGATACGGCTTAGCTTATCTGGCGTGATGAGGGGTTCTATGAGGAACCCCTCATCCGAATGCACTCGGATAAAAGGAATGCCGCGCCGCAGACATTCACAGTCAGAGGACCGTGACGATTCTAGAAAGACAATAATCAAACCTGCTCCACTTCTCTGAACATGCACCATACCATACGACAGTGATCACCGACGACCTTCCACAACCTTGCAACTATGTGTCTTGTTGTGTTCAAGCATTTTCGGTTTCACGTATTCCCATGCTGATCATTACACCCACGGACACCTCCCAGAGAGCGGATCTGAGCGAGACCCTCAGCAACATCCAAAAGTTGGCAGACCAGGTCTTATGCTATTGCGAAGATATGGATAGCGTGCCTGGCAGGTCAGACTTGATGCGATTACCTATACCTCTCCTACCTGATTGCGCACGAGAACTCGACAATCTACTCCACGACAACGAAATTATGGTTCGTACACAGCTGGACAACAGATCGACCAACGCTTACCAGAAATCAAAAGCAAACCGTTGTACACAGATGGGCTGATGACAGAAAGTTGGTAATCGATTTCGAAAAGAGATATTCTGGGCCACAAATAATATGGATTCAGAGCGGTGGCGTTTCAGCCAAAAAAGACCGGATTTCCTTCTTCGTGGTTCTACGGCGGCCGACTACACATGCCGAAGCCGCGACGTACGTACCACGGGAAGAACCAGTATCCGAAGGTGTAATCGAGAGACCTGTCGCCGAGAACCAATTCGTCAAGTCAACTTTCAAGTGTCAAGTTGGGGACATCGTCGTTCTCGAAGGAGGGGAAAGACTGAGGACTCGCAAGGAAGGCGATATTGATCCCCGCGATCTTTGTATGCTCACAACATTGCACAGCACCAGGCGGAAGGAGGACCTGGAAAGGGAGGGGAAAGAGCAGGAATGATATTCTCGGTTTTAGTGATACGCCACGTCTTCTTGCACAATCTCTTCGAGGTCAGTGATCTCGCGATCAACCCGAGGCTTGTAGCGTAGCGTGGTCTTGCCATGCACATGTGCACTGTCGGTACCTGGACGGGACGTCGGGAGTTTCGTGCGATTCTGGTGGTGTGAGGCGGTGGCAGCACCGGATGTGTCATGAGCTGCGGTTGCTCGCAGGGGACCTGTTCGATTTTCAGTACGATGCAGCTCAGGGCCCTGGACGTCTTCAGACCTCACCAGCTTCTGGGACATTCTGCGCCCGAGCCGCATCCCGTGGCATCATCCGATTAGCATTGCGATGTTGCAAGTCGCTTTCGGCCGACTGCGTCCCGCCATGGGTCTTGGATTTGAGCAGATCGTTGATCGAGACTCGTTTCCAAGGAGTCCCTGCCGAACGCATGGTGGACTTTTTACCCTGGCACAAGCTCTCAGCAAGACGGATTCCCTCCTTGCGACGGCGCTCGAAGAACCGCTCAGCCAGTTCGTAATATATCTGCGTGCTTTCATTGCGGGAGACGCCCTGCGCCGCGAGCGATCTGACGACAGCGTCGAACTCTGGAGCGGTCTTTGATACCTTCTTCTCCAATCTAGGGGTCGTCAGTATGGCGGGCGCAGAGGAAGTCTGGAAACCTACGTCGTGCGAGGAATATCATGGGGCAGGAGCAATGCTCCGAAACCGTCCAGCTTACCAGCGATTGCGTCGAGCCGTTCCCCTGCATACGCAGTTTCTTTACATACCGATCTCACTGTTTCCGCTTCCAGGCCAAGGCGGTTGCTGATGTATGTCATAAGAGGCTCCCTGTTATGACTTGTGAAATATTCAAGGAACGTTTTTCGAAGGTGGTGCAACTCGACGAAATAGACCTGCCTCATCGCCCTTTCCAGGGGCGTCCGCGGGTTGGGCAGCCCGCGTAACTTGTCATACAGCCGCGTTGCCACGTCTTCTTGCGGTTCCAGAGGGCTGTCCATCTCGTGTTGCATCCACATTTCGACATTGCCTTCGAAGATGTCATGTCGCCAGCCATTGGCATGAAGGGCATCCTGGATGACTTCTTGTAACTGAGGGGGCAGGTTGGTCCATTTGGCAAGAGGTTCGCGGAGAATGGCAGAGAAAGCCGCGAGGAACTAGTGACGTTAGATGATGGGATGAAGGCAGAAGTAGCCAGCGATAGCAGATACGCACCCCGGGTTCGATCAGGCGTTGTGTGCTGATGATGCCCGTCTCACGGCCTTGACAAGCGATCAGCAACGTGTTCGCGAATTCCTTGACGACGTGGACGTCCATTTTGCAGATTTGCTGGGAAAGAGAGCACCCGGTTCGCAACGTTCTGTCTGCGTTGCACCTTGTGTCGGGGTTCATCTTTCCTTGACTCAACTTGGAATTGGCTGCAGCGTGGCCTGTGGTGTGACCCCAGTCGATCAGCAGGCTAGGACACCCAGTGAACCCCTCAACTCGCACACCGTGCGAAGGGATAGGGGCTCAAGCACCCAGAGGGCCAGGGTGGGCCGTCCGGCCGTCAGGGTTCCTGCAAACTTATCCTCGAAGGTACCTGGTCATGCGGGGGCGCTAACATCGCGCACGGGGTCTGCGACCGGGGTTTCCGCGGAATTGGTTTTCGAAAACCGGGATCTTTTGGCAGACCCAGCGAAGAGAAAAGAAATCGAGGTTCGACTGACATACCAGGTCTGAAATCCATTGTGAGTGCACTGCATGGAGAATAAGTAGATCGAAGCGCCCGCTGCCTCATATCTCTGGGAGGGGCTTTTCGAATGACCACAACGCTTAGAGCACCCGCCCCTATCTTGCATGAGCTCGGGATGCAGCTGCCAAACCAGCCATCATGGCATTTGAATCTTCCATTGACGCCTCCTTGCCCTCCCCTCCTGAGAGCCTCCCCGACACTGAGCCGTGGGGCACTACATCCCCTGCCTTCCTCGCATTGCAACTTTTCAATGACACCTCCTTGCCCTCCCCTCCCAAGAGCCTCTCCGACACCGAGACGTGGGGCCCCACGTCCCCTGCCCTCCTCGATGTCCTCGACGACCCCTCCGAAGGCAGAAGGCAGTCAGATATCCCGGGGGAACCTCTGCGGGACGACTTGCTAGATGACTGCGCAGAATCTGATGATTTCGCAACCTTCGGGGCAGATCACGGTACTGTCGCATCGTAAGTTTTACTTTCACACGTTATGATCAACTACAGCTCAGGAACGAGCAGGTCACGTATGGGCGGGCAGGAGTCAGTTTTTCCGGGGCCAACGCACTTGAAGGTCGAAGGTCATGATGAGGAATCATTTTGGGCATTCGCTGTGAAAGACTTTTTCAAGCACAACAATGTCAATCCACAGGAACGCGATGTCCATACTGCGGTGTTCCGAGAGTTCTTTTCGATGAGAGACGACCTTCATCACCTCCACCTCCTTTTTGAGACGAAGTTGTTCTGTCAAATCTATAATGTGAGCAGCTGGTACCGTTCCCCTCCGAATTCGATCACTAAGCCTTTCTAGGAGTCAGGATTGGATGTTCGGACAAGGTTCAATCAGTACTTGACGAGATTAGGAGGGGCAATGGATGAGGGAGAAATGCCACGGTTTCCATCAGAGCCCGGCTGGTTGATGCGAAAAGAAGCGCACCCGCATTCTGGCGAAATGGAGGAACTCGGCCTCTGTGGCTACCTTCTTCATCTTGCCGGCGGCCATCCTACAGGGCTAGAGATCTCAGGGTACAATGATGACGATGTTGAAATGTTCGCTAATTTCTGTCAATTAGTGGACAAGGACTTTGGTCTACAACAGGAAATAGGTGCAGGTAGCTAGCCCGGATTGCCAGTCGATTCGTTATCCCTGTGAGAACCAAAATCTATTCAATCTGCCATGAAAAACGGTAGCCGGATTGTCTTGTGCATGGTAAAATGGTCCGCGACCAGAGGCGTCACTGATCCGCAAAAGGTTTTGCATCGCCTCCCGCCATTTGGCCCGAGAAACACGATGATGATGTTGGCGGGCTCATCATGGCCAGTCAGGTCGGGGGGCTCAGCACCATTCACCGATCCTTAGTCACATTCGGCAACACAAGAAATTTTCCCAGCGGTAGAGGCGCTGTAGGTGAAAAGATGGTGTCATATCACTATACCACAAAAACAGGGCATGAAACGTCGCGCTCTGTATAATCGTCTCACATTCAGCGCGTCAAGGTATGTTGCATGGGAGGGGGAAAATAGATCATTCTCCGCCGATTAGTAAGTAGACTGGTTGTAATGCAATGCGCACCTATGGTGGTAGGGGTAAGAATGCGCATTCCTGTCAGGTCCACGACCCATATTTCCCACGCTCTATGCTTCACCTAATTGGCTTAACTTCCTTGCCCACAATGCGCTGTGGGGCCTAACAAAAATAGAGATACCTGACAGGGGTGCGGCTTTCCAGTACGACCATGCGTCGGTCTACGTGAGCAAAACGCCTTTCAGGGGCCCGCCAATTTACTGAGACGGGACCTGTGCCTTGACCCACCAGTGTGCTGCCCTTGCTCCCATATGTAGTCAGGCAGCTAGGCTTCGCCGGTCCGCCAGTCCGCCCAGCTTTTTCGGCTGGGGCACAATGCGGTGCGACTTTGGTTTGCCACTAAGGTCTCCATGGTCTTGATCGTGCACTTTGTCTCCTTTGTCTTAACCGTCTGATCGACCGCCGCGGCCTCCGCCAGAGACCTTCTAATCCCCCAATCATGGCACCTCAATACGCGCCAAGCTAGCAAGTCTCTGCTTAATCCTACTCCATGCAGCCAGAGGGCATTATGCAGTGTGATTGCAACCACGCAAGCTGGGGTGTGCACTTCGCTCTTGCCCAATCCGTGGTCTTCACTGTCTCCGCTGTCTGCACTGTCTCCGTTGTCTGCACTGTCTCCTTTAGTCTGCTTTGTCTCCGACTGTTATCTCTCTTACTCCGCCGTCTGGCAGCATTTGGTTAGACATGGGCTGGACTCTCCAAGACACCGAGCGCCTTGACACGCTTCCTGGTTGGGCTGAGCTCGCGGGCGCTGAGAGGAGCACATGCTTGACCAAGTACTGCGCAGGACCAATTACATGGAGAGCTCATTTGGTTTCATACATGGTCCGGAAGAAGGGTGGGCGCCGTCCAAATCTCGAAAACACAGCCAGGAAGCTGGCACCACTCGTTTGTCGCTAGCAGGGGGCATTGGGCGGGTCCATGGGTGCCACTTACATGCCAGAGATTGTAAAGTGGCAAGGGCGCCCAGCCAAGAAAGAAGGTTCTGGACTTTGGATAGGCGCCTGCTCCCTGTTTTGAGCCATTTTGAGCAAGGGTGGCAACCCGCCATATTGACTAAACGGCGCGGTAACGGCGGCGGCGAATCCGGCGGTGCGACTTATACTCTTCAGTCAGCTCAAACTTGTCTCCTTCTCACAGGTAGAGCCGAGCAACAGGGGTTTCCCAGAGACGCGCATGTTGAGGCAGATCATATAACCGATGGAGTGGAGTTGAAGGCGGAATTCCTATTTGAGCCGTCCGAATCGAGAAACCTGCTCTCGACGGTACTTGCATCAAAGTCGCTCTGCAATCGAGTTAATGAAATCAGCGCTGGGGTGCTCAGGGCCCTAGGGTATCAAATTTCACCCCAGCGTGCCCAGGGTGGTCTGCCATATTGCAACCACACACTAAGACAGGAACTGGGGACCTGATAGCTGCGCGGTGAACCTGTGTAGAACGGCACGCGCGAGATTGTCTAATCAAATTACTCATGCTTGCCTCGATAGATAGAACTAGGGGTACGCAAACTGGAATCTGTTGGAACGGGCGAGGATCCATGTGCTAGATACAAATTTGCCTTGTTGCCTGGTCTCGCCTTGACCCATGGTGCATTTGAATCTCATCTCTGAGCCGCATTGTTGCATAATGCATACGGTTAGCCCTCTACCTTACCGGGAGCCAATTTAACAAACGCCAAAATCGCACACTTAGAGAGTCTCTGGTTCGCGAACTGAGATCAGCAAGCAAGCTGATCTACTCACAGCTATAATACGACTGGTGCTTCCGACTGTCGCTGCTCAGCAGCATTGTCAATCCACGCCCGAAGATATCCGTCCCACAAATTCCTATTGACCTCAATTTCAACCGACAGATGAGAATAACACCCGTCATAACTATGGACGACCACACTCCTAACCCGGAAACAATCCGGAAAACCTTGGAATGGATGAAGGAGTATTTCCTGGGAGGCGACGTCAACTGTGCAACGGATCAAATATCATATGGTGAAATGATGGTGTGGTGTCGAGATGAAGACCGCATGAGAATAGAGCTGCAGAAACTTCTCAGACATCACTACAGCTTTGGCTTTATGAGTTTCTTCCATATTAACCTCGCCCGACTTTCTTCTGCAGCTGGTAATCTGATACCAATCCTTTCATCTTTGATGTCTGCCCGCATCAATTCCTTAGTACAATCTTATTTTTGGATGTCGAACGCAAAGATATGGTTGTACGAATTCGTCTCGCAAATGGCTGTTATCCAGGCTCTTCTTTGCACCTTCGTGCCAAACCACCAGAACTACTGGATCTATTGTATAAACGAGCTTCATAGGTCTGTCACCGCAGTCAGTTATAGACTTCGTATTGTTGTTTCTTTCTGACCAATCTGGTAGGACTATCCCAGTCGATCTCTTGATCACAGCCCAAACTCGATTCTCCAATATGGTATCTCGTGGTGACCCGAATGCCATCATTGATTTTATCCAGTCACCAGAAATGCGCCACACTGCTGACAGTGTTACCCAAGGCCTCCAAGACATTGTGCAGGGCATGGAGGGGGATTCAAGACTTTCGGAAGGGGATGTCGAAGTGGTCTTCATCAAGCCTTTCAAAAAATGCTGTGCTCTCGTTTATCCGGATGGCAAACAGAGATCAACGATAGCGGACCAGTCACCACACCAGGAAGATCAAGAACACAAGGCAACAGTAGATTTCCAAATGAAGTCGGCCGCGCCAGATTTGCACTTTTCTGCAAGGGAAGGTTGGGACTGCGGTTGAGGATGAGAGGCTTCAGTACTCACAGCCAACCACACTTGGTGAAGTGACAACCTTGGAACGTTGCCACTCCACTGTCCACCGGACCATCCGCCCACCACCCTGATGGGCCATTCCTACCCTGGCGCCTACATGGTGCCAAATATTACTCGTTTGACTCCCCAAGGGCTTGTGTGAATGTGTTCTCCACGAGGACTAGGTTGACCACTGCCCGCAACCCCCCAATCCCATCAGGCAAAAAGGGTAGGATGATTGATACACGTTGTATTTTGAACTCCAATTTACTTATTGATAAAATCCAACCAGTCTGACTTCACAACAACTTGATTTCCTCACATTCTTTCAGTTCTCGCACAGTCATCCGAGCCGCAATCTCCGCAATAAAGTATGGCGTGCCCTCCCACATTACCACGTCCCGGATACGCAAAAGCTTATGCTGACCCGGAATATCGGAGGAAGGGCACAGAGGAAACCTCGATGGAGGTTCTTTACCCGTGAAAAAATGAATCCAGTTGAATTTATCGCAGAAGGCTGCGGCCATAACGCCATCGAGATCTTTCACCTCCGACCACGTCCAGGCCAACGGAGGGGAACGCACGGTGACATAACCACCCGGCATGGAGTTTTCATCCAAGGTCCATCCTCCAACTGGCTGGAGCCCAGAGGAAAGTGTTGGGGAGCTTGAGGGTTGGTGTGCCATCTTTGCTTGGGCTTTGGCAATAATCGCTTAAGTTTGTGGTTAAAATTAATGATGTTGCGAAGAAGGAAGTTGAGGAAGATAAGCTATAAACCTTCCACCTGCTCCTGTCTTATATCTCCTGTCGTTGTGGTAGGCAAACAGTGCCTCTATGCCAACTTTGCCACATCCGTACCAACTTTCTCCTCCCCTTTGCCAACTTTGCCACCTCTGTGCCAACTTTCTCCTCCCCTTTGCCAACTTTCTCCTCCTCGTTGCCAACTTTCTCCTGGTCTTTGCCAACTTTCTTATCTTAGTGTCAATTTGGCCGGTCCCTGGAATGGCCATCAGGCATACAATACCGCCTCGGTGCCAACTTGGCCTGCAATATGTTACCACTTTGGTGCCAGCTTTGCTACTTCAATGCCAATTTAGCCACCTTCGTGCTGACTACTGGCCGCAGGAAGGGGCCGTCACACTTGGCGCCAAGCCGACCCCATTGTCAATGGACATGCTATCGTGCTTCTCCCTTGCCCCGCTGTCGCCTTGAGGACTAGAAGAGTGAAGCATAGCAGCGTTCATTGTGTTTGATCTCGTGGTAAATGGGAAGCGGGCAGTCTTTGGGGTCTCAGCCTGATTGGATGTATTCGGGAGCTGGTGACACGGAGAATTTGGGTTGAAATTGGGTCGTGGGCCAAACGCGGCCATCCCCCTAATAACATTGCGAATGACGCAGTTTGCCCCGGTCTCGGCTGAGCAAGCTGAGTAAGCCGAGACAGCTGAGTAAGCCAAATTCTACGTCAACTTTACATATAATCAAGTTGTACGCAGCTGGCAATCTATCTATGTAAACATGTCGCATCCCCTTCTTACTAAGGCATCACTTATCCTGTCAAAGGTTTAGATTCTACAGCAAGCTGTACGTGACGGTCCCCCACTAGCGTTCTGCCTCGCCTCGCCTCGCTAACAACCGCGCTTGTAGGAAAATCGAGAGTGTCAGAGCTGACTTCCTCGACGTGATTGACATTGCCCTGGGACCCCGTCGCACCTTGACGGTAGAGGGATGAGCGGCAGCCTTACGGCTGAGCGAGCTTAGCCGCCCTCAGAAGGTTGCTTCGTTGTGCCACGTCCAGGCTCTGCGTTGTTGCCGAGTGGTTATGTCCCAGGTGACTCCTGTGAATTCAGTCCTGGGTGCACGTTCGGAGGCTGTGACGATCTGTGCCAGTCGGCACGCGAAGTGTTCGAAGTGTGACCGCTCTAAAAATCCGTTCTTTCTCCTCGCGTATTTGCGCGACGAAATGCTCGTTAGCCCTGGGGGCCGTGTCACGGGGCATAGGCAAGGGGCCGGGGGGCTGGGGGCCTGGGATGACGAACTTCACCCAACTAGCTTCCGTGGAAGTGAGGAGGTGTGTCTTCATTTGGATTGTCTAGACAATCGACGTGGCCTCGTAGCAGGCAGCCAGCCAACCGTGCGAGCTTACCGTCTCGGCTCCAACCGTGCATGTTCCCCCTTCTCACGTCCCTGATTCGACGCAAGCCACCATGCTACCATACCTCTTCGTACCCTCGTCCTTATCCGTTGTGCCGTGATTTCCCTAACTATTATAAATACTGGGTTTCTCGCCCCTGCTGCTCTCAGCCGTTCGTCCGTCCTTTCACATCAGTCACTCATCCCTTCCTCCAGCTCAAGCTGCCCCCGCCCTACCCGTCTGCGAAATGGATGATCTCTTGTCTACCCTCCTCCATCTAAAGTCGGTTCCGACATCCATAACGAAGACCCGCACGAGTGACAAGTCATGCGTAAGTAAGACAGTGGACCTAGGCAGGCATGAATGCTGAGACGAGATCAGTTCTCGGCAGCAGTACAGAACGTGTGGGCGAGAGATCCTGGGATTGCTGGCGAGCTTCTGGAAGAGCTCACGAAGCAGGGCAGGAGCAGATGGGCAACACTAGGCAAGGCCGCCGAACCCTGGGCATCTAGCGATGACCAGACGCCGGCCATTCCCTACGAGGCCACAGCCACAACCGATTACATCAACGTCGGGACTCAAACTGCAGCCGATGTTAACAATGCCGTGGAATCGAGAGCACGACGGAGGAGGCATGACGATCTCCTGTATCGCCCTTCGCATTCAGCATATAAACACACGGTGTCGAGACAAACACAGCGGAACGATGCAGACAATGAGCCGCCTACATCGCAACGTGAGCTTCCGTCCCTAAAGCCGCCTGATGTTGAGGACGTTTCCAACAGCTGTGGCATACGGTATGAGGCAGAGACATCACCATGCCCGTCAATCGTGGACTTTGTAGCCTGTGATGAGCGTACCGCCGCGCGGAAGTCCTCGCTTCCGTCGCTGGGCCTGGCACAACATTGGCCCCATCTTGTGGACAGGGACCTTAGGGACGGTGCCCAAGAACGAGGCGCAACGGAAACGTCCATGGCTACACCGGAATCCCCTGTCATGCTTGATACGTCATCGGAGTCCAAAAAGGACCTGATCATGGCACCGCGAGACAAGGCCACTGCAGCGCAATCGCCGGCTTTGGCCACTTGTCTGTTCCTAGTATCCGAAGACACGGTGAGGTGTATGATCTTTAACGCAGCTCGGGACATACATGACATGGAGATGTACGAAGGTCGACTAGGAGGCGAGCTCCACCGGGGCATCCTCAATTCCTTGAAGTGCGACCACAGCGATGAGGTGATTTCACGGCCGGCAGGGTCCATCTGGGCAGCCAGCCGCCCCATAGGCTGGTCTTTAACCATGTGGATGAATATACTAGATCAAGGACGAGCGTCGCACAAAAAGAGCGGAATCCTACGCAAGATCGAGTGGATGGGAGCCTCGGAATGGTTCGACTATCAGACCGAGCAGGCATTGAAGGCCCCTCCGCGAACGAAGCGAGGTATCCCAGTAAAGCGAGTTTCTACTGCGGTCTTGGATCGCATGCTTAACGAAGCACTTCACGATGACTCGGACACGCCCTCTGAACAGCACATAGATAGAAAGGCTCAGCAGCGCAAAACCTTCATCGACATATGCAACAGAGGGAAGAGGTTGCGCCAGATCGTTAAAGTCCTGGGCACAGGTGTTCTCTTCTACCGCCGTATTTGGTAAGTCATGAGTCGAAGTTGGCCGCAAGATAGCTAACTCTTTCTAAGGGACCTGATGAAAATAAGTCAGAATCAGGTAGAAGCTGTGGTCTCCCACATTTCTACGGACCCCTCGAAAGCTACCATCTTCGTCCTTCTCGGAGAGCAGGTCGAGCTTCTGGTTGGGAGTGGGCGGCCGAACACTGCTACATTTCTCGACGGGGTTGATGCGAATCAGCTCGTCAGCGCAGGCGACGCATCTTCCCTGCGCTTAGACTATGACGTACAGCAGAACCCTTTTCTTAAAGCTGTCTCGGAGTGCTAATAAAATTCTTAGTCCTCGACGTGTGGCGCTAATTTGAAACAACACATCGATCATTTAAAGTTGGGCCTGCATCAAGCCCTCGGCAAGCGAGAGCTCGGCCACGACGATACTATCACCTTGTCCGGAAAATCGATTCCAGGCGACTCTTTTAGCAGGCTGGATACAGGTCAGTGGTTTGACATCTGGCTACTGGAGGCTGCTCTTGAAATCCAGGACCGGCCCGCCTGGGTCAGACTGGGACCGTGCGTGTCTACGCACGAGGTGGTCCACGGCAAAGTCCAGCATGTTGAGGCGCCTTTCCGAAAATTGAAGAGCGAAGTTGAGTCCCTCAGGGGTAACGATAATAGCCAGCGGCCTCAGCATGGATTTATCTTTCTCTGCCCTTTAAGCGTCAATACCAACCACTTTACACTCCTTGAAATTAACGAGAGAGAGGGCATGATATATCATTACGACTCGTTGGCGAAGCGCTCGGGTAGGGCTGGACTCTCCAGAGATAACTTCATTCGAAAAGCGGTTCAGGCAAGTTAAGGTTCTTTCCCCATAGGACACGTGCTAAGCCCTGCCTCTAGGAGGGTTTGAAGAGCCTCGGCTTTAATTATGCAGAAGCGGTGAGCAGCCTGCTCACTATTAAGCACGGCGTACTACTAACCAGACTAGCCTACCCCGCAGCAGCAGGATTCCTCGAGCTGCGGCCCGATGGTTGTGCGTAATGCCTCGCAGCGGATGAACGGCCAGCCAGTTGGCGATTGGGACGATCGAGTAGATCCCACGAAACTGCGCGCGAGAATCGTTCGGGATCTCCACGCCTGCGTTTCCTACTGTGGCGTCGATCCAGACCTTCGACGATCGAAGAGATTGCGATGCGGTTAGGAGCCCAGCGGTTTCCGAGTCTTTGCTGTTGGAATTCTTATTCGCGCCCGCGGTTTTGGTAGCTCGAGCCTGGAGCCTTGCTTGGCCCATAGTCGAACCGACGGGGCGTAACAGCGACACAGGGGGAAGCTGTTGCGATCAAGTATTCGCAACGGAAGGCAAAAGCACACGGAACCGGTCCGTTTGTTGCTTAGGACAAAACACCTCACATAAAATAGCATATTAGGATGGAGTTTTAATGCGCCAACCAACAATTGTAAAGTGAGATGCCGCATGCGCCACTCCGGATATCCGCCGGATCTAATAATGGCTCAGCTTCGTTGAATTGCACAAACCCTACCGTGTGCATACTAGACAGGGGCGAGCGATATTTCCGCCCGAAGAGACGAAGCCGACGGGAACGGCGGTAAGCCGTGAGTCGCCCGCCGTACCCAGAAGCTCGTGCGCCGCCACACTCGCTGTTCGCACAACAGCCTCGAAAGAAGCAGCAGCGGTCTCCCGAATGACGGAGTTCGTCTCATGGCTGCGAGCTCAGATGTCGAAGTTTGTCGAGAACCCTAGCCCTCAGCCACCAGCCTTATATAGAATTAAAGAGTACGGCGACAAATGTCAGAGGCAATGCAGGCTGTAGGTATAATGTTGACGTTATAAACTTGGGCTATAGAGAGTCTGCCACACTCTTCTCCTGTTCCGTCGGCTTGACCCGTGTGTAACCCAGAGGCGCCAACTTTACAAATCCCTCCTTCGCCTCTTGTTGGTAAAGCTATTCTTAGTCCCACGGTCACATTTACCGACTACAATCCCCAGTTACAATCGAATTTAATTGATAGGGGAGGGTAGCATTTAGCTTGACACGCTGCTTGGAGCTATCACCCGAGGATTTGCTCGCCTGCCGGTGTCTCGTTCCCGGCCGCTTCCCGCTCTTCTTGCTCCCGGTTTGTCATGTGGCTAAGTAGCAATACAGCAATTTCCGTATACGCCCTCTCAACTGCGAAGTCCAGAGCCGTCATACCATACTCGCCTAGCTCGTGGGGGTCGGCCCCGTGCTTTAAAAGTAGCCGCGCGCATTCGATGTTGTTGTGTAGAATGGCAACGAAGAGTGGGGTATCGCCAAAGTCGTTCTTTTTATCAATGGAGCCTGAACAAGGTTCCCGCAACTCAGGACAGCCCTCCAGGAGGAGCCTCAGAAGCCTGCTGCCCTCTGTCAAGGACCCAGCCGGCCTGGTATCTCCCGCCAGAAGATGAAGTGCCGTATCTCCCATCCGGTCACACCGCAGTGGGTTGGTACCAGTACGCAGTAAAAGCTTCACAATATCTTCCTTACTGTCCTGGAACCGCTCTCTAGGCGTACGAAGGACGAAATGGAGTACCGTGTCACCCCCGCCCTGGGCGAGAGGAACATTAAAGTCAATATCGCTGCGAAATAGCAAGAGATGCAGCATTTCCAGGCCGCACAGGCATGCATCATATAAAACCCAGTTATGTGGCCTCATCAACGCGATACCTAGGTCGAGTAATAGCCGAACCCTCTGGGCATCCCTGGCTAGGATGGCACACGCCAGGGCAGCCGATTCTGCAGCCTTAGCCCTGCTATTGTTGGCAGAAGTTGAAGCAGAGCTGTAGTCCGAAGACCACGATGTTGTGGGCGAACCAGAGCTGAGAGTCGACGTCGGTGATAAAAGTGGGTCCATGGTAGAGCCCGAAGAGAGGAAAAGAGTCAATGTAGTAAAATTAAACGGTCTTACGAACTCAGAGCAAGACAGGAGTGGTGCTGCGTCAGTCCTCGAACCGAGCGTCCTAAGCCGTTCTTGTCTTGCCCGCCCAACGTCTCCGTCCCCATGCTCCTCTCAGCGCGTGGCTGGGAACGTACTATATAGGGAAGACCCTTCTGGTTCCAGATCTGTGAAATGGAAAAGGACGGAATGTATGAAGAACGCAAGTGAACGGTCTACAGACTCGTAATTCTTTGCCCCCAATTTCATTCACGCCTACCGTAAAGTGGGGCAGGTGGGGGGAATTGGTCACTGATACAATTTCCAGCCCTCCGTTAACTGGTTCGGGTATCCGGTTTCTGTGCTTTCTGCATCCCTGTATTCCCAAGCACCGCTTACTTACCAATCAGGATGACGCCGCTCTTGATGGAGATGTAGAGCGTCAAGAGAATTGCTGTACAAAAGCGTGCCCGCGAGTTGATGGGGGACTGTTGCCCCCTCTCCCCGGGAGTGGAACACCCCTATGCAGCCAGGCAAAAAGGAGCCCAGCGGTGCCTGGCGCGCGAACAGCTCGGGGCCGTTGGCAGCGCCTGCTCGCCCGCTCACCCGCTCATCCGGCTCGCCTGACTGGCTGGCGCGACGAGGGCCCTTCTACGAATCTCGTCAAGTCCCGCAATTCCTCTGCCGATTCTGATGGAGGATCACCCAAAACATACGAAAGGAAGCATTGACTGAAGAGGGCTATGAGGCAGGTCGAGCCCCTGGCCCCTTCTGTGCCTGCCATGATAGCCTCCTCGACACTGAGCCTCTAGGACCCTCATGGTAGTCTTTCCCCTTGCCTCCTCGACCGAATTGATGATCTTTCCTGGGTGCCGCATGGCTGGCTGCTGCCCGTGAGCTGCCAGCAATGTGCTACACTTGGCGCCCTTTTTGGAGCGGTCATTCAGATCCCAACTCTGGCAGTCACCGGTGTAGCGTATATCACGACTCATTGAGAAGTATGTATTGGACCAATTCTGCCTGGCTCTAACATTTTCGGCACTTTTGATGTGTGTGTGATATGGTACAGCCGCCGCGTGAGCCTTATAAAAAGGGGCCGCCCCTCGTCGCGGCCTGACTTTCCTCTCCTTTTCCATTCGCAAACCTGCAAATCGTTCAGTACCTTAGATGCGGTCAATAATGCCAGAAGCTTGCGGCTCCAAAAGGGTGACGATTGCCTCAGGAGCCGGGAGCTATTATAGCTTCATGGGTGCTACTGCTTTCGACTTCTCAGCCAATTTCCACAGGCAAACAGGCGACGGCTCGTCGACCACGCGATGCACAGACCTTGTTGCTCCCGACCCCAACAACGAGGATAGCGACGATGAGTTCCCAGATTTCTGTTCAGACAAGTTTTTAGACCTAACACGACGCCGTTGCCAAGGGACGTCTGCTCCTGTCTCATTCTTTCGATCTGGATGTTGCTAACTTTGCAACAGAGCGTGCCACCATGGGCGCAGCGAAGACCACGAGACCGCGCTGTCCAAGCACTCTGAGGCGGTCATCGCGCATCAGGGCAGCACGCAGCAAAGAATGCATGATGTCAAGAGAGCTTCGCCGTTCGGCTCGAATAGCTGCCAAGGTAGCGCATTCAACTTCATGAGTGGTGGGCCTTTGCATCACGCGACTTCCTGGAAGCCTAAGCGTCTTGTCGCAAACTTTCCAGCATGTCAAAGGGTAACATTGCCTCATTTATAAAAGGGGTCTGGCCTATCGGGCCAGGGTGGTTCGCAGAAATGACAGAAGCCTAAAGGTCTGGTTGATGCTAGTTCGTCCCATCGTACCCCAGACAGAACAAATATGAACCCAGATTATGCAGAGAGTGAGCTGGTGATCACGTGCAACTTTGACAGGCCGCCTCACTATAGATCGAGATATCTTGCCCTCAAATAAAATAAAAAACAGAGAGAGAGGGTGGTCTGGCAGTCAGGCAGTGTGGACGGCCCCTTCTATTCTCACAGGGTGGGCGTCCTAGATTGGGACCTACTTCCCGGCCCGTGGCCTATGCAAAGCATCCATGTACAAGATGTTGAATACTGAATCAGCTATCTCCCATATTCAGACTGCATCTTTCTCGCCAACCATTGATGATGCAATTCGCACAGCCATTCCCTGCCCGTGGATAAACCACGCACCCATGGAAGGGCCCTCTATTATCCAGACACAATGAACAGGACTCTTGGCTGGGGAATCCAATAGTATAACAAATCATTGCCCATGCAGCCTCGGGGTCTGCAGCTTGTAAGCGTTCTACAATCCTCCGTAGCATTCCCATCGACCCGCTTACGAAGCGTTTGGCAATGGTCTCGTGGTATGCAGCGCGCTGGTCCTCGGAAACGATCCAGCCGGGCGTTTCGATTTCGTCTTGTAATATCGCCACAAAAAGATGCTCGCGCACAGGAGATGGTACCTGGGGGGGTATGATGTAGAATGAGTTGTCGGATATGATACCCCACTCGTGGCCCTTGATGATATCAGTACTAGCAAACACTACCACAGGTGAGACTCACACTTAAGTCTTGATATTCTTCTCCCATTCCAAACCTATCGGTGCTATTTATTCGTTCTGCAAAGGTGAGTTGAATTGGCTCCCAAGACGAAGGCCCGTGACACGAATACGCCAAATGAATTTCCCAATGTAGCAACATGAAGGGATTGACGTTGACTTGAAATGTTGGTGGATACGAGTGCCGTATTGAGGCTAAGGGCCGGGCGCTGACTGTGACTGGCGACATCATTGTAGAATAGTAGAGAAGTGATGTGGTAGGGTATTGCGTGCTTGAGTTGACTCCATCGAAGAGCCAGTTTAATTGACGTCTTGATAAGTTGCAAAAAGGCCAAAAGGGTTTGAATTCGTGAGTCATCACCTCGATGCCAGTGTCAGGAATCGTGTGGACTCCGCGATTGCGGCTGCAGTCGCATTTACCGCCTTGGAGATCATCGCAGGGAAACGAGTCTTTACCGTCTGGGGGCTCTGTATAGAGAAGAAGGAGGCGGATTGTTTTGTCTACATTGCCGTCGTAGAGATGTCGGACGCCCGTGCCGATGAGCACAGGATCATTCTTACCTGACGACCGAGCTTCGAGCCATTTACGCCCCCTAAAGACCCTCATCCAAGCACGTGCGTGCAATAAGCCTTCCCGGCTGGTTGGCCCTCTTCCGTTGTGGATGGCAATCCGCTGATTAGGAGTACAGTAGTCCCCAATGTGCATGACTAGTTCATTGGGTAGCTCTGGCGGGGCTTCAATGAGCGACTTTGTCTCCTCAAAATCGGCAATGGGTTGAGACATCTTAGTTTGAAGTGTAGATGTGATTTTGGGACGCTGTGGAAGAAACAAGTCGAAGTAATCGCGGCGAAGAAGAATATCATGAACTGACCAGTCATGCTTATACATGTACGGCATAGTAATAGGCTAAATCGAAGACTTGGAAAAGGGACAGCCACCTGAAAATCAGATACCTTCGGTCAGATATTCGCCATGCAGAACCAGCGGTACGCGAACGAGAACGGAATAGATCCCTACAGTACAGGGGCGAAGCCAAAACCTGAAAAGCGGGACAGCCGCCTATAAAGAAAGCCTTCACGTGAAGCTACCCTCGGTCCGTATCGAACCCCCCGTCAACCCCTCTAAAGCTCCTAAGGACCATACAGACACTCAATGCCAGATCCTTGCCGCTGAGCTGTTTTGACGTCTAAACTTCACCCTTTCTCGAAGACCGCCGCCGTGCAGAATTCCGATAAGAACGTCTTTCAAGGGTGGTAGTGTGCAATCTTTGCTATCATGACTACATGGACGTATAGGAGGCAAGCGGACGTCAGGGTGATGTGCGTGAGAGTGTCTCTTGAGAGCGAAGTTCACGGGAGTGCTGTCAAGTCGACCTGCGCGTTTGAAACCAGGATGCACAGGTTGCGGCTGTTTTGAGACAGCTAGCCTCTGGGATGGTGCAGATTTTCGCCACGGGCATTTCTTCGCCTTGGAGCCTCGAGTTGCAGTGTTCTCGGCTGGACGAAAGACCAGGCTCTTGTCGGTTGCAGGAAGTTGGGCTGCTACTATGATTTCCGGGAGGATTTTTTCGTCCATAGTATTCCGCGCCCTTGTTGACCTAATCTGGCGCGATTTCTTGACTGTTCGGGAGGGCATGTTTGAATCAATCAGTGAGGGTGAGTGAAAAGTTGACGTACGACGAGGCAGGGTAAGTGACGGACCGCCTTAAGTACTTACCATTTTCACTGGCATCTGCTGATCGCTCATAAGCTTTGATACTTTCATCTGCACTAGGTCAACAACGCTGGTACAACGGCTTGCTAAACCAACAATGTTCACAAATGCATGCGCAACGTCAACTTAGCGGCTGCAACAAAAGTGCGGACAAGGCGGCTAAATCACGAATCAAGATACGTTGCCTAAGCGCCGCCAGACGAAAGCCGACGTCGTGCACGGATCCTGTCATGGTGTTGGAGGGATCATGGAGGGAGCGTACTTTTAGGTACTCTGTACTTTGGTGAAATTAAGACGTGCAGGCGGTAACCTGCTCCCCATGATTCTATGTTTGGGTTTGGAGGATTCGCAGTAAACAGATTGGTAGTAAAGGTGGGGTGGAGTAGCGACGGGGACCAACATGGAGGGTATAGACGCGTAAGGTATATCAGATGTATCTAGACCTTGTGGAGGGGAAAGCCCTGTACATGTCATTTTGCATGCACGTACTTTTATCACATGTGGGGCCAAGTGACACTTCCAGTCCCAGCGGGTTGGTAACACAGCTCATTGGCTTGAGTACATTCACCCCCGTGGCGTGTCCAGACGTTTTCCTGGGCCGGCCTCCTTCCACCCCCCTCAGAGGATTTTCGAATGATGCAGGGTTGGTTAGACGAAAGGATTACCGCATTTATCAATAGTATCGGGGAGAACCCGATGAGCTTCCGGAGATGGGTACGGATGAATACGGTACGTCAGTCGTTCGTTCTTGAAAAACCTCAGTCTTGCCTGCACTCGTCATGAACACGGACACAGGAACCCTCATTTCGAGGTGCGAGCATCGAGGAGTCGGTGCCGGAGCACATTTACGGAGTCACTGCGGCCAGAGCTGCAGCGACAGAGGCTCGCCTTCTGGCGGGGGTAATCACAATTGTGCGACTGTGACCATCCATCTGTGACCCAGCTCGTTTATCAGCCATCGCGACCGTGCCAGATGCGCCAGACGTGCAGGCCCGATATGCCCGATATGTGCTAGGTATGCCTGCAGGGTGACCAACCGTCGCAATCTGCTTGACTCGGCAAGCATGTCATTGGTTGTTGGGGTGGTGAGGATGCGTGGGGTTTTATTTCAACTTGCTGGTCTAAATTGGGATACAGCGGCCTATTGATTGCTCTGAATAATCGTTGGGTGTGCGGTGCTCTCAACCGTTTGAAGCTAACAGCTCAAGTATATCGGCCTCAAGTCGGTCCTTCCTCCTCCAACCCGTGCTGTCATCGTTTGAAGCACGCCTGAACATTGCCGGCATGTCTTTCTAATCGATTTCACCGACCGACGACGTGACCTGTTTATGTTCTCTCACCCAGCACCGAGCTTGGTTCTCGCGTCCACCCGCGCCCCGTGGTTGCCGGAGTCTCCATACTTGCTGGATGGCAGAAGTTCGATGGCGACTTTCTTCTTGGCAGTTCGAGCACGGCCCACGTCCGGCAGATTGGAAATATTGTCACCCTTCTGAATGTACATGATGGAGGAGTCGGACAGTCCAGTCTGTATTCGGCAAGGGCCTTGTTCTATCGGTCCAGATTGCTTGATATGAGCCGACTTGACCTGTTTGGACTGCTATTCCTCCTGCTTAGATCCTATGGCAAGCATCACATGAACAGTGTAGATGCTGTAAGTCGTTGTTATAACATACCGTCACTTCATCTCCGCTAATGAGGTCTCGCGTCGCTCTGGCCAGTATGCGGTAAATGCCAGAAATCAGCCGTCCCTCAAGGTAGGCGGAAGGGTCCCTGCAAAGATGCCTGGCCTTTCGAGCCCAATTCCCCCGGTTTCGCGAATAGATCTGACAGACCGCTCCCGTAGCAGCTAGATCCTGTCTCTCTACATTAAAGACCATACCACATCCGTTTGCCGTATCATAGGTACCTGAAGGTGCTAATTCACCAGTCACCTCCCCAAGTATGTCGTGCCTCCTGAACGCGACCTTCCCGATAGGGCCTTGCACGTAAATGCCTTGCCCTTTGCTTCCACAATCGCGGATCCTCAAGTTTCGAGAGTTTCTGGGTAGCCTTTCATGACAGCAACATCCTGGCTTACTGCATTCCCAACAACCATCTCCTATCATTGGGTTGATGGGCCACTCCCTGTGCCAGCCATCTGGTGCCGGCGTGTTGACGAATTTGACCGGGTCGTATGTGCATTCTGCCAAGTCGAAGAGCGCTATTCGGTCCAGAGCCTGCTCCGGTTCGCTTTCACAGATGCTGGCGGATGTTGCGCCTTCCCACTTACATTCGGGGATATCTCGGCCATCCCATATTGCATCCATGAGCTTCTGCCCAACATCGAGTAGGTGCCTGCTGTAAGGGTCAGATTCAAGAAGACAACGCAGAGATGCGGCAGAAACTTCGTCAAGCACGACAAGATCTGCTAGCTTGATGAGGGATGGATACGCTGGTTCTGAAGGCAGAAGACAGAGCAGCCCGTACGGAAGTTGGCTGAGCCGGCGGCCGTCTTTCCTCCATGCCCTGTAGGACCTCTGTGCTGATTCATCCGGTTTGCCTACCAGGCCCATCTGGTTATGTACCTTGACCCAATCAGATACGTGCAGCCGGCCCTGATCACCGAAAGCCTTGCTCACTATCTTTGAAAACTCGACCTTGGCGTACAATTCCAGTATCTGCCGTAGGGAACCTCTCACACTGAGTTGGGTGAGGAAGCCCGCGATATCTTTGTACTGTCCGGAGCCTCTCATGTTGCGCAGCAGATCGATCTCCGTCAACTCCTGATTCCTCCAGCAATGGACTACATCAACAAGTGCTTTGATGCCTGAGCGGCCACACACAGCCAGTAGGATACGCAAGACAAGTGTATCGGTCACAGTAACCCCGAAGGTTTTGCAAAATGGGTCGTGCGAGACGATATAGTCCTGCCACTCTGCTGCTGACGCATTCTCCATCGGCTGCCAGTCCAGGTCTGTGGTGTCTGAAATGTTTTCAGAGGCCAAGATAGCGCCACCTGCCCGCCGGGGGTTGCGCTTGACGCTTGCGTGTACTGATTTGCAGGCGGGCTTCTGCCTCTTCTGGGGACGGTTGTGGGAGGTGTGGTTTGAGCTCGCCCGCGCAGTCGGCAGCTCAATAGGCTTTCGGTGCCCGGGAGTTGGCGCTTTCCGTTTGTCAGGATGTTTAATCAAGACATTCTGGAGGTTGAACAGGCCGCATTTGCGACAAGCTGTGGTTGGGTTAAGGACTGGCTCGCCTGGAAGGACGAAGTTGATGGCTATCGCGAAACAGATAGTCGAGTTCAGAACTGCATGGTACTGCCCAGGCGCGGTACACACCAAATCTCCGGGGCCAGCACGAATCACGTCGAATGCGATGCCTTCTTTCTTAAGTCTCTCCGGTGTGAAGATGACATCTAGGTGACGCAGCCACTGAGAACACCCCGTCTTTCTGGCCGATGGATATAGACGACTGACGAATTCCTCAAAGCGAGCGTCATGGCCCTTTTTAATAAGTATCCAGTCTTTAAATCCATAAAGGGTGAGATTGCACGATCGGAATGATGCATCTTCACAATGGAAGGCCGTACCGGAGCCCGCCTCGCCAGCATGCCAGTATATCGTATTCACGCCCGGTATATTGCCTAGAGTGAGAAGATGGCCCGGGTGAAGCAGATCGTTGAAACTTGCGGGGGCAAGTGGGGACCCGACGTAGTACGTCAGAGGCGTCAGAGGAGGTGAGGAGATTGTGTTATTGAGATAGTTGCAACTCGCCTCGGCTGGGTGCTCTGAGAAGTACGGGAACCTAAAGGGCGCATCTACTGACGAGAAGAGTTTTGAGGCGCCAGTCTTCCTGTCAGAACAGAGTCGGACACCGAGATGAGAATGATTGATGCCGTGCTTGATCGGATCTTTGACCATCCTCGAGACGGCACCGAGGTCAGTTCGCTCAAGACCGGAAAGGCTAATTTTCCCAGAGAATCCAGGACATTCGATGTACGCCCCGACATTTCCTACCATCAGATCTCCCATTTGTGCGGTAGATAGCGTGAGACTTGGCGGTGCTAGATGGGGCGAAGTCGGCATTCCCGTCACAGTTGTAGCACCTGATGTAGTGCGATGATGGGCGGCTGCGTGCGTTATACCGTGTGCGATGTCCATTGGAAAAGGTTGATCTTTCATGCCACAAAGCTCTGGATCGGCGACTTCCATCCTTTGAGCCGCCATTCCTCTAGATGTGGCTGACGAGGGGTGATCGTCGACGCCTACGGCTTTATTTCCCTGCGTCCTGCTTTCGGTGATACTGCTCTTTTGTGTCACATGTTGCTCCCGGCCCCGGTCGCGGCGCTTCATCTTGTCGTGAGATTCATTTTTGAGTTCCGTGAGGCTTTGCCAGAGTTCATCTAGGCCGAGCTGATCTACCAGGGATAGGGCAAGGCCGTGATCGGGCGACCACAGCTTTCCTGACTTCAGAAGATCGATCACGGCTGCGAGTTTTGCCTCGAACACCTCAAACTTTTCCTGAAACCCCATCCTGCGGACGTGTGAGGATTGAGGGTAATGTTGATAATGACAAGTGAGTCGAGAAGTGCCGCACGGGTCACAATGACAGTAACGTGTCGTTGTGGCCCGTGCGTCCCCCACACCTATCGTATAAACAGCAATATGCGCTGTCACATGGCTGCTGTTGGCTGGTGTCGGTCAGTTCACCTTGCTGCCTGGAAAACCGAAGGCGCACAGCCATGTTGGGGTTCGAACAACCTCACTAATTTGAAGCCTAAGGCATCAATCGTCTATAGTGGCATGCTGTGAGTCCATCCGTTTGCAATCGTTCGCACCAACCACAGGCCTGCACTGCGCTGCGCCTCTCCATACCACCTCGGCTGACCCACAACGCTAACTAACCACTAGATATTTGACAAAGCTGTCGCCCCGCTTAGGCACACCCGCCGCCCCTACCTACCACGACCCTTCCTATGCGACCGACTTTTCCACGACTATCATCCTGTAGTGCTGTAGGTTACAACAACTGCAGAGTACAAGTCTCACAATGGATCAGGCCGGCTCCGATCGCAAAGCTGTAAGTACATTAGAGTACCTACATTCCTGCCTCCGCCGCAATCTCTCTTGCCATATCCTTAGCTTAACCAGGGCGTCAGAACATTAACCTTTGCCTTCAGTTATCCCACGAGGAGCAAGTTGGTATCAGCTCCGAATCACCCGACAACGATATCCCTGTCGGCCACTTCCGTCCCCATAATTTCGACAATGACCACAGTTCTACTCACGACCATCCTTCCGATGATCCAGGCAATCGGGGCATAGATAATCAGATAGATTCTCGAAGCCACCTACACCGGGCTATACGGGCGCCTTCCAGGGCTCAGATGATCCGTGTAACTGACATCGCACTGCCCACACCCGAATCAGCAATCCAAAAGCTAGAGAAAAAGAAGCTGGACAGGCAGATGATAGGCGATTGCGAAAAGAAGGAATGCATCATCTGCTTAGAAGAGGTATATCTGGGAGGTGAGGTTACAGTTCTGCGTTGCAAACATTGGTTTCACCATGAGTGTGTGATGCCCTGGCTGAGAAACCATAATACATGCCCACTTTGTCGAGCGCCAACCGAACAAAATGGAAACGAAGACGAAGACAACGGCAATGGATACCAATCCAACAATCAACAGCAACGTCAACTTCCACGTGCTCGCACCACCTCTATGCGTGCTTTGTTTGGTACTGAACTATTGTTATCTATGAGTGGATTAGGCTCCTCTACGAACCCTGGCTTTCAGCACAACACGCGGGTTGTGTAAAGCTCTGAAGACAGAGAGTGACACTTCTTACCTCCTGCCTCCAAGAACCAGCCGCAAGATCCTCACCACGGGGGAGCAAGATGATGTACCCTCGACTATATTATTCAACCCGTCTACCGTGGTGAACACGATTACTTGGCGCTTTGTATTGCATACAAATGGGTGTTGAGATCGTGCGGCTTAGGCGAAGTAATCTGGCGTACCGTACAAGGGCCAGATCGGCGACAAACATGGAAAAAGTCTCAGCCACTTTGCTTCGGTGGGCCAGCATCTGTAGTAGTTCGTTTGATTCAAACCCAACCACGTCGGCTGCCTCTTGAACTTTGCGTGGACGGGTGGCCATTGATAGCTTCGTCCAAAGCGTCTGGCAGCTGGCTTATGTAGGCGACTGGCATCGTGACTTGCTTATCCTCGTCAGCGTCGGGAAGGTTGAGAGCATGTGGGTTTCGAATGCAGGACAGCAGATACATACTTTTGGAGCGGATTTGTGGGGTGCGGCGGCTGGGGGATACGTAGATAGTGCAGACAGTGATTCGGCGAAGCGGGGTCCACTTAGCGTCACCTTGCACTGTGCCTGCTGCGCAACATGCACTTAAAGTTGTCCTCAACCACGAACAGTTGCAAAGCCCGTAAACAAACGGGCTATCTCTTTGCCCGCCAAGGTGACGAGACATGTCCGCCAACCCTGAAGATGTTGAGGTTCTCGTCGATGCTATCAAAAACCGGCAAAAATTTCCCCGGCCCTGTGTGAAAGCATACGACAGGCTTGGCGAGACAGCCAGCGAAACGACGGAGCGCATTTTCTTTGACACCGGCGGTGTATCTGCCTGGGCAGCTTATGTGCTGACCAAGAGGGCTTCCGAATCCACTGCGCATGTTTCAGGGCGGTCTAGACGGCGGCAACTCCTCGCCAGGATCGAAGCATCAACAACCAACGCCCGCAGGGAACTCGCAACGCGCTTGGCGGCTGCTCTTGAACCTGACCGCGAACGGGTCGAGCAGCTCGTCAGGGTCGCACAGCAACAGCCAGACCGGGCGAGGCGGTCAGGGCGGCAGAGCAGGGACGGCAGTACAGCAACCCGACAGACGCCTGAAGACGGCAGCGAAGGTGACAGCCTACGGCCGCAAGGAGGTCAAGAAATCCAGGAGGGATCATCGCCGAGCAGGAACCAGATCGCACCGCCAGCTTTCGGCGCTCTCCCAATCTTCACAAAGGCCCCAGTTGCGGGGTGCAGGCGGCTCTTCCCCCCTTACCTGGCAGCATCGATCAAGAGGGATAACGATCATTTCGCTGTCGTCTCCATGTTACCTACAAGTACAGCACAGAGCTCGGAGTACCTTCTAAAGTTGGAGATCACAGAGGATACGGTTGGGTATATCGCGATGGAGCTGTTCGGGGCCCATCTGGAGGCAAAGGGTGGCTGGCGCTATGTGTATCTTATGGGCACAACTAGAGTTGCACCCCGCCCGGCACTGCTGCTCCAAGGCTGTCGCGACACAGCTGTGCCTAGATTGTTGGGTGCTCAAGTTGCTGATGCCGTTTTTTCTACACCAACACATCAAGCAGAACTTTTGGATGGTCATCCGTGTATAAAGTGCATTACGATGCTGGTCAGGGAGGCAGCCTTGGACAGCGCTGAGATTTGCCTATTACTACCCGCCAAGGAGGCTGAGGTATTCAGGAATCTACTCTTCGATTGATCGAGCCATGCGAACATGAATTCACAGACCATTGTTTCCAGCCCCTTAGACAGAGGGACATCGCGGAGCTTTTCTAATCACCGGCGACCCCAATCCCTCGTCGCAGGGCTCGGAAGCGACGGTCGTAGGGACATCTCAGTCACGCAAGAGGAAGAGGCACTCGCGTGCACACCTGCCGTCGACTTTGCGACGGGGACCTTGCACAAGCGCGGGGACCTATGAAGCCGCGTTGCTGCCTGCGAGGGCTCTTGGGCCGGCCACCGTAAAGGATAAGACTACGCTAGCTCCCCCGGTTGTGTAGTTGCCACGTTAAGGGAAAGCCGGTACAATGAGGCTCGGATCTTTGTTTGCTCTGCTCACGGATAAGCGCCCGATTATCCTGTTGGGGCTGAGCGGACCAATGAGGGGAGATGTATAGCGCCTTTGACCTTTGTGACCATGCGCCTCGCGAGCAGTCCTTGCTGCATGCCAGACGTTCTCGAAGCCGTTCCCGGAATGCGATTTTAGGTCCCACGGCGGGGAGTGATTTCGGGAATCGGATTTATTGTAGAGAACCTAATTCGATGTCTATTGGGGGGTATTTTGTTTCAACAAAGCTCTGAATAAATATCGCTAGTGCCGAGAGACGCACTCAGCTGTTCAGCCAAGTCCGACATTCTCTGAGATTTCATGTACGCCATGTCCTCCCGGTATCGTCGAATGATCCTCGAGGCGAATGAAACGCCCATATTTTATAACATGACCGCAGCGGGTGCTTCTTGGACGGTTCTGGCTGGCTTCTGCATCTTCCCAGGCACATTCACCTCGTTACAGCAAGCGGAATGGCTCCACGAGTCGGATGACGGCCGCAGGGTGCAGAGTGCAGTTCAGAATATACCCCTGATACCACTTGCCAGCTGCTGCTATCTGGTGGGAGTCGGTAGTCTGGGTTATCTCTGGTCGAGATTCCGGCTGAACTATGTATGGCTCCTTGCTCATATCTTCTTGTAAGTTAAATCAGTAACATGGCGGTACAGTCCAAAGTCTGACCAATGCAGCCCAGGCATCCTCAACGGTCTCAGCGGCCTGCTCACTATGCTGCTTAACATCTATAGCGCGCAACAAGGCCACTGGTCACCACCAGCGTGGGCGACACTATGCCTCGTTACAATTACTCTGACATTCACACTGGTTGTGTCTTGTTTGTACAAATACTGGCTTGCCCAGCTGAGGGACACACAGCCGTGAGAGTATTCGACTCCACATTTGCCCGGTCTTGAGGATAGCTAGATACAGAATGGATCAAGCCAATCATATATCCTACATCAAAGTCAAGATGGTGGTGTGCCAGGTATGCCGGTGCCAGGTATCGCATCCAGTCGAAGCAGAATGGTTACACTCGTGTCAAAACTGGACTCCCAATCCTGGCCGGTGACAAATCTGGTTATCTCGGCAATTGTGTCATTGGCTGCTATTGCGGCGAAGTCTTGGCTGATGCTGAACACGCATGAAATGTAAAAAGAAATTGGCTGGCGCCAAAGCTGGCTCTTGCCAGAAATGACATGACGGCATTGGTGGCTTTACTTGCAGCGGCCCCTGCCCCTTACAAGCATAAATACCGCGCCCTCTTTCAGGAAGCCAGCGTTTCTTTTTCTGCTGAGCATCCTCTTATCCTTTCAAACTATTGTGTGCGTACCCCTAAACGTTGACAAGATGTCCTGGTACCTTTCGCCGTCGGTGAAGATGGAGGGCACTCCTATATCTCGCACTATGTCCCCGGAAATACCACCATATCCTTCTCAACCTCCCCACGACGCCTCCACCGTGTTCGATTCTTCGTCACCGCCTTCACCTGCACCGCCGGCGGAGATGTTTCCCCTAGGGACAGATGAATCAGGTAGGTGCATAGTAGTGTCATATGGGTCCTGATACTAACTCTTCACCTAGATGCTTTACTGGACCTGGACTGGGCGGTGGAGGGTGTCATGTTGGAAGACAGCGTGCCTTTCTTCAGACTTCAAGTGGGCCCCGTGGCTATGGAGATTGCAGGCGCAGCTCAGTTGAGCGGCGTTGCCGTCAGACAAGTGTGCAGTGAATTGAAGGACTGGAATACATTCTTCGACGCTCAAACGTCTTCCCTCCAGCCGCTGCCATTTTGCCGACATGATCTCGTCCCTGGGGAGCTCCTGAATTTTACGCCTGAGTACATGATGCTTTGGAACAAGAAATGGATGGTCATTGGGTGGTTACACATCGTATTGAGCCAGGACGATGTCAAGGCTCAAAGCAATGTCCGTAGTTGTGTCTTAAAGGCTTTGGCAGCCTGGGATGGTGCAGAGATTGATGGTTCATGAGAAGATCGCAGCCGTATCCCAAATTTGCCGGATCGCATATAATGCGCAGGGACATCAAATAGTTGCAAATCCGTACCACGCAATTTTTTTAGCAATGGGCCGCAAAAGGGGCAGCGGCTTGCCTGTTACTCGCCTGTGGAGGAAAATGGTTATATACAGCTCGCAAAGAAGGTCGAATGCTTAAGTAGGTAGAGCATGACTTGGCGACGGCACTGCATGGCCCTGAAAATCCGGAACCTCGTGGCTTTTGTCCTACGGGCCACCATGGTCGTCGCACCGCGCCGTCGATGAACCGTCGGCTTATTGCCTGAGAAATGCCTGGAGCGGTATAGCTCCCTGATACCCGGACACTTAATATTGGAAGCGCAGAGGTTGATAAGATAGGCTGCTTAAGCGCTGTCACCCCCACAAAGGTCGATCCATTTGAAATACTATTGGACGCAATGAAAATGGTTCTTTGTTGGAGACTGCTAAGAACAGGGTTGAATTCTCCAACATTCACACTCGCCAACACCTTGTCTGCATCTAAATATATAACACTTTCGAGTTGGGGATATTTCTCAGAAATCCGCCTTCTACTAGGTTTATAAAAAAGGGAGAGGCTAGCGTCATACACAAGTGAAATTCAGTGTTGACCTTCCACTTGAATTCGCTTTCTTATTGCCCACTTGATATCGTAACGGCAACATGTTTTATTCTGACCTCGGTGCTTATTGCCCATCTGGTGGCGATTTTTACATCTGCCAGGATGGGGCTGCACAACAGTTTCTAGGTTGTTGCATTTCGAACCCTTGTATCAGCAGCGGCTCGTGCCCCCAGGACGACTTACGGGCACTGAGCTTCAATGCGACAGCCTATAATCAGACTGAACCACAAACCTGCTTCAACAAAACCGCGGCGAAATGGTATGCTTGTAGCCAGACCTTACCCCCCTTCCTTGGGTGTTGCTTGTCAAATGCGTGCAACACAGCCACCGGATGTCCAACTACAGACTTGACACCTGCAAGATTGCTGGATAGTAAGGAGTACGCCACTCTCTTTGCGACTACAGCAATAAGTATGTCAGTAAAATCATCATCGAGAATCCTCGCGACTTCGATAGCTGCATCGTCGACTGTCAATATCCCGCTGTCAACAAGCACCCAGAGCAGCCATACCGTCTTGACGCCGGGGGCCTGGGCAGGCATCAGCACTGCTTGTGCTGCTTTTGTGGCGTTGCTTGGCGCATTGCTCTGCGCCGCTGGTCGCAAGATGAGACACGTGCGTCGTATACCAGCGGTGTCACAAGGAAGTCGTACAGGCTCAGGGGATCAACGGAGGCCCCCCCAAAAGGATTCCAATGCGCAGCATCTAGGCCCTGATCATGAAGAGCTAGAGAGGCTGGTACACCACGACACTCTCAGCACACGCAACCCGTCAGCGGACTCGATTGACTTGGCCCTCCTTCCTCAACCCCAGCGGCCGTCGACTTACAAAGCGTACAGACCAAGCGCACAGAATTCTCGCGCAGAGTCCTCAACGCCTTTCAAATCCTCGAGATACAAGCCATACAGACCACGACACACAACGTCTCGCACAGGGCCTTCGAAGCATTTCACGGGAACTCTGAAAACCACACCTGATGTGCAGCCGACGGGTTCGTTGTCCGAGTTGGAATAATTTGTACTATGTGTGAGGCGGGCGAAATGATCAATTTAGTATTATCCTCAGAGCCGCAAAAGGCAGTCCACAAACTTTCAACTTTCCATTCTCAACTGAATACATTCTGTGTGATGACACCTCATATGTTGTTCAACCTTCTACTTTATCATCAATTTAATACCAAGCAAACGCTTTGAACCTCAGCGGCCATCGGCGTCTTCTGTGGAATGGGCTGTTCGCTTACGAGCGACAAGGGTGGAATCATCGCGGCGCCTAATGGCTTTATTTTGACGGACGATCTTGCTGCGGACTTCTTCATCATGCATACTCTCTAGCTTCGAGTGTCCAGCAACTTTGGCCCTCTCAGCGCCTGTCATAGCCCGTATGTCTTTCTTTCTACGTCGAGTCGGCTTTCGCCTTTCGACCACAACTATTTCTGGTGTCACGCGGCTTATTGTGATGGTACGAGGCTGCAGGGATCGAGCTGAGACTCTTGAGGAGAGATGGGGGGGATATGGTGTCGGCGGTCTCGGCGGTCTATAAGCTCGACGTCTTGCAGCTGGTGGATCTGGGAGTTGAAGCGGCAGAGGTCTGTTACGGCGCCGCTGTTTAGCCTTTGGAGCCTGGGGGGTATTGTGTTCCATATTGCTGAAGCAATGGCCCATGATATCGCTGTCCAGCAGCCTAATCCAGGTCAAGGTGAGAAATGAGACCCAAGATGAGCCCAAGAAGAGACAAACAAATGTCTATATACGCGTGTGTCTTGACTTGAGCGTGTCTCTGGGGAGGTTCCTTCAAACCCGATCGGTTATCTGGTTTACCGTTTCGAAGCTTGCCAACTTTCTTCTTAATCGTTCACAATCACCGAAAGCCCTTTCTCAGACTCAAATACCCGCGCCCGTCTTCTGTCAGGCTGTGCCTTTCTAGGTCCTGGATTTTGATGCCGCCCCATGAACCGACTTGCCGCCAAGTCCCTGTGCCCCCCTCCCACTCTGCCACTAGAGCTCCTTACGTGGCCGAATCTGTACGATCTCCTCCGCTGCTTCGGTTGCATGGGAAGGCGCGGAATCTCCTTGCGCGGCGTCTCGGGATCGGTCATCTCCTTGAAGTCGTAAGTAGTCTTAGTCTTGCTCCCTCGATCACTGCACGGGCTGGTGGGCTGGTAGTCTACTTCCCTGAAACTGATTGATGAATTGCTTTCACGAGCGGCCACCCTCGCGACACGACAGAAGTGACCACTACCACACGCTATCGCAATTATTAACAAAGCCTCAGTTGAAGATTTAAACATGTTACTTACCAATGAGAATGCTTTTACCAGGAGTCCGGTTTGATTCCTTACGTATGAGGGTTGTTAACAATGCAGGGTGCTCATCGGACGTTTTGTAATGCTCTTGCCAACGCGTCTCCCATCGCTTCTCCCATCGCTTCTGTCGCTGGAGATTTTTCGAAATTTCAGTCGGTTTTGGAACATTAATTCCACGCTTGAAAGAAGGCTCAGGGTAGATAATCCACACCATAAGGAGGGCCCAGGGGCATAGTCAGCAGGTACTAGAGATCTGATAAAGACGTGTGAATTCACCATGGATATGTTCTTTCTCCGTTCCCATTTGAGCGGCTCTGTATCTTCCTGCTGAGCCTCCTTCAGGTGCCCGGACGTCTGCTGGAGCGGCTGCATACCTCCGCGAGGACTGTCTTGCCGGTGGGGTGATCGTTCAGAATGATCCTCATGGATTAAAACTTCCATCTTTGATATGTCTTCGAAGAAGGCTTTTGCTTCCTGAACCTGAGAATTATGTTCCAGTTTCCAGACGATGTCCACTTTTCTGGTCTTATCGCAGTAGAGCTCAGGCTGGGCAGTGCTGTTCGCCTTGTCTTCCTCGTCTTGCTTTCGGCGCGATAGGATAGAGAGGGCAAATGGTAGTACGCCCGCGATTCCTGAGCCCTCTGCAACAAGAATGACAAGATCATACAATCCAGGGTGCAGTCCTCCCCCATATGGCCCCTCGATGCTGACATTAAACTCATGATGGCGCTCACGAAGACTTTTTAATGCCAATGAATGTGGCGATGGTATGGAAAAGGCAACCTCCTTGCTTGATCCGCGGGTTTCGGCTCGCCAAAAAGCCACCGGCGTTAGGATGCTTTGAAAGCGAAGTCGGAGGGGCAGGTCTGGAAATCGCAGGTAGAAATAGGTACCCGGTCGAGTTTGGATGCTGTGGCCAAGACGCAACCATATTGTGGCGGTATCATCGAGTACAAAAAATTCAGTGACCTGCGGCTTCCCCCGGTAAATCTTCCGGATCAAGCGAAGGCAAGCGGAGGTGGTAAAAAGCCCCCCGGCCACCATGCACAGGACGGAGGGAAACGACAAAAACGAGCCCGTGAGCAGCACGCTGTGGGCGCTAGAGATGCAGTCAGCGGAAAGAACTTCTGTATTCGAGAAAATACGGACCCAGTGGTTACCAAGATAGATAAAGATAAAACCAGATGGCTCAACCCAAAGGCAGCCGCTCCCATCCACCTCCGCACTGGCAACAGTGATAGTAGTATGGTAATTAGAAGAAGCACGGTCGCTACAGCTCCAGCGACTTTGCTTGGGCTGAGCACAAGAGACTGAAAGCCAAACCCGCAATGGAGTGCGCCTTGGGTGACCACGACGCGTCCCAGCCAGTGATGGATTAGTTGGTAGACGGGCAAGGATATACCGAGGAAGTCAGCTTGAGTGTTTGTGTGGCGGCTCAGGAAGAGCGGGACCATATTGATAATGGCAAGGTTGGGTAAACTCTTCTTGGGTCTGACGATAGCAAGTAAAGCGTTCACCCCAACAAGTGTGAAGATTATCATAGCATCCGCGATGGTGATAGTCAAAGCGCTCCATGGACTACGGTGGATAAAGACTCGGTGCCGAAAGCGGCGGCCTGCCCACCGTGTCGCAGCACTCAGTCTCCCGCGACCTTTCCAAAGCAAGAGTAGGACAGGGAGACCAAGAATTGCGACACCGTACCATAAGAAGGCCTCCATATTGGTTCATGAGATTCATCCCTCCACCTGGCTTGAGGAGGCCGACTGCCACTGTCTTATACAGTGCTTTTGTCTCTTTCGAGTTTCCTAGAAACGGCGCCTGGGGAGGGGCGTGTCTTGAATCGGGAGAACCAGACATGACACTTCACCAGAGAAATACAAATATCTCCAAGCCGAACTGGTCCACTGCTTTGAATGCAAGCCGTCGATAATCCCAATCGAATCGATTTCACAATCATCATAACAATTGCCGTACACACCGTAGCCATGGCGAGAGCTGATGAAGAGATAGCACAGCAGTGGGAGGGAAATCCTTTGAACAGCCCACGCCAGTTAAGGAGTGGCGCGAAGGCGGGCGAGAATCAGGCTGCGGGCAGCCCAAAAAAGCCAAAGAGTAACATGACGGGAGGCGGGCAGCCCGAAGGTGGGGCTGCTAGGGGGGTAAAGATCACCAGCGCAAAACAGCTTCCAGTGAATCCTCGAGCTCGCTCTACCTCGCCGGAGCCTGAGGATGGGGAGCCTCAGGAGAACATCCCGCCTCAGGAGAACATCCAGCCTCAGGAGAACATCCAGCCTCAGGAGAACATCCAGCCTCAGGAGAACATCCCGCCTCAGGAGAACATCCAGCCTCAGGAGAACATCCCGCCTCAGGAGAACATCCAGCCTCAGGAGAACATCCCGCCCCAGGAGAACATCCAGCATCAGGAGAATACCCGGCTTCAGGAAGGACCCGAAAATCCACCAGAGCAAGAGCAACAGAACGCCCAAGATCAGCTCCAGAACCAGGTCCAGAACCAGGTCCAAACCCAAGGAGATGCTATGTCTACAACTCCCTCGAACGGTATACCTGTCCAAAATTCATCATGGCAAGAGCAACAGAACGCCCAAGATCAGCTCCAAAACCAGAACCAAGGAGAGAAGCAAGATCCAAGAAATGAACAAGAGCGACTAGTTAGGTATCGAGAAAAGTTCAAGACAATGTTTCTAGATGAGGATTTCTGGAAAATGATCAAGGAAGACGTCGACGTCCGGGATTGGCTCCAACAAGAGGTTGCAAAAAGGAGCAGACCTGATTCGGCACCCCCTTTTGATTCTCAGCCCAACCGGGAAGAGAATCTTCAGTACGCGCCGCAACAGCCATCCGCGCCGCAACAGCCATCCGCGCCGCAGCAGCCATCCGCGCCTCAGCAGCCATCCGCGCCTCAGCAGCCATCCGCGCCTCAGCAGCCATCCGCGCCTCAGCAGCCGTCCATGCCCCAGCGGGGAGGACCACAGGGGCCTCTACAGCAGAGCAGGCTCAGGGAAATATGGTTTAAAGATCCAGAGACCTCACAGTACACCAGAGCGAGGATATATGCTAGGATGCGCCAGCGAGGTAGGATGGCCGTCGAGCTGCCTTCGCTCAATCCCGACTTCCCAGAGTGCCCGCGACGCTACAATGTGCCGTGTAAATTTTATAGTGTGACTTGGAATACGCTACCGAAACTCGCTGGAGCCGCAGGTTGGCAGAGATTAAAAGGGATCAAAGATGCGGGAGGTTGCTCCGGCATCTGGGAAGCGCACAGGCCTGATGTGACAGGTCTAATCAGCTCACCCGGATATGCGATCGAGCCCCAGGGCTTGCCTTTCCAAAACTTGGAGCTCCCGTTACCTGAAGCTGTCGAGTGGCATAGCAAGTCGGATGCACAGCATGTCTTTGGAGATTATAGCGAGCAGATGCAAATGTACAGGATCAAATCAGGCCAGGTGGACCCAAAGATACCACGTCCGGTCCATCACAGGGAATTTTTGCAAGCCCGTGCTATGGAGTACGATGGCGCGGAAGCAGGCTTACAAAACATTGAAAAACAGCGGGAAGAGGAAAAGGAGGAGATAAAGCGTATGCAAGCTTTGCTGGCGAAGGAGCGGATGGATGTGATGTGGATGGCTCAAAAGCAGGGCCAGGGAGCAGGGGGTGCAAGCGAGAGGCCAGGCCGAATACCGTTTCCTACCCCGCCCGCAGATGACTTTAGGAAGCGCTAGATCTTTTTTTCTGTGGCCAACAGGGAGGGTTAGGATTTGTTTTGAATGGCTTATACAACACTGTTGGTCTAGGGCTGGTACCTGGACGCTTTATAATTCTGAATCCTTTCAGCTTCATTGCATCTCTTCGTTCGGATCCGTACCCGGGTGTATGTCTATTCTTGCATGAAAGTATATAATGCCTTGAAGCCAACCAAGAATTGGGCATAGACACTCATTGGATTTTGTTACGATGCAACCTTGCCCCTGTTGCACGGCCGCGGGTCTGATCATCTTGCCGCCTATCGCCTCACATATGGATGGTCCCCGATGCTCATGCTGCCACCAGCTGGAGCGCTGCCGGCAACAAGCCCTATTCTGGTACGAGCAGTACCTGCAGGCCAGAGCCAGCCTCGACCGAATGATCCAAACGTCCACACAAAGGGTGAGAGGCACCATGTTGACCTTCTTAAATCCATCCTAATGAGTTTACCAGCAGCGTAATCAGCTGCGATCGCGAAGCCCCGCAACACCTGTGCCATGGTCAGGCACAAGCAGCAGGATGAACTCGGACGGCTAATGTTGCGTGCTACCAAAGTACCGAGAAGAAGATCGGGCCGCATGGAATTTTTCTGGGGTCGGCTTAATTCCGATATGCGAGTATTGGTATCTTGGATTTTGGGATAGCTTGAGTCGGATTTTCCGTTTCCTACTCCTTTCAATAACTTCCGTCATCATTTAAATGTAAATTTATATTGCTGTGCTGCCCACTTCAGAGTAGAACAGACCTGTCTTCATCATTCTGCCCCTCAACAAGATGGCTTCTCCAGTATCAAGCGCCTTCTCCTCCCCCATGTTGCTTTCGCCCGCCCTCCTGTCGCCCATGGAGACAGGATCAGACGCCAGTTCGGTTTTCCCCGATTATGAATCCACTGTCTTGGCCATGGCTATACTGAGCGGCGACACGGCCCAAGTAGAAACCATGGTCAATCTCGGCGCCAGGGTGTCGGCCGACCATCGCTGGACCTTGTATCAAGCGTGCCTGCAAGGGACAGATATGCTCAAAGCGTTACTGCGAAATGCTAGGAGCAGCTCGCGCCTAGATATATCCCCACACGGTGATTCTATTCTTCATCTTGCCCTTCGCACTCCAGCCCGTCGTTTTGGCACCGAGAAGGCCGAAGTGGTCGAACTCCTCTTGAACAACGGCGCAGATCCATTCCGACAGGACAGACTCGGAGAGACGGCGCTTCATATTCTCGCCGCGATGACAGCAGACGAGGAAATCGAGCTGCTCAGATCCTTGCTTGACAACCGTGGGCCTATGTCATACCTGGATCAACGGAACATATACGGGGATACAGCTCTCATCATCGCTGTGACAAGCTATAACATCGATGCTGCGAGGCTGCTTTTGGAAGTTGGGGCTGATCCCAATGTCAAAGGAGAATATGAAAATACTGCTTATCAGTACGCACATCAGCAGGGTAATACCGAGATGCTCGAGCTGCTGTACCAATTTGGTGCGGACAGTTCAGACTATATGGATTTATTGTAGTTGTCATTTTGAGATGTGGAAGTAGGTTACTCGAACGGTCCTTCGAAAGTTAGTTCCAATTCATGCGCTAGAATGATCTTAATCTTATTTTGATGTCTTCAATGTTACGGGCTGAACACAGGGAGATTTTTCAAAATTCATTGACGTAAAGTTCAATCACCCCGCTCTCTAATAGACTGTACCATAGACTCGATGAGTCTGCCCCATCGTCGCCTTTCTTCATCACCCTGTTCCTCATGGTGTCCCTGATCTTGCCTTTCTTGTATGAACAGCCATTCCAGTGTCTCATTTGGGCAGTGGGGGTTTTCCAACCTGCATTGTTCAAATTCGAACCGTATGACATATGCTGATAAAGATAAATCAAGTGTCAACGGAATGACCTGAATTTCTCGTGAGCCAGAATAGGGCAAAACTGCGGTAACACCATCTGCTACAAGTTGGTGCACGCTTTGAAACACACTATGATCTCTGGCTCCGAATGGAGCGAAACATTGCTCCACAACATCGCAAACATTCACGGTTATTTTCTTGCCGCGAATGCGAGCGTTGTGGCGTTCCCTGTCTAGATCATGATCTTGGAGGCAGTCTAAAGGGTTGGACGATACGTATTGGGAGTCTCCGATCCAATCCAAGGTCAGGAGGAAAACGTAAATCTCGTCGTCTTCCTCTCTATCTCGTAAACTGTGTCCTACCAGAACTGGGTGTCTGCCGACACCGACTACTTCGTCGAGCCAATCGGTTTTTCTGCAGACTGTCGCCCATCTGCAAGCATGTTTGAGAACCGCATTGTCTACAGGGATATTAATTCCTGCTAGATGTTGGTTCCAAATGTCGATAGGGGAAAGATAATCCGTGATTTGGTCCCACAATTCTTGCGGCGTTGTGACCTTGATGCGTCTAATTAAATTCCACTCGTCTGGCGTGTTCGCCATGATGAGACATTGATTGATACAAGGGCTAGGGGAACCGAAGAAACGATAAGGATAAAATAAGAGGAATCAGCTGTTCAAGAGCGTGGAATTGTAGGCAATTTAAGCAGGAGGGCAAGCGGCAAACCGTATTAAGAGTTCGAAAAGAGGAATACTGGAAAAGGGTTGGCTTGGGAAGAAGAATCGTACAAGGGTGGTAGATTGTATCCGGGGGAGGGAATTCAGGGGCCAGTAGATTTATCTTGGTAGATTGTATCCCCGGGGGGGAATTCAGGCCACGGGGGAGGGAATTGAGGCCAGTAGATTTATCTTGGTAGATTGTATCCGGGGGAGGGGATTCAGGCCAGTAGATTTATCTTGGTAGATTGTATCCCCGGGGGAGGGAATTCAGGCCAGTAGATTTATCTTGGTAGATTGTATCCCCGGGGGGGAATTCAGGCCAGTAGATTTATCTTGGTAGATTGTATCCCCGGGGGGGAATTCAGGCCAGTAGATTTATCTTGGTAGATTGTATCCCCGGGGGAGGGAATTCAGGCCAGTAGATTTATTTTGTATGGATTTTGGAGCAGTTCATTTTTTGATAGATTGTTAACCGAGGAGGGGAAAATGGAAATCCACCTCAAATATCCTGAAAACCAGAAACAAGAAATCATACAATACAATATCTGATATCGGTTGGATCACCTCATTCACCTCGCTGGGTGTCAGGAGATTCTGGAGTCCCTGAACTCCTTGAATATTCTGCAAGTAAGTCACAAAGAGCCTTGAGATCACTCTTGCTGGGACTCATCGATAGAGGACCAGACATCTTTTGGTCCTCATTTGGTGCCAGGGAACAGACAGAATAGGCGTTGACAGAATTCAAAGGTAGAGAAGTATCGATAGCGGGCACTTGAAGTCGGGCTGTGTGGGCGGTTGGCACTTGTGAGTCTGCCGGCTTGTCAAGCTGATGGACTAGCTTCCCAATAGGCTCATCATTGTCTGTGTCGACGAGGAGAACAGACTTCTGGCCGCGGCCAAGAAGGCCATAGACAAGCACCTCACCCTCTTTGATCCCTAACACACAACTTGTGCCCGTGTAGATCATGTCGTTCTCAATACCGGTACGGTTGCAGAATACCACAATGATCTCCTCAGTCTTGTCTGTTCGGAGGATGGGCTCAAGACGCTGAACCCCTGTATTTTAAAAATCAGTGTCCTGCGAGTTATTGTAGTGATAGTGAGGCGTACAATAGCTGATCGCCTCGAGGTCCGGTTCCTGGGGAAGGGATGTGTAGTTTCTCGGTCGTTGTTCAGTGAACCAAGCCATAGGGATTATGATGAGATTCGCTTGCGTATCCACGGCGTGAAAGGAAAATTCGAATGCGTGGAATGGTGCTTCGAATTTGTATGGGCTGCTCGTTATCAGTGTGCAGAATGGAAAGGTGGGAAGGTGAACTGACTTGATATCCATCGCTACACACGCACGGGTTAGCATGCTGTCCCCTTCTCGGAAACGAGGTTGACTTACAAATCCCTAGAGCTACTTTCCCAAGGCCAGGGATTTGGGAACCGAAGAAGCCAGGGCCTTCTGAGGCCCAATTATCATCAATCTCGTGCAGGAAACACTTGCGATAATTCCCGGCTGTCTCCCCTTTTTTGTCGATGACAACAGCTGAGTTATAGTACTCAGCCTTCCTCACCAATTGATTCGTCTTTTCTGGATACCCAGTGACCACGAAGCAGTTGTAGTTGACGGCGAAGGTGCGGGCCCAGAGAGCAGTGACACCTGAGCCTAAGTGCTCGGAGTGCCCGTATATTTGCTCCGAGGATGGAGGAGGGCACCCTGAAAACGCTAATTCGGGGAGCACGAGGAGATCAATGGTGGAGAGCATATTGGGATTCATCCGGGAGAGAATCGCGTCAGCACGGCTCATATTATAGTCGACATTGCCCGATGAGGGCTCGAATTGGAGGCATGCAATTCTCATACTGAGATGGTTTCGACCGACGTGGCCTTGAGGAATTGAGAGGATGGCACTCCGTCGTAAAGGGGTGGTGCCAATACACGTCGTTTTAAGAAACGGGCATCCCACAGGTGCATATCACGCCAAGCGAGGATGGGACAAAGAGGGCGCGCAACATAGTATATACACTAACGTCGCGGGTGAGAATAAATGTACCGATGTAGCCAAGTCGCGGAACGTGACCTCATGTACCTATATCGTACTACCTCTGGCACTGCAGATCATGACCAGGCTCGCGACGGGGCGGAACAGACCTCAAGACACCGGTCCAACGTTGCCCGTTCCTTCAGCTGTCCCAGGAAAGCGGCAAGACTTCGGTTGTCGAACGGACCTGGCCGCTCGTGTCAGGCTCCATCGGGAGAAAGGTGCTGCGCAGAATTTCCAACAATTGCGAGCGATAAAAAGTGAGCTCGCCTTCAACGGCCGAATCCATGAAGTGCCAAATGTAGTCATCGCTGCCCAACATGATGTTGGCTGACCACCGGCTGTCGCCTCGTTTTACTCCGATAACGTAAGAGTGCGGCCATAGAACTGGTAGCCAGTAACCTCGCGCTCCAAGAGAGAACAGCCTCGACTGCAGCCGGGGAATGTGGAAAATTCGGCCGGCCGGCACGAAGAGTAAAAGGTCTAAGCGCGGAACTCGAAGGATTCCCAGGTCTGCCCTGTAATGGTAATCGTAGCGCAGCGATTGCAGGATTGTTGGTGTGTCGTAGAGGCTGATCAGCGCTAGTTCATGCTGGCATGAGCTCTTTGTGACCAAACTCGCCCCAGCAAGCAAGATTTTAGCGCGGTCTAAGGCTGCATTATCCCGGAAAATTGAGTCGAACAGTTGAGACAGATCTAGACACATTATCGCAATGATAATGGTCTTTCATTTGTCCCATCGACCTGCTCCTGTCCCCATTTAAACAAATGCAAGTGATCGCGTACACGACTCCCTCCATTATCTGTTTTCAAGCATGCCACAGATCGGGTCGCTTGGAAAAAGGAGGACACAGGGCTGTGCACGCTTGAGCCGACCTTGGAGATGGCCTCGCGGCGTCTAGAGGTTAAATTTAGCAGACGGAATGAATGGCCACGACGATAAATAGTCGTGACCAGAGCGGCGCCGTGGCAGTTGCTTTACGGCATGCCTTTCAGCCTTCATTTTTACATCCACCTCCGTCCATCTGGTGCTCGTTCCTAATTATCTGCCCTGTCCGCCCTGCCAACCCTAAAACCCACAACCAGAAGCAGCGCCCGCTAGTGACCATTCGAGCACAATCCAATCCACTTGACGCCGGTACACCTGTGGTGTCATTCACGTTACTTGGGAAATTGCCACGATGACAGCAGCAGCTTCCATGAAAAAGTCCTGGCAGCAAAGGAAAAAGGGAATTATGAAGAAAGCCGATGAAGTGCGAATCAAGTTCAATGCCCGCGTTGCGGTGCTCATCGAAAAGGATGGTGTTTTGTACGCCTATAAGTCACACAAAGACTTCCCCGCCGCTCTTCCTGGCCGGCTCCTGGAGTGTAACACGGTCACCCCGGAGGATTACATGACCGTCAGACAGACGCAGCGCAGCAATACTGGAGCTGCACCTTCAACGCCTCGGTCCGACGACAGCTTATCAGCGGCGACCGGGACTGACGAGCCCATGACAGGCTTCACCCCTAGGCCCCTGACGCAGCCCATGCGTCGGAGCTATTTCGACAGTTTGGATGTAGAGGTTGACGATTGTCTGTTTGATTTGAGCATGTAGACGGGAAGAATTATCTAATACGTTTTTGGCTCATTTACTGTTATCTACAAATTGACTAAGCTGGTTTTCCATCTTTCCAATCCTATGCACGACGCTCTCCATTTCCGTGACCCTGTGAGTCAATCGCGCATGCACAAGATTACGCAGCAAGCAAGGGCAGTTGCTAATTTTCCGACGGGCCGATCCCGGGACCAAACTGTCAACCTCTACGCTGATAAGCGTGTCTCCAGAGAGAGCACGCACATGGAGACGACGTTCGAAGGGATGACCCCTGCGGATGCGATCCCAAATTGTTGCAGTACAAAACTCGGCCTGCCTCGACGGCCCGTCACCGTAGTATCCGACCTGGACATTCTTACTATGTAGCCTCCTTACCAGGTCAGCCAGTTCGGGACCTGGTGGCAAGCGGCACCGGATCAGAATTTCTACACTGGCTGGTGTTGAGAAGGATGGTAGCGCCTCTGCCACCTCAAGATAAAAGAGCGAGGCCTGAAGTTTCTCTCCGATCAGGGAGATCTGGGCTTCCTCAAATTCGCCCCCGCTATACTCAATGATAGCATCGATCTTACAACCTGGCCATTGAAGCTTGGCCTGGGCCACGCTGTCGTCCGTTGCCATGCTCATCCTCACAAGATTGCTCCGAAACTCATCGTGGCGGAACTGGAGCTTGCGCCCGAACTTGTACCCCTGTCGGGACCGTTTAGCGCAACGAATGTGTGGCACATGATAGATGCATTCTTCGATGGATGCCTCCTTGCAGAAAATCATAATAGCGAAGAACAGTCCGACCCCGCTGCTGATGATCAAGTCGAAGTTTTCCCAAAGTGGACATCGGATCTGAGCACGAAGAGTTTGTAAAAGCCGGCCAATTGCCGGTGCGTCGGCCGCTGTGCCTGTGAGGCGCAGAACCCGTATTCCCGCGGTATGAGGTTTCGTGCGGATTGTGGCGCTGTGTTGGTTGGCACATAATCGACATCGATTGGTTTGATCGTCTTGTTGGGCACAATAGTCACAGAGGCGATGGCGGCAGGGGAGGGTGATGTGGGTGTTATGTGCCAGGCATGACAGGCACACCTCCTCACGACACAGGCGCTCCAGCAGCGACCCCGGGGCGGTGGCAGCGAGCGATTTTTGGACTTTGGCCAGGGCTCTGCACAGTACATCTGCCGGCTCTTGTCCTCGGGTCTCACGCACGAGATGATTGAAGTCCTGCTGGACAGCTGCGGCGAAGGCGTGCCAGGTAGGTAGACGTTTGAGGCGGTCGAGAAATGGCCAGTAGGATTCCTCAAAAATGTCTTCTGGTTCGAAGGCTAAAAGATGTCAGCATGCTGGCAACATAACAAAACTGAGCCGTACCTGCGACGCCCGCGCGGAAGCTGTCTATCCCAAGCGCTGCAGCAACCAAGTAGCTTAATGGGTTCACCATCGCAGTCTCGGCAGTGTATTCGAAGATAACTTCTAGCTGTCGGGGAAGCTCGTCCGTAATCTTGAACATTCGCGATCCCTGAATTATATTGATCGGGTGGATATAGTTGTGCGAGAAGTGGACGCAGGCGTAACGTAGGACGGAAATGAGCTGGAGCCGTGGTAGAGCTGGGGGGCATGACGCAGTCCTGTTAGACACGGCGAGAGCCTCCCGACAGACCCCCTGCTCATCCTCGAGAGTTGACAAGACAGCTGTGATGCTACCAAAACAAGCCCTCCAGGTCGCCTCGGCCTGCTTGGTTGTCATCTCTCTCGCATAATTGCATGTGGCTAGGACCTCCGCCGTAATGCGGTTCTCGAGGTCACCGGGAAGACGCGCCAGTTTGTGACGGTAGATAATGATAGACGGCCGGAAACGAAGCCTCCTGTTACCATGTGCGGTGATGTGACGAACCCAAGAAGCGAGGAGCTGGATGATAGCCTCTAGACTGCCAAATTCAGCCTCAGAGAACACGACTGCTGCGCACATCGGTGCGAGAACAAGGGGATATAGCCGACCCGCGATGTCCGCTGGCGAGGCGAGACTGTCGGCCTTGAGCGGGTGCAGTGTTGTATTGGGCGACTTGGGACCCCCTTTGACCTTCGCCATGCCCTGCTGCCGATGTAGAGCACACTCTATTAGGATGGTGGAGACACCGACTGATACAAGATGCACGTAGTTGCCTCGAGAATGACCACCCACAAAAGAAGCCGGGGATTCACCCCTTACCAGCATCACCAAACGGTTTGCCATCCGGTGCAAAGCGTGATAAACATCTCTCTCTATCAGGAATGGGCCCTGGAGGCCGGCTGCGCCTCTGTTGAGGTCTAGCCAGCAAGTCTGGAATGTATCGGCGCTCATTTTTGCTCAAGCGATCTGAGAGACATTGCCCCGAGGAGAGGATCTTGTGTGATGTGAAGGTGAAGATAACAGGGTCAGAGAACACCAGGGACTTGTGATAAAGATGAGAAACCGTCGACGGGCCATGGGCGCCGCAGGTGACCAATGGTTCGACGGATTTTCAGCACATTAGCCAGCTGTCCCTGCTTCTGAATCGGAGAAATATTCGGTTGCTCCCATATGTGAAGAGCCAACCCCGAGTTCGAATATGTCCTGTCCCCTACGTGGTTGTCAATAAGGCCAAACATGCAATTCTTCATCGGCACAGCGCAGGTGCAAGTGAAGAATCTTTTCTTCGACTCGTCAAGCCGGGAGAAGATCGAGCGAGCTTGTGAACAGCTGGCAGCGGTCTTCGAGGACGGGTGTAACCCATTCGCGGATGACAATCGCATTCCGGTGGCTCTCTTCCCCGAAGAGCTAGCGATCGTGCTTAGAGAATCGATGGTATCGATGCAAGACCTGGTCAGCCCGCAGAACCCAAATTTGAAGCTTTACCCATCGAATGGGATCCGTTGCGTCCATGGTAGACAGCGGTTCGAGACGGCTATCCGTGTCAAGGGACCCGAGTATTGGTGGGGCATCCGGATCTATTGCATACCACGAGGGAGCGAAATCTGGCGATTGCTATATAATGAGGTTGATCAGTACTATTACCAGACGCAACCAACTGATGGTGAGGTCTTTTTAAAAGTCCGCCAGTACATGGAAGCGGGTGAGCCACAATGGGCTGCACGATCGAGGAAGAAGTTAAGCCCTTGCAAGCAGACAGCCCTCAAGGCGATCGAGGCGAAGGGGGAACTTCTCGAGAAGCTGGATCAACTTCGAAGATTTCCCGGCTTATGGGATGACTTCAATCTAGGGAATATAGAGAAGTATCTTGCGCTTCACATTATGGACGAGATCCTGCATCACCTGCAGCACATCTACGACTTCTGGGCACGGGTTACACTGTACGAGCCGCAGATCCAAGAGGCAACGAGCAGATGGACAGTGAAAACTTTGGAGCTGCGTGCGCCTGGCTGCAAGACCGATCGCGAAGCCGTACGGCAATTCATGGGGGCGGGGCTGCTCTTCGAACGCGTCTCGCAGCCTGCGAAACGGCAGAAGATCCAGCAAGAGATATTTTCGATGCCGAGGCTGATAATTCCAAGTTTCCGGACTTTTCGAGAGAATATGAACTGGCTGACGGTGGGCGTCCAAATTTTGAAGGATGAGATCATCGACAAGGCCGGGAAAAGAACAGTGCAACAGGCCATGCGGGACTGTTGGAAACCGCCCGAGCGGTGTCTGGTCGAGGTGGGGCGCGACGATTACATAGAGATCCCTGTTCCGCCGGTGTTCGAGCTCGCTTATCGCCAGGTCCTCGTCGCCGCTTTGAGAGGATTCCCTAACCTATCCAGTGTGTTCGCGCCTCGCCGGGAGAAGGGCCAGAAGAGGAGGACGGCGGGGATAGATGATGCACACCTAGCCGCATTCCTGCGGGGGGCACAGAAGCAAGGGTTCCAGTCGGCTAAAATCCGGACGGGGCTCCTCCGCACTCGGGGAGCAAATCCCAAGCAGGACTCAGTAGAGTCCCGGGGAGAGGATCCCGGTCATGTGGGTGCCCGGTTGGAGAGGCGCTGCGGCCGTCCATTTGCCAACACCTATGCTTTTCTTGAGTCTAGGCTCTTTATCACCAACTTGCTCACGCTAGACGAGAGCCCGATGGACTATCCCTCATCCCTTTTCGTGCAGCGCGACTTCTTGCGTTCCTTTTTTGGTGAGGATAGTGACATGGTACAACTAATAAGTCTAGTCCGTCAGCGTGCCGATGGCACTCGTGCAACAACAGCACGCAATACCGACCTTCGAACACAATCTCTCAACCTCACAAGCACTATTTCACCGCAAGTGACAGCTTCCCCCGTCGGAGCTTGCCCACCCGAAGTACGAAGTGCTGCAGCCAGCCGTCACTCACAGGCCATACAGACTGATGTAACTCCGCTTTCCCGAGAACTTCATCTTAGTGACACAGAAATGCCCTTAGCGTCCGAATCACCATGGAGTCCCACAGCCCCACACCATCCGAGCCAGGCTGTACCCCAGCCCCTAGACGTAAGGGTCTCTACATGGACTACCAACAGGTCAATGGAGTCACGGTCTATCTTCACCCCCAGATCCCTGGCAGCAGCTCTCGGGCCACCCCCCCTTCCAGATGCAGAAGCGCCCGAGCCGCTTCATTGGGCCCACCCACCCCACAGCCCCCATATTTCTGCGCTTAGCACGAGCACAGAGACGTCCTTCTCGTCCAGGTCAATCATTCTGCCGGAGCTGATGCGCACGACACCGCGGCCGGTACCAACTACATCGAACCGTGCCGCGAGGATATGGCGGCAACGGCCTTCTATCCAAAGCAGCAGTTCAACTACGAGCGAGGGCAATTCCCGGAGCATTTTTGGCCCCGACGACCTGATGTATGGCTGATTTGCACTCGATTGACATTGAATTTGGGGTAGACATCACAGTTTCTTGACATTTAGCTACGAATTCAGTCATTTAAACACACTTCTAAATACAAAAAATCAAATACTACAGCCACAGGAGGGTCCCTACAGTGTCCTCGTGATCGTGCCACTCTACCTCCTATGCCGCTTCCTCGTGATCACATCTTGATCCCCTCCTGCATCGCGCTTGCGCTTAGGGCGACCTCTAGTGATGCTGTCAAGAACTTCGCCGTTCTCTGAAACATTGTCCCCTCGAGGACTTTCCACCAGCTGGCCGGGCGCTCCCACGTCCGACAACAAGGGCTGTCGCTCATCAAGATTGAAGGTGGTGAGATCTGACATAGCTGAAAGAGGAACGGAGGACGAGTTTCGCCGACCAAGCAGATAGGGTGAGCCTGTCTGGCCGGGGGTATCGGCTGTAGTAGCTGTCTGTTGTGCTGAGAAGGGCGCGACACTGTTGTACACGTTGAGTGTGCGTGGACCGAGGACGAAGGTGATATTCCCATCCCCTTCCTGTGGAATGAAGAAGTCGATGGTTGCGAAGGGGAAGGGGTGGTCTGGTGGCATGTGCGCATGTGCGTCAAAAGTGACACGCCAGAGGGTGCCTGGTAAACCCTGTACAAATAGTTGCCTCTGGTCGAGCCCCTCGGTGCGGATGCGAGTCCATTTCCAGATTATACCGGAAGCGTCTGTAATTCCCTGGAAGCCGTTGGTCGGGTGGGAGACACAGATCAGGGTAACAGGTATACCCGTGCAGGGCCGTCCGTGGATGTCCTTGATGATACAGTTGAGGAAATGATGGCTGCTGGTCATGATGATAGAGTTTTGGACGAAAGACAAAATTGTTGTTCTGATGAGTGTGTCCTTGATACTGCTTCTCATGCACTTCCGACCTGTGAGACCTTATATGGTCGAATCTGGCGCCAATTTAGGGGTCTATTTGGATATCAACAAGCGCCGGGAGCTTGCCTCGCCAGGCCGCCTCTACATAGCTATTTTAAGAAGGGCCTGAAGAATTCTGAGTTTTCCGTGCTGTGGAAAAGGAAAGGTAAACGCGAAATCAGATTTCTACGGCGGAAGAGCTACACGGTTGGTTCTCTGAATCTTGTATTCTATTATTGACAGGGACAAGTGAGGATTCTTGTTGTGGTGGCCGTGCCCGGGCTACCAGTGAGCATGTACATGAGAGTACAAGGTACCGCTGCCCAATTGTACTGTTGTACTTGGGGCCCCTGTCAGCGCGTGATGCGCATGCCCATGGTTCCATCTTTAGCGCAGAAGCAAAAGTTGCATGCATGATATGTCACGTGCCTCCGGTGCAACGTCCAAGCAACGACATCCGAACCAACAGGTACAGCTGCGCCGAGTTCAGCACTCTAGATGGGCGACTCGTCGAATCGGCTGTATACTTTGATTTCCTCGTCATTGTCTGACCGTTGCTGCACCGCCCGCTTGTACCGTTGGAATTCGTTGATTATGGTCTCGGCAATCTCGCCGACCAACTTATCCCTCTGCTTGAGCGCATCGCTGTACTTGTCGGCCAGCTCTTCGCCCTCGCGCTTGTAGGCAGTCTCCGCGCCGATCTTGGTCTCGAGGGACTGGAGCTCGAGCTGTAGCTGTTTGTTTTTCAGCCGAAGCTGTTGGTTCTCTTGTTCCAGAAGCTGGGCATAGGTCTCAGGTGAGTAGACCGACAGGGTCTTCCGAGGACTGAGGGCGGATGGTGTTGGCGGTAGCACCTTAGCGGCACTGGCCGCCATGGCTTTGGACGACTTGCTCGACATTACGCATGGATGATGACATGTTGGCACGGAGGAATGCTGGGCTGGTGAACCCGGGGTTATGTACGGACTTGTCCAAATCTCCGCGATTTCGTGCCGACAAAGCGGGTTCGCCTTCCTCAATTTCGGGTTTTCTCTCTACAGGCTATCCTAATCCTTAGCCGGCGGCTTCGCACCGTATCCCGCATGCTCGGCGGGGTAGACCTCGATGTGTTTCATCCGTGAGGTGATCTCCACCGAGAAACTCTTCAGTTCCGCCCCGAGGGAACTGATGGTCTGCGAGACCTTCGCGACCTCCCTCTCGACTCTCGCCAGGTCCTTCCCGACATTTTCCAACCTGTTCTGTCTGGAAAGCTCCTGCTCGAACTGGTCGAATCTGCGTTCCTGGCGGGCAAGGCTCGACACCTCCCTCTCGAGGCTTCCAATCCTAAACAGAACAGCCTCGAGGGCGCTCCTGTGGGTCAGCGAGGTGTAATACACGTAGGGGTGGGCATGCGACGAACCCCTTGCAACACCTCTCATGCGAACGTCCCTCTAGGGTGGTAGTAGTTGTTGGTGGCGGTAGGTTACAGTCTGTTAGATCGCTTCCAAATTGGTACTCTGGTTCCGAATACATAGCCATTGTTGCTGCGCGTCTCGATTTGCCCCATACCAGCCAGGGGCTCTCTCCACAAGATAATTGAGTCCAGGCCTGGTTTATAACCACGCCATGAGTGTACCATGCACGGTTTCTCCGACTTCACCCTTGGGCGTATGCTCCCGAAATAGACCGGCGGCTACAAGACACCTCGCATCCCCCGGCGTGGGTCAACTCGCTCGGGATTTCTGCATCCTTCACCACTCACTACTTGTCAGGTACAAGATGATGATCAACACCTTGTGGATAGTTGTGGCACTCGTTGTGTGCGCAGTCGCCACTCCCTTTCCGAGGGTGTGCCTCGCGGAACCGCCGATTGGTCTCACAGCGGGCGGGCCGTTGTCATTCGAGTTGGTTGTCCCCGTATAAGATGCCGTTCTATAGCTGCTGACATCTGATAGCGTCCAAAACCCATTCAACGCCACCTGTGAGGCCGTTCTCGCGTACTCAGACCCCAACTTCCTTCCCACATCATTTGTATTCGAGCCAACCACCTGCTCGGGCGTGCAGGTGGCACAGCTGATTGTGCCCCCCGAGGCTCCCAACGGGAATGCAACTGTATCCTTGTAAGTCACCTGTGATCTCACTTCCGCATGCTATGCTCATCCCGGCCAAGCCGCTGTGAGGGCCAGCCATCCGAAGCATGCAACCATGCGGTCATCTCGAAAGGCCTCAACCGCTCCGAATCCATCACCAACGTGCATAATGGCGTGAGTGGTTGTGTCGAGCCTGTTCTCGTCGTAACGACCCTCTTAGAGACCATGACGAGCGGTAGCACTGCCGCCATACAGACCCTGATATCGTCTGTCCAGACGAGCACGACCAGGTTCCCTGGTAGCATGCCCACAAGCGAGTCCTCCCCAAGGAACCTCGCAAGTCCCTCAGGGACTACTCAGGAGCTGAGAAGCACAACCAACTCCGTATTCCCAGCGCCTACGACAAGCAGTCTCACCCCCGACGAACCCCTCACTAGCACGGAGTCACACTCATGGGCTGATCCAGCTTTCACCCCGGTTCAAAGGACATCTACATCGACCCAGACCACGGCCTCGTCTAAGGGCGGCCCAAACTTCACGGACGGGATCACCATACCTATATCAAGCGCCAACAGCACTCTTCGGCCTTTGTCCATGACTATTTTGACAAGCCTGAGCACGGTGACCCTTGTGTCGACCCTAACATCCCTGACAAGCGGCATGTGTGATCCAACAACAACAAATACCAAGTGTGGGCTGTAGGTTGATCTGAATGGCTCCCTTGATCAGGGTTGTTATTTTTATCCTACCCGTGGACAGAGCTGATCGTTTTTGCATTTGAGTCTTCAGGGGTGGGACTGTGGCTGTTCCTTTTTGGGCCAGGAACCATGGGCGAAGGATGGTGGTTGTTGGAGGCGGCTATTTTTTTCCCTTTTTTCTTTTTTGTAGAGATCCATGCGATTTGTGCTAAATTTGAACTTCATTTGTTTGGACGCCTAAGAATGCTTCCCTTGTGATATAAATAATATCCGTAGTAAGAGAGTCTTGCACCTCACTCATTTCGATTCTTCAATTGCCCCAGACATCACAAATTACTCTTACATACACCCAAACTCACACCATGGCATCTTCTCCGCAAATACAGAAACTCATGCAACTCCTGGAGCAGGAGACAGAGGCCCACAGGTTCACAAAAAGTCTTCTTCTCCAGAGCCAGACCTGTCAGCAGTCTTGGGAGCGCGCATTTCGTATTGCCCAAGCAGAGATACAATGCAACCAGATCAAGCTCTCGGCCCTGGAGACCAGAGTCCAGCAGCTGACTACTGAGAATGGGCGGCTTAACATGGTGGTGGGTCATTTGGTAAGGACTCCGACGCTTCAAGCAACACATTTGATTGTGCTAATACGAAAAGGCTCCCGGCAGACTCCATACGTCCGCCTCGTCCGAGAATATCAACCACGGAGAAATAAACCAGCCCCACGCCCAAGACCTATCCCTGGACGACCCATCCTCGAACCCCGGCCAATCCAAAGGTCCCAACTCAGGCGAAACATCCCCGGGAGACCAAGCTTGCTCATCCCCCGAAATGACGAGAAGACAGTCTCTCCCTTCTGGAACACTAGAGGGCGAAAGGAGGCCGCACAGGCAAGAACCGTTGCCGGTCACCAAAGGCGCTCGCCACCACCCGCCTAGTCGCTCTTTTTGAGAAGCTCATCCATCAAGTTGTGTTCTCGTGCCCTGAAGGGTCGTTGCCTCTGTTGCTCTGCTCACTCTCTCGCTCTTGTTCTTGCTCTGTTAACGCGTTGTTACTTGGTCTTATCATTGGAGTGGTACGTGCGTTTGGTCGAATTTGGAAATTTTGCGGTGTGACGATCTGGGGAATTTGGGAAGTAGTTGTGCTTCGGGTAGATAGTTTGAATTGATCACGGTTTATTGCGTATTACGTACAATTCCTGACGCTGGTGTCCGCCAGTGGAGCGAAGCTGGTGGGACATCCACAGGTATATCGGCTTTGTTGATATACTTCGACGTAAATTCGAGCACTATAGTCCGCTCTCCTCACGAGCGTCGTACGTCGGCTGCGGAATCCATTATTACATTGAGTCTATCTGGATCATGTTCACATATTGTGGACGTGCGAGCCACATTCAAAGGTGTTCCTTGGGGCATATCACCAACCTGCGGGTGTGCTTCACTTTGCGAACAGCGGGTGCTACCCCGGATATGATGCGTCCTTAGAGGCCCACGGGTTGATGGTTGGCTTCTGCCACTTGTCGACATGTGCAATACATGATGTGCGAGGACGGCTTTCCAACATGCAAGGTCCCTGGATGATGGGTCACTCTTCCAACGAACACATATAAAGACGTCAGCAGTACCTGCGATAACTCCGCTCGATTTGCTCGCTTCCTCATCATCTGGCCAGCTAGAGAGGCATTCAATCTTGCCTTTCGGTCTTTGCTCATAACGAGCCTCATTCAGCATGCCTGCCCTTATTGTCTCTCCAATAACAATGGATCCGCGTTGGCGCAACTCAATGAAGTTAGAACTCTTTATTTTCGCTCAAGAGACACGCAGGCCCCCGATCACAAAACTTTCGCAGGCTATGGCTGTCTCGGCGCAGCAGGACTTGGAGCGCCAGGAAAAAGGACCCGCTAGTGATTGATTGTCTGTAGGTGGTGGAGGGCGAAAGTACTGCGGCGGGGGAAGAAGGTCGGCGATGGAAAATCTGTTGGTGATGGGGGCGGAGTTGTGTAGTTGGGCCTCGAGCCACATACCAACCGATAAGCGATGCGAGAATCCTGCAGGAACGCCCATAAGGGATGGTCGTGATAGGAATGGTGTGTTGATGATCAGCCTTGAACTACTGTACAGAGAATTATGGTGGTTGGTCTCTTTGACAAGCGACCTGCGGGGAAGCCGATGATGGACGGTCTGTTGGTGACGACGTTGAGTTCTGCTGCATAATTGTGGGTTTTTGCAGCCGATTAGCGGACTAGGATGTGGGGATAACGAGCTAGCCGCGGATACCAGCTGGTGTACGTTTAATTGACATGCAGTTGCTGTGTCTAGGAAGAGAACCAGGAAATCGAAAATGTCAAAGCGACGACATGGTACCCTGTGCCCGCCAGCGCTATTTCAGATATCACATGCCCAAGCGAGGTCGCGCCAGGATACCCTTGTTTCAGTCATTACTGGTCACAACACCTGCAGTAAAATCAGACCACTCGAGGCGGCACTTGCGCGTGTTGGACGTGTAGAGAACATGATCTAGTGATAGCAATCATTAATTGCCCACATCAGTTAGGTCCCAAGGATTGACCTCGGTCTCGTTGCCTTGTCCCGACCCATGATCTACTGTCTTCGGCGGCTCTAGCATGCTGACCCCGTGTCCGAGGGTCCCGCCGATCCGGGATGGACGGGGACTATCCTCATCATCCCCTCTCTCCCCGGCGGCATGGTGGGCTGGAGATGTGGGTCATCCGAGACATAGGGAGACCACAATACGTATTTGCCCATGTTTCGAGGTGCATCGCTCTGCATTTCACTACTAAATATAATGGATTGGCAGTTCGGGCTGATGCAGTCGAGTGCGATAGTGGCCGACGCAGGTCGCGAAGCTACTCGCAAGGGGACAATATGGCATGGAATCATCAAATTTGCCACCTGATAACGTAAATATTGTAAATGAAACCATTCGTTACACGACTGAATTTACGAACCCTGCTCCCCCTTCACTCTTCTTTCCCACGCCGAATCGTCTTCCCTCTTGCGCTTCCGCTTGCTGTGAGAACTCGCCGTCCGTGATGCGATTGCCGCCGAGATGTCGGAATGAGCAACTGCGCAGTGCAGGACCCAACCGTCTCGATCCTGAATAGGCTCCCCTGGTGTCCCAAGCTTCTCGCATTCTGGGCACGGAAACGGCAGTGAGTGCAAATGGCTTTTAGTGAAGTGGTCAGCCACTTTGGAGAAAAATTTGTCACAAGCAAGGCACCGAGCCAATTCGTGTGCCTGTTGTCCAAAAACGACCTCCGTCTTGCCATGTACGGCAATGCAATGAAGCTGCCAATCCTTGCGATCGACTATGAGGGGCACATGAGCCTCCCCTTGCCGAGAGCAAGCCGGGCAGGAGAATGGTGCGTCGAACACATCAGAGTGTTGTCTCAGGTAGTGATTTCCCTCGTTTGAAATTTCATGCTCACAAAAGAGGCACTTGAACAATGTTGTTGGTGGCGTCGGAGCATGGTCGGGTCCGCCGTGGGACAGCGCCACATGGCTACACCATTCGGACAAGTTATTAATCGCAGGAGGCTCATCTCCCTGGCGACGGCATTCTGGGCATAGCAGCGGTGTCTGGAAGTCCGAGTGGTGGCAACGCGACGTGTGTATTGACAGTCCCTGTTTCGATTGGAAGCTGCTCTCCGGACAGAGTAGACACTTGATGGCCACCATCGGTCTTCGTTTGGGTGCATTCTCCAATCCATGGTAACACTCAATATGAGCCACCCAGTCGTTCCAGCCATCAATAGTACAGATTTCATCGCAACTAGGACAGGAGAATGGCTCATCCCACACCTCTCTGTGCACCTTTTCATAGTGTTCGCGCAGTGCTGACAGATCTTTGGACGGCTTGGCATTCTGGCACAGGAGGCATCGCGCCGTCCAGAGGTGACCGAGATGTGCAGAGGGGATTTCCGGGGACTTCCGCACAGGGTGGCCGAACTCCGTGCCTGCGGAATCCGACCTGGGAGGCGAGGCCTGGCGAGTTATGGTGACTGCTTGGTACGCAACCAGTTTCTCGACGTACAACGCGATGTCGTTGGGAGATAAAGGCTCATTTCGGACCACCAGCGATGCAACTGCGTTGGCAAGCGGTGTCGTGTCTCCGTACCAGGCTTTGCGGCGTGAAGGGTTCTCTTGTGGCTTCATTAGATCCATCGCTGACACACCCGATGTCCTCAGCTCATTCGCGTCCTCGAAAAACCTTTGTCGCCTGTCCTCAACAAGGAGGGCTGATAATTTTCTGATGATGGTACCTCGGCGCACCTTATCGCCCTGCTCCCGACAAATGCGAAGGTCGTCGCGTGTACGCTCCCATTCGTCGATGTCGCTCTGCGTTACATAAATTGGAGCCTGCGCATCACGGTCTAGAGATGAATTGCGAAGCAAGTTGTACAGCTCGGTGTCGGCCTCGGCGTTCTGGTCAAAAATCGGCATGAGGTTTTCTCGGATCTGCCTCGGCTGATAACTTCTCTCGAATATGGATGTGCCCTGAGATATAATGTAGTTGCGAAGTGCGGACGTGAGCACGCCTTTCCTAGTATGTTAGAATCAACCACCCTATCGGAAAGCCGTGGGCTTACCGTTCAACCTGTTTCCTGCGCCAACCCGCGTCGAGTACGGGCGAATTGGTTTAACGTACCCGGCGACAAATATTGTCTGGGTCCAAATCCTCCAATAGGTGTTGTAACTGATAGGCCATATAGGCTGCTCCAGTATATCGTGTCTCCACTTGATTTTGAGGCGTTTCTGGTTGTCGAACTTGGGCCGGGACAGTAGCGTCTGTAGAGAATCCACAGGCGGGTCGAAGGCATTATCTGCGATAGCACGGGCAATCACAAGGGTAACTATACAGAGCGGACCCCTCTGCATCGTGATAGGTATATCCATACTTGGTTTATGAGTCAGTTCTTCTCGTACCAAATTCGGATTGTAACAGCACAAAACGTACACGTCTGCTTGGTCTCTCCTCACAACGTTTTTTTGCTGCTTGTTTTGTTTCAGTGTGAAGGTGACAACGGGCCGCCGTTCACCAGTACACGGATCAAGTACTAAATGCAGAGCGACTCGCTTGTATTTAAGATTCACAAGCATGCCTGGGCGTGAGCCAACGATGCCGCCAGCGAGGACCATAGAGTGGAAGGCGACCCGCGTGACAGGATTGCAGGGGATGTCAGCAGCCCGCAGCCAAACCGTCTTGATCACAACAACGATGTCTTCTGCTGTTGCCTCCTTTTTGACAAAAGTCTGCTCACGCGTAAGATTCAGTTCCTCGGCTTTGGCCTTGATCCACTGATGCACTGGTTATGAACTGATCGAGTAAACGTGAAGCATTATGACAGGACTTACACTTGTCACCTCGTAAATAGGTCCAAATTTGACATCCACATGCAAGCCGTCACGGACACTTAAAGACCATTGCGACCTGTTATGGGGCTCTTCCTTCCGTTTCCTGGCAAGCAGGGTGTCGTTAAACTCAGCAACTAGGTCTCGCCAGTACCCAATTACCGTCGTAGCGCTTGTCACGCTCTGCGTCGTCTTGTACTCCTCTGGCCCAAGACTTGCCTGCTTGCGTTTCCGCGCCGTCACGTATATTTTGATAAACTTTTTGCAGAGTTTGACCGCTTCAGCCTGCCGAGGACCTGCTTGGCATAGGTCGAGAAAGATTTGCTCGGGATCTCTCTTCACTTTCTGCCAGATACTACTTACCGGGTTAGTTGCGAGAATTGCGAGTTTCGATGGGGTAACCTACGAGCACCATTGTTCCCTGATCCTCGCTCTCTTATCAATAGTATCTTGACAGACTCGTACAAGGGAGTCGAAGTCATCCTCGGGCTCCTGCAAGGTATTTTCAATCGTATCATCGTCAATGTCGAGGAAGATGCCTGAGAAATGAGGAGGTGACATGTTTGATCAGAGACTGCTGTTTCAAGCAACCAAAGGAAGACAAGCGAAAATGAGATGCGCACTACGAATGACTTTATTAAAAGGGCAGGCGGCGGTCTTACATACACGATACTGACATCGCCCCCTTGTCGCTCCGTCGACCCCTTTTTGACCTCCAACACAAAACACCACGTGCTGAAAAATCGCATCTCGCTCGGTTCTTGCCCGTCGTCCACTTGAGAACGTCGATTACGGCAGGGGGGGGTTTTAGATTCGTCGAGTCGCTGGATGAGATCCCCTCTAGGAATTGAGAGCACCAACAGAAGGGCACTGTGCACCACATACCCTACTTTGTATTGGTACATGTCAGCGCACTTATCTCAGATATCCGCTAGCCACCATACTCCGTTTCCCATTTTCAAGAACTTGGAAATCAGCAAACAGTACCTTTTCTCGACCTTTGGACTGCCCATTTCTTATATTTCAGACTTCTCATACTCTACTTGCTCGTGAAATTGACAAAAACCTATCTCAAGGTTGTGGGTTCGACCCCCACGTCGGGCTCAATTCCCGGCGATAATCGCCTCATCTTTTGCTCTTTTTGCTGGTGATGATGCCAGTGATGGGGTTGAGTGCCTCCAAGAGTCCTGGATGTTTCAGAGGTGCTGTTGGACTTTGTACTCCATGGCAAACTCTCTGTTTTGGGTGATGCTGAAGTCCTGAGGCCTTCACGGGATATATCACAAGAACAAGCAGCCACTGCTACTGCGAATCTTCATGTCAGACATGGATCCTAAAGTCGAGCTGTCTTCGTATGCTGCGTGTCATTCACATGTATATGTATTTTCCCATTGATGTGTTGGACTTCGAAACTGCTGATGAGTTTACGGGCAGGTTTCCGGGTAGCTGGAGAGGTCCCCAGGCATTTTCCAAAGTTGAACTCCACCACAGCGCTTCATGGCGTCTCACTCGAGCAATTTAGTACGAGGATTTTTGTACCTTTTTCGGGCTCTTGTGTCAGCGAAGGCGCCCCCTAATCAGGTCTCCCAAGACTTTGATCCCGGGTCGGCGGGATGAGAGGCGACTGACGATGATGTTGACTCTCTCACACGGTGTTTAATATACAACATACTGTCTACCCTAACTGCAACATCTATATTATCACCACTTGGCCGTCCACGAATAAATTTCTATACTTGGGTTCTCGTGTGACCCTCTATCGGATTTCCCAAGATGTCAATCCCGGATTGGGGAGATAGAAAACAGGAAACAGTTTAGAGAAAGGACTGATAATAATATCTACCTCTTAATATATCATGTGAAGGCTTCAGCATTTTATGCACCTAGGGGAAGTAAAACAAAAATGCTGAGATAAACAAGGCGCTCAAGTCACCGCTGACTTTATTACGTTCATGATATAGCAAATGAGCGTAATAAAGGTTATTAGGCAGCTCTTCGAATTTCTACTCACCTCCTTAGTAACGATGCCGCCCAAGAAAGATGCAAGGAAGACGAGCGACCGCTCCTTAGGCCTGTTTCTTTCCAGTTCTCATACTAGACTCTTTCCCAAAACAAAAAGGTTAGTTTGATTTGTCGGCTCTCTGGAGTATTTTGTGATCTGTATGTTATGGCCCCAAGTCGAAATTCGAGCTTCTTTACACACTGCTTATAGGAAATCATAGGGCCAAAACACAGGCTCTTCGATTTCGCTTAGGGCTCTAGGCATAACTTCCGTTTCACTACCGTTATGAATGTTCTCAGATTTCCTGCCACTATAGGACGATCTCCTCTTAAAACGTCAGCAGCATTCTTTAGTGCTCCCTTCCCTTTGCTTCTTGCTCGGCGTCGCTTCACTCTGCAAACTCAAGCCTGGATGAGTCCAGGTCCTGATTGGGTGGCCTTGCAAGCCATGGATGAATACTATGCTGGACATTCAAGTGCCAATTCATATTATGTTCTTTTTGAGCTGCTGTGTCTGTAGATTGAGTGTAAGACCTACATGTGTACTTCACGATGGGCCTTGTGGGGTACCCAAACAACTGAAAAGCCAGATAATGGCAGGCGCTACCAACACACCGTGTTCAGTCTTTCGCGCTATGCCCACATAGACGGGGTTCGGCTTGCGCCCGGGCAGGATTCCTGTTGAATAGCACCAAGTCTAGTCGATACTAAGTAACCTGGTCTACTTATTTAGAGCTCCAATAGTACATCACCAATGGTGTTCTGATTTGCTACAAAATGTGAATATTCGTGGTGAATACGCACTGTTCACTTCTTCATCTTCCTCTGCACAGAGCACTCCGTTGATGAGTGTAAATAGCTTGGAATGCCAGACAAAGGTACCCTCTCTGTTCAAAACCAGTCCCCATCAGCAACTAGTAGCAGCAGTACCGCCACATGCAGAACACGGGTTTTGTAAGTGGTATATGCGCCTTCATCAACCATGTATGTTCCGTACCCAAAAAACATCCCGCTGTTATATACTGAGATTATCGATAAACAGCGTAAATACGGCTTTATTATATAAGCGGTTGAAAAAAAGAAGTAGTTAACGTGGTCCAGACATAGAGTTGGTGTTTTCCTCTTGGAAAAAAAAAGAAGGATCTGTGGTTGAGCCGCTGATTCAGGAAGGAGCAGTTCGGGTGGGAGAGAGAATCATATACGGCTTCTCAAATTCGCGTCCAGAAGGTACTGAGGATGACGGCGCCTGGCCATCCACCTGGCGCGGGCAGGGGAGACTACTTGATCACAGGCCCTCGAAATGGCGGAAGCACCTCCCGGCCCAGCACTGAGATACCCCCGTCGTACTCGGACCTATTCCCACGCCCTTCGCCCCCGTGCAATATGGACCCCCTCGTCGAAGCAATGTGGCACAACCAGGTTATCAGCGACTTGCCTCGCCTGCCAGACGACATGCTGAGGGCAGTGATCCAGAACCTGGACAGCTGTGGTGTCGAGTGCCTTCGACGCGTCTCACGCAAATTCATCCCTTTGTGCGATGAAGAAATCCTCACACGGCCGCACACATTCCAGCCAAGGTGGAAACTCAAGGATCGTGGCGGACCGTCTGCGTGGCCACGGTTCGAAGTCTTCAGTGGCCCGTGGAGGGAAAGCGCGGCAGGTGAACGGCAGCGGCTCCTGCAGCTTCTTGCCAGGGACTGTTACTGTGAGGGCTGCCGTGATGCCCGGGCGGCTTCCGATTGGGACCGGCGGGTCGAGCAGCTCATCAGGTATCTCTACTGTTATTCTTGTGAAGCCGAACACCCAGCATGCCTGTTTTCCGCGCAGCAGAGGCATTCAACAACGAGACGCCGCCGATGTATCGCGCACGAGGGTTACATTCGCTTATGCCAACACGACGAGGGCATCGTCCGTTGGTCCGAAATCTCACGCATCAGACAGCGTTTGAAGGAGGGTGTCGAAAACAAGAGAGATTTCGAAATATGTTGTGAGGATATCAGTCACGTTGTGCCATGTGCTCATACCGGTACGCAGAGGTCAGGTCAGAGAATCTTCGATCCCGATTGCGACGATTATCATTGCATCGAGCGGCCCAGCCCGAAACTCTCGGTTAACGGCTCCAAGATTTGGCTGTATTGGACAGCCCACTTGCCCGTTGAGTCGAATGGCCGACCGCTGACTGCTGTCGGTCTGCGCCATGGTATAGCCGAGATCCGAGAGAGCTGCGGACGCTTCCTATATCCTGCCATCACATTCACAAGGGATGTGCCAGAGATGCGCTGTTTTGACCCGAACGACTGCGACTGTGTGTTACTCGAGGGACATAAGAACGTTGAATGGCGATCCAGCTCTTCACTGATTTCGGACAGGGTATGTCGACTGAATACTTCAAGGCGGTTGTATCCTTTGTGCCAGTCGTCGTCATTGTGGTCCGCTGCCTCTTTGGTTGACGGCATCCGGCGACTACTTCTCACGCACAAGTCGGATTTCAGAAGGAAATGCGGTTCGTCACCAAAGAGACATAGGGCGCGTCTTGACTTTGATTTTTCCTCTGGTCCCGGTCGCTCCAATGTTCAATGTTGGCCATGCCATGCCGGCGACTCATGCCTCATCTTCGACTACACCCGGGTCCTGACTATCGGGTGCGAGGGAGCCATTGGTGTACAGTGGTATCAAGCTCTAGATCCAGATTCATACAGCCTGATGGAGGATGAGGAGGGCTTCGAAATGTACTGGTGCCGTCAGAGCGAATGCCGGAATTACTATGGACGCGTCCCTGGCTTCTCAAGGATCATTCGCGGGGCAGAGTACCATAGGTCGAAGAAGAAGGAGGAGGAGGAGGAGGGGGAGGAGGAGGAGGAGGGGGAGGAGGAGGGGGAGGAGGAGATGACCCCAGAGGTCAGAAATATGTATATGTAATGGGTTTTGCCGTCCCCCCCCCCCTAAGTCATCTTTCTTTTTAAGAAAAAATTAAGAAATTCACGCCATGCCCTCCTGCCGAAAGTAGGACCAAAGCTTTGCGCACCCGTCTTTTGTATGCATATAACTGCCACGTAGCCCTCCACGAGTGGAGCATACAATACCATCCCCATCTGGCAGATATCCTGGAGTTTTTGACGCCGGGGAGGGTGCCAACCTGGCAAAGCCTGTCTTTATCTATCCCGTGGTCCGAAGACGCTCCTGAGGGCGATGGCCGGGTCGTTTCCTATATCGAAGCGGCCCGACTCCGTCAACGGGGAGCTGTTCAACCTCAGCAACGCCCTCTCCCAGCCTGTGACCCTTATGAAGCTGAATATATGATCGAGTAATTTTAACCTTCTAAGTATACTGCGACTGTTCGATCTTCTCTATGCAGCAGTTGGAGAAGACCGGAAGCCAACAGCCCGACGCAGTCAGACGCCACTTCACCAGTAATTGACAGGTACCAAAGCACAGTTATACAACATGCGGCATGCATATATAGTGAGTCACCATCGGTCATTGTGGCTCGTCTCCCAATAACTCTGCTTCAGTCAATCCAGGTCAAGATCGACCGTAGTTGCGCTGGTCAAAACCACCGAGGCCGCAATCGCAGCCCCAGTGGTGCGTTCAGTTTCATGCCAACATCCCAATCTCTTGCCTTTCGTTTGCCGGTTCGACAGCGAGTTTATGTTACGGTGAATGAGGGAATTTGCTGTCGCATGCACGATAGCTAAACCCAAAGTCGAACAAGCCCACCCACTGGTCTCGAATTTTACCAGAAATAAATAATGTTAAAGGGTAGATATTGTGACGACACTTGGGCTTTACGGCACGTGGGCTCGGGATTTGCACCAGATTGTGCACGCTGTTCCTCATGCAACCTGCAGCTTGCAGCATACAACAACCAATGGCTGCAGACCTGCTGCGCCTCTGACATGCAGCCTGGCTCCGCAGTAGCAGGGACTGATATGCGCTGCGAGAGGGTCTCCAAGACCACGTCAAATGGCCAGCTTCTCATCAAAATTGTGAAAGATACCTGTGCACGCAAGCAATTATTGATATGTCCTTGTGTTCCCAGACTTAGTTGCAATATATAGTAGGGCTCATCTGCTCAATTCCAGCGTGCAGAATGAGGTTCCCCAGCATCAAATCAGTCAAGTCAACCAGATCAGCCAGTTCCGTGAGCTCTGATGCATCCACATTGCCGCCTGACCGACCGGTCATATCGGGCGGCCTCACCGTGCTCCATCCTACGGGTGACGATGGAAAAGCTCTCGTTGAGTGAGTATAGAGTCCCTAGCGTCTGGCCGTACCGGTACTACTAACATATCTTCGAAAGCATCATCACAGTCCATGGGCTCTCGGGTCATCCTCAAAACACATGGACCAACTTTGACACGCAACATTACTGGCCGAGGGAATCTCTTCCTGTGGATGTTCCTATGGCACGTATAATGGCTTTTGGATATAGTACCACTGTGTCACCGTTTAACAAGAGTACTGCAATCGTGTCAGATGTTGCCAAGCAGCTTATCAGCCATTTGATCAACAAGAGAAGAAGTCGTGATGTGAGAAATTCACCTCGAACGGTGATGCCGCAAAGCTAACGACCAACTCCAGCAAAAACAGCGACCCATCGTTTTCGTCGCCCACTCACTTGGTGGCATCGTGGTCAAAGAGGTGACAAGCATATGGGATCCGCCCCAATCAGGAACTCGAGTGCTTGAGGACGTACTAACATGTCTCTTCGTGCCAGTTCCTCCATGTTGCATCGAACACTGGCCATGAAGATCTCGCCAGCTGCGTCTGCGGCATCCTCTTCCTCGGTACCCCCCACAAGGGCAGTCATCTTGCCAGCTTTATGGGTGTGATAAGCGATGTGGTGAAATCACTCATCGGCGGCTCTGCGGATGCTATAATAGAGGATCTGTCCAGCAATAGCCGGCATCTTCTAGAGCTCGATCAGCTTTTGAGGTTCAAGCTGGCCAGAATCGACATATACAGCTTCTACGAGCTATTACCCCTGAAGCCGCTGAGCAGACCCGTGAGTATTACAGCGAGAGAGCTCAGTGTAACCAAGTGAGATGGCTGACATATCACAGGTTGTCGAGAGACACTCGGCACTGCTCAACATTCCAAGTGAGCTCGAACAAATCGGCCTTGAGGCAGACCACCGGCAAATGTGTAGGCCGCCGGATCGCAATCACTTCATCTACGAAACGATCGCGCAGCGCATTCTCAGCATTATGAATAGACAAATACACAAAGGTGTGCTGAAAAATCCTGATCTTCTCCTGATCCCCGACTGACGTGGAAGTTCAGCGCAATACGCAAGCGACCTAGTGGAGATGGTCAACAACTTCGCCTCCAAGCACATGGATCATATCGCCGTGCTGACGAAACAGATGCACGAATGTCAAGTAGGTTCCGAGCTGACACCGATGATCGTCGCCCTCCAGCATACAGTCAGCCTGCACGTCAGCCATAGCAAAGGGCCCGAAGAAGTCCCTACCTCCGGCTTTGAGGAGGTTCTGAAGTCCCTGCCAGTCCACGAGGTCAAGAGCTTCGTCGACGGAATACAGAGGCTCATGGAGCGGGCCAAGTCGCTTCAGGACTTGATACTCATGACAGAACGTGAGAACGCGAGAAAGAGAGCTGAGGCTCGCATGGAAGCTGAGCGCCAGGCGAGTGAGCAACGCATTCGGGAGCTTCTGGCGGAAAATGCTCGTCTGAAAGGCATGGCAACGGAAAAAGAACAGGTTTCCCTGGCCGCTGCACGTTCACAGATGCAGCTGCCAGGCGCGGAGTTCGGAAGAATGATGAGCTCTAGCCGTAAGACGACGCAACGTCTTGCTTCTGGGAGGGACAAATCTCCCCTAGATTTCTCAGGATTTGGGGCCGGTGAATTGCTTGGTACCCCAGATCCTGTCATGGACGCTTCGAAAATAACCAGCGAGCTTTGGGAACCTATGAAAAGAACTGTCAAGGCCAGAAAAAGTCACACCATAGATCGAACGCGAGAAGCAGCACCCCCAGTAATCAGTCGCGCGAAGCGCCAAATGCCGGAAATTCAAGGATCAAAAAGGAAACGGAGCTCTGAAGAAGAGTCAGATCCCGGGAACAGGAGATACTTGGACCGTGTCGGCTGTCCGGACCCCCTGAACGAGGCCGCTGACGATGGCCTGGATTTCCAGGAGGCCTGCTCACCACCTCTTAGGTCACAATGTGCAGTAGAAGCCTTTCCATTTGGATCCCACCCTAGAGCAGGCCCGAGCATGGTCGGTGCAGCAAGAGAACACCCCGGCCATACCGGACACGCCTCCACAGAGCTCGAAGCTGGACATGACACTCCTCCCCACAGCAGTGGTACAATCAGAAGCTACACAGACTTGGGCATTGTGTCAGTGGAGGCACTAGGGGCACATACTGAGCTCAGTTTCGGCGACAATGGGCCACAGGCCGGCATAGACCTCGCTGGCAATGTCGAGCAAGAGTCTGAGCCCAAACAAGGCGTCCAGCAACCTGCCGCATCGACGATGACCGCCCAAGAGGCCAAACTCATCCAAAATCGGGAACATATGCAGGGAGTGGTCGAGAAATTGAGCCTTATGCTACAGGTTGGACAGCATGTCATGGGCACGCACGATGACGATGCGGTGTTGACGGCCGAGCCTTGATGATGGGCCACTTGCCTCCTGAAATCAAGTAGATGCTTATTTTGACTCTTTCGCCTGACTGTGAATGTGTACCGGGGCTACAGCTCTTACCGCATGCCTACAGGGTCATCACAGCCACATAACTACGCGGCGCTCGACGGTCATTGCAGTGTGAACGCAGGCCATCAATGTGATACGACAATGAAAGCTCGTGACGCCTTTTATAACGGCCAATGGCAGTCTATGCCCAGAGCTGGGGGATATGGCCCTCACGGTTACCAACATATGCTCGAGAGGTAACACTGCTGCTTTTTGAGACGTCGATGAGAGGACTGGAGAATACAAGATCATAAACACGCCAATTGTCTCATGTGCTGAGTAAGGCATACTCTATTGCTTGATTGATCTGGGAGCGTAGTAGGGCTAGATGCTAGGATAGATTCCACATCAGTCTTACAAACAGGGGACGTGTGGCCCCGGTCCTGAGATTGCACTCCAGCAAACTTTCATTAGCATGAGAGGGCCCAATTTTGAGCCCTTTGACCATTGGCCATTTCTTGCGCTGGGAATTCGGCGGGCTCGCCTCTATTGCTCTTCACAGAGGACAACGGGCATGTCCGGGGTGCTCAGCTCATATGTACATGGCGAGACACCGATGAGGTCGTCAAGTAGCAGCCCGGGACTTTGTTGAGGGTTTCGGACACTGCATGCTTACCATGCTTTTGACTGTCAGCCCCAGATGCGATGCACAGCCAGCCCGTATCGCCCCAGGCCTGGGCGCCGGATCGCTGCACCCAGCTTTTTTCAGAGCTTGGCGATCATAGAAAGCTGCCCTTTGTGTGAGCATTGTCGCTTGGAAAAAAGACATCTCCGCTGAACGACCTGACCGCGATCGTCGTCCCGAACGCGATGTGCCACGGCAGAGCACACCAAGTCGCACAGACTTGGGCGACCCCTGCCCCTCGGTTCCTCGTGGCACGTGCAGGAGAGAATCCTGGTGAGGATTCGGAACGCCAGGCCGACGGAGGTCACATTGGGGGCAGCAGCGACTGGCCGCATGTCGGCGACTTGTAACCACGCGCGGCAACGGGCAACTACACGATGTGCACGGGGCCGGTCGTGCTGTGACACGTGAGATATATCGAACGGTGGGCGAGAGCATACAGCCACGACCTGAGGTGCAGCTCCCAGAGCGCTGGCCAAGCAACTGGGCTGATTGCTGACGGCTGGGGGGTTTCGTTCTGGCCTGGACGCCACTGTTGTGTGCTGTGCTCGAGGCGCGCCTTGGCTCGCCAGGGTGGTCTTTGATATCCAGGGTGTATATAGGATGAGCGGCGACCCCCTAGTCCGCGCATGTCGAATGCGTCAACACGCCTCTCCGAAGAGTCTTACTGCAGATGTGAGGCCGCCTTGCGACGCGGCGACATGTGAGAGATCAGTTGTATGAGAAGACCGATGAGCCTCTCTGAGCGTCTCCCCGCCCCATCATGAGCTTCATCTCGCAGGTTTGGGAATGCGGGCCCTGGTAGAGTAGGTGCTTTCCACGACACCGCGCAGGCGCCTTTCGCAGCCCTCATGACCGTGCCTGAGGCCACATGACAGCTCCCTGGCCTCGGCTGGGTGGAGGAGGAGGCTGTCGGTGAGCTTGGCCCTGGTCTGGGCTGCCGTTGCAGCTGGAGTGGCGCCGGCTGTCGTGATGGGTTAGCGCGGGCATCTACCCCGCAAAACGCTTATTCAAGCGGAGTCAAGGTGGTAGAGAAAAGAAAAAAAGGCCAGGGGAGACAAAATAGGGGTCTTGTTCATAGTGACCAGAGGGAGCGGCCCATGCGAACCCGTGGCCGCTGAATATGGCTCAATGGCTAGGTGGCTAGGTACAGGGGAGAAGGGTGCTTGTAGGGTGGGTAATCGGGGATTTGAACGGTCTGTCGATCTTCAGTTGATCTTTGAGGATTGGAGGAAGAATTGAGCGGCTTTTTTTGCAGGGGCAGAGCAGTGCACCATGGGGTGAGGCTTGATGTTTGTTGTTTCGCCCGAGTTGTCCCTGTATGTACATTTCATGGCGTAGGTGCGTTACGGTCCGTTACCTAGGCACAGGCACAGGCACAGGCACAGGCACAGGACAGCACACAGGTGCGACCGACGTGGAATGCGGAGACCTAGATAGATAGGTAGCCTACATATCTACACAGTAGGCAGAGATGGGAGTCTGCAGACAGGTGGGCCCGCGGGTGTCGTTGACTGAGAAATAAATGCCACGAGAGTCGCAATCTCCCCTGAATTGGGAGGAGATGTTGAGACCTCCTTAAGTGAAGCACACTAAAGAAGCGTAATGTGGTTGTTAGGTCGACTTAGGCACAGGCTAATAGCCAGACTGCTAGACCATCACTCGGCAAGAGGGTATATGACGGCCTCACCTGCGATAGCTTACCTGAATAATGTGCAGGCTCCCTACGACAACACACGACAACACATAGGGCACTGATCGGTGGTTTTTCTGGAGCTCGGGCGGCGTTGATTCCTAAGATCGGCTCCAAGGTGACATGCCAGAGCTCCTCCGCCGTATCGTTGCTGTAACGGAAACAGCAAGCCAAGGATGGAGCTCTCTGAGATGGTAACGGCACTGCATGGGCCTACAGCGCGTACCATAGTAGAGGTCGACGAGCCATACGGGAAAGGGAAGGCGTCCTTGCCAAGTCAGGCAGGAACGGGCGGGCAGCACGAATAAGAGACTGATCCACGGCTCCGTTCCTGATGCCAGGGCCTAGCCCTCCCTTTTTGTTATTTGCAACGGCCACCATCGAACCCCAGGCAACGCTCGTCCCTCCCTGTCTTAGGAGTATGGCGTGGCATGGCATGGCATGGCATGGGATGGGATGATCTGAAATGACATGTGAGAAGGAGAGGGGACAATTGCAGTTTGACTTTTGCTCTGGAAGCATGCAAACATCGTGCTGCAGCACGAACAGACAGCGACAGCCAAGCAGGTCCGCAGACAGGTCTGGGAACTGATGGAGGAGGATGGAGACAGCGGGGATGGAATGGAGGGGGGGCTGGACCCATCGGCGGAGCTGAGGGCGGATCTACCAGGTTCGGTGGAGGCTTGATCATCTTACTGTCTACTATGTACAGTAGGTAGACTAGGTAGAGACTGCCCACCAGACTGTCTGGTGGTACTGTAGAGTAGTACACCCATACTGTACGGTACTGTACGGGTATGGGTACGGTACATGGGGACGACACGGTACGGCACGGAAGGGGGACTGGACGGCTGCATAGTACGCAGCTACGCAGAGCTGGCCGGGTCGGGGCTAATAAAGGGAAGGAGCTGGTGCTGAAATTGGCAGCCAAAATTGGAAAGAGACAGATGACTGAAGAGGTCCAGAGTCCTCCCCGTTTGCCCAACTAACACTGTCTTGTAGGAACAAGCAAGCCCGAGGAAACGAATCGTGTGTAGATCTATCCCGTCCCGTCGACACATAGCCGCTCGACTTTCTCTTCCTGTTCACTTCCGAAGTCATCAGTCCCAGCCCCAAGGCCCAGGCACAGTCCCAACCTCCGTTCGTTCACTCTCGTATCCAGCAGCCATCTTTAGACAGCCTCCTTCCGCACTCGCCTCCAGCACCCTCTTCTCTTTGCGATTACTTCCACATTTCGCTCCGCATTGCGTCGCGTCGCATCGCATCGCATCGCCTTGCCTCGCCACGCCTCACCTAACTACTACACCTCATCCGGCACCCTCCCGCCCGACCTACGGTTCACCTGACTTGCATGATACTCTTGTACCCTTCGTCACTCATCAGCAGCCCACACACATAAACACGTTACACTCATTCTCTGTCTACTGGGAGACATACGTTCGAACCTAATAACTGCACTATCGTTCCGAAAGTTGTTCAGCCGAGAGCGAAACCACGGTTCAGCCGTCTCAGCCCAGCGAACCAGCAATTATTAGTGGTGGAGCGAGCAATCAAAAGGACACCCGCCCTCCAAAAACTCAAGACGTCATCCGCACTGCACTGCGCTCTCGCCTGGCGAGGCACACCAGCATAGACGCGTACTACAAATCTTTCCGGAGCTGCCGCCACGGATCGGTTTATCCACCTGAATTCCAAGACAACAAGCACCTGGCCGCTGTCCCAACCAAGGCGCATTCTTCCATTTACGAACTGCCGTCAGCCGTTCTCATCATTACGTGTGCCAGAGAGTTTGAGCGCCGTTGCGGCACCCTTGCCATCGTCTACGGTCGCAACAAACGCTGTTCGCTTGGTCACGTTACACTGCATCATCCGAGGGAGAAGGCCACGAAGCGAACAGAGGCAGAGCGACGAATTGTCTAGCTATCACGAGCACCCGTTCCTGCGGGCACGGACAAGCACATCCGAACACGACCCCTCGATTGCAGCCCGCTTGCCACCACAAAGCCCTGCCGTTGGATCCGGAGTCAAGCGCTGACTATCGTCCGACCCGATCCCAGTTCCGCACTCGATTCGAGGAGCCGTCCCTGGACTTCGCATCTTGGACTGAATATAGGCCGTGAACTTTTGGTATGCCGCTAGCGTAAGCAGTGACGGAAACAAGAAGAGCCAAGGGATTTGCGAGTCCAAGACACTGTTCGATACCAACGGGAGTGACAGACGGGGAAACTGACTCTGGCGCATGTGTGGAATCATCTGTGCTGAGTGAGTTACTTTGAAGACCAGGCCAGACACACCTTGACTGGGCATCTGAACGTTTTTGTGCACACACGGGCACACGACCCCTGACTGGTCCTTCCAAGGTTGACTGGAGAAACCACGCGCATCAACCCACTCCCCCTATTCGAGCCGCCCAAAAAATGGCTGCTACCCAACCGGATTCCCGAGGTGAGTAACGAAACCCTGCCCAGAGACAGCGATCTGCCCTCAACCTGCCCCTCGCAAAAGGAGCACCAAATCTGGCACCTCCCCGGTATCTTTTTCATTTTTAACTACAAGCCCCTTTTTGGGCTCATGGTTGTGTGGGTTCCTTGGCCGTAAGCTTTCGCGCGCAATCTGGGCGCGGCTGCAGAACGGAGCTCCCACCCAAGTCCCCTTAAACCAACTGGCTGAACCCCCGCTGTATCATGCAAGGAGATTGCTGTTTCATCGTCCCTATCAAAATCGTCATTTGCATGCAACCTGCCGCTTCCCCGATCAATTGACAGCCACCTCCGCTAACTGTCTCCTGTTGGGTTCATAGATCAACCGTCTCCCGGCCTGACCCTCAGCCTGGCTTCGAACAATCCATTTCGCAACCGAGCTGGGTCGCCCTTGCCCAAAAGTCCTTCCTCCCCTTTTGACGATCCCGCCCCTCAACCACAATCATCGTCGTCGCGGCCTCTTTCCAACAACCCTTTTCTTGATCCAACAAAGAATCAGAATCAAAGCCAGAATCAGATATTGATCCCAGATCTCGACACGCCGACAGACAAAATGGCTGACAAGAATCGCCCTGCGTCCCCTACAATTGAGGACATGTTTGTACGTGTTTCCCCAAAAGCCGTTTCTCCTCACTTTGGTGAAACATACAATAGCGTCAATGCCGTCGCCGTCGCCCACGGTGCATCCCTTTTGACATTGCGTCATTGTCAACATCATCTTGCCCTTTGCTGCATCACTAACACGATTTCGCTGCTTGCAGGCTGGCATCACAATTGATACCAAGGACACCAAGGACACCAAGGACACCAAGGACAAGAAACCGGATCCACCCCAGCGACCGCCTCCCATGAACCGTCCAGGCGGCCCGAAGGGCGAGAACATGCCCCCTCCTGGCCGACGTGGACCTCCTCCAAACCACAGGCCCTCGCGATCTCAAGAAGAGGCGCTGCGAGCCCGTAGACAACGTTCTACTGGTGATGGGCCCAACTCCCCTCCTCGACGTGTGGGACCGGGATCTGGCCGAGGAAGACGGAACTCCGAGTCCTCGGTTTCCGAGAAGCCTGTCCTGACTGAAGAGGAGAAGAAGGCACGCGAGAAGAGGCGCCGAGAACGGGAGGAGCGCAAGCGCCGTGAGGGTCGCGACAGGCCACCGAGGTCTCACAGAGACATGGACCTCATCGACAAGCTTGATGCAACCAGCATCTACGGCACTGGCCGTAAGCCCACATGAGCCTCCCCGCATCAATCATTTTCCATCCATGCTAATTTCATCGACAGTTTTCCACCACGCTGGTCCCTACGACGCTGTCATTGCGTCTCGCAACAAAGCCGCCAGCGGCCGCGCGCCGATGGCTGCTTTCGCCAAGGACTCAGCCAACATGTCAATCGGCGGCTCTGGCCCGCTTCAATCTCGCGCCGACCATTCCACCTTCATGGGAAATGGGACCGAGGAGGCCTTCACCGACTATGCCACCAGCATCTCTGGCGCCCCACCGAAGAACAATATGGCCCTGTTTGACCCCCACCGTCGCGCATCAGTCATCCACGGCGACGAGACCGTGGGTCTAGGGACCTCGACCTTCCTTGAGGGAACCCCGGCTGCTAGGGCCGCCGTGCAAAAGGCAGAGCAGGAGTCTGCTATGCAGAACCAGGAAAATGGGCTGGCGCGGAAGAAATCACTGGCCCAGCGCATCCGAGGCATAAACCGACCTCCAAGGGGCGAGTTTGGGCCGTCTGGTCGCTTGACAAACCCTGATGGCGTCTATCGCGACCACGCTACCTCCGCCAGCATGTCTAGTGGTCGCAACGAGACGAACCCGTTCTTTGCCGAGTACGAGCCGAGCAAGGATGGTGAGGAGCAGATCACGGTGCGCAAGATGAGCCAAGCTGGACCAGGCTCTCCGTCCTCCCCACCACTGCCAGGCACTCTTGAGAGACGCTCCACAACCGATGGACACGAGCAGCAGCCTAAGAAGGGCGGCGGCGGCCTGCTTACCCGAATGAAGAGCTTGAAGGGAGGCCCCCGATCTCGTCCCGTTGACAGGGACACCGCAGCCTAGGCGGATCATACTTCAGGGACAAGCACGAGCATACGTCATTCTTCCAGTCCTCTACGCCTTTTCGGAACGGCTGGAGCTCATTCATACCGACGGCTGCCAGGAAAATCACATTCAGACGAGACAGTGGGGTTCTAGACGAGATTGAGGCTTTGCAACACGGCAGAGGCACCCTATGGCGTTTTCTTCGTTCCGCACGGAGGCACATTGCGATTGGAAACGAGTGAATGGTGGATGATCGTTACCATTCTTGTAAATTTATTTCACGGCTATCGGTTTGGGGTAGGCGTTCACGGAAACTCACAAGCCCTGCCGCTCTGTCTGCGCGTGGATACCTACCATGATACCGCATGCAGACGCGTTCAACGGCTGTCGAGACCAGGTTTCAACGGGACGATTTCGGCTTTTCCCGCCGTTCCGATACGAAGAGAGAAACGAATCCCCCGAGATGCGATAATAAAATGTTCAGGAGCAGGTTAGCTGGCAGACATGACACATGGCAAAACCAACCACGGGAGCTTGCGTCAAAATGGAAACTTTTATTTAGTAGGCAGGATTGGGTGCAAGATTCGATCCAAGTCAGGCGTGTGGAATATTTGCTCTTAGTTGCGAATCGTTACGGCTGATAGACAGCAGCGGTCAGTCGGGCATTTTCCTAAGCAGATTGAATAAAGCTCATTCCTTAAATCTCGCCATCGATCTAGTGAGGTGCACAGATAGATTGATATCCGGAGCGGGCGTCATCCAGGGGTGATGGATGTGTGCGCAAGGTTCCATCCCCACCTCTCAGATTCAGGTGGAATCACGATCGTCCATTTAAAAGTACGCAGCAGCTTGGAGATAACACGCGCTATCGGTTCAAAGATACAGTACACATAGATCAAATTGGCCATACACCAGTGTCCCGTTGCCTGTGAAGTGCTGCCCATCGTGTGTCAGCGGCCCCTAAAAGGGCTTGCTTCTGTGACGCATTATCAGCTAAGCACCGTGCCCACACCTAGTCGTGTTAATGATGCACGCGATGGCCAGAACCTTTCCAGTAATGATTTCCTACATTCCATTACTTTGGTCGCAACAACCCAAAGACATGTGGCTCGCCATGACCGACTGATATGCAACAAAGGGAAGCCCCGCGCCCGTTCTGAATATTCATGATTGAGAAATCAACAAAGCTGCCTCGTATCGGGAAGAATTGACCAACCGAATGACTTGACCTCGCGAACATCACGTCTGATCCGCACATGCACACGAAAGAAAATGCGCGACCTCTACCGCGCCATGCACCGCGGTCTGACTGGCCGTCATCACCCCTCTGACTCGTGGCCCTAAGACATACACCTCTTTGCAAGCGTGAAGCAAGCTGCGTGCCCAGACAGAACTTGGAAGCAGCGCCACTTGGAAACAGGCAGGCAGCCAGGCACAACGGCGATGGACGAGGCCCCGCCGCCATTGCCGTCCCAGGCCAGCTCCCACTTCCCGCTCGAGCCCGTCTCAGGCGCGACGCTGTTCGAGCAGGAGGTGAGGCGCAGGGACGCGCTGGCCAGGTGCGGCACCTGCCTGACCGGGTGCCGCGAGCTGGACGACGAGGTCTTGCTGGGCGGGTTCGAGAGGGGCTGTGTGGTCGGCGTCAGCGCCGAGGAAGAGGAGGTTGGCTTGTTGGTGAGTGTCATGGAGCCTGGTGCTCGACTTCCTATGCGGCAGCGGAGCGTGGTGCTGACGGTACGTGCCAGATTGGGCTCCAGACTGTTGCGAGGTTGTTTGTCGCGAGTCTGGGGACCGGGCAAAGTCAGGAGCCGAGGGCTATGATCATCACGACGCTCTCTGTCGACGCGCTGTTACCTCTGTTGAGGGACACGTTCAAGGCGCAGCTTGTGGCGCAGAAACAGGACCCTGGGAAGGGGAATGAGCTGCTTAAGCGTTTCCTGGAGAGGATTTCCATATCCCGCATCTTTGACGTCTCCGGGTTGTGGGAAGCTGTTAGAGAGCTGGATAGCCTGGCTCCTCAGGACGAGGCACATCAGGAACCTCCTAGTAGTCAACAGGCCGTCGAAGATGAGGTGACTACTGGCCCACGGGCTGTGTCTACAGAGGGGAGGGATGTACAGGAGGGACTAAGCCTATCAGGATTGTCGTCAAGTCCACTATCGGATCCTCCCAGCAGCCTACCAGATGAGCTAGAGTTTGAGGAGGCAGTGCCTAGGACAACACCACCTGGCAAGAGAACTGAGATTGCAGATAGCGAGGACGAGGGTGACCTGTCGTCTCCTGTAAGCCTTCCAAAAGCATCACCGGAGCCAGAAACAGTTCCACAGACTGTGTCAGAGGAGGAGATATCCAAAGAGGAGTCCAGCACCAAGCAGCCCAGCATCGACCAACCCGGAAACCAGAAAGATTCACGACATCCTGACATAATATTGGTAACACACATGTCCACACTTCTGTCCGCCCTCTTCCGCCAACGCGAGAAAGACACAGCCCACCAGATGCTCCAGCTCCTCTCCTCTCACCTACGCTACCTCGCACGCTCACCCGACCACGGCGGCCCGCTCATTATGACCCTTAACTCGACCACAAACTCGACAGAAGGCACAGCCGCTCCCAACACAAAGCCTAATCCAGGACAAGGCAGGCCGTCCCCACAGCCTCCTCCCCCGACCGAGGCGCCGAATACGAGGAGCTCGAACCGGCCGCTGGACCCCACGCTCCGCTCGATCTTCAACCCTCCGCCGCTGCCTACCACCGGCCTGGGCTACGCGCACGACACCCCGCTCGCGCGGCGCAACAAGCCGTCCTTCGGGCTCATCTTCACACAGCTGCTAGACATACACCTGCTGTGCACGCGCGTGCCGAAGACGCGCGCCGACGCCGAGGCGCTGTTTGCGCCGCCGAGCCAGGCGGCCGCCCTCACTGGCGCGGTCGACTACGGCTGGGTCGTGGAGGTTTTGCTTGACGAGGTGGGCGTTTGGGATAGTGAGGGAGGGCGGCGGGGCGCGAGGAGGGCGTCGAGGGAGCAGCGATGGGGTGCTGTGGGTGTGAGGAGGGATGGGAATGGAGTGAGGGTTGTGGATGCCTTTGGGAGCGCAAGGAAGCCCGCGCCGGAGATTGTGCTTGCTGCTGGGTTTGGGGGGAGGAGAGTGTGAGGCAGGCGGTCATGGTGCGGCCTTCGCGAACTCCTGGAGTGATGGAACCATGTTTGAGCATTCATGTTCAGTGGTCCAACAGCCAGACAGCTGTTCGTTACCACTGTGTACATCTACGGGGTCTCGCGATATGCCTGTTTGTCTTGCTCGCAGAGACCAGGCTAGGACCACCACTATTCAGGCCGTATTGTACACCATTCGCAGCGTATACCACCCCTGAACATCGCTTCCGAACGTTATCGAATATACGCTCATACAAGTCACATATCATATTATGATGTCCTCGGCGCTGTCAAAAAATCAAGAATTCTGCAGCCTAGTCTTAATTTCCCGATCAGTACGAAGCTTTAGCGGCCGATCAACCGTGAGTCTGACGACAGTGGATACAGCGCCGAGTGCCCTTCAGGAGAATCGAGTCATGGCAGTTCCACAGCATACCAAGCCTCTGTATCGGACGAACCACACCTCTACAGGGGGTTGCCGATCACTGATTGGAATTGACTTTCGGACCGAGGCAACTTGTGGCAGGTGGCGGCTTGTGCTCCCATGAAGTTTCCGTGCTACTGAGGCCAGTGCTACTGAGTCGAGAAGAGGGGCGAAGGATTTGGTGCTGTCGTAGGAACCCTCATTGGAGTCGTCAAATACAACCACGGCCATGTCTCCAAGAAAGAACAGGGGCACACGTCGGGAGCTAGTCTTTTGCTAGGCGCTGGATTTCCCAATGACAATCGCGAGTGAGGCTCCACACCAAGGGACTCGATGATAATGCTCGTGCGATGCAGAACCTGAAAGCATCACCAAGAACAGTCCTCCGTTCTATGCAGAGAGAATAGAAAACAATAATGGCCGCGACTCAAACCATCGACGTGCCCCACCTGGGCGGCATCAAGGCCGGGTACGCCATCGCGGGCACCGGGCAGATCGACCCGGCCAAGCCAACGTGCGTCCTCATCAACGCCATGTGCATGACGGTGGCCCTGTACCGGGACCAGTTCGATGACGAGCGCCTCGCCGCCGCCGTCAACCTGCTCGCCATCGAGCCCCTGGGCCACGGCGCCACCAGCTGCCCCTCCGAGCACTTCACCTACTGGGACACGGCCATCATGGCGCTGCAGGTGCTGGACAAGCTGGGCGTCGAGAAGGCGTACGCGCTGGGGACGAGCCAAGGTGGCTGGATGGTCACGCGCATGGCGCTGCTGGCGCCCGAGAGGGTACGAGGCCTGTCCCTTGGGGATGCTTGAGCATTCTCGAGAGTATCTTTTCTGGGCTTGATGCTGAGTAAATCTGTAGATACAAGGCCTGCTCGTGCTAGGCACGTCAATGGACTACGAGTCCTCGTACTCGAGGTCCAAGGGGTGCTGGGATCCAGCCACGATGCTGTCGCCGTTCCTCGAGAAGTGGTCGAGCCCAATCGCGGACTTTGTCGTCGACGACGTCTGGTGCGGCATGGTCGGCAGCGTCGGGTTCGGCGACCACGGCACGCCCGAGAAGGCGGCATTCTGGACCAAGACGCTGCAGGAGGTCTACCGCGGCGACGAGGGCCGCAAGAAGGCTAAGATGGCTTTGCTGAATCTGCTGTCGAGGGACGGCCTCCTACTCAGGCTGAAGGATATCAAGTGCCCGGTGCACTGGCTGCAGGTATGTCGCTCTTTCTAGCTGACTTGTGATGCTTGGAGATGGTGGCTGACGTTTATGTGTGGCAATAGGGCACTAAGGATATTCCCTATGGCACGACGGTTCCGGCTGAGCATATCAAGCTGTTCACGTCTGCGCCAAAGGCGGAGTTGACTTTCATCCCTGACGGTGGCCACTATCTCAACGCGACGAATCCGGTCGAGGTGGCTGATGCTTTGATCAACATGATCACTGCCGGGAAATAGTCAGAAGACTGTCAATCCCATACCTTTGACTAGCCACGTCAAACTGTCTGGAAGAAGAAAAACCTCTTACTCATGCTTGAACCGTCATGGCTTGAATACATGCCTTGCTTGTTAGTTGATCGATCTGGTTAAGTACGAGAAATGTGATACTCCTTTTTTGCGAATTCCCTTCATTGACCTGTTGGTTTTGCGAGACCAATTGGCTAGGGAGGATTGGATATGACGGCCGTGTTTGGAACATGCACGTCTTCACTGAATGGATTCTCTAGTGGCGCATCCCGGCACTGTGAGCAGACATCTGGCCGGTAGCAGTGAGAATATTTGGGCACAAATCGATTATAGCAATCCAAAATTCCTTGCGAATTGCCGAGATATGTCCAACTACTTCATATGAGGCGGACTAGTTGAAATATCCGTAGAGTAGCCCCTCTCTCCCGACTGGCGCCTCGACGGATCCGAACTCGACTCATCCACCACGACGGTCGTCACGATATCCATCTGGATCCCGCCCTCGGCCTGGGACTGCTGCGAAGGCAGCGACGGCTGACTGCTGTTGCGATCGCCCAGCCTCCACCAGCCCTTGTCCTTCTTGGAGTGCCACGACTGCCTCTTCCACTTGTCCTGGCCACCTTGAACGATTACTATGTTGCCGAGGTTGCGCCCCTCGGGCGTCCGCATGAATGTGAATTGGTCGAGGCCTGTGTTACGGATGTCTTCCTTGTCGCTGAAGACGATAATGTAGGACCAGAGAATAGCATCGAGGAGGCCGGTGACGGCGAGCAGTGCCCCGGCGGCGCCCATGAATAAGGGAATCCGCTCGAGGGTTGGGATCAGAGACCCCAGGATGAGTGGTGTTCCCGTGACTGTGTATATGCACGGATAAACTAGAAAGGCGGGATGGTGGCCGGATGGGCGCAAAGGTGTACTGTCGTCGACCCATGCCCGAGAGCTTGAAGTCACTGAGTCGGGCCGGCGAGGCATGAATCGTGACGATCGATTCTCACGCCAGAGGCGGTAAAAGATGATGGAGTAGAGAAAGCATGTTCCAGACATTGCTGTGAATCCCCATACATAAATGGACAGCCTCCAAAGTCGATGTTCCTCAGCAATCCAGCACTGCATCGGTCAATGTTAGTGGAAGAGACTTGCGAAAACTCGACCATGCTTCAGAGAAACTCACCCATAAAACCTGCCTCTTGTAGTATTCGTTCACATTGAAGAAGATGAGCCCCAGGCTAGAGAGGAATGTGGAAAGGACCCAGACCGTCGCGCAAGTCAAGACGACGACCCGAGTAGACGGTTTGTGGCCGCGGATGATACCGAGATAGCTGAAAATGGAGATCGTGAAGAGAAACCCACTGGTTGTCAGACAGCCGAAGCTAACGATCCAGCCTTGGACGTGGCAGGTCGCTGATCCGACTTCTATCATATCGTTGTGGAGCCAGACTGCATTATTCACATATGCTGCAGCCAGCCACATGTCGGAGAAGAGAAGGTTGTAGATTAAAAGTAGGAGCGGGTTTGGCGGCTTCTGGCGGCGCGATATTATACTCTGCACTGTTTCTCTCCTCGTAAGTGGCTCTTGGGGTGCCGATGCTGGTGCCGATGTTGTTGCGGCAGCGTCGCCATTTTGCTTTTGCCTTGTTTGGAAGTACTGCGCTTCGGAAAGCCCGAGGCTCAAGTCGACTTGAGCTTCACTGGTCGAGTTCGTGGCTCGATGAGGTTGTATGTCCTGGGTCCGGGCATCATTGATTTTCCACATTATCAGCCGGTAGGTTATGTGGAAGAAGAGCAGGCTGGTTGTCACTAGGGAGAGCGTCCCCAGGATAAGCATCGCGGTCTGGCATCGTCGGTAGAGTGCTGGCAAGGGCGTTATCGAGTCGGTGAAATTCAGGTCCTCCATCGTCGTTCGCTTCCGGAACGTCAAGCATAGCAAGACGAATCGGCATACAAAGACATCCTCAGAGTCGAATCACTCAGGGTGAGGAGTATGATTTGGAAGGCAGAAAGCCATTTCCGACCGGCCTCTGTATTGGAAGAAAAGGCAACACATTTACCACCGACTTCTTTACTCTTGGCTCCCCTATGGCTCCCCATATCTGACGTTTTTGACGACACACACAATTACTGTAGTATCGTAATAAAAGGGGCCTGGCAGGTATCATCCACTTGGATCCATGCCATTAACCAGGTGCGTTGCGTGTTCCCTGGGGGCTGTCATCATGGCCATGCTCGCGAACTGGAGACGCGACGTTTATTTCATGCTGGGTCCCGAATTCAACGGAGCACTTGCAGAATCTGGAAAGGCTTGGGCATGTCCCAAGCGAGCCGGAGACCAGACGCAGAAGCGGACGTCTCTCTCTGCGCTTCAGTTTTGCTTTACCAAAGCAATAGTCCTGAGTCCATAGGACGCGCCCCCCTGAGCAGAGTGGGAAACATCCTAGGTTCAGGGGGAAGAACCCCGTCCCCACAACCCAACGGGGACAGCCGTCAATGCTCGCTTAAAGACCACGAGGAGTGCACCTGACTCGTTTGGCGAGAGCCGGAGATGTCGTCAAATCTTTTTCGACGGGGCCAGAGGACTTATTCCTAAACGGCTGGCATTCAGGACGCTTCTCTAGCCTCACTATCGAGACCAAACTTGATTAAGAGACCTTTCGATTTTGCAAGTTCTCGGGTCCTCGTTGAGCAGAGAGTAGAGAGGAGGTGTAAACAGGTCCCATTGAGCCGCGAGAAGTACCTAGTCTAGTAGATCTCATCAGGGGCGTTGTTCGCCGAGCTTCCCAGAGGAAGATCAACGGTAATCAGGAATCAAGATTGTGCTGATACGCACGGGTGACTAGACCCACATCTCCAGTTGCCGAGAAGGGCCTTTCGTTTGACAGGAGTGCTGATCCCAGCCCTGATCAAATGCCGTGGTGTTGGCCAGTTAGGTTAGCGAGCTGGTGAACGGTCGAGCAGGCCCAGAAGGTCCAGAATACGACGAGGCCTGTCGAGCGCGGAAGATTTCAAGAATTCGACCAGGATGATGAAGCGCGTCACTCCAACGCTGCTTTTTCATCTTCTCATGTCTCTGCTGGAGAAACATGTGTCTACTCCACCGCGTTGGTGGAGCAAGATAGATGGATGCTCTTGTGAAAACTTGCAAGGTGAGCGAGCACTGCTCACCGCACCGCTCTAATTCCGCGCAGGAGGGGAACCAGGGTCAGGGTCACTGAAGACAGCCACTGCCAAAACAGGCATGTCTTGCAAGGTTTTGTGGGCACACTTTCTGCCAGACTTCAACCCTTTGAGTAACCCAATTCAATTAAATCCATCATTTTCTCTCCTACAGACGGAGCAGAACCACATCCTGTTGGTCATGTTTCGAAATGTCTCCCGTCTTCTTCACAAGTGGTCAGGCCTAAGTTTTCGATTTACAGTGACTTGAAATGGTCGATGATCGACCTTCAGGACCTAGCTCACCAACCTCGCCGTTGACATAGCTTCGCCAAAGCATGGAAGAGCGACGAGTTCTCCTATGAGCTTACCCCCGTGACCCAGCCAGCCTCGCAATAGTAGTCTTCTGGCGCCGCAAGAAGTGAAATATAAGTATGTCCGAGGAAGTCGTCTCGTACAAGTTTTTGCGGAAAAAGAACATACGCTTCCCCCTTCCAAGGAAAAGACTGTCACAAAGCTATTCAGGAAAAGGGCTGAGGCCCGCTTGTCAACACTGCCACTGCTTTGCCAGCTTCTATATCAAGCTGGCCAGCATCAACAGCCTCATGGGAGCAAATCTTTCACACCTCGATCTGTATTGGGGTCTTTGACTAGTACTCTGCGCCGCGCCTCATCAGTTGCTGGGCGCTGCAGCCTCATTGCATCATGTTGAGCTGCAAAGATCGAAGTGATCAGGAGTGCAGCTCAATAATCATGCAGCACGAGCCAGACAAAGGAGAGATCGCCTCGAGGGGGCCAATGAATATTGAGCCTGTCCAGCTGATGTGGCACACGAAGCTGTACGAGCCCGCTGTTGCACAAGCCCGCTTATGGTAGAACAACGCAAAATGAGACACCCAATATACCAGCTGCGAATCACAAAAGTTGACCAGCTTGGGGTCCAGTCCAGAACAGCCACATCCAGTAAGTCTTGATGCAGGAGTGCCTGCAGCTTCGCATCCGCCCAGCGACTGGCAGTCCGAAGCGGCGTGCAGATCAGGCTTTGTACAGCACCGGTCAAGAACCCCCAGGCTGTGCAATTCTAGGTAGCCTTTCAAAACCTGCGTTCTACCCACTCCGTTTCATTCTGCAACTTAGCTTGATATTGAAGTTTTGTTTTCAGCTGGTTTTATTCGATACCGCGAAGGGAGGAACCCATTAAAGGCAATCATGGACAAAGTTCAAGAAGCCGTGCAACCTCGGGACACGGTCTCGCCTGTGATTCCAAACATTTGCTATGATAGTTGTAGTAAGTTTGATACCGGAGCACACAAAGTGTTGATTGACACGCCGCTAATTCGAAGATAGACAATGCCTACATAGAGGCACAGTCGCGTGGAGAGGCCCCGTCCCTCTGTGATCAGGACAGTGCTTTCACTAATTACTACGAGGGCTGCATTGCATGTATGGACCAAAATGCTACCCAAATACAGGATAGTACACGACAGGCCCTTGATTCATTCTTCTCTGAATATATCGACTACTGCGAGGCCTTCCAGTCATCATGGTTGACATGGTATACCACGGTGGAGTCGAAAACGATATTCATGTTGCCTGCCACAGGCTCATCAACGTCCCAATTCACAGTCTGGTACGAAAGCAGCACTATCACCTCCACCCTGCCCGCGTATTTCATACACTTCTCAGCCCAGTCTTTGATATCCACGTACATCCCTCCCGCGGTTTTCAGCGAGCTTGCGGCGTCAGTGGCCTCCGCTGCCTCAATGGCCTCCGTCACTGGCGATGCCACTAGTCTTGTGTATTCAGTCCTTGAGGATACGTCTCGTCCGCCGTGGTTCTCTTCCGCTGTCCCATCGACATACGCGGCACAGATGAGTACGTTGGAGGCGAGCTTGAACGAATTGTTGGTCACGTCTGGGTCGACGCCAAGCACCTCGGCAGCCACCTCAACACAGAGAACGACGCCCACGGGTAGGTACCTTGCCTCTGCAATTTGACTACACCGATTTTCCACGGCGACATCTGTCACATGACTAACCTCGTCGCTTCCTAGGCTCGGGAAGCAAAGCCTGGATAGCTGGCGCAGTGGTGGGTTCGGTAGCTGGCGCGGCCCTGATACTGCTTGGCTTCTTTTTGTTTCTGAGACATAAGAGAAGAGCTATGACTGCCGATAAAAAGCCAGGTCTCCAAGGTGATGACAAAACATATATGACAGGCTGGAAGCCTGAGCTGCACTCCGACCCCGTGCCGCAGCCTCCGCGTGTCTATGAGATGGACGCTTCGCAGAACATCTCAGAGATGGAAGTCCACGAGATACCGCAGGAACTACATGTCGATCAGGTCAGAAAGACGCCAGAAAAGCCTACCTGAGAAAGGGAGGGATAATATCGATTATACCGAGCGTTGCTGTCCGGGTTGAACCAACAGGGGGTGTCTAAAGACCCAAGAACGGCATGCATAGAGTAGCGTGCCGGTCCAGGTCTTGCGATCCTTCCCGTTACACCTATAAGCACGTTGTTGGGGGGAAGCAGCAAAAAAATCTCGGCGCTGCTCAGCTGGGAGTAATGATAGATGAGCTGCGGCGTCGTTCGCTGGTCACGCGTGTGGACCACAGCGGCCCCCCCCCCCCTTTGACGAAGGGCATGACACGAAGGCAGAGGCGCCCCAAAGGACAAAACCTATTGACGCATGAAGAATGGGAGCATAAGGGAGACCGCCAGAAGGCTGTTCTCCATCATCGATACCTATTAAGAAAGCTCTCACAAGCACGAGGAGCAGAGCAGCTGGAAGCAATGCAAATTCCGATGTGACCGTGCACTAGATGCAATTTGAACTACTTATGGACATGGAGACTCATAGCCGCAGGCAGGTAGGCCTGCTGACAGTTACGGAACCAACACGCCCCCTAACCTCGCCGTCATACAGTCCGCTGTAGTCTGCCCCTTTCACCGGGACATCCATTAATGGCATGACGATAGCCTAAGCCCCGATCCAGTACGGGTTTTGCCTCTTGTTGTTGCCGTTGGCGGCAGCAAACTTCACATTCTCATTACCCACCACGGACTTGAGAACAGTCTGCGTGTTGATGCCCTGTACGGCGCCGTCGCCGCCCTGCATGATGCTCGCGAAGTTGTTGGAGACCAGCTGGATGCCGCTGGAGAAACCTTGCTCGTCGAACTCACAGTGGCCGCCGTTGGGGGTATTGTCAACAGTCTGCAGCGCGCCGACCTGCTGGGCGTTGAGGCCGGCGCCGGTGGCCAGCTGCTCATAGGCAGTAATGGCCTGGGGGATGGCATCCTGCAGGGTGGTGAGCTCCTGCTGTGTGCTCTGGAAGTGGATCTTGGTGGTTCCGGCGACGGCAGCCGAGTTGTTGAAGTCAACCTGGGGCGGGAGCGCGCCGCACATCAGGAGCACACCTGTGCCGGCGAAGTTGGCCATGTGCGCGGGGACGAAGAAGCCGGAGAGGGTGAGGGAGCCGCCGGACACGCCTGTCATGAAGACATTGGAGGAGTTGAACGCCACCATCTGCGGGAGCACCTGCTGCATGAGGTCGTTGACGGCCTGGGAGTGGGCGACGCCGTCCACACGCGACAGGCCCTGAGGCTGGCCCTGGGACTGGCCCCAAAGGAGTTGCTCTGAGAGAATTGTGAGCTTTGAGTCCCGAGGAACGAGGAAGGGAGAGTTCACGTACCAGAGGGAGCGAGGACGACGACTCCCATGAGTCCTTGCTGGACGGCTTGGTTAGGGAAATCGAAGAAAGACTGGCCACCGTCTCCGTGGAGGAGGACGTTGATGCCATTTGCTCCTTGAGCACCGGGCTGTTGGGTGGCTCCCTGGACGCCGGATGCGGTCGTGAACTGGTCTGCCGGAGCGGAGATCTTGAACCGGAGGTCAAGGCCACTAGCATATCTCGTCAGCTTACTGTCTCATGATGTCCATTTCTCCCATAATGCTCTTACTTGACTGTTGCAGTCATGTCCAGGATTGTAGAGCCATCTGTCGCTTGGGAAATACCCTGAGGGATGGCGGCCGCCTGCTGCTGAGGCGTCTGCTGGGTCGCGCCGCCGCCATTACGATTGCCTCCTTTCCTTCCACGTGTCTGTGGCACCGCCTGCACATCCCCGAAGATGGTCAGGAGGGCCACGAGAGCGAAACGAATGGTCAACATTCTGCTGAGGATACCAGTCCACAGGAAATAAAAGAAATTAACGAACAGAAGCGAAAGGGAGAAAGAGAAAGAGAACTAGATCCGGAAACGAAGGCGGCCCCAGTTAGTTCCCAATGACAAGATTGAACAAGCAAAGGACAAGACGAATCTTATCCGGTGAAAACATGCAGGTGCTTGCCATTAAGAGTAAAGAAGCCTCGAAAAGAGGAAACCTAAGCGGCTCTCTGCCCACTCTCATGGCTGCCGTGTCTCTGGACGATCCATCGTTCTTGGCGTTCCAGGCGTGTCCAGGGCTGTTTTGTTGTTCTGCGTATGGGGGCGCTGGCTGGCTGTGCAGGCAGCTGTTTGCTGGTGCCCGCCCCGGAGAAAGTCCATCATCAGACCGCTTGTGTATGAGAAGTTGGGCTGGACAAGATGGGATGATGTCGTTGAGGCTCCGTTTTGGTGTAACAAGCGCTCTGGGGGCTGATCCTGGCCTGCCACTCGGCTTGTGCCAGCGTTTCTTGGCGGTTGTTTTGGAAAATCATCTGCGCTTTGGCTCCGGGGGCTAAACTCATGTACCCATGTACTCCTTGCAGTAAGGGGTTGTTTTGGAGGCCGGTTCGACGTCAGTTCTCCTGTCAACCTAATTGCAGTGGACATGATGGTTTGAGAGATGGGATCCAGGCCAAGATTGAGATGATTTGACCTTAAAAGTAAGCTTCTTTCTCTCCACTGTGAGCCACCTAATTCTTGATATAATTCTTGCAGAGGTGGACTCTCATGAAAACAAATCGAAAACTCACATTCTTACTCGTCTACCTAGTCAGGGCCAAGCAGCATTGTACCTGTCGATCACACCACAAGGCAACGTGTTTCACAAGGCCGAATGTCGGGCGTGTGTGAGATTAACCGCTAGAAGCTTGTCTACTGTAAATAAGCAAGCCATTGTAGATCCTTTCCTGGCATATTATAGATGCACATCTATAAGGCAACTCGCAGAAGATGCCCTGCCTGCCTGCCTGCCTGCCTGCAGCAAACTGCTCAATGAGTGCTTTTGTGTCAAGTATGGTTGGCACCAAGTTGTGCAGTGCAGGGTCTCTTTCCGCACACGAAAAGGCTCTGCCGGCAGCTGCAAGATGCTGGCATCCGGAAACTCAATTCACGGACACTGCCAAGGAAGGCAAATTCGTAAGCAAACATGAGGCTCTGCCAATTGCCAAATTAGGAAACTTATCAGCAGCTCGGAGCGCCTGATTCGCTCCTCAAAGTCTCACCACACTACTCAGTGATGTGGCTGCATCAGCAGCAAACGCCATCCCACCTTAGTCACACTGATGAACGCAGCTCCAACGTCTATTGTTTACTCTCATCTATTGTTGGCTGTCCAGTATCAGGAGGCTTCCATGTGAGCGCAAAGCCAAGCCTGGCTATTAGAACTACAGGACGGAAATCCAGACGGAGCAAAAGACTCTGCTGCGAACCGTCTACAGCTTTGGACCTTTCTTGGTCCTCGAAGCTTTCTCCTGGTCCCTCAGCAATCTGCGTAGGATCTTACCGCTTGGGCTCTTGGGAACCACGTCAAGAAATTCGATCCCGCCCTTAATCCACTTGTACGATGCCTTGTGCTCCTCCACATGCTTCAGAATAGCCTTCACGACCTCATCTTCAGGCTTGTCTGCAAAGGCAGGTGCCTTGACCACAAATGCCTTAGGAACCTCGCCGGCGGAGTCGTCCGGTACTTGGATCACAGCGCAGTCGGCTACGGCTGGATGGGAGAGAAGATGTGCCTCGAGTTCGGCTGGGGCGACTTGGTGGCCTAATGGGTGGAGCTCTGTTAGTTTCAAAAACATTTCCAGCGGAGCGGAAAATTTCCATACCTTTCACCTTGATCAGCTCCTTGATTCTGTCGACAATTACGATGTGCTCGTTTCCGAGAGGAGACAGCGTCACGACCGCCTCGTCACCGGTGCGCACCCATCTTCCATCCTCGTCGAACACGAAAGTCTCAGTTGTCGCTTTCTGGTTGTTCAGGTAGCCAATGGTCGCTGACGGAGACTGTACCCAGAGCTCGCCAGGTGTGTCGTAGCCCTTGACTTCCGTGCCGTCTAGGCCAAAGATCTTGGCTCTTGTCGCTGGGAGGAGGGAGCCGGATGACTTGTTCAGAATATCGTCTTCACTGTTCGATGTCACAATAGTCGCGGTTTCAGTCATACCTGAGGAACTTGTGTCAGTTCCGAGTCAGAGGGCAGACAGAGAAGGGCGCTCTTACCGTAACCTTGAGCCACGCGCCATTTCGGCCAGATCTTGTTCATGTCTTGAACTGTCTCTTCTCCTAATGGCGCCGCACCGGAGAAGACGACCCTGACACTGTCAAGGTTGTACTTCTTACACTCTTCCGGTACCCTGGTCATGCGTATCACTATTGGCGGTACCTGATGATCGGGTCGTGTCAGTTGACTGGCAAAACGTGGATTCAAAAGGATTCCCGAGTGAGCTTACTAAGAAAAGATGGTTGATCTTGAATCTCTCAATGGCCGATAGATACGTCGGCATCTCGAATTTGGGCAATACAACAACTTCGTCCCCTCTGTAGATGCAATTATGTGCGATAACGACCAGGGCGTAAATGTGGCTCATCGGCAGAAGCCCAAGAACCGTCTGGGTGGAGATCCCGAGCTTCTTTCTGGAGACGGACTCGTAGGCCACGTGCTGCATTGCGTTCGCAATAACGTTTCGATGTGACACCATGACAGCTTTTGGCAGCCCCGACGTCCCGCTGGAGTAAGACAGGAATGCCGGCTGCCGTTCTCCTTGGCCCTTCGTCCACTGCAGCGCGTCGAGTGGGGACAGTTTGGCGCCTTCTGCGATGAGGTCCTCCACCGTCACAAAGCCGTCTGCCTTCTCGAAGCCCGCCATGCCCATCAGCCATATCTTATCCTTCGGAATGCCAGCCGCCTTAGCCGCCTCAAGGCCAATCTGCAGCTGAGGTCCACCGACAAAAAGGGCCTTCGCGCCGGAGGACTTGAGTTGATGGGTCAATTCGGGGGTCGAGTAGGCTGCGTTTGCCGGGGTGACGATTCCATTGAGTCGGTGTATTGCCCATGATATTGTTACTTTTCATTCGGTATTGGGCGTTAACAATTTTGCAATTTCTAAATCGGGGTGCAGCTCTGAGACATGCTGTTTTCGAGGACTCCGCAGTCATGTCCCAAGAGGAGGTCTGCCAGATCGGGAAGTTTTTCACTTACAGTAATCAATCTAATGAAGAAGGGCATCAGTAATTGCTTGGTGGCAGGTAACACAACGGGTAGATCCTTACCGTATTAACCGAGAATATACAAGCCACTTTGTCCCATTCAGTCTCTTCGTTCGGCAGCCACCCAAGCCGCTTCCCGATTGCTCGGGCCAGAAAGTCCTGGCGCTCAATGAACGTTTTCCAATCAAATGTCTTTCCTGTCAGGCCGCAGGTGAACGGGTTCTTGCTTTTGGCGAGCGGGTAGCGTGCATATTTGTCCGTGGTTATAAACTCTGCTATCGGGATGCTGTCTGGAGGGTCTGGCAGGTCGTTAGAGGGAGTCCCGGCTTCAAGGGTCCTTTCCCACTTACCGAAGGCCAGCTTTGGCACCCAGCTCGGCGGTACGAAAACCATCTTGACTCGTCACTTCGCCTTTGGAGGAACCAGCTCGCTCGAGGTATAACCTAAATTTGATTGGAGCTCGACGAGCGGAAAGGGGAGGGCGAAACACGGCAGGTTCTGGAGGAGAAGAGAAGAGAGGAGAACTTCACGGGAATAATTCACCGACTCGAGACGATGACCTCGGTGACGCAGCGCGCTAATTATCAGAGATAGGCACAAAGAGCACTTGACCTCGGGACTTTGCAAATCGACTCCACCCTGGGTAGAGAGCTCGGGATTTAGAGCGCACGACATCATCGCCCAGCGGCAGCGGCAGCGTCTCGGCGATTCCCCCGCACTCAACCCTGTTCCCGGCCCCATTCTCTCCACGATCAGACACTCCACTCCCCCTGAGTCTGGTGTGGGTGGGTGCGACGCGGTGCGCTGCCGAGAGAGGCTTCGTCTACATCCGGTATCTCCGCCTTTCAACGTCAACTGTCTTTGCAGTGCTGCCAGCTTGCCCAGCTACAAGCAATGGTTCCCACAAGTGATACATTTGGAAGCGCGAGACATCACCAGCACCCATGATTGGGATCTGAATCTACAGTCATGAAAATGCCATCTTTGCATTTTGAGCATTCCGGTCTTCTCGAGAACCTCCAGATCTGAACCGTGGTCCAGTGCTCCAGTGCATCGACTCCCGGCCTCCCGTGACCTGCCCAGCAATCGCGAACCTTGATCTTGGCCCATTTTACTGTCGAACTTTGGCACGATCTTTCTAATTGCGGTTCTCCTGGTCTTCTAACTCACGAGATCTTCTTTAGTGTGGTCGCAAGAATTTCCGAGTTGCAAAACACAGAAGGCTTCCTCTTCCGGCTGGCTGGCTCACATTGCGTCCCATCGCCTTGTCCCACAATGCCCCATACTCTCCCGTCTGGTCATTACAGGCTGCTGTAAAGATATGCTGTCGTGTTCTTCCAGATTAGCCGTCTTTTTCTCTTCGCAAATCACCATGAGTATCAGTCACAGACCGTATCTACTTGCTCCCCAAACAACGGTCCCGTATCGACGGTGTGACGCATCTGTGATGGCCTATGAGACGAGCAAGCGATCATAGTTGCTTGTTTGCATTTTCCAGACGTTTTAATTGCTCATAGCTGCAGAAATATGCGCTCAAAACAGATAATGATCAAGACATATATAAAGTGCGACCTCCTGGTCAAGGCTCAACTTTGAAAGGGGCCTTGGTGTGCGTGGATGTTGGCTTGCCCTCAAATCTCAACCTTTACAATGTTTTCTCTTTCAAAGAGATCAGAATTATAAACAGAATTCATCGATGCCGACTGAAAGATTAGGATGACAAGAGTCCTTCTGAACGCAGGCCCTCTACCCAGCTCTGAATGCTAACGCCCTTCTTTCTCTTAGAGAGAGGCAGAGAGAGAGAGAGAGAGAGCCCGTGAATAGCATCGTCCAGTGACCAAACATCCGAGACGCTAATTGCGCCACGTGTTCAAGTATTCAGCGTTTGTCTACTTCTCATATCGTGACTTATCGGGCGCCTCACAAGTGCTCATCATGACTTCTGTTCATCTCAAATCTGTCAAACGCTCCGTTCTTTCCCGCTGAGGCAGAAAGCACGTGAATGAAATCGCCCAATTACCAACCACCTGGGCACCTAAAGGATAATTGCCACATGTTCAGCCGATTTGTGTCGTTGCTCCTCGTGTCATGCCCTCCTGGGGGCTTCACAGATGCTCGTCCTGCCTATATTTCGCTCGTCCCAGGTCTCGTTTGCCCCGTCCCTCAACCACCACATCGTTACTTCCTTCAGGTCAAAGATGACTGTGAATAGCATCGACCAGTGACGCTGAAGGGTGCCAGGTGCAACGTGTTCTTTTTGACTCTGTCTGTCTCTCTGTTTTTGCAATTGCACACCCAGCTCTCCTTCGTCCCATCTTGCTCGTCCCATCTCTGAATACAGACAACGCTCTTGCTTCTAAAGAAAAGCTCTCTGAGCAATATTCCCCAGTGACCAACCAGTAAAGACGCTAGCGCTAACGGGATTGTGCCCTCTGAGGAGTTGCACTGTCTGGAAGCTGCTGCCAACAGCTCCAGCCCCCAGTTCTCCCATCTGAACATGCCCACACACAGAGTACATCTATCAGACACCCTTCATAAGTCCTTTCCCTAGTTGATCCGGTGGAGAGATACATATAGTGGTCCGTGTGTCGTGTTCACGCTAGCGTAATCCGGGCCCCTGCCCCTTACGCCTTCCTTCACCTTGGGAAGGCACGCCTCATCGTTGGAAAGAGCAGCAAAGCAACTTCTCAACCTTCTTTGGCAGGCACAGGGAATCACTGCACCCAGTGACGCATTACTTCTCTTCCAGTCTTGTCTGGAAGTCAAGCAGCTCATAATCTTCTCAACCTACCTCCTTCAACACTCCCCGGGGAATATCTCCGTAGTCGCACCTCCTTCCCAGCAGCCCACACAGCACTCTCATTGCACACCGTTTGACAACATTCAGAGAGTACCTTCGTTATCCCACCACTCTCAGCACATTCAGAGGAGCACTTCGTCCGATATCACTTGACTACAGTGGGAAGCCACTCAACTCACCTTGCCGCCGGCAAAGTTTTCAAGTCTTGACCTCTCGACAAGCGATATCACTTACCTTCCCTTTCTTCCTCCTTGTTTGGTGCCAACAGACACTTGAGGGCATCACCTTACCGGTCGCATTCACGTTCCCCCAGTTCCCCATCCTCGAGACATCTTCAAGATCAAGCCCGACCAAGATCATTCCCGACCGAGACCATCCCTGATCACTGGCCCTGCCTTCTATTCCTGAACATCGTCAAATCCGTGAGTGCATCTTGAACCCTGTTTTGCTGGTCCACTTCCAAACGGAAGCCTCCCCAGCCGTTTTCCCCAAACCTCACAACACTCTTCACATATACAAGATTCCCAATCGGCATCCGTCGCACCTTCCTTTGAGCCTCACGGCATTCTTCAAGTACAAGATCTCAACCGACAAACCTTTCGTAGCTTCGCTTGAGTCTACCGGCGTTGTTCACGTACAAGTTTTCCCACCGACGGGTCCTTAACATCCTCCCCTGAACCTAACGACATTCTTCACGTACAGCGTCCCGGCGGATCACAACCTCGCGGCTGCAATTGAACCTACGGGTGTTCTTCACGTACAAAGTTCTCGACCAAGACTCCCTTCACAGACCCATTTGAACCTCACGCCACTTATCACGCAACCGCACCACCAAGTCTACAAGGTCGCACTTGCACCTCATACCTACGTGGACTCGGTAGGACTTACCCACACGCCCCGGGGAAACTCCATTCTTTACAAAGACCGCCCATCGAACCTGCCTATTTGGTGAGTACCTTTATATTTACTACTACCTTCTTTCTTTCATGTTGTATCATTTGGCCACACCTTGAGCACTTGAATATTTGCTGCTGCTGCCCTTTCTGTTTCGTTTGTTGTTTGATATCCCCCAGAATGTCATACCCAAACCTTCACAAGTCTGTGCAAGACTACCTTGCGGTCTGCGTGGACTCCTCTCCAATGTTACAAACCTCAGAATGTTCCGTTTGCTTCGTGTCCATGATTGACCCGACTCCTGCACATTTAAAAACTTCATTCATGAAGTATCACGCATGGCAGATTTGGACGCACAAAAGATCACTCTCACTGAACATTTCTGGTACCTTTGTCGTTATCTTGAGCACTATTAATCAGGCACAAACCTTCCACCTTCCTTCCTCTGCTCTCCAGTCTCTGTTACCTTCTCTCTAGGCTTCATCAGGGTTGGGTCAACTCTTCTGCACAGCCTTGTGTCTAGGAAAAAGACACTGTTCAATTCTTGACCGATTCTGCTTCCACTTTCTTCTCACTGCATCAAGACACACATGCCAAGTGTCTCTGTGCATTTCATCATATCCTCGATTACTTATGCCTATGGCCTTGTACTATTGAACTTGAGAACAAAGTTTTGAGACAACAGATTCTCTCTTACTTCAACTGCCCCTTGTCATTGTTTCCATCGCTCAACTAACAAGTCCTGGGATATCGATCTTCAATCGAGCACCTACTAATACATATATATCAAAATTCCAGAATTCACAGATATCCGCACAAACCATGTCTTCTCAGGTCAGGATTAATAAGTTCTTTCCGAGCTCCAAGGTCACCAGGTCTAGCGTGGCGGCACTTTCCGCTGCGGCGCCTTTGACTGCGGCGCCTTCAGCTACGGCTCCTTCGGCTACGACGACTTCGGTTACGACACGTGCTTCTCGAAAGCGTGCGGCATCCCAGGCATCCCAGGCATTCCAGTCTGAGCCAGCCCAGAAGCGTTCACGAGCCAGCGACGATGTCATAGGAGATGATCCGGCATCTGCCCTCTCGACTGACGAAGTTGCTAAAACCGAGCCAGATTTTCCTGATGGCCCACCAACTGTCTGGGCGATGACACGGTCAGGCCTCTGTGACTCGCAGAAGCTCTACAGGTCACACAATGCCGGCGCCTACACGAAAGACAAGAAGCTCTTCTCTTTGTACATCAACAAGTACTCCGAGCCTCGAGACTTCCTCGGCCGTACCAAGCTGATCACCTGCGCGTAAGTATTCCTCACTGGCTTCATAGCGTTGCTTGTGCTGACTCCTACACAGCGGCGGTGGTCGTGAGCAGCAGGACGGGAAGGGTCCTTGGGTTCGCAACAACACTAAGCCGACCATGGTCGAGTCCTGGGAGGCTGCAGTGGACACTCCGGTTGTCATCATCATAGGTGGGTCTCACATATCTTTCCTTGGCATGAATCATACTAATTCAATGGTATCTAGGCAAAGATCACCCTGACTTTGCGAACCTCATCTTGCCGAAGGATGTGCGTGATCATGGAGCCTTTGTGGAGCTGGCCACGTTCATGGTTACGAAGATTTGGAAAGAGATGGTGAAGCCTGAGAGTGTTCGGGAGCCTTACCAAGTCTGGAAAGTCATGCTTCAGACCATGGACCCTGCTTCGAAGCCATGGTATTGGAAGGACGACAACCAACATGACGCCACTCTCGAGAATTCTCTCGATGAAGAGAACAATGCCAATGACAGCGACGACACCCAAGAGACTACTAATGTCCTTGAGGAGACGTCATGCACTAGCTGCGGAAAAGTAGGCCCAAAGATCTTCGACAACGCGCCTTGGGTCTGTCTGGAGGATGGATGCAAAGAGTTTTTCCAGGTCGCCGGCAACATGTTGAGTCAAATTGGTGATGACAACAAGGAGCTGCGGTACTCAAAGGACTTCATCAACCACATCACCACTTATGAGAATCTTCTGAACATTCCCACCATGTTTCAGCCACTTCCAGAGGCTTTGATTGAGGGTGGGGAGAATTACGGCACGGAGAAGGCTCTTCGTGGAGGCATGACGTGCCCCAAGTGCCGATGCTGCACCTCCCGAAAGTACTGGGACAGATTGGCGTGTTGTAACTGTGGCTTTGAGTACAACGCAGCCCCTCTCCCATACCCCTTGAACAAAGTCGAGGAGGAGAACAAGGCACACACACTCAAGCTTCAAGCCAAGAACGCCGGCCTGCGTGAAGATGGTGTGACCATCAAGCAGAATGAAGATTATGTGGACCTATTCGTCGAGAACGATGAAGACGGCATGTCCACTCGATTCATCTACATGATCAAGAATGCTCGTTGGGAACTGATTGGAAGCTTTGTGGTTGAGCGGCCCAGTGATGCTGCAAAGAAAGCCTCAGGCGGTGCCAATGAGCTTTACACAGGCATTGAGGCTGCGGGCAGTAACATGCATTTTCAGCGAAACCCTGCTCGCTGTCCAGGAAGTAAGTCCCATACAAAGACCAAATTTCCCACTCAAATGTCTTTACTGACAATGTACAGGCACTAGCGAGACTCTGACCCGCCATTTTCAGTCCAACTTTGTGAGTTGTTCAAATTGTAGATACTATTGTATATCATACTAACGATATCAAGGGAGCTCTTTATGACTTTGGCGTCAAGAACATCGCCACAAAGCCGTTCAATGATGCTCCTGATGTAGTCCTGCAGTCACTTGTTTATCTGAAGCATTTTGGAGAGAAAGCACTGAAGAGCTCTCAGCTCATGGTTACCAGAAAAGACTATCGGCCCATTGCGGGCTCCACTATTCACACGCCACAGAAGCCCTTCAACGAGTTGCTAGCTCTGGCATACCGCGAGACTGACAAGATCAATGTAAGTTGGCTACAGTGATCCTCCTAGGTGAAAATTCAGCGCTAATGTAGCAACAAAGTGGCATGATGATGGTGAGGACCAGTTGACGGGCGTGATAAGCACGGCCTCTTTCGGATCACCCGGAAGGATGGCACTACGGTTCAAGAAGGGCGAGACTATTCTCGAAGTGCAGCTGCGACACGGAGACGTTGCCACCATGTGTGACACCCGCCTCCAAGCTCTCACTGATGTAGGTTGCCCATCCAATAGGTTTGAATGGTTGATGTCTCTGCTAACGGAAAGCGAAGCACACTGTGATCCCCGAGGGCATCCGTCGATATGCAATGACTAGCCGCACCATCAATTTCGACCACTACAGACAGCCGAAGCAGAAGGCTAAGCTGGTTCAGAGAGGCCTGACCATTGAGAAGATGGAGGAGGCAGCACAGTTTCCGGACCGCGCTATGAGTTTCGCATACAACGGCACAACTTTGGGAAGCCAGCAGGAGGATGCTGCTTAGAAGTGGACGCACAGCAATCCCTGTCTGCGCTCCATCACGCAGACACACCTTTTGCCATCAGCGGAGTTCCGGCCAAAAGTGGTGAGATGGATCTAAGGAATCGGCCAGCACAAAACGACTCGTCACATTGAGTGGCTTGTTTATTTGGGAGGTTTGTAAAATACGGAAACCAAAAATATGGGGATTTTGGGGCAGCAATTTGTCTCGGACACGGAGGCGGTCATCTTGAGACTTGAGGGCCTTTGGTTTCGGGATTTTGCGGATTTATCAGCTGAAATTCGCTACATTCAGCTCTTTTCTCGGCGGAGAAGTTGAGATGATCTGGGTTGCTCCATGGTGGTGTGATGGCAGGTCTTCGGCGTCCTAGATGCTCTGGATCTGCTGTGTCTTTAGCTGGGTAAGTGGGCATATTGACATTTGGCTGCCATGGTTTGGTCCTTTGGGATCAAAGCATGATAGTTCTCACAGGTAGCTCAAGGACAGCATTGAGATCAGTGGGGGATATTCTTAGCTTTCATAGGAGCCCCATAAGAAAAAGGAAAGCACATTTTTGGAGCCAACTACATGCATACCACGGCACAGCCTTGCTGAACCTCGGTGGACTGTCTTGACCTCTTGCTTTGCTATTGTCTCAAGTTAAGTAGCTATTTACCATGCCCCCTTTCCTGAGACTAGGAGCACTGTACTTCCCAGCTGCCTACGCAGATCCTCCTTCTCCACATCATGGGTATCCTCAACCTCTCCCCACTTGCCCGTCTGCCAATCCACCTCTAGGCTGGCCGCCTTGGCCGCCTCCTCGATGCCAAACGTCCTCTTACTACTCTTACTTGTCCCAGATACATCCCTCACAGCACGCCCGGCACTACCTTCGCTCCACTCTACCACCAGCCTTGCCGCGCCCAACAAGCTCTTGCCGGCGAGAGCCGCCCTCTCCAACCCAGCCAGGTCCCAGGCTTCCAGGCCCATCACCCATCCCTGGATGACCTCCCTCACGCCAGGCTTCTGCTGTCTGGGCATTAGCAGCCCCTCATCTAGCACGGGCTCGATCTCCACGCCGGGCCAGACGTGCGTGCTCAAGTACCCAATGACCTCGCCGGCCGTGCGCTCCTGCAGCTCCCGCAGGGGCGTCTCTTCCGGTGAGAGGGGCTCGGCCGGCGGCGCCCAACACAGCAGCGAGTCGGTGTCGAGGTAGCGCAGGAGGGTGTCGGCCACGGCGGTACGGATCGGGGCGAAGCCGCCCGATGACGATGACGGTGAGCCCGCGTGTTTGGCATCATCCTCAGCGATGTCCAGCGCGCGGCACACGAGCGACGTCAGCGGGATCAGGTGGTTCTTGGTCGCCTGCTGGGCTGAGGTGAGAAGGTCCCACTCCAGCGCGAGGGCGTGCGCCAGGTACGGTTTCGAGAGCGGCACGTTGACGATGGCCTTGGTCGTTGGGTGGCGCAGGGGCCGTGAGTCGAGGTAGATTTGGTAGGCGCCTGGAGAAGCAGCAAGCTCGTTAGCAATTCATGTCTGCGAAAGACAAAAGATGGCTTAGGGGATGTTAGGTGGATCTGCGCACCATCGACCTCTTTGACGTGGACGTCCTGCCAGAAGCGCTTCTTCAGCGGCGACTTCCCGGAGTTCTTGCCGCTGCTGGCGTCCCGGATCTCCTTTGCGTTCTTGAGCAGCTCGGCCTGCTTCCTCCTCCTCTCGACCTTGGCGTAGGGGTGTTCTGCGGCCGGCTGTGGGGGCTCCGGTGGAGGGCCGGTCGCGCAGAAGGGGGCAACGTTGGCTGGGTCGGCGGATGAGGAGTGGAGGGCCCTGCTGGCGATGGGGCGGGCTGCTACATAGCTGGATCGGCTGCAGACGAAGAGCCGCGGGATCGCCTGGCTGGCGAGCCTTGTGGGTGGCTTCATGTTGGGGGATATAGGTGGTGGATTGTGGTGGTCGAGGACCTTGATGATGCGATGAGACTCGGAGCTGTGGACTAGACACCGGGAGGTGGGACATTTTTCCAACGCCTTACAGGGGTAGCAGATCTGGGGCCGATCTGCAGGGGTCCTCGCTAAATGCCCGATTGGCTGGCCCCGCCAAATTGAAGGCATACCACATGCAGTCAACGCCTGCTTGAAACTTCAATCTACATCTCACGGAGCCTATTCCGCATTACATCTCCAATTTTACTATGCGTGTGTCTCTCAAGCGACTGGTCCAGGTAGATCTACCAGCATTAAGCAAGGACGAAGCCCGCCAGCTGCACTCAGAGCTTCTCAAGGAACAGGTGATCATGTCGTGGCTTACAGGCATTAGCTACACTTGGAGACTATCCAGCAGCACGAGACCTACAGCTGGGTCATTCTGTTTTATTTAACGTGGTGAGGCAGCTCTTGATTCCGGCTTCTGACGAGGTCAAGCAATGATTTGGATCACCGGCCCAAAAGTACGAAAGGCCTCGCTTCAATCTATCGTCAAGGGAATGACTTTGAGTAGGCCACACATATCAACAGGACTGTTTTCAACTCGTACTGCACTCATTCGCTCCCAAGGTAGCGTGACGTATTGAATGGGAGGTCTCCTTACGAGGCTTTGCTTAAATGGGCACTTTTGAGAGGCAGAGAGGATGACTCGTACGTCTTGCAACAATGTTTGATCTCAAGCTTCAACAATTGACCGTCATAGGCATTTACTGTCTACGGGATCTCAATCTAGTACACGCCAATGATCTCTCCGACAACGCTCCTGAAGATTCCGTTCGGGTCAAAATCCTCTCTCACGGCCTTGAATCTTGCAATGTGCTGTCGTGGTGTCAGCAAAGTCTGATGAGCTTTCGAAATGTACAGTACGCAACACTTACGTCTTGGTCCAGGTTCTTGACGGCCTGTGTAAGAACCTCCCTGGTGTTCTTTGTCCAGTGAGGCCTGCAGGGGAACTCGTTGATGAGTGTCTGCGACAGATTGTGATCTGCGGATGGTCAGTCTTCATTTGCCCACACATCCGAAGGGCCAACAATATCTCACAAAATGGCTCGTTGAAACGCAGGTGGTCACCGATGTTCGGCCTGAACGAGGGGAAGTCGAACATGATAGCCCCCCTGCTCCAGTCGGCCCCATCTGAAGTGCCGGTGGTCACCTGTCCGAGAAGGTCGAAATGCGGCTTGCCGAACTTGATGTTGATGCTGAGACAAAGCCCTTGCGTCAGTTCTTGAGTCGTGTTCCAAGAGTCCCCAGGTCCTGCTTACCCGCTTCGATACGTCGCAGTCATAACAATCAACTTCTCGTTCCACTGCGCGTCGAACAGCTCCCTCACCCTCTTCAGCATCTTGTTGGCAAGGGTAACGGGGAATGCCAACTCCAACGTGTAGCCACGGAGGTCGTAGTCCCACTCTGCCTTCTGATCCGGATATAGGCCGCCAATAAGGACGTCATCTAAGACATATTAGAATCTGCAGCAATTTTTTTGAGGAGTTACATAGAGGCTCCTGTGAGGAGAGAGATAATGAAAGAAAACCTGGACAGAATTCCACGCACAATTATAGCCTGTCACGGGCCAGGTTGTGATCTCCTCATTGGTGTCCTTCGTGTGGAAGTTAGGCTTCTCCCAGATACCAAAAAAGATTTCCTCGGCAAGCATGTTAGATGTCGCGAGGGCCTTTCCGGTGTTCAGGATGGAGATGGCAGCGGCGGCTTCGACTGCAGTCACGGAGAAGGTGGACTGGAGGCCGTTTTGGTTTGTGTCGTTTGGGCCGATGACATCGTAGTATCTCTGGTGAAACTTTCTCTTGTATGGCCCTGTGTTCTGTCAGCACTGCTCGCTGCTGAGTCTAAGGTCGTCCTTCTGGGGGTCCACGCAGGAACAGATGGAGCCCCTTAACGGAGGGAAGTACCTACACCACTTTCGGGTTGTCAGAACTATATCTCAACTAAAAGAAGGGGATGATTGACTTACCCAGAGATTTGCTGTCAGGTAGGGTGCTATCAGCGCTTCGATATCGCCATTGAGGACGTCGGCCTCATCGAGCCTTCACCTCGTCAGCCCACACACTCGCGGAAAGGTTGGTACAACCGCGACACTTACGTGTTCTGATTCGCATAGAGCACAGTCTCGGGGTAAATCTTCATCTTCAGCCTCGCGATGATGCCCAAAAGCCCCAACGAGGTCGACGCCGCAAGCCACTCGTCATTGGACTCGTCCCTCTCAACGGTCCTGATCTTGCCGGTGCCATCAATAATGTCTATCGACAACACGCCGCCCACCACCACGGCGTCCTCCCTCAGCGATGTTCGGTGGGCGCCCATGGCCACGCTACCGCCGAGGGAGATGTTCCAGTTGACAAGGCCGGTACCGATGTTGGCGCCACGTGCGTGGAGGTAGTCGGCGAGCTCGAAGAAAGTCACACCGCCCTCGACGACCACGGTGCCTGATTCGGCGCCCTCTGGGAGGTCGAAGTCGGAGATGTTGTTCACAAACTCTGTTCGGATGATCTCAGTTGGCAGGTCGGCACATTGTGTGTCATACCCTTCAAGTTTCTCTGTTAGCTTTCTACGTGGCTGGATTGTGTGACGTGTGGCTTCATGGCTTCATGCATCAATGCTTCACTTGAGACTCTTCCAACTTGGAGCTAGGCCATCCATCGAGGAAACCACAAGGAAGTATAATGATCCTCGGGTACGACTTACACATATGCCCCTTGCCTCCTGCACGAACCTGTGTACCTGAGGCAGCAGCGGCCTGGACGAGGGATACCACTATGAAAGTTCCCGGTCAGCCTCTTTCCGGAAGGTTTCTGAGTGGGTGATCCACCCAGATGTCTCAAACTCACTCTCGTCCACGCTCGTGGCGTTATGCACTGCCGTGACATTGTAGCAGGTGGGAAAGCCAGGGCCATCGAAGGAATCATATTCTATAGCCCTGACACCGCCCGCGAGAGCGAGTGCCACAGTGACGAGATTGTTCGAGGACCTCATTGCAGCGGCTGTCGAGCGACGGTTGGGTGCCCTCAGCACCTCAAGAGCCCGGTGCAAGCTGGGGACAGGTCCCAAGAAATAGTCGGGCCCGCGGGCATGGACATGACATTTTTCTCCATCGTCCCCAAGCAGCAGCAGCGTGACCTCGGGGCGAACAGCCCTCCTTCCCTATGTTTGCCAACGTGCCCGCGCTGGTGTCACATCAACCCACCCTCCCGCGTGACGAGCAGCCGCCCGCGGACGCCGCACCTGTCTTGCATCGCGGGTCCCTGACCTGCGCCTCGCAGCTGCACCCGGTGTGGCCCTCTCATGAGGAGTGCGGAGATGCCAAGGCGACCCCCTGACAGCGACAGGGAGAGGCCTGTGAGATGTCAGGACGGATTTGAGTTGCCTAATGCGGACGCGCTCGGGGTTGTCATTGGGCGGCTGTCTGGAACTTGGTACTGGGCCCCCTGACGAACCCAACGATTTCTTCTGATGTGAGGAGATGCGTGCCTGAATTTTTGGCGACCATGTGATTTGGGGCGGTTGTCGATCTGGTTCTCGTTGTTCCGAGGAACCCATAGGACGATGTAATCACAAGTATAGCCAGAAAAGGAATCTAGTATAGATGTACTATTTTTGACGAGACTCCTAGCTTTCCGAGAAATTGTGTTGCTCAACGTGCACACAATCATGCCGTACAATAGGCTCTATCTTTGCGGATGTAGCTTGTTTGCAATTCCTTTTAAGAAACCTCTGAAGCCTGGTCCTCGAATTTGCACATACGGTGTTCAGGTCTAAATCAACAGGACAGTCAAGCCCATGGATGAAAGGGGCTTGAGGAGCAAATACACATCCACCGTTGTCATTTTGAGCACTGCTGCGTCACAAGGTGACATGCCAAGAACTTCAAGCTCTGTGGAGCCATCAGTTCGAAAGAGCAGCAGAATATGACAGGTGGAGGAGTTGAAAACATAAGAATGAGATCGGCGGACGAGCTGGGAGAAGAGGGGTTTGGTACCACCAATGGTAACATCTCCGCAGCAAGCATCTTGCAAGGTGGACATGGATCTAGCTCCTGGCGATTCAGTCAACTCATACAAAGTTGGGGAAGTTTGCCAGGGCTTCATGCCCAACCAAGCAAAATGCATTATAGTCATGATTTGGCCAAGCCAATATAGAAACGGACTAAGTGACCATACTCTCTGGGTCTCCTACCCGCGGCCTCCCGCTCAAACCGCCGTTTCTACTACCAAAGCGACGATGACAACTTCACCGCTAATCCAGTCAGAGCTTTCGGAGTTAGGCCTCCATTTACGATGTATTGACATGGGTGTCTGTCAGATAGGGATTATAGGTTTACCGAAAGGTGCCAGACATAACATAGTGCAAAATCATCTGACACCCAGTTGCACGTGTGCTAATAATGAACACTAGTGATTGAAGACTTGATCAGATCTTCCCAACACGGAATAAAGCATCAATAAGTACAAGGTTCCAGATGATATGAAAACTACAAAGATATATCTTGCGTGCACGTACTACTAGGTCCGGGTATCGTGGAGGCCGGGAAAGGCAGGTGAGCTAAGTCCTGGAGTGGTGTTCTAAAAGACAGTTTTGAGTCACTCGCATATCCAATCTTTCATGTAAAGAAGTGGACCAATGCCATTCCTCAGTTCAACGAGACTGTTGAGAGCTGGTACTGAGTGAGAGCTCTGATGTGTGACTTGCGCTTGCTACAGCTTCTCCTAAACTACTTGAGACCACTATCACTTTCAGACTTCTGAGGGTGGTCATCCTTCTGGGGCTGTTGGCGCATTTGGCAAAACATCTAAGCCCTCACTAGTCATGTGGTATTTGGGACTATTGTTCAAGACTAGTTACAGGCTCGTATAGCTCATGGAAAGAGGAATCAGTTCTGGCCTTGACATAGGGACTCGCAGGACCTATAACATCAACACTGAACCCGAGTTTATCAAGCGTAGCGAAGAGTGACCTGAGTCCAGCGCGAGTGGGAGTGAGAATTCCAGGGCGAGGAGTAATATGAGGAACACCGCCGAGGGTCATCGGATCTTTCTTCCATGGCTGCTCCTCTTCGTTTAACTGGCTACTTGAGTGTATAGCGTTTTCGCCTTACTTTGATGAGCCATGAGTGCGGAATTGCATGGCAAAGCATTATGAAGAAGGGAAATCCGCAAGTCTTCTCTCAACTGTTAAACTTTTCCTCCTGGATATTGGTATTCCCATTTCTTTTCTTGGAAACTGGGATTGGGCTGATACCCCCTATGTGCACGACGCACATTCAATGTGGCATTTCAGAATGCAGCAGATTAGTGATGTCTTTTTCTCATCGTTGATTCGGTTGATCTTACACATCTATGGGGTCGGAGATGAGTTACGGCTGTGAATATGGAAACTGGAGATCGATGATGGTGTATAATTTTTGACATTGCATGTGATGTCTTCGATGTGGCGATGTGTGGTGACCGTTTTTTGGTTTCCTGTTGGCACGAAGTTCTTGTGTTGTTTAGGTGACCATGTGATGACTTTGGAGTGTGAGCCGTGATCTCTTGTGTACCAAGCAGCACTGTGAACATGTCGCGTTGTGGATGGAATGGAGAAACAGCCCTGGCTCTCCACCCAGATCAGGATGTCTGTGAGAGTCTAAAATCAAATATCATTACAAAGTCTGAACAAATCATGTCGTAATATTTGTATCTATCTGCGTTCCACCGTACTAGCATTACAGGCTTGGTCTAGTGTTGCTAGTCGTTCAGGGGTTCCGACAGCCTGGATCTGCTTGTCTTTCTTTCATTCTCTCAGATCTGCATATTTCTGATCTTTTTCACAAATGGACTCGATCTTTGTGACTTCCCACCTAGGTACATTGGCGTTGATGTGTGCTTAGGCCCAAGTCGGCTCTGCGCAGAGGTTCAGACAAGCGCATGAGCCGCAGTTTCACAGGATGGTAATCCTTTGCATATGAAAATGCTTTGGTACATGGCAAGGGGATGAGGATATTGAGCAGGTCACAAGCCTCTCGCGCTTTCGTGGATCACGCGGTAATCTTCCCAGCGCGAGGCAGTAGTTGCAACCATTGTCGCTCGTATCGTGATTGCAGCTGTCCTCGCTCATTTGACTTTTCACCTGGTCCTGAGTCCATTTCAGGCGCAACAGCCATACTCGACTCCGACTGGACGCTTTCAGAGACATCATATTTCACCGGGATGGACCCAAATGCTGATGGTATCTCACTTGGAGCGCCTGTCAAGATGTCAGCGTTTTGTCTCGATAGCAAGGAAACGCGTCGACGTAAGCATGGACTGACAAGATGGCTTTCCGTCTGGGATCTATAACTGGACAAACCGATTGGCACCGCCCCGTACTCCCACGTCACCGTCAGCCTTGAGGCTGATGTGGACTTCGGTGATAGGAGACAAATCACCCCATGAACGGCCGATGCTGACCACAACCCAGCAGAAGCACATCCTCGGTTAGCTGAGATACCATGCTCAGAGAAAGTCGTGAGAATTTGAGGGGTCATACTCCCGCTGAGTTAGATTCCCTGGGACGGGGGAATTGGAAGTCGAGATTCCGGCAAATGACACACAGCACCCTGGACTTAATCAATGACCAATTCGATCAGGGCCAGCCGATCATCCGATTACCATCGAGAATTGGGCCCAGGGTTGCTCCCTCCGGTGATGACTGAAGGATATTTTCAATGTTCGGCCAAAGGATGTGAGTGGTAGGCAGGTTTGGGCTCTTCGTCGGTCTCTTGTGAAGTGGAAGCGATAATTAATAGCAAAGAAAGAGGGCAGCCGTCGGCTCTGGGGCGGAACCGTCAAGCGAGCGGAATCATGCAAAGATGGCGCTGGCACGTTGTCGCACATGCAGGCTTGCAGCTCAGGTCGCACAAGAATCCGGTTCTTACGTTGGCGAGGCGCGAGAACACGCTGAACACCGATGCCATCTATCTGTAAATTGTCAGATTTCATGGAATGCACTGGATGGTGTTGCCAAGACTCTATCGCATTGAAAGGCGTTCTTGAGGCGTTGGTGTTGCAGGGTCTTGCTTTTCTTTTCAGAATGTTGATCACGATGTTTCGATGACTGCGTCGGAAGGACAGAATGACTGTCTTCCAACAGTTAAAGTGCAAAAGGCTCAGACATCTCATTCAAATGACCAGGATGAAAGGAGATTCAGACTCGTATTTTTCTTGTGAAGAACCGGCTTGCAGCACAGGCAGAATTACAGGGCATTGGTGCTGCTGTACCAAATTTTAATTCGACAACCGTTTATTCAAGGACCTTCAACGGTGCAGAGCATTACTGTATCAGGGCTGATGTTACTTTAGCCGCGGTGTGCGCTCCGCTTTACGAGAGCTGAGTCTGGCGTGGCGAGCGAGCCAATGGTCAGCTGACAAAACTCGTATTTCGGAGGACCGAAGGAAGGAAGGCAGAACAGAGCCACTCGTCCTACACTAGAGTTAGCCAGCAATTCTACGCTCATTTTCTCTATATATCAATCTTAACTTCTGGGATTGGATATAATAATAGCTCGATCCTTCTTCAGTAAAGTTGAGGAGCATACTTAATCAACACTTCGTCCTGGTCAACAATACACCTCTTGATCTACCGCGTCTTAATCTCAGTCAATTCCTTACTCTGTCACAATAACGAGCGACTAGTGGAGTCCTTGCAATATCAAAAACGTAATCATTCTACAACAACGCCTCAGGAACCGCAATAATGTACACCAACATCATCATAAGCGCGCTGGCCCTGGCCACCACCATCACAGCAAACCCCACCGCAGTTCGGCAGACCACTGCGGTCAACCCCTTCCCCATCACGCTGGGCTGGCTGGCCTACGGGCATGGGCACGAGATCGTGGCGTGGACGCCGACCCATACGACGATGGGAGACGCGTGCAACCCGAACACGAACGCGACGCGCACCACCGTCGTGCAGGCCGACAACAGCGGGTTCCCCTCGAACCCGCTGTGCGGCCACGAGTTCGCACTTGAGGGCGTGACGGGCCTCTCACTGCTGTGCGCTGACAGCGCAGAGAACGGCGAGGCCGCGTCGCAGGTCACGGCCGTGGCCACCAACGGCGAGCAGACGCACGAGTGCACCGACCTGCCGCTCACCATCTACGGCACGTCGTGCGGCGTGGGCTCTTCCATCTGGCAGAACTATGCCTGTCAGTAAGGGCGAGAAGTTTGGAAAGGCTAGGTCCTGGTACTAGAGGGACCTTTGATGCCGAGAAGACGTATAGGTATTTTTAATGATGGTTGGGTGACGGAAAATTGGCATTTCAGTCTTGGGTGCATCAGGCTCTATCATAACTAAAGCAGCCGCCCTCGAACGGCGATATTTTCGATTGAAGATATAGGATATCCCCAGCGTTTGTTCGACTTATTTAGAAGAAGAAAAATTCTCTACAAAATTCTCATCATCGATGTGTCACTACCTACTGTTACGAGTCTCTATCGACAATTCATCTCAGTCGGGCTGGCGCTCACGCTTTTTAATTCCTCTTAACCCGAGAGCACTCTAGCAACAGGCTATTCTTGGGCTAGCTCGCGCGTCCCGGAAATGGAACACAGGCGGCATATAGCTCTTTTTCCCCCATGCAGCTGTTTGGCGAAGGAACCAATGGTGTCATCCCCGGCAAAACGAGTGAGTGCTTCGTACATCTGCATGTTCCCAAAGATCCGTTTGTCGGAGACAAAATCGCTGGCCAGTCGATCTCTCTCTATGGCCCACATTCACCGACATGACCTACCTAGGAAACCCAAATAAGGACTTGTAGTAGATTGCTCGGTATTGACCATGATGGCACTGCTTCTCGACCAGACGGCCCTCCTTGGGCAGGAAATAGTCTATCTCTTCTCTCATTCCAGACTTGACATTCGTCATGCTTGATGTTCAGCCCTGAAGCTGCCAGCGTTCTAGCATTCGACGTTCCTCAAAGAACTAGCGGCTCCGTTCAGAGTACATTATCAAGCTGATCAATCCATGCCATCATAATGATATTGACATCCAGAAACCTGCTCAGCCCTACTTGGTATACGACGCTCGACAACAGGTTCCATCAATTCCAAGTCCAGGTATTGGATGAACTCTCTTGAGCCAACACGACATTCCGGAATCATGGTAAGTTTCGAGATCTACACAGCCAGCGTAGTGGAATGCAGTGAACTAAATTCATCTATGCTACGCTGAAGCCGATCCCGTATTCTGTCTGTTCCTCAAGATCACGCGTTAATGCAACCACAGGACGTAGTACGCAGGGCAGAAGCTGCAATGATCATTTTATAGTCGCATATATATATAATTTAGATCATACCAATCGCGAAGACTTCAGCTTCTTGAGACTCAAGGCCTCCCATTTTCATCCTCGATTCGTTCAGACCGGCCAGGCCTATATGCTTTGAGCAGTGCCATTCCGCGCCTCGAGGCTGAGCAGGCTGGGATACGAGACCACGCGAGTTGATGAAACGCTCTTGCTCGTGGCTTTAATTTAGGCTTATCTCGATGAACTTAGATAGTTCGAGGCAAACTATCGGCTCGCTATCAAAGCAGTGTCCAATTCCATGCTTCCATATAAAAAAAGAGAAACGCCGGCCCGGGAATTGGCGTCGAGATCGCCATGTATTGTGTGGCTTTGCAGAAGCGTGACAACCAACTACATACATCGTTGTCTTCCAGATGTAGTTGAATGCTTTCCTGGGTCTAGAGGTCAGCGTCTGGATACGGTGCAAGTCAGGCGACTGCTGTAAAGACCGTTGATTCGCATAACCTTCAAACATCAGCTGCTGAGACCAGATCGTGGAGCGGTAACTCTATTTTGGCTTTTAACGGCATTTGCACCTTCAAGCTTGTTTGCGCCGAATCGGAAATATGTTAAAAAGACCGACGGATGTGCAGCAAGGTCGCTTGTACCGTCGTGTGCCCGACAAGAATTATGGAAGACGATGCAAAGTTTGAAATAAATCGTGTCGAAACTTAGTTCAAGTACCACATGGCCCAAGCAAGAAGAAATTCAAAAGCCTTGAGGCTCCAGACCGGTCGATGCACAATTCCGAATGCCCTGCCAAGAATAGAGATATAGTGGCCAGCTAATCCGAAGCTTTGAAACCACGTCGTCTTATTTCTAGTGCTGGAACCGGGAGCTAAGATATGGTTGGGAATGCCAGCTCGCGGATCGGCCGGGACTGCGAAGCAAGAAAACCCTGTTAAAGGCAAGCCTGTTTACGAAAGAGGTATATGACACAGGGCGCAACGTGCGCGAGCCATTCCATTTGTAGGCGAAGCTTACCTGTAGCCTGTCTCTTCTTTTTTTGACAGTATCATCAGCCTCATAGTCTAGACTTCTTCGTTTCATTTTTGGCAATTGCCCAGCCTTTTCCCGACCCCCTAGCTTCTCTCCAGTTGGCTCCCTCCAGGCGGTCTTCCCGGGCGTCAATCAACTTGTGGCAGTGTAGTCGACTCGACGACAACAGCTCTGGTACTATTCAAAGGATGCGTGGCCGATATATAAAGCTTCACGATGCTGTTCTCTGAAACCGCTCCCTTTATGTTCCGAATTCAACCTTCGCTGCATTTATATACTATTAATCTCGTACTTCAACTTTCGTTCTCTTAACAGCCCAGTAGTCAGACACGTTTAGGATACCTTCATCATGCGATTCTCCGGTTTCATTCTTCTTGCATGCGGTGCTTCCACTCTTGCCCAACAACTAACCGCTGGCAGTAGGTGTCCCATATCCCAAAGATTCTTGACCGTCCGTCTGACATGAATAGCCCAATGCCAGTCTCCCAGCCAATGCATCACAGGGATATGCAATTCCTGTAAGCCCTCAAAGGTCCCGGCGTCAGTCTATCTTACTAAAAGCTTTCACAGCAACTGGTAAATGTGCTAGAGGCTCTATCGGTGGCAAGTAGCCCTCATACTCGAAGCGCTGCAGAACCCGGACTGACGCTTTGTGACCAGATGGTTGTCGCACCGGCTACGACTGCGCTTCCAACCGCTGCACGAGTATGCTCTTCTTTGCCTCCTCGGCCAGTGATTAGACTAATTAGAGAACAGGTGGCAAGTGTGTCTCTTGCCAGAACGGTAAGGGGGTTGGCATTGCTCCTGGAAGTAAGTTATCTTCAGTCAGAATTGCAGAGGGAAGACACTGACAAGTCCACAGCTGCCTGCCCTGGTATCGCAGACAGCGATCAGTGTTGCAGCAGTCATTGCCGTGGTGAGTGGAAACTTGAGAAGAGAGCCCCAATCTTCGCTGACAAAACAGCAGTGGACGCGACGGCTCAGGGAGGATTCAGATGCCAGTCCAACACGCCACCTTGAGCAGAGAATGCCCGGGTGAGAAATCAGGTCTCCTAGCGAGCATCCAATGGCTCATCTGTGCCTCCACCAGTGGGGAGCAGTCTACTCGCCACACACAAGGCACTATTAATGTATTTAGTCAAAAGTTCTCTTAGAGTATCAGACGATCAGTGAAGGTGGTTGAGAGCAATGTCGATTAGTGAAATATGCCAATGTCTATACATTTACCTAAGTGACCAGTTTCCATTGTCTCCTCATGTTTTCGGGAGAAGGTCGACCCGTCATGTTACCCGTGAGCCGCGTTGGATCTGATAAACCTCTCACAACATTTGAGTTCCCCAATTAGAGTGTAATAGCATGTTCAGGTGATTTTTCATGTTATGAAAGACTCTTTAGGTCTGGTACGTTCCATTAAGACCAATCGGTCAGCTGTCGTTTCTACAGGGTCTCAAATAATCAAGAGGTATGCGCGCGATCCCCTTAAACCAGGCCGCAAAGCTGTCGCATATGTAACACCACCCAAGCCAGGCTGTCTTCATGCTTGATCAATGACGCATCCTCTTCCATTTCATCTGCCACCTCATTCATCTCTCATCTCTGCCTCGTACGTGTACTCAAAGTGGCAAGTTCTCAAAGACCGGTGCCTTCTCGCAATCCAGAAATCTCAACGAACATCAATCAGATGACAAGAGTCGATCCTCAGTAGTTATGGCCTACTGGTTGATCAAAGGTCCTTCATGACCGTTAATGGGTGAGTACGGGGTTTTTCGTGGTGATTTTCAATAGCTGAAGGAGATGAGGTCGTCGCCGAAGTCGATGCTACCCTTGTCAGAAGACGATTTGGGCGCAGCCGACTGTTCGATGGTGTTGTTCTGATCAGAAGCTTTATCGCTAACCGCAGCGGCGGTGTTCAGTGACTGCGAAGCAGTAGCCTCCTTGTTGTCCTCATCTGGGTTCTTGGCTGTCGCAGCTTTCTTGAGCGCATAGGAGCCGTCCTTAGGAGTAGGGGAAGCCGCAATCTTTTCGCCGATAACAAGATTGCTGTCTCCTTTTGGAGTAGCACGAGCCATTAGGCTTTCAGCCCCTTCAGCGATGGGCTCCTGCTGGTGACTTGGGCGGACAGTAGTGTTGGATTCCCCCGCCTTCTTGGAAAGGATCTCGTCCCAGGCTTTCAATTCACCACTACGACCTGTGTCAGTAACGAAAAATGAGAAAACGGAAGGTTGATTGGCTTGCTACTTACGTCCATTCCTGCGAAGTGGCATCCTTGGGCAAAGTAGGTGGGTTAGGCGCGGTCGTCCGAATCTGCTTCTTTGGCTCTGCCTTTCTGGGCTCTGCCTTCTTGCGAGGCTCTGTCTTCTTGTATCTCGCAGCATCTCGGGCGGTGTAATTGACGTTAGGTCGTGATTTATCTTGGGCCTTGATTTGAGCGAGCGCATTGAAAGTCTGGCGCTGCCTCTTAGTGATCGCCTGGGCGATGCTGGTTTTGGCAATCCATTAGCCATTCGTCAGAAGCTTGAGAAGTCGGGTACAAATTTGGAAGTGTCACCCAAAAAGAGTGACTTACTTAGGCTTCTGCTCCGCGGGCTTGGAGGTCTTCGGTGGGGCGCTGTTGAGATCATTAGCTGTTGATTTTCAAGTCGCGGAGTCTTTGGTGCGCTGGATCGGAGAAAGGGTAATGGGTAGAGGGTCGCCGAGGAACATTTGACATAACGGCCACTTAGCCATTGGGTGGACATGATACCACGTCACACAAATGTGCTTGGGAGGGGGGAGAAATGGTAACCGTCGTTTTTGGTGAAGCCTTTCGAGACGTGCTTGACAAAGAAAGGGCGGACACGAAGGGAGACGCGATGCTTCCAGGTCGAGTGTAGGACGGGGGTAAACTTACTGTTTTGCTGCGACAAACTTCTCAACATTCTTCTTGAGGGCGCATGGCTCTGGCACCGCGTCCCGTCGGATCTCAGTACCCTCGTGGGCACTGGGAAAGGTTCGGTAGCTGTCGCCGAGCTTGTCGGCGATGCCCTCTGCGACGAGGTTACGGATCTCGTCGGCGGCAGGAGGGGCGAGAAACCCCAGCCTCTGGAGGCCCAGAAGCTGCTGTTTGGTTGTCAGAGACTTCCCGTTTGCTGGGAACGGCAAAGATGAGTAGATAGTTAGTTGACTTACGGTCTCGAGACCCTTCTGCAGGTCTGACGCCTGCTTGCGCTCCTTCTCGACGTTGGCTGCCATCTTTGTGGCTTTGTTGTCGAGGTCGCGAATGTCAGAAATTCGCGGTCGGTCCCAAAATTATTTGAGGTGAGTTTTGTGGTGCTGCCTGGGGAAGGAAGGCCCAGCGGCGAGGCGCAAGGTCTGTGCCCCAAGGTCCACCCCTTTCGTCCCAAGTCAATTGGAAGAAAGGGGGGGGTCAGGCAGTACTAGGAGGGGCGCAGTACTTCAAGTGCTGGGTAGGTGGTAGATGTTTGGAGGTAGAGTCTACAGGAGGCCTTCTTGGTTGATTGCCGACCAAGGATTCCTGAAGAGTTCGTGAAGGTGGTGAGAGGGGAGAGAAGTGTTGATAGCCGGGCTGTGAGAACTGTTTTATACTACCCGGCCTGCAAGATCCGCCTGCTTCCGCCAGAGTCCCCAGTGGAAGTTCGCGATACCAAATGCTGCTCGCGGTCCCAACGAGGCTAGCTAGCTCAAAGACTTACCAGAGCATCTTTGTCTAAAAACACCTCTTCAAGGACTCATAAAATCCCCTAATGATTGGATAAATAACAGTGTAACATACAATACTAGGTTCTAACAGAATGACCATTTCAGTGGTCTCCATAGGCCGTTTGTCTTGGCCAGGAGCTTTCTTCGCGATGAACTCAACGCGATTTCCATGCTCTGCTCAGAGAATAATAAAGATATGGAACATCTTTTGACCATCTTCATGAATCATCTCAACCTCCCTCCGGGCCTATGCTTTTCGTTCCCTTTGAACAATGCGCCATAGCACTTCGACTAATAGTCAAAGGACTTTCTGAAACTATGTCCTTGTATACTGAGAGTGAAAATGCTATTGGAAAATACATAGAGTGTCTGGTGATACAAAAAGATGGTAGATGGGGAGGTTGCAGCGTGACTTTTGCTTTCAAAGGCCCTGCATGTCTATCTCCTCGAAAGCATGGCCATGCCTCATCCTTGTTTGGATGACCTCAGTCGCTTCTCAAAAAGTCCTGGGGAGTCTTTTGTGTCTCGACGAGATTTATCTTTTCTTCATTTGAAACCTCACTCAAGACAAAAGCGTATCCTCGTTTTATGTGGATGAACCTTGGAGTTGGACTGTTGTCATCAATTTGTTTGGAACTACATGAAGCCTCACATCTATTGATTGAAGGACTAGACTCGAGAAAGAAAACCGTGTTGGATCTGGTAAAGAGAGCTAGCCTCTGAAGACTTGTACTGCACTTCTAGATTCATCTAGCATACAGATTACCAGGGACTGAGAAGGGCTGCTTTTGATGTCAAAGGTTTCTAGTGTGGTGTGGATCTCTCACAGCGGCATCAAGTGTGTAAGATGCAGAAACGGTAGGGCAAGTAGTGCTATAGGATCTGGGGACTGCCTGCGGGCGCCCCACATTTAGGGACATGAGAACTGTACGGTCATGCCGAAAACGGCGAGAAACGTTGAATGGACGCGGCTCCGTTAGGAGAAGGGGAGCTCGTCTACCACGAGCATGTGCAGGCTTCGAGTTTGGGTAGCATCCTGTCTTTAGCTAGCATTATGAGTCGGCAGTCGCGAAGCGTAATGGGAGCAGAATTTGTCTCAAATGTCACTTTGGTCCTATGTAGGCATTAAAGGGTCAACCATCCCCGCGCGCCATGTGTTCAAAGTCAAATCATCATCTCATCCGCCAGCCCCTAACCTCCGTGAACTGGAGCACTCAGACTCCATCAGTTTCCCCAGATTAGTTCCGCCAATGTCAACCTGAAATCAGGCCTCGAACTCGTCCTTGGCGACCTTGTCAAAGTCTTCATCCTTTCCCAGCTCATCAGAGTCATCGTCGCCGTTGGGAGTCGCGGGCTCCTGCATCTTGCCCTTTCCACCCTTCTTGGCGCTGTTGGTGCCGACCTTGCCGGGGGTGCGCTTAGTGACACCAGTGGGCTTCTTCGGGGTGCTGGGGGTCTTGGGGCCGTCCTTCCAGCCCATCTTGATGGAAAGCAGGCGGAAGCGCTCCTTCGCTGACTTCGTATTGATGCCAAGCTCCTTAGCAACGGCATCGAACTGTTGATAGTGAAGTTAGCACTGGTTGTGGCTCCCAAATGTGTAGCCACTTTGGGTTGAAAGGGAAGTCTTACGTCAATGTCAGGCTTGGTCTGGATGTTTCGCATAAGTAAGGCGAGAAAGCTGGTCTGGGCCTCGTTGAGGGTAACAGACTCCTTGGAAGTAGCCATGATGACGATTGTTGCTGATGAGGCTGTCACAGTGAGACAAGTTAGCTATCAGCTCCTGTTTTATGCTTTGGAGTGGGCCAGAGGGAGATGATTGGAAGGCATTCGAAAGGTGATGATGCACCTACAAATGTGAGATTGGTTAGGACGTGGATGTGTGGTGGGATATGGAATGAGCCACGCGCTGAACAAGGAGCTCGTGCTGGTCAAGGGCGCGTGGGCGTTCAAGACCAGTAGCAAGTGCTACCAAATTCCTTGGGAATGGCTAAACTTACATGAGCTTTCAAGGTTTGCAGAGAATGGAATACGATTGTGTATCGCAACGTTGAGGCTCAACAGTTGCTGATCGAAGGCAATGGATTTGTTGCAAGGTGGGGTGTCAGAACGAACAGTAAAGTTGCGATGGAGACGGCACAGGGCGACAGAAATGTTGGTTGATATTGGGAATCGGCGCTAGTAAAAGACGTCTGAAGAACAGCTCTGTGGTTGCCAGTTCACAGGCACCTACTACTTGAGTAGGTGCTAGCTTTGGTATTTGACCGCCTAAATCCTGAACAATAGCTGCGTGTCTACTCGTTGCATCAAGCTTACTCCCAGTTTGACTCCTCCCGGATGTAAACGGTTCTATTCGATGGTCCAGTCGAGATACACGTCGCAAAGCTGCAACCCAAGCTGTGCTGCCCCATCCACCAGGCAGCTTGTTCCAGAAAAGTCGTAATCCAAATGCATCGAATTCTCATCCCCTAAAACGCCGTTCTAGCCCGTCCTCGAGAGGATCAGAGCTCAGACTTGCCATCAGCGGACGTGCTTGCATCTGCCTTATCTCCCAAGGCGGGCAGCCTTTCTTTCAGGAAGGCCTCCACATCATCAAGCTCCTCCAGTGAGGCAGAGTGAGCCAGGCCCCTGTCGTAAAGTCAGCTAAGCTCACGAGCATTTTCATCAAGCCTTTGTTGCTTACTCGTAGACCTTCCGTGTCACGTTCAGCCCAATAGTGTTGAGCACCGAATAGCTCAACATGTTCAACTCGGGTCTCACAAGGGGGTCAGAGTCGCCGTGGCACATCAGGATCGGAGTGTTGTCATTCATCTTGGGGCCTGCAGCCAGCACCTCGCGGAAGGTCTTGCTGAGAAGCAGCCAGCTGGAAAGCCCCACGATGCCTGCGAGCTTGACCTTGGCGGTCAGGCCCGTGTAGATGGACATGGCACCGCCTTGGCTGAAGCCACCCAGCACGATGCGGTCTGACGGGATTCCGGCGTCAATCTCGGACTGGACCAGGGACAGCAGGTAGTCTGCCGAGGTGTGGATGCCCTCGGCGTCCTCATTCTCGCGCATCGACTCGACGCTACCGTCGAGCACCTTCTGTGGCACCTGTCAGCCGTGAACCCTCAAAGGCTTGCCTGGATGGGCCACTAACGATATCGAACCAACCTGGCATCCTGAAGCCTCCCTGTGGATAAGATTAGCCCATGTTCATGTGCGAGATTGACTAGTCGGAGTACCTACATTGCATGTGATGGGAATCGTGGGCGCATGCGGCAGGATGAACTTGACCTCGTCAAGACGTTGCCGACGCCGCCAGTTCTCTACGGCAGAGGCCCAGCCGTGACCTGTATCACCTAGACCATGGGCAAAGATGACAGTGGCCGTATGCTTGGCAGCAGCGGGGAATATGAGTGGTTGGCTATATCGGAGAGCCATTTTTGACAAAGTTTGTATCGTTGGCAGAGCGTACGAGATAGACTTTTGTCTTGGGATGCCGATCAAGCTGAGGCCTGGCGCTTGTGATGCCTTAATCGTGTACCTTTTTGTGGAGCCACAGCAAACGAAGAGGTGAGGTTGCGCTTCGCGACCCCTGACGCCTATGCAGGGCCGGCATGAACACGCGTGGGTCTTGGGTACTGCTCGCAAACGGGCCGGGGTGGGGGGTCGTCCAGCTTTCCGTGATTCCTCCCACCAGTTTTTGTAAGCAAGCCCGGAAACTCCACTAGAGATTACCTAAACATCTCAACCTCAGACCATGTATATAACGAGGGAACTCTTTCGAGGCCTACCCTTCTTGGGTGTCCTCATCAAGAGCCTCTTCTGGCCATATATACGTCTCAATGGCTAATCAAGGACCTCTCAGGTTCGTCGTTGTGGTAGGATCGATTGTTGTCGCCTTGGCGGCCGCATTTTACGCCTCATTGCTTCCCGAGCTCCCGGTGCCATCGCAAGTAGCAAAGGCTGCCACGGCTCTGTCGAATCTGAGCTCCAGAATCAAGTCTTCCACCACCAATGTGACAATGGCTTCCAGACCGCCAGTCTATTTCTTCAGCCATGGAGGGGTACGTCGTGAAACCCTGTACCTCTCGTCAGTACTGAAGCCAACACTGAAATCAGCCAGATGTCATGTACAACACTGAGCATGCCGTTTATCCAGTGCTTCAGAACATTGGGAAGGAAATCACCCAGAAGGTCAAGCCAAAGGCTGTCGTCGTCTTCAGCGCTCATTGGCAAGCGAAACCTGATCTCGTCCAGGTCAACAATGCGGTGGAGAACGACCTGATTTACGAGTTGGTTGAACCCAAGAAGCTGTCGAACCATTTCAACGAACCGAAACGGCTGACTCAACACCAGTTTCTACGGATTCCCCGATTACATGTACGAAGCAAAATACCCTAGCAAGGGTGACCCAGAATTGGCAAGTCATATCCTAGACTTGCTCTCGTCAGCGGGCATCAAGTCCGAAGGCGTCAAACGAGGACTGGACCATGGAGTTTGGGCCGGGTTCCATGTCGGTGAGTGTGAATGGGACTTGGAAGATAGATTAGGCAACGTGCCTTGACGCTGACGCGCATCAGCATTCGACCCGGTCGAGAACCCTCTCAACGTCCCCTTGGTCCAAGTATCTCTCTTCAAATCCGAGGATCCAGACCAGCACTACCGCCTCGGGCAAGCCGTCGCTTCCCTTCGAGACGAAGGTGTCGTCATCATCGGCGCAGGCATGTCTGTACACAATCTCAGAGACATGTGGGATGTCATGACTTCGGACGACCCAGCCCGTCCGCTGCCTTACGCTGTTTCTTTCGATAACGCGTTGAAAGATGCTGCGGAGGCGCCCGTGGAGCAAAGGCAGATGCTGCTGGCCGCGGTGTGCGGCCGTCCTGACGCTAAGCAAGCGCACCCGTGGATGGATCATCTCATGCCTGTGCATGTGGTTGCTGGTGCTGCTGGCCTGGACGTTGGGCAACAAATCTGGACCTTGCAGGAAGGAAACTTTGCCTGGGCGCAATATCGTTTCGGGCAGGTATCTGATGGGGGCTCTTAGCTTGTGCCGAACTGAGTCCGCTCATGGAACTACAGCCTGTTGTCCGCACTAGACTGATCACTTGACTCTAGATAATTCACAGTGAAATTCCACATGAATGTCCAAAATTCAGGGAGAAATGGATATAGATTAAGCCCACTTGCAACACTACGACCTACATCAATCCAGTCTTCCAGTCTCACCGTGGGGCAGGCATCTTCTCAATTCCCAATCCATGCTTCCTCTGCTCACTATCACTTGAGCTATCAATGGAGCCTTTCATCACCCTGACATCCTCAATGAATTAACGAGAATCTTCATCTGGACCAAATGGAGCTGCCGCTTGCGGATATCGATTCCGCCATAATTACGTCTATGGAGAGGATGATAAGCGAGGTCCGAAAGGAGAACGAAGAGCTCCGACTGAAGCTTGCGAGGCTGAAAGGCAACAAGCCTCATACCCGTACCCTTCAGGAGTTGCCTGTCGAAATATTGCTCATGATCGCGGGTCATCTTGAGGACACGGATGAACTCCGTGCCTTTATGCAGACATCCCAAAAGCTTCATTGCGTATGGTATGCACTAGTCCTTCTCTGCTATAGGGCCCTCATCTGCCTTTCCGTGGGCTTCTTTCGCCAGCTGCTAACGGCTGTACACAGGCATGAAAACAAGGTGCAATTTATCACGAGGATGTTGGGAATGGTACCTGACGTGCTGGAAGAGGCAGCTTCCGCCACTCGCTTCCTTACCACACAGATGGACGACGGCAGCTTTTGGGAAATGGACAGCAACTACTGGGTAGTTGACGGCAGCATCGGGGTTCCATTATTTCCCGCTCATATCTGTATCGCCACGAAAGGTGCCTTGTCCTTTGTAGGCAACAAAAATCCATGCCATCCAAACAGCTGCACCTTCCAGGATGCCATGAGGTTGGAGAGGACGCACCCTTTTGTGCGTAGGCTGGCGGATATCTACATCGAACAGTGCGCGGCGTCGAACCCAGCGCTGTCGGCGACCCTCAGCTCGCGCCCCGTCACGTCACAAGAGCGGGCGCGGATAGAGAGAGCCTTCTACCGCTTCGAGACCTTTCGCCGGGCGTTTGCACCATTCGAAGGACATGGACACTGCCAGATTCCCGATTCGTTCACAGATGACTGGCTCCAGAACCCTATCCCCTACCTCGTCCAAGACTTCAAGCAGAGTTTCGACGCGGTGGAGCTCATCCAACTGCACTGCATCTACGGTTTCCTCAAGAGGCTGGTCACGCCGGCGATCAACGACCTGATTTGGCACAGTTGTCATCTTTCCGAAATGAATCTCGTCGAGGACTGGGCCACCGATCATCGAGTGGCACCTCTGATCTTCCGAGGCCTGCAATTCGTGTATGAAATGTGGGCCGCTTTTAGGAACCGGCGCATGTCTGTCTTGTCCTGTTGTATCCGCATAATGGGTCCCTTGAGTTTTCAGCCCTATCTAGGAGCAATGTACGACACCGCTTTCTACGACGTCCTATACGCGGAACTTCATACGAAGCACAATGCCAGCGTCCAGGATATCAAGAGCAGAATCGCCATCCACGACAGAGACACGAGCCCTCGTGACGCCTGCCTTGCAGTCGCATCCTCCATCCAGGCGATGGGTCAGCAGGACTTGGTGACCTTACGTGAGGAGATGGACAGCGTTGCACCGCACAGGAGGTGGGGATTCGTCATGTGGGATCACTCACGGCTGGAGCTGATGGGCTTCTTCAAGCAGCAGCATGACGCGCCACCTGGTTCGGGGATCGGCCCCGCGAAATATATCCTGTCTTCAACAGCGTTTACCCTTGGTCAGCATCGTCTTGCCAACCTCCCGTATTTCGACCGACAACCTTGGTGGGAGAGGGCTCCCGGCCCGTTTCCCCATGGACCTAGGCTATATGATACATGGTATCCTCTAGCTATGCCCCAGAACCTGGGTGTTGTAGAGCAGGTAGATCAGGAATGAAGTCAATGGATACTAGAAAGACGTCAAATATATACCTGAGACGAAATGCAAGGATGGCCACATAGTTGAGATTAGACCACGAGTCCCGATATCACTGGGACAGGTTCTTAGATGGTGGTATTTAGCCTCCGAATTAGACAGTTTCAAAAGAGGCCATGGATTTGCTTTGTTTACAAAGATATTTGAATGTATTTTGACCCAGCCGCCGATTCTAATGCGGTAATTGAGATATCCCAACACCTTTCCTCTATGTGTGCCCATCCTGGTCAGTTAAAACACCGTGACGCGAATGCCCTTGCTTCCAGCCTTGACCATAGGTATGAACATATCATGATCATACAGCACGTCGTCTTCCGTAGTCTCGAACAAAGTCATGCGTGGAAGGACCCGGATGGCCAAAGCCGCAACGGCAAAGTGGATCTCGCAAAGTGCCAGGCTGGTCGATCGCTGATTAGCATTCCTTGTATCATTGCAATATGCTGAGACTTGGACAGGGACGGTTGCTTCAACTCACTTCATTGCTAGACACTTCCTTGAACCCTTGGAGAAGGCCATCTGCCCTCTATCGACTTCCTTACGACGGTGATTCTCCTCGTCGAGCCATCGCTCAGGTATGAACTCGTCAGAATTGGGGAAGACCGTCTCATCATGGTGCGTAATGAAGGTCGACATGCCCACGGCATAGCCTCGCGGGATGACATGCTCGACGGGCTTCTTGTTCCACTCCCCGCGATAGATCAGGTCCTCCTCCGTAGCGACCCGCGCGGTGCGGGCGGCTACGCCGTACGAAAGACGCAGGCCCTCCTGGATCACGGCGCCTAGATATGGCAGCTTCTCCATGTCAGGAAAACTCGGCAGTTCCCGCGGAGAATTGGTGATGCCGAACTGCTCGAGTTCCGCCATCAGCTTCGCCAGCAGGTGTGGCTTGGTCAACAGGTGGTACGTGATGACAGCCAGAGCCGACGCGGTTGTCTCGGTCCCGGCGCCAACGACGGCGAAGCACTCGGCCGCGAGCCTCTTAGTCCCCTTCTCAGTGGACTCCAGCTCCTCCTCCAGCAATAAGGATCCGAAAATGGTTGGCCGCTTGTCGGACCGGATCAGCCCGGCTTCGACGTTCGCTTTGGTCTGGTTGATGCTTGCTGGGAGATCGATCTGCATCGTCCTGACGAAGAGACCCACGTCCTCAGGAAGGTAGTCGACGAACAAGGTCGCGAGCTGGTCGAGGCTCTTCAGGAAGGGGAAGAACCTGAAGAAATGTGAGGTTTGGAGGGCAGCTTCTGTCGGGTCCTTGAAGTTGGGATACCATCCCTCCTGTTCCAGGAATCCAAAGCTCTGGCCGAAAGCGTAGGCTGTGATGGATGATTTAGACTGTGTAAAGCTGACACCCCCTAGGATGACGGTACAATTTTTTATTTATTTATCAGAGAGCATCACTTACAAGATATGATATCCGCCGTGAAGCAGCTGTACGCCGTCTTGACGTCAAACGGCTTACTCTGCCTCAGCAGCTTGTCACAGAGCATCTGAACGTGCTCCTTGATCTCGTCCTCCAGCTTCGCGACATTGCCGCGCGAGAAGAACCTGGCCACAGGGGCGCGCCGGGCTCTGTGGAGGTCGTGATCGATAGTCCCGAATTCAGACAAATTGATTCTACACACGAGTGAGCCAGGGGCCACATGTTCAGCATGACCAGCTGAGAGGAATCGCTTACACTGTTCCACCGACCTGATGCTTCGGCTTGTCGCGCTTGCGGCCGCCGATCGCGTATATCTCATCGCTGAAGTTGATATCGTTGCAGTGGATCTCGTATGGGTTGATGCGGACGAGAGGTCCGTATTTCTTGTGCATCTCCTTGATCTCGCTGGTATACCGCCCGAACTTGATCACATCGTAGTAGAACTCGGGCAGGTACGTCGCTGCGGCCAGCTTCGGGCCTGGGATGTGGCTCAGAGGGTGGAAGGGAGAAACATTGTAGAGAGCCTTGAGAAGCTGGTAGGCCAGCCAAGACAAAATCAACCAGACCACATTCTGGATAGTCAGGATGTTGGATGGAGACCATACTCCAGCATCTGAAAACCCAGGAGTGGACATGATTGCAATCTCACGATGGCTTCAGAATTCCGACCAAAGCCACGAATGCTTCAGACCTCCGAATGTTTTTTCAAAGCCATTCTGAATCCTTCCTTTTAAATTTACGGTCGAGAACCTCGGCTGCGCAAGGAATGTATGCGGGATTCAGAATAGAGAGTCCACCATTGGTGTGTTCCTACCCACAACCCCATAGTTAATGCTAGCGCAGACGAGCCAGACAGTGCAACGTCATGCGATAATGCTGTGAAGTCAAAGAGCCGCAAGGTTTCTGAACGATCTGCGGGGGGGCTAAGCTCGACTTTAGGTCTCGAATGAGGGGGTTCCCGTTTCTCGTGTGACATCTTAAATCGATTTGGTCATTTGGTGGCATTTTCAGGCCTCTGATCATTCCTGGTGAGATGCACTTGTCCATACATGAGCATGCAACAGGGAACATATTCCTGTCTCCATCTGCAGATTCTCTAGCACGAAACAGTCGTTTCCAGGCTTCCCAGTCGCAATTCTATGGCATCTAGAGATCGATGGTGTGGCGTGTGCAAAAGCTTTGCACGACGTGCCTTATTTGGGCAAGTATCGGCTCCTAAACACATTGCTGATAGTACTACCGATTGTGTTTCCTCCCTGCATCTTGCTCGCCAACGCTTCCTCCAAGGCTGACTGAGTCACTGAGGCATCTATGACGGGACAGTTAGCATCAGGTAGGTGGGGTTTACTTGGAGGAGACATACCATCCAGGTCACTAAAACTGCTGCCCATGCTCGGCGTGCCGTCGCTTCCCTCTCTGGAATATCCCTTTTGCTTCAACTCCGTCGTCCTTCGTGGAGAAAGCGGCCCTGAGGGCTGTCTGCGGCCGCTAGAAGACGGCTTGGACATGAAAGCCGCCGAACTCTCCGACGAATCCGAGTTCGACGATTTCTGAAGCATACACTCCGTCTCTTTTCCTTTTCCCTTTCCCTGACCGCTATGATCAGGTCCAGTGACATTTTGCAATCGCCTTGCGGCATTAGAAGCAAAGTCACGAGGATCTCCTCGTAATGTGGCGCTGGGGTCCGTATACTGACCGCTGCCGTCGCCACTGCTGCCGCCAGCTTCGACGGACGTGGAAGCCTTTGCCCTGTAAGGCAAGAAGGCAGGCTCCGCTTCATCGTCATCGTCATCATCAGCGAATGCAGATCCAATGCCATCCTGGTCCTGTTGCTTTTGTTGAAAGCGGGGAGGCCGCCGGATAATCCGCGATTGTGCGGGACTAGAGGATGCCGAAGATGTCGGAGAGGGCGAGTCGGCCGGGCCGGGGGAGGGCGGATCCATGGCTTGCGGCGCAGCAGATGCCATACCGGATGGATTCGCTGCTGAGCTCGTCACAGTGGGTAGAGAAGGCAGACGTTGTCTGTTTTGTGAGCGCGGAGAAGTCGGTATTGCTCCCGGTTTCAGTCTCAGCGATCCAGCTGTGCTACCTGCACTGCCAACTTGTGCTGTTGTGCCTGAAGAAGAGTTTCGTGATGCCTGAGGCCGACCAATGGCGCCAGCTGCTGAAGTCCCGATCTTGGGCGTATCAGGGGCAGTGCCGTCATTCTTCGGCATAGGCGAGTCCTTGCGGATGGAAAGAGACGAGGGAGCTCTCGTATGGCCGTATGCTCCTTGAGAAGAGCCAGTCCTCCTCATGGCCTCGAGGGCAGCGTTTGAGTCAGAGCCAGGAATGGGCGATGGCGCAGCTGAGCTTCTAGCTGCAGCCGTGGCCTTGCGCATCTGGGCTCGGACTTGTGAGGCATGGCGTTCGGTGAGGTATGTGACTTGTTGGAGGAGGAAGTCTACGGTGACTTCAAACCTAGCAGCTCTTGGGGAGCACAAAAGCATGTTAGACAGATTGTCAAAGACATAATATGGGAACATTCATGGACTTTGGCCTGGTAGATCCAAAAACTTACAATTCAACCCCTGAGTTGAGTCCAGGTTAGCAAACAAATAATTCAAGGCATTACCGTCAAGGCAGGCAGGAAGGCTCACAGTCAATCTCGGTCTTTGCGACCCCTGAGAGTATTCTCCACAAGGATTCGTCTTTCGAAGCATCCCATTTTACCTGATGAATTTGAATGGTGGTTAGTACGGTGATGGAAGATGCCGGCACAGGCTCGGGTCACTCACGGGTGGCGGATCGACAAAGTCACCTCGGGGGAAGGGCAGCCGGATGTAGACAGTGTAGGTCGGCTCACCATCCATCACAGCCGAAAGTTTGTGCAGGCTGTTTGCAGCAGAGATGGACTAGAAGTTGACAATGATGAGACGGGACGAGAAGATATGAGATGGGTGCCACAAAGATGGGAGTTGAGCAGCAGCCTGTACTCTGATGAAAGGAAGTTGGCTCGGCCGGTGGTGTATAAGTCAGGCAGTGAGAGAGAGCATTCGGTACAGCCAGTACTCAGCCAAGTCAGTACGTGCAATACAGTACGTACGGTACAACACGGTCGCCGATCCACACGCTATTCTGGGCCGCGGCTATCCTATCGATAAGGTCAGCCGACAGGGAACAGCTCAGTCGGTGTGAACCCCTGCCTGCTGCCAGGCCAGGCAGGGGCCCCTGCTGGCAGCCATCTGTTGCTGGGCAGAGCAGACGCCAAAGGCAGAATTTCAATCGCGTCGCATCCTCGAGTCCAAACTTGAGTCGCAACCGAGGAATTCATCCAACCCTCCACATCGCTCCAGGCACCTTCTCCCAGCTGGACAGGCAGCAGTGATTCCTATTGTAAACCAATTCATCTGCGTTTGCTATTCGCAATTACACTGAGACCAGTCTCGCCTAACTCGACCGGACTCGTAGAGTGTGCAGCAGCCCAGCATGGCTCCTCTCATCCTACACAATGTCCCCGACGAGGAGCAGTACATCGGCGAGGATGGAGTTCAGAGACCTTACGCAATGATATGGCCACAGTACGTCTCTGACAACCTCAACCCTCACTGTTTAACACCGTGGCAGCTGACAACATTCCCAGACAAGACGGCAATCCCACCAATGTTCGAGCACGACGTGGAGCTCCCGAGACAGGAGCCTTTGGCAAGTCGACGCGACGCTCAAGATCAAAGACAGCCACGCCAGCAAGACGCGAAGACCCAACAATACAATCAGCCGGCAAAGTCTTCGCCGCCTTCTTCGAGCAGCAGTCCTCACAAGGCGGAGAGCAGGCAGAGGAGCCGTCCTCAGCAACACCACGACAACGACGAGCCTCCAACGTCCAGCCCCTCATCCCCCCATCGACCTCAACCAAAGACCTCGCAGACGACGCCGCAGCGACAGCCGCGCCCGCGACGGCCCGCAACATTCCCAACGTGCCCACCGAGGTCATCCTCCGCGGCTTCAAGCACACCGACCAGCAGTACGCGGCCATCAACCACTACGAGCAGATCGCGGGCCGCATCTGCGAGGACTACCCTCGCGACCCGCCCTTCGAGATCCGGCGGTACAAGTCCGAGCTGCGCGACCCGGCCTTCTCGCGGCGGCGCGGTCTGACGGCGGAGGAGCGCGCCAAGGTGAACCGGGCGGACGGCGGCTCGCACTGGGTCAAGGTGACGTTCGAGTCGAGCCAGGCGGCCGAGGCGGCGCTGTTCTCGAGCCCCCAGGCCATCCTGGGCCACCTGGTCTACGCGGAGCCGTACCGCGGGCTGCCGCCCTTGCGCGACGAGCCCGTCCCCGACGCCACGACCGCGGCGCTGGGCGACGAGGTTCCCGCGGGCTGGAGGCGCCCGGGCCACGGCGGCAACAGGACGGCGGGCGAGCTGCGGAGCACCTTCCCCGGAGGCGGGCTGCCGGGCGAGGTCGTCGCGGCCGACGACGCAATGGACATGGACATGTCGCCGCCGCAGTCGCAGGCCAGCAGCCGTACCGTCGAGAGTGGCACCGTCAACGGCTCGTCGTTGACATCCAACAACACGCTGACGGCGCAGGATCAGCTTCAGGTGGCAGCAGCGGCACCAGCCGCCCCCGAGAACAGCGTGTATTGTAGGAGGATACCGACTGCGCGGAAGGTGGTGCTCCTGCCGGCCGAGCAGGCGCTTCTGCCGCAGCAGTCGTACGCCCAGAGGCTGCTGACTCGCATCCCCTTCATCAAGTGGTTCAGCGGGTCTATGATCGGGAACGAGGTGCCGCGGACGCAGGAGGGCGAGTTCGACTGGGTTAATGCGTCACTGTACTGGAAGCTCATCTGCTGGCTGGACCTGGTGTTCCGGCTGTTTGGTGGGGAGATCGTTTCCCCTGACAAGGATGATTGAGAGTATGGGATAGGGATGACAATAGGAAATGGAATGACAGCCTGTTGGCCCTGACGAAAGGAAGAGTGACTTGAGCTCATTGCTTCTCGTGAGGAGCAACTCTATAACATGGAAAAATCCTACGAACAATGGCGCGAGGCACATCTCAATCTCAGGAACAGTCACTGAGGATGTCAGTCGGTCTATTTGCAGAGTCGGAAGGTGGTTGGTGGTTTGGATCATAATGCATATAGCGTCTTTGGGCATAGGCGTTCCTGCGAGGGCTGGCGTGTGGAGTGTGCGTGGGTAAAACAGAAAAGAACAGGCTTATACAACTTCTTATGTATGGCGTACCTATCTGAAAAAAGCCAATGAAGAGGTTACCACGAGAGGACAGACGCCCTGTAATTTCACCACAAGAACCACCCAAAACACCAATGCTTCTATACCAAACAAACCGTGACGCCTAGCTTGTTAACATAAATGAACGACTGGTACCGCCGGCCTCAATCCCAAAAAGAAGGGCATCACGAATCTATTCCATCCCATTGTCTGCAGCGTTCCACCTCCGTTCCCTCTCGTCTGGGTCCGACGCGGCGGAGGAGATCCTCTTGCTCCCCCATGGATGCTCGTCCTCGTCACCGTTGATGGACAGGGACAAATCGGAGTGCGAGGGCATGCGAAACCCGTCGGCAGATGCGGACCTCCCGCCGTTGCGTATCGTCGCGGGGGATGGTGGCCCGTCGTCGTCGCTGGTGACGGCGGAGCCGGCGCCCTCGCCGTGGAACTGGTCATCGGAAGCGGTGCCGCCCATGACGTCCTCCGGGTTGACCCTCACCGGTTGCGGCGAGAAAGGCCGCGTCATCCTGGGCCTGCCGTTGCTGGCAAAGTCGGCCGAGAAGATGCTGATGTTGTCGGTGTCGGGCACCGCCCGGAACTCGGGGCTGCTGACGGCGCCGGCCAAGCTCTGGTAAGGATCGGACACGACACCCAGGCTGTCTGCCCTCTCATGGCCCTTCCGGCCGCCGACGTTGCCAACCATCGCCCTCGTCAGCCCCATGCCCGACTCGGAGGCCGTGTCGGCGAGGATGCTCTTGGGCGGCAGGATGCTGAACAGCTTGCTCGCGTCGGCGTCGGCATCGGCGGGGGCGGGCTCGGCGGCGAAGAGGTCGGTGCCCTTCTCCAGGAGCTCGTCCAGCCCGCCGCCGGACCAGCCCTTGCGGGCTAGGGACTCGAAGATGTCGACCTCGGCCCGGACGAGGCTACAGCTCGACTCCAGGATCTTGACGCTCGTGTCCTGGCTCTCGCGCAGCAGCGTGCGGCTGTGCTCGCCGTGAAGGCACGTCAGGCCGTCCAGCTTGGTGGTCAGCTCGACCAGGTGGCCGCGGAACTTGGACACGTCCCTGGGCCCGCGCTGCCGGTGCAGCTTCATGCCCTCCTTCTCGAGGCGGCGGATCTCCTGCGACTGGCGCTTGACCGCCGCCAGGTACGAGGCCTCCTCGTCCTCGACGTCCCGCCGCCACTTGTCCAGCTCGTGCAGTAGTGGCACCTCGAAGCTCCTGTACACGGTCTCGGATAGGATGTGCTCGTGGTTGGCGATAAGGTGGTGCACGCCTGCCGCCGCCAGCAGGCTGTCCGCGGTGCACCCGCCGCTGGAGGTCACGGAGGCGGTCGGGGCGTTGCCCAGGAGTACGGAGTCGGAGGTGGCCTCCTTCAGCCGGGCGCATGACTCCAGGGCGGAGCCAAAGGAGGAGGCGGCATTAGATAGGGCGGCGAGGGCTAATCGGTATGCCTTTGCGGTAGATAGCAGATCGGCGTAGGACCTCTGGCTTGCGGCGAGGTCGGCCTTGGTGAGGACGGCTTGCTGTGCCGGGGGCGGGGGCGGCAGCGGCAGGTTGAAGCTCGAGATGTTCATGGCTGCCGAGGGCGGGTTCGCGGTTGACGCGTACGAGTAGGTGGGCGAGGCGGGCACTGGAGGGAGCTGTGACGGCGATGGCGACGGTGGCCGATTGGCGACGTGCTGTTGCTGGACAGTCGTCATGGCTGGCGAGGCGAGATGTTCGCAGCAGAGAGAAGAGTGCTGATAGAGGAGGGGCGTGCGTCTCGAGACAAACTTTTTTGTTTACTTTTCGGTATTGGACCGTCTGATACGATATCCGCTGCAGATTACCCGCATGTGCAGCAGCAGGTTCGGTTCGTCCGCAGTTTGGAGCACTCTGACGCCTGAGCACCGTCAGCACACGAGATGGGTGTAGTGGCGCTTGGCTGCTGCGGTCGCCTGTGTGGAGTTGCTGGCACCTGCGGGTGTCTGACAGGATGGCGACAGAGCTCAGGAGCTCCAAGGGGCCCAGACGGAGTGGAGCTGTCTCCTGATAGCGTTGTAACAACTCAGCAATAGGGTCGGGGAGTGGAGCAAGTCGAGAACCAGGGGATCACGTATGTGTATAAGTCAGTAGAGAAAGAAGGGAAGACTAGGTATGAGAGTTACATGATGAACAGAATGAAACTCGGTTCGTAGGAATGGGGACAGCATGTCATAACAAATTTGATAACACAGAAGGATGCCGTCGACGACCCAAAAAAAGGCTGCTCAGGTGGCCTTGAAATGTTGACCCAGGTGACGTCTCTGTTTACACCACACTGCAACCAATCCCACGGTACCCATAGCAGGTACCTACAGTACCACAGTATCTTCCAAGCACCGAGGGCATGAACGGTCCCATCCAACACCACGGTCCCCACCGTCTTGATCGACACGACCCTACGGTAGACTAGCCTTACCTAGCTTGGCTGCCGCGATCAGCGACGAGACCTGCTGTGGCACGGGCAGGCCTGGCAGGTTGGCAGGATGGCACCGGGCTGCAGGTGGTCTGAGCCCCGAGCCTCAGCGGGCTGTCGCCGCACCTGCAGCTGTGCGGTGAGCTGTCTTTTTTTTCAATTCGATGCTCTTCTCCAGTGCTTGGGATCCACGGTGGATGTGACATCGAGATTTCTCGAATCCAGGCGAAAAACATCTCTCATGATTCCTATCATCTGGAAAGTTCTTAAGGTCGATGTTGATCTGATGGGTTCAGCTTATCCAAGATCTCACAACAAGGTCGATCCAGATCGCGGCCCACTGCGTCTGGGGATGTACTCCAGCGGGTTCATAGCTAGCAGTGATCAAGGCTGGTTGGCGGTGCACTGCGACGAGTAGATCTCTTGTATGAACATGTTATTTAGTATTATGTAAAATGCATCCATCTCCCGTACATGTGTACGTGTATGTGACAGAAACGCTAGTATCCCCTTTATGGGCATTATATACCTGGAACACGCCATCATCCATTCCCAGTCCTGTCCAGCCAGTCTCGACAGCGAGCTTTTTCCTGCTCTGGTATCTCCCATCCCATGTCATGCCTCATCATAATTATAGTAGTACAGTAGGTTAAAACGAGAAAGAAAGAAAAACCAAGAGAGAAAGCTGGTGTCTCGTCTCGTGCCCAGTCGTGGTTCGCTCTCATCACCCTTGGCTCAAGGTGCTTGCTTCTCCTTTCACCCCCTCAAGAGGGCCCTCACAGGGCATAGTTCTCCGCATGCAGGTAAATCTCCTCCAGCATGGGGTCACCCCATATCTCCGCCTGGAGCCTCGCCACGGTGGTCGCGACGCCCACACGCATGCTCGGCGGCCCACACACGAAGACCGCCGTCCTTCTCCCCAGTATTCCACGCCCGTCACTCCCGCCCGTTGCCCACTCTTTGAGCATGTAACCGAGGTCCGGCCGCCCATATTCAACGCTCCAGCCCCCGTCGATCTCGTGAGGCACCGGAAATGCGAACCGCATCAAGTTCTTCTGGAACTCGGTCGGCGTCTCGGGGAACCCGAACTCGAACCCAGACGGCGGGCCAAAGGTGCTGGTCGGTCGAGGTCGGTTCAGCCCACCCACGTCGGTGCGGAGGTGTGCTAGTTCGGGCACATCAGGGGCCCGAGGGATGTCTGACGATGGCTGTGGCGACTCGGGGTGTGACCCGCTTTGTGGAGGTTCGAGGAGCTGGCTGAATCGCTTATTACCCGGCGAATTCGGCGGCGCATAGTTGAAAAACGGGCCGTCCGCCTTGGGCTTTAAGGGAGGGAAGTGGAAGTCTTTCTGTTTGCCCTTGTCATCAGGCAACTCAGACGCACCATCCTTTGCGTCTCTTGCGTCTGCGTTGTCCTCGTCGCCCTCGTTGCCCTCGAGGCGGCGCAAGGCATCGTCTGTGTACGATTGTCGATTTTTCGGCGGATTCGGTGGTGGAGGCGGGATGTTGTGTGGCTGCAGATATTTTTGTTGAGGCAGCGCGGTGAACCGATCCTGCTGCTCTGCTCTCAGTTCGGCCTCCCTATTCGGATCGCCTTGTGAGACATCCGCAATCAGTGCTGAGTTGCGCTTCGAGGCAATGCCCGCGACGAAGCCGTCCAGCCTGTCATGGAACATGTTGGATATGGGCCGGGGCGCGCGAGCACTCGCGCCAACCTGGCCGCCATGCGAACTTCTGGTCGCTGCTGTCACGAAGAACTTGCAGGTGACACTTTCTGGCGGCGCAGCCTCGCGGCAGATGCGCAATTCCTCGCGAAACCAGTCCATGGCCTCGAGCCGCTTCAAAGACCATACCACGACAATCTTCTTGGTGATGGCCTTGCCGTCTCGCATCCGCTTGATCAAGTTGAGCAATTGCGACATCAGCGACGTGATGCCGCTTCCTCCGGCAATCAGGATACAGGTATCAAACGCCGCGAGATCTCGGCGCATGCCTCCGTACGGCCCATCCAGAAAAGCCCGGTATGTATGGAACGGCCCCTTCTCTATCGCAGTTTCGAGTACCTTTTTCGTAAAACCACCGTAGGGTCGGAACACCAACACGCAATCCCGATACTGTTCGCCGTACTCTGAAGGGAAATCCTCGCTGCACAGCGACGTGACCGTAAATGGGTGATTCTCGAGCAATGATATGCCCGGCATACGGAGGTAAAAGTACTGTCCCGGTGACCACCTAGACTGGGTTGGGATCGTGATCTTGATCGTGTTCTCCGTCATAATCTGGATAGCTGCCTCGTCCCCTACCATAAATGCCATTCTCCATGGCTTGGTCCAGTTCAGCTTGGAAAGTCGCCAGATGTTGCAAATCACAAGGATAGCAATAGACGCGTATAGGTAGTCCCAAGACATCAGGAAGTTCTTCGTATGCCAGAACAAGAGGCCGATATAGACATACCCGACGGGAGCATGAAGAATCGAGAACAATTCGTACAAATGTCGCCGCAGTACCGGCAGAGAGAGCACACACAGCCAGCAGAGAGGAACAAAGCAGGCTATGCCGCTGCCGTAAATAATACCGCTTCCCGGAGGAAACAACTTGTTAAACACCGTCATTCCACCGTCCTCCCACACCGGTTGGATGAAGAATGGGACCATGTGGACCAGAGATAGGAACAAGCACAAGTAGCCTGCCCATCGGTGGAATACGTTGAGCCGATCGGCGGCAATGCCTGTGATGAGACTCAGGATGTTTGCCTTCATGCTCGTGGCAATGATCCATGGGGTCATGGCCTGCGCAATCATGCCGGCTCGGATGGCGAGCGGTGGTGAACCGTATCGAATGCTGGCCCAGTATAGTGGCTGCTGGAGGAAGCAGTATAAGGAGACAAATACCAAAGCAACGAAGCCGACCGTCAACACCGATAGAGATGAGAATGTGAATGTGTGTTTGCGCCATCTAATGTCCGGGATCGGTCGGTAGAAAGTCCATCGAAAGAGGGCCAGAGTGTCGTTGACAAAGCCAATGGAAGACATGTGGGATTTGGGACGAAAGGCTGTCTCGGCTTTCTCCTCCTCGGGGAAGAAGTGTCGCGCCGGGACCGGTTGCCCGCTGAGTTGTCCACCAGTCTGCGTAGATGTTTGACCCCATTCAGCCTCCGCACTGTAGAGGTTCTGATAGTACTGCTCGACTTCCTGCTTGTAAATGGCTTGCCTGATCTTGTCTTGCCACCAATGCCACACTCGGACAATCACAACTGACATCATCAGCGCGACTGAGAAATACGTCCACCCTAAACCATATTTTCCAGCCTTGGTCCAAGGATCAACCGTGTCCGCTTGCACCAAGCCTGGGGGACTTGTCGGTGTCAGTGGGATGTTGATCCGCTTGATAAGGTCTCCTATAGTCCGTGTCGCAGACGATGTTGCGCCACGGAGGGCGGGCGGTATCTGCGAAGCCATAGTCGCCACGTTGAGTACAGTCCAGCTGTATGAGAAGGCGCCGTTGTGCGTGTGATGCGACTACGCGCAGTGACGTCGAATTGTTGACATGGACCTTTCGACGAGTGGTAGTCTGTCCTCGGAGTTGTTGGTGTGTAGTATTTGGTCACGATATAGAGAGAAGAAATGTATCCATACACGCGAATGCCACATGGATGTTCGCACGAGGATGAAAGCAATGGGACCAGGCTGGAGAATATGACAGACCGGAAGCCGAAATGCCGGAGTTCTCACTCAGGTATGCCACTGTGAAAGACAGGAAGGTAAGAATCTGTCGCAGTGTAAGGAGACTAGACGATGGCCAGATCCAGGGTGACACAAAAGGATCCGGCAGTCACTTGCGGGAGGGTCACCGATATATGACAGTTGAACGTGCCTGGGCGTCAAGGGGTAGCGGCGTGCGTAGCGCGTGGTTGATCGGATTTGAGATAGTACCGTCTGCGATCCTTACACGAGGGGCTAGACTGATATCAAGTAGGTGTCTGGCAAGATGAGTTGCAGTTTAATAGCCGCCGGGCGCGGAGCTACTTTGGGGATGAGATGTTGGCGTGCCGTAGCGTAGTCGTGGTAGATCTCGCAAAAGGATCCGAAATGTCAACCCACGCGGGCCGATGTCTTGAAAAGGCAGGGTATGCCTGGAGGGAGTGAGCTCAGAGTCGGACGACAAGACGTGAAGGGCTAAGGAGGCCCAGCGGTAGACCAGACTTTAATATTGGCTGGCCGTTCTTTCTGGCCTGTTCCCCGCCAATGCAGGTCACACTCGACGGGCCATGCGTGGGGAAGAACAGGGCAGGCGAGCCAGAGTAAAGAGCTGTCTACCGAACTTTGGTGGACTGGATGTGAAGAGTATTCGTGAGTGCGGCGATTCGTACCCCCTGTTCAACACCCCCTGCTTCTCACACGTACCTCAAAGTCTTGTCCCAACCAAGACTTTCCTACATCTCTAGTAATTAAGAATCCCCAAATCAAATTTAAAGGGCCGGCTGGGGCGAGGAGCGACGGTGCCGGTAGGCGCCGCCGAGTCCCAGAGGTCCAACCCGTTCAGACTGTATCAAAAAAATTAAGAAGATGCGGTTTTTGAAGTAGCTGTGATGATTTTAAGGTACTTGAGTTTTTCGTTGATGTACTTAAGATTCTCGCTTGAGCTTTAGCGACGGGGACTAGTTCTGATTCGGAGTTAAAACCCGTGGCACGGACCAAGTAACGCGCCGTGCCACACAGGGGGTGTTGAACAGGGGGTACGAATCACCGCACTCAGTATTCGTAGAGGATGTCGTAGGTGTGGACCCTGGGAGTGGGCAAGCATCGATCAATTCGGCAGGGAAGTGCATGCAGGTATTGTGGTCCTCGATGCAAGCGGGCCGGGCAGCGCACTATCACACAGATGTTGATGGCCCAGTACGGAAGCTTGTTGTCTGCCGTGCTTTTATCCAGGCGACGGAAAGGACCAATTGTTCCTGTTGCTGACCAGTGAAGTCAAGGGATGCGATCACACTCGCTTCTGGTCGCTGGATGGTGCGACAGACATCCGGTTCGGATAGATATGTCGAGGAAGACGAGGAAGACAGTGCTCTCTCGCTCGGGGGACACAAATCCTGTTGACTGGCACACAGGTGAGTCCCAGCGGTCCACACGAACAAGGAAGTCCCGTAACAGTGGTCTCTCGGTGTGTACGCGGCCGCCGGACTGCGTATGTATTACGTGGATCTCTGGCAACACCGTGCCCGGTAAAAGACGAAGATATCCTCAGTCGAACGAGAGCGGAGGGAGAGATGTTTGCCCGGTGGGGGTTGCGAGAACCAATAGGGCCAATTAGCCCAGCACAGGAGCAGAGTTGGCTTCAGTCTTGTCGCCCGCAAAGCATTCATGACCCCTCTCTGCGGTCAGTGATTCGCCGTCGGTGACAATGGGAGGGAGATGATATCTGGGCCAGGTGAGGAGAGGTGGTGCTTGGCCCTTTGGGCGCTGCGGTGGGACGAGTCGCAACTGCAACCAACCCCACCCACCATGCCCATTGTGCATCTCAGGCATTCTAGCCCATCTCGGTACGGCAGGTCCAGGGCTTTCTTGGTCGTATTTGGGGGCCCCGGGGCCCGAGGAGGGTTAGGCGGGATGGGTGGGATGCAATCTCAAAGTGACTTGGTGGTGATGGCGGACAAGCAATTGGATCAATGGCAGTCGAGCGCATCGGAACTTAAATGCGGGCGGCTATGTGTGTTGGCTGATTGGCCCTTGGCGCTGCAGAGTGGACCAACATCCTCTGTATCCGTCAGTGATCCGTGTGCCCAAAGCCCAGGTCCCCTGTAGCTTCTTGGCCCTCACATCCATCTCGATTCGACATGAGTCGCATCTGCAGTGCTGGGGGACTTGACGATGACGCCTGTGTCCAGCTTCGTCCGCGTCTCCTGTACAATGCATCTCCCAGCCGGTCATGGCATGACCGTGGCCATATGTCGAACGACGGAAACGAGAGCGCGCGCGTGCTTGAGTCTTGACTTATTTTCTCTTGACGTCTTGGAGTTGCTCCATCTTCACCGCTGCTGGAGGATACTGTAGTCAATGGCATGCAGAGGTACTTGAGGGCCATGCGAGGTGATCAGCATGCAAAGGCAAGCACCTCAGCGACTGACCGACATCTTTGTCCCCTCCCAGTCGCAGGTGCCAGGCCCGTCACAGTCACATTGATCTTGCGCCTGAGTGGGTAGGCCAGCACCGACAGACTGGATCACTGCCGCTGTTCTGGGTCCTCACTGAAGCTTCACATATGATTCCATTCGGCTTCCCTGATAGGCAGGCCGGACATCCAGACTTCTCGCCACCCACCCTGACTTGTCTCGATCACCTGGGACCTAGCAAGAGCTTCTCTCCCCCCATATCACACAGAACGTCCTCCCGCTGCTTCCCACAGGCCAATCTAGCCCTGTGATTAGGTTTCAGCCCGTGCCGCTCGGAATCATCCGTGACGACGATCCCCGTTCCCGCGGTCAACTTCACCTCTCCATTGCTAACACGCAGTAAGGAGGCGTGACTTGCACATGGTGTTGGATCGCCAGTCACAAAATTGTCAATCTCGGAACTTTTGATGCAGGATGCAGAATGCCAGATAAACAGTAGATCGAATATACTGTATTTAGCCCATCGATGGAGGCGTACGTAAGGGGGCTGACTCTTCAATCTTCCTTAGCCAGTTGTGGAGCTGTCCGTGTAAATATGCCCCGAATCCTATCCAGAAACCATTAAAATGATACTATTATCATCCAGCACAACCGGCCAGACACCCAATGAAATTTTGTAGAAGAAGGCGATCTGTCTTCCTGATAACCACGGCAGTCGCAGAAGGAAACATGCAGTGTCACCACATCACCAGAGAGCTCACATCAGCACTAATGCGTCGCCCTTGTGCCATCTCTGCGAGCACCTTTCCGGTTCCCAGACTGAGGGATATTCCCCACGGACCGTGACCTGCAGCCAGGAACACGCCGCCCTCGCCGTCAGGGCGTGTTGTGATGCCTTCCTCCAGGTGCTCATCGTCGATCCTTGAGATGATAGGGGTTCCGTAGGGCGTGACTGGCCGGAAACAGAGCCCCTCCCTCACGACCTCGAGGTCGTCAGCATCTGCGCCCTCAGGTCCGAGTAGCTTGGCTGCTACCTTCTTGAGCTCGTTGATCGCGTCACGCGAGATCGGTTTCTCCGTGGCCAGGTTCGGCAGCGGCATTTCGGCCGAGTTTAGCCCGGCAACGTAAATCTGCCCTCCGACCCGTGAGAATATCTCGGGCGAGAAACCTGTCTTGCTCGTCGCGTACAGGGCGTGACATCCCCTCTTCTCCATCTCCGCTGTCCATCGTGGCGACTTCAGTACCAACGAATGGCCTGCCAGGCTCGAGATGGGCAATCTGCTCTGCGATTTTGAGAATAGCTGTCCAGGATCTGGAGTCAGCCTGTGAAGGATTTTGCAACGGAATTGTACTCGACCAAAGTGAGACGGAAAATTGCCGGCTTGGGGCCTGTTCTTGGAGCTGCAACCCTAAAAGGCGAACAGGCAGCTGATGCAGGTTGCGAGACGACAAGTAAGGATAGAATCATGTTGAATGAGAGATGGGGGTAGTCTCCGGGGGCTGACCTCTTTGAATACTTTCGGTGACCACGCTCCCGCCGTGATGATCAGTCTGGTGCAGGGAACATCGGTCTCTGTGGATGATTGCGTTTCGGCAATCCTGATGCTGGACAGTTCGTCCCGGATATCCTTCATGACGGCGATGGCCTTGGCGGGCTGGCAGAGTTGAACGCCACTGGCGAGACATTGGTCGAGCAGGAAGTGACACAGCTGTAGCGGATCGACCTGGGCCGTTGTCCTGTCATCCCCAATCGGCTTCACTGCGTCGCCATCCTCGCGGCGCAGCCAAGGTGGCAGTACGCCACCGTTTTCAGAGTCGTCACTCGCACAACCGCCGGCGGCGTTGGCCCTGCTTGATCCATAGCGTAGCCAGTCCTCTCCCCTCTGAGATTTCCTCCCACGGGTCTGGGAGGCGGCGGTGTAGCTGAGAGAGGTGCTCCTGGAGTAACCCCACTTGGAGGCGCCGTCGTGACGCTCTGCGAGCCTCTTGTGCTCGTCAAAGCTCAGTGCTGCCAGGGAGGCGACGCCTGTGCCGAACCAGTCCCTTGCTAAGAAACCACCTGCATATCCGGATGCCGAAGCGAAGAGCTCTGGGGAGGAATCGACAAGGTGAATGGTGTTCCCAGGTTGATACTTTGAGAGATAGTATGCCGTGGATACTCCGATAATACCAGCGCCGAGGATGACGGTGTCGGCCATTTCAAAAATCCGGTTGTTGGTGGGAACTTGGTCACATCAGAGGTTGAACTATGAGGACCGTTGAGGAAGCTGCTGGGGGCGAGACCAACAGCAAGGCCGGGCCGCCTGAGGAGACGGCGCATGCGGCTGCGTGTGCGTGCTTGGGCTGCTGATTGGGCTAGCTGCCAGGCAGAGCAGGCCGACTGCGCGTGTCTGCTGTCATTTATCAATTTCCCATGGATGACTGTTCGGCGGCGGATGGGAAGAGAAAGGCGAGCCGAGCGAGTGGTTGCGATGAGTAACAGCGACAGCGGCGGTTGAGATCTCGCCACGCGGCGGGGTGTAGCGGCATATTACTGCACGGCGCCCTCTTCCACAGTCCAGTCCAGTCTGTAGCACGACCTTGCACATGGCAGCGATCTGCGCGAAGCTATACCACTCCCTTGCCCGCCTGCATCAAGATGTGCTCCCCAGTGGATGCAAGGCCCGAGAGTTGCTCATCCGAGGGCAGTGCTTGTCTGCCCGGGGCCCTGGACTGGGCTGAGCACAACAGCTGCAGGCCTCCCACTGCAGCTGGGAGAGACTCCAGTCGAGTACCATTCCGTCCAACTTCTTGGCTTGCGCTGCTGGTCCTTGAACCTTCCCAGGGTTAATTTCGTCAAGCAGCATCCATACGATCTCAATGTTGGTTTACATGGATTCGAGGTGACTTGAATCAGAGTCCAATGCCTCGCGCTCGGGGGGGAGGGATGCCGACTACATGCAGCAGATCCTGCGAAGGTCTAGGCCTGTATGCACAAATTGTCACATCCCGAAGTCGACCCGAGGATGTACACCCGTCGCGTACAAAAGGGCCTCTGTCCTTCCGCCGTGAGGGTAGATGTGATAGCAAAGCCTCTTATATGGGAAAGCCTCATCAAGAACAACCTACTCCGGCTTGGAGAGGCGCGGTGGCGGTACGATTCGGATATTTTGGCCCAAAGCACATCACCACACTCTGCAGTTGGCACGACTTCGTCCCCTCTGTTCTCGAGGAGACACCCCAGAACGGCTGCTGCATACATTAACCGGGGAAGCACGGCTTCACGGGAACAAAGTTCGAACGAGTGAGGCTGTCGACCGCCGAAAGGGGTTATCAGGCTTGAGCGGGCTGCTACCACCCGACCTGCGAGGCGACAGAAACAAATCTCCGAGCTCGGGCACCGTTCAGTCAACGTTGTCTGCTCGTGGATGTAAGGCATCAAGCTGCCTACGCTCCTAATTGCCAGTCGTCTACAGATCGCCCTGCTTCATCTCCGTCGCCGATTCATCAACCCTAGTGATTCCGAGCCTGACTTCTCGGCCCAGAACAGGAGTCAGAGCATATACATAGTTGACCCTACGCGGCGACAGTCAAGGCCAGGGACCAAAGTCATCAAAAGCATCAGAGACCGGGCCCGAAGTATTGCTGGATATACGTACCAACGGCCGGTGGATAATATGCCCGAGGTCAGGCTAAGTGGCCGCGCCGTGCAACGAAGTTCTGCCGGCGCAAGGCAACGAGAGCTATCCACGCACAGGATGCGGCTTGCCGCATTCGAAGCTTGGCATGAATTCTTCACACAGACAGTATCAAGTCGAAGACAAACAGCAATCCGTGCTCAGTGGGAAAGCTGACACAGCGTCACATCTCACTGAGCATCACGCTGCCTCCAACTACTAAAACAAGAGGCGAATATCAGAAGGTAGCGATACGGAAGGGCAGAACGACTGTTTAGACTTACTTTGGCTTTATCAGTCTATGCCAGTCATCGCCTTTCCTCTCTCCAGAGTTCGATGCTTTGGTGTTGAACATAGGTGACGGTACAGGCTCTGCTAAGAAGGGGTCCAGGCACATTGCCTCTTCGGTATTCCTGATCCACTTACTTCAGATTCAAAGCGCTACATTGCTGCTGAGCCTGACGCTCGGACTTGGTTTTATAGCTGCATTCTACGGGACCAAAATGTGTACTGCAGAGGAGGCCAAAGCCACCTATCAGCACAACAGGCGAATGTATCAGTCTTCCCGGCCTAAACGATCAACAGATGGCACACAGATCCAACCGGCACATTGGAATGTCACACGTGCACATTTCCCAGAAACATTTGCCAGTACGTTGCCAATCATGCAAGACTACAGATACACGACTGTTCTATTTGGTAATTGCCCACGTTGATTCTCTGAAAGTCTACTCTGCTCGATTTAGCAAATTAGGCTGAGACATATGTTATAAATTGTTTGGTTAATCATTCAGTCCTAAAAATATGATCTTTTCCAACTGGCACTAGGCTACCAGAGCTCGGATCAGGCAGTCAAGGAAATGGATATAAAATTTCTATAGCCTCCGGATCCGAATTTTACCCTCCTCGGTAACACACATGTCAGTTTTCTGAAGGACATGATAAGAGTGAAGCTGCACAAAAGTACTCAGAGCCTTGGTCTTTTCTATGATTCCTTCGATCAATTCGCACTCGCCATATAGCATCTGCGAATTCCAGATCATATCGTCGTCGTCCCAAAGACTGGCAGGATTACGGTAGCACAGCCAGACCTCGATACTCCTGACATGATGCCTGCGCCTGGCTTCTTCCACCTGCTCTTGGAGAGATTCGAAAGTCTCTTTCATGTGCCCCTCAGTAAGGTGGGCGAGGAACTTGTCGGAACGTGGTTGCCCTGCCTTCGGCGACCCTTCGAAGGAGAGGACGATGCCGACAGCCATGCCTCCTAACAATGGTCCTGTTCGGAGACCGCTGCCGAATTCTTGGTCAGCGAGGGCTTCGTCGGGCCTGACCTCCTTCATGTTGTTACCCATATTGTGGCTTTCTCTCCGAGGGAGTTACAGTGCCGGAAGAATATTTTTAGCTCTTGGTGTCGGTCTGGTATTGGCGGACTTGGGCGAGTTTCAAAACCTGACGGGTCGTGATGACCACAGAAACTCTCTTCAAATAGAGCATGAAAAAGCTCTTGTATTTATACAATGCATATTGGCAGACAATAACATTGATTGTCCAATGACTCAATGGATTGTTCTCATCACAATTCGTCCTTTGTCACATCTCCCAGTAGTTTGGCAGTCAGGACGACCCACCGGAATTTACTGTCAAAGGCAGAGTACAAGGACGTTTAGCTGGCTCAGAAGTCAGGTGGCTCCATACCATACACCCCCACTGGGAATCCCTTCTTTCTCGAAAGAGTTCATACCACGCTAAAACCCCCAAAGTCTGGGGACGAGAGCGATGCTGGGCGTGTGTGTCACTCATCGATGGTCCGCCTACCCTCACTCACTCGCCAATTCACGCGCAAATGTGAGACTCGCTTCAGAAGTATCGAGCTAATCTGCAAGGATCGATGGCTGGATGGACAAATAATCAGTTTGGTATGAATCGTAGCGAGTCCGCCGTGAATTGCGCTGAACACAGTGAGACAGATGACCTTTCAACTGGTATAGGATCCGAATTGTGAAATAGTCAAATGTAGGTTTAAACTAGAGAAACTGTATATACTTATTTTAGGGGTTTGGGCTCCTCTTTCACTGGGTTCTGCTTTGGTCGACCCTGATGAAATTGAGTTGACTCCCCCACCTACGCTCAGTGTCGGCTGGAATTCCTGTTGGTCTAAAGATATGAGAACTTTGGATCTTCCTATCATTGTACAAGTCATAGGGGGCTGGCATAGTCCTGAACCTTTTCACGAATATCCAGCTGGCTTCCCAGGTGTTTCCAATTTTACCAAAGATTGCGAAACGCGTGGCACGTCTGGTGCTCACATACCAGCTGCTTGAGCCAGCCACAGGAAGAAAAGCCAATGCCAGACTGCATACGCTACAAAGACAATGGAACCTCAATGATTGATATCTCACAGGAAAATCTCATTTAGAGATTATAGAGTTTGAAATGCTATCAAGGTCCCGAATTGCTAGCATAAGGGTTGGTTTGGCGAGACACCCACATTGTCGATGGCGGCTAATCGCCGCGAGGTATAGTATGATCTACGAGGGCGATGTGGCTATATTCAAAACCGATTTGAGTAAGTGACACCTGAAGGCTTCCTTGGATGCATAAATGAGTGGAAAGTTTCAGGGTTGTATTTCTCATGGCCACATCTGATTGCATAATAGCTCAACACCTCGCTTGCGAGAGGACTGGAGATCGAATCTACATCATGTTAAGTTGCTTAAACAGGAGCAATGAGAGTACGATATCATCCTCGACCTCTAGGCGCGGGGCCGAGCCCCCCAACTCGTACTATCCGGCCGTTCGTACGCACCGCGTCACGGGCCTCAGGGCGCTGAACGTCGACGCAAGCTCCGTGGGGCGTTTCGTGGAGCTACAAGGCCGAGTCCGACATGCTGCTTGACTTCCTTTTGCACCACCCATTCTGTGGGTGATCACTACGTCCGCTGGAAATGCACCGTCGGGAGCGTGGCTATGTCGGATTACAGGTACAGGCAAACTTTGGCAGTAAGGTTTGTTGTCGTGTGAAATTTCAAGTCACGTATGTGCCGTCTGTCGAGTCATCTCCGGACGCTATTGGGAGACAGCAAGGGGACCTGGATGGATAATCTTTGGGAAGAACGTAAGTATTTCATCATTGTCACTCAGCGAGCTGCTAACCTAGTGCGTGCTAATGGGAGAAAGCGGTCAACGAATGCCGAACCGGGAGGCGAAGGGCGATCTGAGAAAGATCAGAGGCTGAAAAGAGGAAGCCAAGCTGGGTACAGGGCGGACGGCCTCGAGGCGACAGCGAAAGATCATCCGGCGGAGTAGAAGACTGCTACGGTACTTCACCGCGTCTGTCGCGGTTGAAATTCTTGCTGCCATGTCCCCACTCATCGTGGAAAGCGCTATCGCATGTTTGTCCTCTGGGAACAATGGTGGAAGTTTGCTTGATAAGGTTGCAATTGGCGTGGGACACATGCTATCGCGGTCGTATTGGTATAGCCTAGATTGAGGCTCCCATGCCTGGCGGATTGACGATCTCCGCTAAACAAGACACTCCCATTTTGTCAGGGGTAGGGCAGGTGTCTTGGATGGGCATCCCAGGACGCAGACACGCCAAGTAAACGATTAAAATGATGCAGCAAGGCGAGCAAAACACAACGTTATAATCACCAAAACAGCTTGTCAAGTGACTATCAGGGTTGCTCGGCCCCCACACTAGACAGCCAGGAGAGAGAGCGTACCCGCAGAACTTGACGAACTCTTCACAAAATGAAACCCCTATTCGACGTTCATAGGAACCCTCATTTCCAGCAAGCGCGGCCTGAAATTCACTAACGAGTATTACGCCAAGTCCCACGGTCCTCTCGGGCGAGGACGCCGCCCAGGGTTCCCCCTTATTCTCGGCTCCCAACGGCCGCAATGTTGGCATCGCGCCATACCGTCAGCAACATCGAGCCACCCGGAGATTTAAGATAGTGTGTAAGAGAGAGAGGGGCAAATTTCCCAACTCAGCTCCTCCGTCATGACCGCCTACCGCGATTATCTCTCTGTCCATATTGTTGTCGGCCCGACTATACGCTTTTCTTTCTCGAACGTGTGTGTATGGCAGACAAAGAATGAACGAATGGTATGAATCGCGTCGAGGTCACAGTTCCACGGCCCGCACCAAAAAAGAATACTTGGATTGCCGCCAAGTGGAGGCTAGGCGGCTCGCTCGCCAAGCCCACGGACAGAAGACACATGACGAAGGCGGCTGAGTAACAGCGGCCCGGTGGACCGACCTCACGCCTTGTCCTGCATGCAAAAGCAGGCAGCGAGAGCAGTAGGTGCTTGACGTATTTGGACACAATCACGACAGAAGCGAGAGAAAAGGAAGTAAAAGTTGTGATGAACTTCAAAGAGAAGTGATATTACAGGGACAACCAACGTGTTGTGCCCTGATGGATATATACGAGGCTGCGTACAGCGTGACTATGTACAGGCGAATGCTTCTTTCTATTTCCTCTAGGGCCTTCCACTTCATGGCCGAAATAAACCATAACTCCAAGCGCAATGCATTTGGGGGATATCTGCAAATGACTGTGATGACATCTCCTCAGTATTTGTGAGACTGAAGATTTGTCCCTTCCTCACTCAAGTAGTTGTCGCTTCAACCTCCTCGATGCTCTCCCCTCGGCCAGATGGCCAGATGTGTGTGTGAAATGCAAAATATAGACAGAGAACGCAGCAAGGCTGTAAACCACCAAAAAAAAGGACACCAAAAAATATCCACCAAAATGATTGGTGTTAGGTACCAATCATAGAGATGTCAAGAAGAAGAGAATCCGCGTCGATCAAGCCGTAAATCGTGAACCATGGCATCGTGACTGTTGTTCCTGTTCCCAAGTTGGGAACAGAGACTTGTGCACGAATTTACCAGGTAAAACTTTCCTCGAAAAAGTCGACGACGGTGCCTTCATCTTGCACCTGGCGCACGCCGGATCTGACATCGTCAGCCAGCGCGCCAGGCCCACAGACGGTGACAGCCATGGCGCCCATTTGCTCGTGAACCTCCTTGCGAATCAGGAGTGGGACGTTGGGCCGGCCGGGGAACATCTGCACGGTTGTGCTGGCGGATACAATCTCTTTGCTGTTCTTTGGTCTTGTGATGAAGAGCTTGATGGTCAAAATCTCCTTACGATTTGGCATCCTAAGCACTTCGTCCATCCACGGTCTGATCCATTCGAGTGATTCGTAGTCACGAACGATCCAGATGAGTGTGATGCGACGAGTGGCAACGCTGCCATTGTTGAAGCCCTCAATGAGTGGTCTGAGGTAGCTGAGCTGATGTGTGATACCAGTCGCACCAGCAACCAGGACGGCATGTCCGTAGCTGTCCAAGTCGTGGTGACCACCGTAGGGGCCCTCGAAGGCGGCCCGCATCTTGATTGCGCGGCTGCCGGCTTCAGCGGCCCTGTTGTAGAGGTCTCGGGTGAAGCCGGTCTGAGCGCCGATGACGAATGAAACCGATGTTGTCGTGTTCCTCCTCAGAATCATAGGCTCCTTCTCATCCAAAGGCAACTCCTCCGCGTGGTGTTCGATCCATGCAATGGAGAAGGGGTGGTTCTCCCAAGGCTTGATTCCCGCAAATCGGATGTAGGCGTGTGAGCCAGGCTTGATCTCGACGTGGCGAGGTAGGTGCATGGTGACGCGGGTGCAATCGCCTGGCATTGGCTCGACGATGGCCTCAGTGAATCCCCGGTGGGACCAGTTGCAGAAAGTGAGGCGGATCATCCGGGCCAGACGGTCGAACATCCAGATGGCGAAGATTGCAATGACCCAAGGGAGCTGGGGAAGACCGGTGGGAATTTCGGTGGGCGTCAGGCAGTGGATCAGCGTGCAGACAAATGTGATGAAGGCGAGCATGATGTGGGTGTTGAGGAAGGTCTCGTAGAAGGCGTGGCGGATGGGTGAGAAAGACAGGATCAGTAGGATGAGCATTGCCCAGGTACCTGCAGTTCCAGATGCAATGAATGGGTCGTACAGGACGCGATCCATCAGACCGGACATTCCAGTAGCGGCCATTTGCACAATGATCCAAGCCAGGAAGTGGATGAGAATCTCGATGACTGAAAGGCGACCGAGCCATCGGTGGAAGAGGTTGTAGGTGTCGAAGCTGATCTTGAGCCATGAGATCATGGGGTTGTTACGGCCGGCAAAAATAATCAGAGGGACCATGTTGACCGCGCCGAGAGTTCCTGATCGTCCTCGAATCTCCGCGCACAGCGAGTACTTGTTTTCGTTGGACCAGTTCAGGTAGAACATGTAGACCAGATTGCTGACGGTGTAGATGAAGAGGAGGATGAAATGCAGCCTCGAGGGCAGGGTGCCCATGTTCATGGCCTTGGAGAGTCGGATCTCTCGGTTGTGTCGCTTGCCCCATAGTGGTGCATAGATGAAGTCCTTCTTGAAGCTGGGCATCCAATGGGACTGAGCATACTTCCAATAAGTTTGTCTATCGCCCTGGACTGACATTGCCGAGACCTGGCGGATGTGGCCCCAGACGACCTGAAATATCCTGACGGCCAAGATCGTGAAACCGAAGATGCCCAGTGTCCACCACAGCATGTCCACAAAGACCAGGTTGTTAACCTGGTTGACACCGTTAAGGCCATGGGCGTATGGCGAGATGGTTGACATGGGGTCGCCGGCACTGGCAGTTGCTGAGGCTTCCTCTGTTGCCCGAGGGAAAAGGGCGGGAGTGGGGGTCATGTGTGCTGCGGCGGCGGCGAACCTGCGCCGATGGAATTCCATCTTTGTTAGAGGTTGGGGTGGAATAGGGAAGATGGTATTCGGATTTGTTTATGAGGGAGAGATTCAAGCCTCGTCCGTCTCGTTCTCAAAGCAAACGGGGTACTGCTCCGAATCTATAACAAGACCAGAGCTGAGACGTCCCTGCCTAGAGCCTCCCGAGTCAAGAGTGGCTATTGTCTATAAGACGGAGTGGCAGACAATAGCATTATGAATGGGGACAGGAGAAGGCACAATAGGTTGGTGACGGTCCTTTGTGGCGATTGTCTCATACGAGGTCGACGAGACAATATCGGCAGTCAGGCCACTGGGACAAAGAGTCGAGTCACCCTTTGTGAGTACCGGAGTAAGCAAAACAGAGCAGTCGGATCGGAAGTTGAGGCCGTGGTAGGCTGGTCGCAGCGGCCGCGGGATATGGGTTGCTGAGATGCCAAGGCCGTCGAGGTCGATGAGAGGCTAGGTGGTCCGGGCCGGCGGATAAGTTGGTTGATTGCCTGGCAGTTGCAGGGTGTGGCAGAAATGACCGTGATTGCTCAAATCAGCGCGGAGACCGATATTGAGTCGATATGAATATTTCCAAGATTGTCTTGGAAAGTGGTTCGCCTGTGGAAGTGGGCCTGACCGTGGCGTGACGCTGTAGATGAATAGCGGGCGACGCTGTAGACAATCGGCGGTTTTTCAGACAGGCGCGCTCGGCAGTCGCGAGACGCAGTTCCTCCTTCCACAATAAATAGGGGCGGGTTCGAATGAGCGAGTGTTTATCACCACCACCGGAGGAGTGGATGGCTGATTGATGTCGATGACGTGACGTCGAATGAATGTAACCGTCGCAAACGACGAGCAAGGTGAGGCAGTGAGAGCTGCGTGGTGGCGGTTGACGGGTGTGAGTCGTGTGGTTGAGTGAGCAAAAGGTGTGCCGGTTGTCAAATGAGTAGCAATTGGCAGCAGGGCGAAGAAGATTCGGATGGCCGTCCAAGACAAGGGGCAAGTTATCCACCGTCCAGCGAAGATCAACAGAGCTCAGGCCAAGTCCTGCTTTTTTTGGGTTGAAGAAGGGAGGGGGGGTTGGTCGAAGATGATCCAGATCAACAGACCAAATGAGAGTGTGTATGCGTGTAGAAGATTTGACGTGCCACCAATGATATCGCTTCGCAATACGGGACACAGCAGAGCACACACGAGAATCGAACTGACCAGAGGTCCACAGAATCAAAAGCGAAAAGAGAGGCTTGCGAGGGAGGCGCAAGGAAGACGAGGGGATCGTCGTGGATTAAGAACAAGAATAGATGAACAAGCTGGGAGCCCAGGGGTACCAACAGGTGGGCAGTTTTCCACTCGGCGTCAGCCGAGATGCACTCAAAGTCAGTAGACCAGACCGGTAGCCATTGCTGCACCCAGCAATGTACCGTATGGGCCAGATTGGACCAAGATGGGCCAAAATGGACCAAGATGGGCCATGCGGGCCCTGCCAGTGGACAAGGAAAAAGGACGGCGGCGTCAAGGGAGACGAGATGGAAGAGGCAAGGAGTGGTCCGTACCCATGTCTGTCGGTGGAGCCCCGACGGTGAGTGAACCTGTCCTGCCAGGCCTGCGCATGTTAGCGCAGCTGCGGACGCTGGCTGTGTAACGGGGGGATACGGGAGGGAGACTGGGAGACAGGCGGGTTGTACGCGGTGTGCTGCGTTTGTGCCTGTTTCCTGCACAGACAATGTGCCCCTTGTCCCTGTGCTGCGAGCCCCTCTCCCCTCTCTGGATCCTATGGAGCTCTATACAAGAGAGTCTCCGCAGGACCTCGGGACTTTTTCTGACACGGTAGCAGACAGTCGAGAACCTATGGATTCAGCTGGACTGAGGCCTACGACGAACCCTTCGAAGCTATCGCAAGCACACATCTCTACGAATCGTTAAGCAGCAAATGCATCGACGGGTCGATCAATGCCACCTAGTAGGGATGCCGACGTTGGACAGGCCCTGACGAGCCGCAATGCATTGGCTGGCATTGCTTGTCAATCGAACGCGGCAGCTCGACGGCGACTCAGCAGAGCCAATCATCGCGACCAGCCCCTGGCCCAGGGTCAGGGATCTGAGGTTACCTTGCAGGAAAAAGGGGGCCGCCAAAGGAAACCTCAAACATTTATCACCAGGCCTGCCAGCGCGGGATCACCAAGCACTAGAACAGAACAGCGCTGACAGACAGGAAACAAACGCGACGAAACATATGATCTCTCGACTTGTTTACCACCGCCGATCTGCAGAGATGGGATGGAAACATCTGGAAACAACACCACCTTGTGTCATCTCCCCGCACTCACCTCAACCTCACCGAATCCTTGGGACTCGGCGCAGAGCCCCTTGATGTCCCCAGACTGGGACTGGGCAGGATGATACGCGGGCAATCAATCCGCACAAGCCTTCAGGATGGTAGCAGACGCTTATCATCAGCCGACGGTGTTGTGACTCTGCCGTCCAGGTAAGCAGGAGGCGTCGCGATGGCACAACCGGGCTTGATGAAGGACAGTCGCGCCCCGTCTGTATTTCTCCGTCTGGCTCGAACATGACATTATTCCGGCCGACCTCTCCCTGCCCTGCCATATCCTGCCATGCCCTGCCCTGCTTACGTGCCATCCTTTTGCAGTCCGTCGGCCCCTTTGTGCAGGACCTCAGACCAAGCGAGATGGCCCTGGACGGCCCAAGGCGCTTGGTGCTCCCTCGCCGCGGTCCTTTTCGGGAGGAAGCCGCCCAGGCCAGCGGGTTAGGAGATGGGCCAGCTCTCGGCAAGCTCGGAATACGAAGGCAGGAAGAAGCAACCAAGATCCAACACCGCAGGACAAGACATCCTCCCCATGTTGTGAGGTCTTGACAGGCGCCTTGGCCCTTTTTTGGCTCCGTCCAGCCGCATCAAGAACTCAATCTTTCCATTGCCACGTTCTTGCGTCCCCTCGAGCCATGCCCTGCGCGGGATGGAGGCTCCGCACAGCAGGGTGTGAGCAGTCTGTCAAACGCAGTCAAGCTCGCAGAACCCCACTTCGTATATTCAGGTTGATTGTTTCTCATAATCTCAGGACTGCCTCAATTTAATCTCGCTCAGAGCCTCCTGCGGGCCCAGCCAACTAGCCAGCCCCTCCCGGCCCCGAACCCTGCAAAAAAGCCCCTTGGCAGGGCGGGCCAGGCTGCCAGGCCACGGGGGGCCTGCTCGCGATAAGGCCCTGACTGCCATGCGAGAGCAAATCTTGAAAAAAAAAAGGAAATGGATGAGAGCCCCCGGGCTATCTGCCAGACAGGGAACGTCAACGCGTCCTCGGCCAATGGTCGACAATGCCAGCTCGCTGCTGGACCCGAGATGCTGGCTCATGAGCCTCGCCTTGACAGAGAGATCTTATGATTAAGCGACGAGATCTCACGTTTCGTGCCTTGGCACTCCCACGTTGTTATTTTGTCTCTCCCCAACTCCCTGTCGATGATCATTTCACCGCTCCAGTCAAAGCTCGGATGCTACCGAGGCCTGGCGGCAGATCACATAGCCGCCCGCCTTCATCGCGCTCAATCTGTGCAACAGGACCCTTCACAATCTCCTTTACACCTGGGCAATTTACCAGCAGCCTGGTTTAGCAGCTGTTGCCCAGCTGGACCGAGGCACCTGCAAATTTGATGCTGCCCATGGTGTTCACGTCAATTTCTTTTATAGCTCGCAAAATCCCCGAGATTTGCTAGGCATTGAATAGCATGAGAACCGATGGGAGATGTGTCTAGGCAAGGGAACTCATTCTATATGATCTTACAGACTAACCCACGGTGAAGAAGAAAATGTTGCCTTACAATGATGATGACTCTAGGGAGCAGGATGTAAGGTCAAGTCATCCACAACAACCTCTGAAATCCCGGGCGAACTGTTGTGACAGATGCGGCTGGGCTGAAAGAATAGTCAAGTAGCCTGTAGCGTGTCACACCTAGCTTGCTGAAGTGAGACACTGTACTTGAGGCACTCGAGGTCTTCTTCACCACTCTGGAAACCCTAACCCTGTCTGGAGAAGCTCTCAAGGGGGAGTCTGGGCACACACTACAGATTATCTCAGACCAGCAGATGAGTACGAAGGGAAGATACGTACTGAGATAACAGCTCAGGGTTTGACCCTGACAATCCCCCCCTGAGAATACCAAGCTCGCAGAGTTCCCAACCTCAAAGCTTTACGCGTCAGGGTTAGGGCCAGCGAGACGTCATTCCGAAATTTGCTAGGCGATAGCAAGCAACCGGAGAGCCAACCGTCCAGACGGAACGCGCAGAGCCCTCCCCAAGACAGCCATTGACGAGCATCAAGATGGGCGCGAACTCGTCCAAACCGTCCGGCACCCAGCCGCCACATGTGTGGAAGGGGTAAGCCCCTTCAGCCTGCCCTCTCGCCCGACCCGTGTTCGGCTATGCAGTAACTGACGGCGGCGACCGGGTGTGATTTGCAGGTCATCGCCAGCTAGTGTATCAAACGAGATGGTCGAGTCGCTGCAATCGAGCTCAGAGGTGCGTTGCTCCCCACGAGGAAGACCTCCTTTCTCCTCCCAGCTTGCCTCCCAACCTGCCCCCCAACCTGCCCAGCCGTGTGCCAGACAGTCCAGATTGACCGGGGAACCAAAACCACCACCAACAGACCGACACGTCCCGCGCCCAACTAGCCGAGCTCCAAGTACAGGCCCGCGTCGCCGCGGAGCTGCGCAAGCTGCAGCAGCAGGAGGACGCGCGGCTCAGGGAGCTGACCGACAAGCTGGCGTCGGCGCCGACCGACGACAAGCCGTCGTCTACAACCCGCCACGAGGTGTCGAAGGAGGTGCAGGCGCTGCGGTCGAAGCTGGAGCAGAGGAAGGGCGTGCGCGAGGCGCCAGAGGCCGTCGAGGCGGCGCGCGGCGACGTCGTGCGCTGCCTGCGCGAGCACGACCGCCGGCCGCTGGACTGCTGGAGGGAGGTCGAGCGGTTCAAGGAGGAGGTGCGCCGGCTGGAGAAGGGCTGGGTTGAGAAGGTCATCTCGTGAGGGGGGGTGGAAAAGGCTACTTGCGGTTTTTCACATAGGGTGACGGGCGAATGTCGATGAGATAGAATATGCATCCAGGGCAGCGTGTATGATATGAGAGCTTTCCCTGACGCCTCTGCGGGAGAGAATAGAATCCGGCCCCGGGCCCAGGAACGACAATGGAAATTTGAGCAAAGCTGAAAGAGGTGTTGGTATTATGGTATTTGTTCTAGCGAGTCCAGGCCCGGAGTCTCATCAGCCTCGCTCTCTTGCTGTTTCTGTTGCTGTTCTTTGATCTTCCTAGCCTCCTCCGCCCTCTTCAAGCCCTCAAGCCTCTTCCTCTCCCTCCTGACCTCGGCGTCCTCCCAGTCGCCGCCGCCTTCTCCTTTCCTCCCCTTCCGCTTCTCCCCGGCCGTGGCCTCCTTCAGGTACGTCCTGAAGCGAGCAATCCGCCTCGTGTTCTCGGCAAACCTCTCGTTGGCGATCTTAACCAGAGCCCGGAGGTACTCCACAGACACGGTGCAGTGCTTGATCCCGTTCGTCTCCCGCCCGATCAGGCTCTCCAGACCCAGCCCCATTGAGCGGATCGCCACGATGGGTGTCGCTGATGCTGCGTCATATGTAGAGGAAGAGGCCGTTGGCGATGGGATGAGGTTGATGGCTCCGCTCTCACGGAAGCCAGCCTGTAGGCCACAGCGGAGTATGAGCTGGGCGTGTTGAGGCGACGCCGTGAGGACGTGTAAGATCTGGGAAGAAGTCAGTTGTAAGCATCCACTAGACAGACGTAGGACCGAGAAACGAATTCAAAGCATCCAAGGAAAGGACGAGGGGAACCATACCATAGGCTCAAACTTGAAATGGATCAACCTGCTCTCTCCCATCTCCTCCGCCGAACTACCATCCTTCCCGTCAAAGATGGGCTCCTCCATGCCCAGCAGCGCAGCCACGATATTGGGCTCGCTGTCCAGCTTGCCGTGCGACTCGACAGGCTCATGCGAGACAAACAGCCACCTGCCCCCGCCGCCCTTGCCGCCCACGCCCGCGACAGTCTCTGCCGAGGCTGACGGCGTGTCCTTATTACTACCACCATCGCCACCGCCAGACCTCACGCCACCACCCACAGTCGCACCATCCTCCACGTCCTCCCCGTCCCCTTCACCATCCACGACCGCCAGCGGGTGGCCCGGCAGCTGGTGGCTCTCGTCCGCGGCCGCGGGGCCGCCCCTGCCCGCCCTCCGGCCCTCGAGGAACACGCTGACCCGCCCGGCGCAGCTGCTGGTGGTGACGAGCCCGGCGAGCCCGTTGATCTCGTCGATCAGGTCCCTGATGCCCGCGTCGACCGTGCCCTTGGGGCTGAGGTCCGTGTACTCGTCGTCCGGGACCGCGAGCTGCGCCAGGATGGCCGCCTTGCGGCGGGCGAAGGACGGCGGTATGGGTGGTTCTGTTGGTGGTGGTGCCGCTGGGGATGCTGCTGGTGGTGCTGATGCTGACACGGTGACATGTGGAGTTGAGGGCGTGGGTTCTGTTTGAGCAGGCACCGGCTCTGGCTGTTGCTGGCCCCGAGGTGGCTGATGCATGATGGCGACGGGTGCTGTGTTGTCCTCGGTCTTCCTCTGAAAAGGAGACTGCTGCGTGGCAAGGGACGTTGAAAGGTTGTTTGACGGGTTGACAGCTGCATTTACGGAAGCTCCCGAGAGTACGAACGATGACGCTTCCTCCCTTTTAAGTTTCGGGCCTTAGAGCATGGCCGATCTATCGTCAAATTTTCTTTTCACAGTCTCGGGGGGTTTAGCTGAGGGGTGTCACGTGGGAATGATTTTCTCCCAAAGGGTCCCAAAGGGTGCTGAGTAAACGCCTCAAACGATTTGTATTCCTCTTTGGTGATCATATCACATGCCATTATTACTAGATACCAGATGTACGGTGTAATAAGGAGGGGTCCGTCATCGTACATTCGCGTTCGCCCTGCAGGGCGGGCGAGGGTGCTGTCCTGGGCTCAAAATGGTGCTTGCATTGTTCTCTTACTCATGAGGCGACACGCCTTCGGCCAGGTTCTGGGGTCGCTGGGACCGGATGATGTCAGGGTCCACAACCCCGTCTGTTCACAATCAAATGCTCATTGGGATGCATCAACACTATTGGACCCAGCGGTATAGAGTTTCCAAGTCCTTGTTTGACAGCATGGGGGTCTCAACGGTTCATTCTCGATGCCCAATATCGATCGAGTTGCTGGCGAACCACATTTCGCCCAGCCATTCGGCATCGCACTCGTAGGACCTGCTGAGCACACCACATCCGGCCGGCCTACCCCATCCACGGTCGCATATCACATTTGAAGTCCGCCAATAGTCTCGTCTATCAGAATTAGCAATCTTCGATCGAGGTCTGCCCGATCTTAGGGGGGTATTTGAGGTTGTGATTTCGCTACCATATAACGAGCTATATTGAACCGTGGTCACTCGACCAAGCAGCTCAGCTTCGTCTATCTCAGAGTCTCGGGCCATATCCTTCTTTTCCCCAGCAAGTCAACCAGACACAGAAAGTCCATCCCACATCTCGTCGCCTGCCAGAAACCCAGGCCCATCCACGTTGCATGAATGACGCCCGGACATCAAAAATATGTTCCCTGACCGTGAGAACCATCCCAGTGTAGCTGCCCTCTCGTCTCTTCTCCCATCTCGTCCCAGGAGGTTGTGTCGAAAGTCTTCCCATTGCCAGAAAGTATCCTCCGCTCCTAGAACGCCCGGTATAGCCTCTGTCCACTTGGACAACAAAAAGAGACCCATCGGGGCTCGGCCTTCCTCTTGTCTTATCCCTTCCCTTCCTTTCCTGACTCCGTTTTGTGACCTTCGTCTCTACATGACATTCGATTTGTCCAGCCGTGGCATGGTCAATACATGATTCTCTATTCGCTTTGCCTCCTGGTCTGGAATAATGAGGAGGGTCTCTTCGAATAGGCAAGATAACAAAAGCAGCAGTAGCTTCCAAAGTGTTGTAAGTGTAGTGTCATGGGGTATTTGGGGGTTGAGTTTCGACTCCAGTCACAGGCGCATGGACTTGTATACACATGCCGCCCGTGTCCGTTGGTGTCAATTGTGATGTGATGATTGTTTGGGGGGGATCGCATGATGCTGCATTCTTCTGCTCGGCTGAGACTCCTTGCCTCGTGTGCTCACCCGAGAGCAGAGGAGCAAAAGCCAGTTGTGTCGTGCTCATTGATCGTGAGGCAGTCATTAAAAAGGCGAAAGTGATGAGAAACAGGGGGTAGTGCGCTAGTATGGGAGCGCAGCTCACGTCGCCATGGTGTTGGCGGTGCCACCGACTTGACGCTTGACCTGTTCGCGAGCCCAGCGAGCTGTCTCGATAGTGCGAGATTGGAACTCGCGGTTGGCCCGAGTCTCTTTGATCATGGTAGCGACCCAGTCCTGGCGGAAGGCCTCGACCAGCTCTCCATTGGGGTACGCGTCCGCAAGATCGCCGATAACGCCCATGGACGCCCGCATCAGAGCCTCGCTGCGGTTCATGTCGTTGGCGATGATGTTCAACAGCTGGAAGATTGAGGCAACATGTTCTTGGAGTATTTGAGCTGCGAAATCAGGGTCAGCACTAGCCTGGGGTGGTCAAGGAATGTAAAATCACTTACTCTTCGAGCTGGTCTTCATAGCACCAATAATACCGCCCCAAGCATCCATAATGCCCTCCCGCAGAGAGATGACATAGTCGTACATCTCGTAGCTGCCCTCGGGACTGGCAGTAACAGTCGCTGCTTGTTGAAGGACTTGAGCTACGACAGACAAATACTTCTCGAAATGGCCGCCAATGGCACTTGCGATGTCGCCAAAGCATTGCAGAATAGCGGGCTTGAATTGATTGGACAGAGCCGTTGATCTCAGGTTGTTGAGCAGGTAGTTCATGAAGCTGTCGCAGTATGGTGCGCTCTGCTCTCCCATCGATCGGGTGATGTCGCTCACAAGACCGATAGCCATGGAGCACAAGCTTGGCTCTTCCTGGTTGCCCAGCGCGTTGTAAAGGAATGGCGTGAAGGCATCCATGTACTTGACGAAGTCCTCCTCCATGGCGTTAGAAAGCGCGCTGATGGCCGCGAAGGCAGCCTCGGGCACACTGGACTTGGCACCGGCAGAGCTCAGGATCTGGAGGAGGATCTGCATGATCCGGTCACCCTGAGGGACAATCTCCTTGTCCAGGCGCTGAACGATTGCCTGGAGCACGGAGCAAAGACTTGTCTGCATGTCCTCGAGAGTGATCTTGTCCTCGACGCTGACGACCTGGGTCTGCATGGGAATCGTGTTCTCCAGGCGCTCAAGGATGACGGTGGAGAGCTGTGCAACTGACTGCACAGAGTCCTGAGCTGCGTTCTGAACGAAGATGTTGAGAACTTCGTAGGTCGCCGTACGGACCGTGTTGTCGCAATCCGGTCGGGCAGTGACGGTCAGAAGGGACTGGATGCTGTCGTTGAAGTGTCCAGTGAGGGGGTTGCTCTGTGTGCCAGGCTCGCCGGCGAAGCGCTCAGCCAGGTTCATGAGCGCCCAGCAACATGAAGGAGCCATCTTGGGGTTGGTCTGCAGACCGGAGAAGAGAGATCGAATCAGAGGGTCCAGGTGCGTGGCGGGATCGATGGCCTCTGAGCACGCCTCAGTAATGCGGCCGAGAGCATAAGCTGTCGAGTCCCGAACATGCACAGATGAGTCCTCCATCATCTGAATAAGAATCTGCAGGGCAGACTTCACTATTGGCTCAAGCACCTTCTCATCAGGTCCCTCCATGATGGCGCCAAAAGCAGAAACTGCAGCATCTCGGTTGTGCCAGTCATCTGAGCGCAGGTTGCCCTCCACAAATGCGATCACGGGTGGGATAATGGTTGCCTGCACTGCTTGAGCGTAAAGCTGCAGGCACTGATAAGCAGCACGAGAAATGTTGTACTCATCATCAGCTGCATCCTCATCCTGCTTTGTGAGCAGGTTTAGCAGGACTGGCACCACCTCGTTAGTCGCGACGCGAGCGAAGTTGTAAAAAGGTCGCATTTGATCCGAGCTGTCGACCTGGGAGGATATCAGTTTCGACACAATTCCTACCGAACATGGGGGATTCCTAGCTTACCTGTGCGTTATCATCCTCAATTGCAATCTCCTCCTCGCAGACGGTGCTCCAGAACTCCACGGCAAGCTTGGCGACATCCTCATCCTCGCTCTTCATGCCGAGGATGGTCAGACCAAATAGCGCCTTCTCCATGTAGAAACGCATCTTGTCGTAGTAGAGGGCCATAATCCGGTTAAGACAGCCAAAGGCACCCTGCTGTATCCGGTTGTCCGAGGCTTGGGTGGCCTCGCACACTACCTGCATGATGTAATTCCGTTCGCCCTCGTGCTTAAAGTTGTTCTCGACGAACTCAAGAGAATCACCCAGAGCGGTAATAGCGGCCAGCCGAATCTCGCTGTTCGTCTCCTCCTTCCGAGCACCCTGCACGACGGCGGTCAAGATGGCGTTCGAGTGACCGACCAGAGCGGCTCGCAGATCGGCATCTTGGCTCTCGCAAATGAAACCGATGGTTGTCAGGGAGGCTTGCTTCTGGTGTGGGTTGCCCTCGCTAACGCTCCGGACCAGCACGCCCATGAGATCCGCCCACTGGTTACGGGGGAGCTCGATGGCTGCGATGGAGGCAACGACCTGGGCAGCGGCCTGGCCGGCCTGGGAGTTACTGGACGACAATGTCTGGACGGCCAGATCCTTGACGCGTGTCTTTGTCTCATCGTCGGTTTGCTGGAGCCATTTTTGTTGTAATGTTGCTTGTCGTGCGAATTCTCTAGCAGTGAATGCGTTCTTCAAGGCGATACCGGCGGCGGCTCGAATGGGGCCTTCTGCGTTCTCATCTGCCAATGCTTGTACGAGGGTTGCGAGGTAGAGTGACTAAGTGAGGGGCATATGGTTAGTGACGGTTGTCACCGAAGCGCACACAGACGCGGTGGGGTGGGGGGTTTAGAGGGCGGTTTTTCTCACAAAATTGTTCTCGGCGGCCTGGGTAAGCTGTTGCTCGGCAGCATTTCGAAGGTTCGCGTCTGTGAGGTAGTCAGTAGGGCTGTCGTCTGTGGGCGCATCGCATCGTGACGCGACGGGACGGGACGTGGTGTGTGCACAGCCTGAGCGAGGTGGACAGGCAGCCGGGAGGACTCACCGGGAGAGAGCGAGTTCAAAAGCACCTCGTTGATCTGAGGAGCCCCTTCCGCCATGATTGCGGGTTTTCAAGAGGTTGATTTGTGTGTAGGACGGATTGCAGAGGGGTGTAGAGGTCGGTGTGGGTTGCCTGGGGGGAAGAAAAACATGAGTTTGTTGGTCGTAATAATTTGTTAGTGGTAGCGGGGAGGTTGAGGGTGCGGCTCGCATCACATTCACAGGCTTATTTCCTCGACTGGATGTAGGCTAGCAGGTGTGTACACAGTAGGTGCTGGACCGGGTATGTGGGAAAGGCAAGGTTCCTGAATCGAAACTTCGGCCGATCAACCCCTCCGCCTGGAGCTTGCACCGCACATTACGTACCGGAGACTTGGTCCAAACAACGACTATTTGATGCCCAAACGGCTCAGCTCTGCGCTGCAGACAGACCAGGGAAACGGGGGCTGAATCACGCTTTCTTCTGGCCCTCCTCACCGTGCTGGAGATGTTCCAGGCTGCACGAGCCTTGTCAAGCTGGCTGCTGATTGCTTTGGAGGGTTACAAAGGAGCGTGGGAGGTGGAGGGTCCAGCAAGGGCAGGCCGTCCTTCTACTTTTAAGTCTCGTCTGTCCGCGTAGTGCTGTGGGTTTTAAAGTCGCGTCCAAAACCGATCGTCGAGGACTCTAGGAGAAGCAGTTCAAGTAGCCGCCAGACAAGTTGGATTCTTTCTTTTCGTCAGAGAGGGGCGAATTGTGCGAAAAGGTGGGAGTCGAGGAGGAATGCGGAATTTGGCGGTGTTGACATCGTTCTGCGGTTGCCGTCTGCAGCCTTGGATCCAAGGGCCCGCTTGTAGAGTTAGCGCCCTTGTCCCTCTCGTGCCTCCTGCGTTTTTCATTCGCTCACCCGCGTCCCACATGCAGGATATGCAGGGTATGCAGGGTGCTCTCCTCGCCTAAGTCCCCCAAGCAGCCAGAAGCCAGCAGCCAAGCAGCCACACCTGCTGTCAGGGTTAGGTATCTTCTCTGAAGGATTGCTCCCATGCGCACTAGCAGACTGCAGGCAGAGAGGCTTCGGGGCTTCCCCTCTGCTACCTAGGCTATCTACGGCACTGTAGCTATCTCGCTAGGTAGAATTCATGTGCCGCATGGAAGAGACGAGAATCACCCAGCCCCCTGAGAGATGCATCTGATTTGCTGTGTTAATAAGCGAGCATCTTGGATATCTGCAAGGTTATTGGGGCCGGTCCTGGTCCTGGTCCTAGTTGCCCGCCCCAGATATCTGAGTGAGCCTGACGATAATGACTTATGCGTTTCTTTCGACACGCATCAGGATGGGGCCATCAAGAAGTATGCTCTATTCAAAGACAGAGCGCAAGAATACAACATGCCGACAGAGTTGCTCACGAAGGAACTGATATCGTTGTTTCAGATCACTGAAATACGCAAGCCGGCGTGAGAGCACTTCCAAAAACGGGAAATGCTTAGTCTCCTTACCTCCTCGGCCAGAGATGTCGGTGTCCGTTTCAAGCATCAGCGACGAATGTAGACGACTTATGTAGACGACTTCAAACAGCCATGTTTCACCGATTGATATTCCCATAACAGTTGTCTTAGTTTCAGTCCAATATCATCGCATTCAACTTTTCCTAGTCCCTATAATTATGCATCTCACCTTGCCCTAAATACTATCTACAAGTATGCTGACATCTTTCGATACGCCCGATATCAACCTTCCTTATTCTGGATGGTGATATGATGAGAGGGGGTCATGTTCCAACCAGATGCAAACTTTTTTATGCCAAACATTCCTCGGTGCTATCAAAAAGCGAGCTCAAATTCTCCTCACGTCAATAGTTTCCGTTGGTCTGGCAGAGATGGATGGACCCATCTACATCTCATCCGCAGCAGACTCCAGGCGGTTGATAATGTCCGCTCCATTAGCCTTGCCATTGCCCTCGATTTGCTTGTCGCTCAGGTTCCTCAAGATAGGACTGCTGGGACGAGACAAAACGAACTATAGAGACGAGGGGGGATCGTGTCAGCCAGAGACCAAATCCAATTCATCAGAGACGGGGCTTAAACAGTCTGAGAACTTTCAACGGCAAGGGGCTGGGGCTTGGGCTTGGGCTTGGGTTGGGACCGCTCTGGAGGTCACTCACGTTACTAGCCGCGCTCAGCAGCGCCATCAGCGAGCTCTGTACGACATCCTCGTGGATGCCCACACCCCACACCTTGGTCTGGGTTGACCCGGAAGCCGTGCATTCTATGTACGTCGCAGCCTTGACGTCGCGGCCCTTGCCAACGGCGTGCTCCTTGTAGTCGTTCACGTCAATGTCTACACCGACGCTGCGCAGGGCATCCGACAGGGACGACAGCGGGCCGTTACCCCGGCCGCGCAGCTTGTATTCCTTGCCGTCGACGGAGAGGACACCCTCAAACACACGGGGCAGGGACATGGTGTCGGGCGTCTTGCCTGGCTCGGGAGGCGCAGGGCTACGCGACCGGTCGGGCGAGATGCTGTAATCCACGATTGTGAATCGAGGGTTGTCGCGCAGGAAGTATGTCTTCTCGAACAGCTCCGTAATCTCAACGGGCAGGAGCTCGCGGCTGCGGTCCTCGGCCGCCTTCTGCACGACTCGGCTGAAGTCGACCTGGAGACCGCGAGGCAGGTCGAGGTGCAGGTGTTGTTGGATGATCCACGCGGCGCCGCCCTTGCCACTCTGCGAGTTGACACGGATGACGGCCTGGTAGTCGCGACCGATGTCCTTGGGATCCAGGGGCAGGTAAGGAACCTGCCAGCGGTCGTCGTACTCGGCACCAGCCTTGTCCCGGGCCTGGAAACCCTTCTTGATGGCGTCCTGGTGAGAGCCACTGAAAGCGCAGACGACCAAGGAACCGCCATATGGAGCGCGAGGATGTACAGGGATCTTGTTGCACACCTCAACCGTCCTAATAACTTGCTGCAAGTCGGAAAAGTCAATTTTTGGATTGACGCCTTGCGTATAGAGATTCAGGGCCAGGGTGACCAGGTCCACGTTGCCAGTGCGCTCTCCGTTTCCGAACAGACAGCCTTCCACTCGGTCCGCACCAGCCATCTGTGCCAATTCCGCCGCGGCGACCGCACAACCGCGGTCATTGTGAGGGTGAAGAGATACACAGACTGTCTCGCGCTGTGTGATATTTCTGCAGAAATACTCGATCTGGTCGGCGTAGACATTGGGCGTAGACATCTCGACCGTGGCAGGCAGGTTGAAGATGATTGGATTCTTCTCGGTGGGCTCCCACTCGCTCTTGACCGCCTCGCAGATCTTGACCGCAAAGTCCAATCCAGTATCACTGAACGTCTCGGGACTGAACTCGAATGCCCAGTCGGTGCCCTGTTGCGAGGGGTCGTCCTTGGTGAGCTGGCGGACCAGACGGGTGCACTTTTTGGCCAGCTCGAGACTCTCCTCCTCGGTGAAGCCGAAGACTATGCGCCGGAAGCACTCGCTTGTGGCGAGATAAATGTGTACTATAGCCTTCTTGGCGCCCTTCAGAGACTCGACCGTTCTGCGAATGAGGTCCTCACGGCAGGGCGACAGGACTTGCAGGTAGACATCGTCGGGCACGGCGCCAGGGGTCTCAATCAGGCGGCGAGTGAAGTCGAAGTCGGTTTGCGAGGCGGAAGGGAAGGAGACTTCGATCTCCTTGTAACCCAGGTCGCACAGCATCTTGAAATAGTCCCATTTCTCATCGCCGTTCTGGAAAGGCCATTGCTTAGCGAGGAGCACCAATTGGGCATGCCAGAATCCGAGAACGTACCATTGGGTCTACCAGACTTTGGTTCCCGTCTCTGAGATCCGTTGCCAGCCATCTAGGAGCCTTGTCGATGGTCTTGGAGGGCCATTGTCGGTTTGGCAGGTTGACTGTTGGGAACGACCTGTATTTCTTGGAGGGGTCTTTGAGCCTGCAGCGACAAAGCGTACGAGACAATGCTTAGCTAGCCGTTCGTGTTCAAGAACAAGAGAATACGACATGCTCAATCATGCGACGAGGACTTACATAGGCATTTTGACGTGCCGAGTGAGGATGGTGCCTCGTTCTTGCTTCTGGTGACAATTTGGGACGGCAGAAAGTGAGGGGCACTTTTCACTTTTTTGGAGGGGCCGAGTTGGGGGAGTGAGAGTCTTGATTTGGACTGTCTCTCTAGAAGCTGCCCTAGTAATGACCGCTTGGCAATTGGCAGGCTAGAGTATGGTGTGTGGAAGCTTTCTCTGTAGTACCAAGAAACTTGGTAGTTTAAATATGGCAGAGTAAGGGGAAGTTTGAGTCAACAATTGAGTCACCTCTGCGATGAAAGAACATCATCGCGATGCTGCTGCTACAACCCTGCCCGATGTCGTCCAATTTTCTGGGGTAGACCAATGCTACGCACCGCTGCGACAGGGGTCTCGCTGACATCGACCTCCCGCAAAAGACTGTGCGCCAGTGCGCGTGAGCCTGGGCCTGGGCTTGCGCGAGTTCGGCGTCTTTCTTTTTCGTGAGGATGAAGCAGGGAAATAATCCTTGGCAAGATGTTCTCGAGCCGTTTTAACAGCCCGCACAGATGTGATGTGACGCTACTTCTAGAGCATACACACCAACTCGTCCCTTCCTGTAGGATATATGTCCGAGTCCATGGGATCGATGGCCCTTCTTGAAAGTCTGAACGCCCCAGTTCCCAAATTCCTCAAGTACACCAATCCCCTCGAAGTGTGACCAATTCTCGCAGGCCCCATCCTCTTACAAGTCACATGGCTTTTGAAGTTGTACGTGGGGAAGCCCTCAACTGTCTAATAGCAATGCACTGATCCACTTACTACGTAAAGGGCGGCCAGTCTAAGGCAAAGACATATTCAGCCCTCCACATCTTTCCGCTGGAAGCCGAGCGTTCGTTGTCGGCCGGGCCGGTGTACAAAATGCCCCCTTATCGGAACACACTTTACCGCGGGAAGTAGCAGTTGGACCAACACAATCGGTTGGAGCACTTTGCTTGTTGCCACCACTTGCAGCGCAGGTCTCTCTCGTGAGCGCAGCATATGGGCGCAACTGTCATTATCTTGTGATTGCTCAAGCTATCTTTCCGTGCATGTGTGCCTCCGTTCATTCATTGCTCCACCGACCCAATTCAGATTGGGATTTAAAGACATTACCTGGGTTTTTATTGCTCGCTTAGTCGCCCTTTTCCCCGATGCTTTTCTCAGAATCAGTCTGCCTACAAGCCTCCCATAGTCTTTTAAAAGTGGTATACCGAAAAATTTTGATCTGACCGCGGAATGGGTCAGTACCCGTACATTCCTGCACCTGTGCCAACCCAACCGTGCACGGTCGGTGCTCCATCGATGTAGAACTGCAATTCATTCTCATATCCGTCGTTGCCAGGCATGGCCGTGCCTGGCTGCCCGTAGTAGCCAGCTTGGTTTGCAGCGAGGCTGGGATCGTATGCCTGGCCTGCGCCTGCTGCTGCCATGTTTGCTCCTTGGTGGGAATCAAATGCCTCGAGAAGAAGTCCCAGGCCGTCGGTCGCGGGCCGATCTCCAAGCTGCTGCTGCGGCATCCCGGCCATGGCTTGCGCTGCCTGCGTCTGCTGGGACATCCGCATGCTCGGGTCGATGTACATCATCGGCGTGGGCACCTGGGGTGGCGCTTGCATGACAGCGTTGTTGGGTGTTTCGCCGTTTCGGCCTTGCTGGCTGCCACCATCCTGGGTGGCTGTTTGGTTCGTCCCGGTGCCGTTTCTGGAAGGAGGCCGCGCCGGTGCTGCTTGTAGAGCCTCAGGTACAGGATCACGCTGGGTGGGCGTTAGCAGGTCAGATTCGCAAGTGACAGTCAAACAGGGGGCTGCAACGTTTTCTAGAAGTTGGGTGACACGCACGCTGTCGTCCATGCTTCCCTCTATGCCAGGTATGGCACCCTTATTATCACGATAGAACTTCTCCAGGTTTTCGAGCCATCGAGCAGCTAATGGCCACACCTGGGATGCTTCCGTGAGAATCTGCATAGCCCGTTGGAGCATGATAGGTCCATCGCGACTGATCATGGGATCCGGACAGACTAGGTCGATGTTAGCTAAATTGCAACCCTCTCGATGTCAATGCTAGGCCTGACGGGGCATACCATTGGGGTATTTGCACAGATATGTAGCCATGTGGCCACAGCTGAAAACGCAGAACAACTGCAACAAATTAGCCGGGGCAACAAATAGATTGCGCCTGTATCGGAATTACGCACCGCCATCTGAGCGCCGAGGCTGTCGTCAGCCGCCCTCTCCATGAATTGCGTCTCTATCTGCTCATACAAGAGCTTCACATTCTTGAAGAGTTCTAGTGACATGTTGGACCAAAAAGTCTGCATCTGAGGTTCCAACTGATCAAGATTTATCATCCTGCGTCCTGGTTAGAATAAGTCAACCCAATAATAGATGCTGTTGGCCGACGTACTCGCTCAAATAAGCCTTTCGCAAAACAATGTTGCACAATCGGGTTGAGTTGGTGATGCTCAGGTATGCCTGCGATAAAAGATTAACACACTGCCCATTCAACGACATCGTGCAGCTTACCAGGTCTTGTCCCCCAGCCTTGTAGCCCTTAAGCAGGACAGGGCTCCACATATGCTCGTGTGGTAGATTGCTTTCCCACTCGTGAAGCTTGGCGACTAGCTCTGCATACTCGCTCGTGTCTTCCCAGGGTCGGGAGCTCCTATCATACTTGACCGCCCTGCGGGAGACCCGGCCCCAGAAGTAGTGCGTCTGGATCAACGTTGCGAAGAGGGATCGCCTTGGGTCGGATATTAACTTGGGATTCCCAAGTGCAGGAGGCGTGTCCTCGAGGGCTGCCCGAGATGGTGGTTCCTGGCCCCTGGCAAAGTCCTCCTCGCTACATGGAAGAAGAGCTGTGATGTCATTGGCGGCGAGAGAGACAGGAGACTCGGGGCCAGAATGGAGATTGTCTTGGCCTAGAAGATGGTTGGTAAGATGAAGCTCAATAGGCATGAAGATGGGACGGCTCACTGTGTAGCATCCATAGCGTCCGACGTGCCGACTCAGCAGCGATGACCATTTCCTTCGATGGGTTCTGAAGCGCATACGTCTCTTCTCGGTGCAGCCGCATCAAGGCGGCCATCCGCATGGCAATGCCCATGTTGATCTTGATGATAGTTAGCGATGCCAACCTCTCCCCCAAAACTTGTGTGTAAGTATTAGTAACATACGTAGCTCTTGTTTTTCATCCCACTGCCTTGTTGGGCGATGCTGAGCAGGTAGAAAGCCTGACACCTCTCCAGGCTGGGCACTTGGTAGAGCTCGGACAACGCCACCGCTGTTGCCCTGTCCATAAAGGTCTCGGCAGCCTTCATACCGCCCCCGTACCGTTCCACAAGAGATGGGGTGAAGCGCGCTGATATGCTCAGGATACTAAGCAAGAGGAAAACGCTGATGGATCGAGAGTCGGTCCGCAAGCGCTCGGGAAAGGCTTGCTTGGGGATGAAACCCAGCTGGAAGTAATTCCGAGTGAACTGGTTGACGGCCTCGATGGTGTCGGGCAGCGTGGGCAGGTAGTCCCACTCGTCGACGCCCTTGATGCTCTTCAGCGACGCGGGCGAGGGGATGACGGGCGCGTCGAGGATATCACGACGCATCTTGGCCGAGTCCCTCTTTTGGGCCTTGTCGGCCCGCATGCGCGGGTGACGGTATTCGCGGTCATTGTCGGGTTGGCCACGCACGGGGAATATGCTGATGGACAGCCACTCATCAGTACGAGGAGCAATATCAAAGTGTGGCGTGCGGCTCTTCGGCCGGCACGGTGCCGAGCAAGCAGTTTCGGTATTGTATGAGATGGCAGTGGAGGGATGATGACATACCAGTCTGCGGCACTGAGGCCAGCCTCCTTACAGGCTATGCATGGTGGCTTCGCTTTCTCGTGCAGGCATTTACTTCTCATGCGGCGACATCTACAGGAGGAGAGGGCTAGAGTCAGCACAGGCACGCAACGACGGGCGACAGTCGCGGCAAGGCAAAGGCAGGGCAAGGCAAGGCAAGGCAAGGCAAGGCAAGGCAAGGCAAGGTAAGGCGCGTGTGTTCGTGGCGTTGACCCACCTCCGGCAAGCAATTGGGGAGCGTCGCTTGATGACGGGCGCAGGCCCAGACGAAGGCGCGGGCGCCGAGGTGGCGGCAGGCGATGGCAGGCTCAGGTCGGTGCCCACAGTCTGTATGGGTTTCGTGTCTGTGAAATCCATGGGGAGCTGTTCCTCACGACTCGAAGTCGGAATGGATCTTGGTCGAGGTCGAGTTGCTGTTGCTGTCGCGGCGGCAGGCAGTTTGGCAGTCGCCACAAGACCTCGGGAAGGGAAAAAACGGGCTAGAGGGATGGCTCGGTAAGCAGACAGGCACGACAGGGCAGGCTGGCGGGCTGGCAGGGCGGGCCCTCTGGCACAGGGCGGGCAGATGGGCGGGCAGGGCGGAGGTGGACCTCTGGGCTGTGGGCTGGTCTGGCTTCCAAGCTTGTCTGGGGCCTTGTCTGGCTGTGGACTGTGGAGCCTGGCGAGCACTAACGTCGATCTGGCTGACGGCTTGTTGTGAATCTCCCGTTGGGGCTAGAACTGGGCGGAAGCGAGACGACGACAGGCTGACAGGGTATCCGCAGACGCAGCAAGTGAGACTTCCAAGGTTGGCTCGATGGAAAGCTTGTCACCTTGTCGCAGCTTGTCAGCTTGTCAGAGGGGTCTGAAAAGGTCTGGAATTTCACCCATCGCACCCTCCCCGAGGAGATGAGTTGGATTGGATGTCTCGGAAGCGACGCTGCCCGCTTGCCCGCTGCCCGCTTTGCCCTTGCCCGCGCTGCCCAACAACATTAAGCACTCAATTCGTCTGGTGGCGGCGGCCTTCGTCCCTAGCTCGGCACCTCTTTGGGCTGCCACCTGCTTGGCTGCTGAGATGAGATAAACTGATAACCTTCCCCTCCTCCTCACAAATCACAAAACCCCCATCTCTCCCATCGGCCTTCTTAGCGGGACCTCCCCCCAAAACTTCCAGGGTCCGAGGCACCCATCTATCTGGGGAGAGCGAGCCCACCATACACGTACATACACATCATACAACCTAGTCTATAGCCTACAACTCAAGTCGTCAACGACCTTACCCGCGTGTACCGTGCCAAACTGTCTGCCTGTCTGTCTGCCTGTGTGCTGCTGCTGTCTGCCGTCTCCTGTCTGCTGTCTGCTATCTATCTGCCCAGGCAGGCTGTATTACCTCACTCCTCAACCGGAGGACAAATTCCCCCCTCAATGCCCTGCCCTTCCCTCTGGAGCAAACACCCCGCACTGAAACAGTTCCCGAGACCGCATGCCGGAGGTGCAAGCTCCAATCTGGCAGACCTCCAGGCTCCATATCGGTCACCAAATACCCAACGGCACAACTGCCGAGCCCATCATTGCCTAAAACTGTTTCGTCCTCATCGAAGCCCAACAGCCTCGCCATGGGCTCGGTGGACGCAGTCGTCCCGTCCAGAATCCTCCGGTCTACAAAGGCTGTCCACCTTCAGACCATCACAGAAAAAATATAAAGAAAAGAATTTGAACGAAACTTCATCTTGTGTTACCGTTCTCCTGTTCACCGACACGCGATCCACTTCCAAGCTCCTCAAGCTCGGTTCCAACCGTATAAGACATACCATCCTTGCCACCACTGCCAGGTTGTGTCAACATTACGAGATATCGCGGCACTGCTGGGACCAACCAGCTTGTTCCGTCCGCCTGGCCACAGGAATATCGCCCGTCCCAGACAATCACAGTCCCTCTATCCCAGGTCCAGGTCCATGTCCAGGTTCAGGAATGTCCCGAGGAGCCTTTCTCCCACTATCCGCCTCCACGTCCACGTCCGCTTGTCCTAGGTCCCACCATCCACATTCAGCCAACCATCCATACTCCACTGTCTGAATCCTACTGTGAAGATACCACTGGCCTGACCTGAGCTGGTCTGACTTGAACTGGTCTGACTTGAACTGGCCTGACCTGGACTGGCCTGATTTTGAAGTGCCTGTGTGGTATCGTGCTGCCTCCTGTTACCGGGACCTGGCTGCCTCGTGCCGAAGGCGCACACACATACGCACACCACACACCACATCCGCTGCCCTAGCCATCCATGCGCCATGAGGCGACCCCGGATGGAGGAGATGGAGGGTGGGAAGGGCCAAGTCATTGCCCTCCGCTGTGCTCAGCCTGCTGCCAGCTGTCTGTCAGCTCTCGTTTCCAGACCGACTATCTGATGTCTGTCGGCACGTGGTTGCATCGGATCCCCAAGCGCTGCCCGGCTCGCAAGCCCAACGGCCCGGGCAGCCATGCCTCGCCCTGCTCGCCCGGACTCGTGTGTGCGAAGGTGTGCTCTCCATCCCTTGGCACCCGCAGAGGTCACCAATACCCGGCCGTCTCACATTGTCTCCAAGGAGCCCGTTGTCACATGAGGCCGTGACTAGACCGCGGACATGACTCTCTTGCTCGCTGCTCTTCCGCCTCCTATGCTATGCTTTCACAGCTAATGCTGGTTACAGTTTCCGATATTTCAAGGTCACATCCATGAAACAAAGACCGCGATTTGCTCTTTACTAGGGGAAGTACATGATTCATCCACTGCCTTTTGACAAGCTTCGAGAACTTTTCCACGGCCTTCTCCCGTGCAGTGCAACACTTCCCTGGATGGATCATCGTTGGGCCAGCGCAACACTGCATCGAAAAGATTGGGCCACCCTGCAGCACGCCTTCACCAACATGGTTAGCCTCCTGTCAACCACGGGGAATCCACGCCTTGGAAATGCGGCCCCAAACTTAATGGGGGAAAACTGAAGGAAATCTCTACAACAAGCTTGCTCGAGGACCGGACTGCGGATCCGCGAACCTCTGCGTCCTGGTGCCCTTACAGGCTCTGATCGCAGATTGCAGAATGCAGGAGGCAAGCTCGGCAGTCCGTCCGCTGCACCAGTGTGAGGGGCTTTTGTGTCAACGGCAGGGAACTCTCAAGTGAGGCCCTCCCCCTTGCCTGGCGCCACTGCCCAAGTCTGTTTGCTACTATTGTATTATGGCGGACCCAGGTGACGAACTTGCCGCTGTCAGGAGGAGATAACTGCCCAACAGGAGGCAAGCCAAGTCAAAGCTGACCGCTTCATGGCTTTGTGACGACCAAGTCAGATATCTCCCCACACCTCCCTCTTGTCGTGAGCACTATGGACCTGCGACTTTTCATAGGCCTTCCACGTCGGCGTCAAGTAGTACGCTGATGATGAGTCAAAACACCTTCACTCGGCCACTGGTCCCGCTTATTGAGTTGTACGTTCAGCTGCATAATCACTGGGTCGAGCCTTCCGCGAGTAAGGTCAGCAAGTCCAGTTTTCTTACGACATGAATCAGTAGATAATACTCATAGGCATCCCTCGAGTTCAATATGCCTTCTTCTATCCAGAGTCTGGATCCATGGTTGTTGTTCCCTATCCTCTTCTCGCCCCATCAACCCGAGGTCAAGATGTTGCTGCAAACTGGCCCGACGAACGACCTCAAGGTCGCCCTGGGCGCCACTCTTGTCTTGCTCTTGATCTGGTTGTCCTCCACTATCTACTACCGCAAACGGCTCTCATATCCGCTGCCCCCTGGGCCACCGGGAAAGTTCCTAGTTGGGAACCTGGGCAGTCTTAGCGACCACCCGGAGCTGGACTACGAACGATGGGGGAAGGAGTACAGTAAGTTCCCGAGGAACATACTCGGCCACTCAGCAAAGTATGCCTGGATAGCCGGCTGAGACCTCTTTAGATTCCGATGTTGTTCATGTTACTGTCCTAGGACAGCACATGATATGCCTCAACAGTGTCAAGGCGGCTACAGACCTCCTCGACCGCCGTGGGGCCAACTACTGTGACAGGCCTCGCTTCACTCTGTTCGAAGTGTGGGTAGAAACGAGCCACCGAGTTCATGATCAGGACATAGTACTAATGACCATGGATAGGATGGGCTGGGGCCTGACGCTTACCTTTCTCCGCTGGGGTCCGCAGTTTAAACTTCACCGACGCCTCTTCCAGCACACCTTCACACAGTCCGCCGTCAAGACCTTTCGGCCGATGCAAACCCACGAAGCCCGCAAAGCCGTACGCTCCCTTCTCGCTAGTCCCCAGGAATGGCGCGACACTGCCCTCCTTCTTACCACTAGCGTCATTTTCCGCATCGCCTACGGCCAGGAGATCAAAGACAAGGACTCGCCCTACACGGCCATGGCTCACGCCGCTAACAAAGTAACCACCAACGGCGGGATAGCAGGCTCTTCGGTCGTGGACCTGTTCCCACCAGCGAGGTACTTTCTGCCTTCGAGTCTCTCTGCCCCGTTGCGGCATGCTAGGGAAAGCAGAGGTGCCATCAAGACGATTCACGAGGTTCCATGGGCGGACAGTATGCGCGACATTGAGGCCGGAAATGCCTCCCCCTCATTCATGAAGTTACACTGGGAGCGTTTCGTCGCCAATCAGAAGGCCGGCATCTGGCAGGAGACCACCGTCGCTGACCTCAAGGGCGCAACCGCCGCGGTGTTCATCGCCGGCGGGAACAGCACCTGGGGCACTGTGCTCAGCGCCATGCTGTTCCTCACTAAATACCCTGACGTTCAACAGCGCGTCAAGCAGGAAATCGACGACGTGGTCGGCGCTGGCTGCCTACCGACGTTCGACGATAGGCCAAAACTCGAATATTTCAACCGCTTCATGAACGAGGTCATGCGCGCCCTGCCGCTGAACCCGCTGGTCATCCCCCACCAGAGCATCAAGGACGACGTCTACAACGGCATGCTCATCCCCGGGGGCTCCGTCATGTTCGCCAACACTAAGGCGATGTGCTCCGACCCCACCACCTACCGCGATCCGGAGAAGTTCGACCCAGATCGCTACGAACGGGGCGAACCCTACCCTGTCGGCAACTTCGGCTTCGGGAGGCGGAAGTGCCCCGGCAACCACCTCGCCACCGCGACCGTCTTCATCTTCATCGCGACGATGCTGGCGACGTTCGACCTGGACAAGGTTATAGGGCCAGACGGAAAGATGATTGAGCCTGAGGCTACGCTGACGGTGGGGCTCGGTGGCCACCCGGCGCCCTTTGAGTTGCAGTTACGAGTGAGGAGTGAAGAGAGGGCGAGGCTGCTCAGAGAGGAGGACAACATGGGCATGAGACCGGAGGAAAAGTGATTTTTGTTTTTCTTTTTCTGTCTTTTTACTATAACGACAACTGATGACTTACGACTTGCATATCCACTCGCATGACCTTGCATGCTTGCATTCATGATACCGCATTTAGACCTAGACCATGGAGATTGGGGGATGAGGATAGGAAATGGGAGCATGGGAATGGGGATGGGGATGGCATCTTTCCCTTTCAATAGACATAGAAACAAACTCGCAGGGCTTTTGCAAAATCAACGGAGTATTGGGGATTGTATTGGATTTCATGCTATGGTGGTTGGATTCTATGTATTCGTCGATCAATCTATCTATGTGATTTACCCAAAGAGCCTCCCTCACCTACACCTGTGCATATTCTTCTCCACGTCACGACGTAAAGTCATGATCATGATGAAAAAAAATCAACCTTGGCAGGTTCTCCTCGCTTGCGAGGGTGAACCACTCTTCTTTCCGAAGGCAGTCTTTGTGTGCAGTGACCGACTTCTCCTCAAATGCCCGAAGGCGAGGAAGGAAATCAGGAAAGGAGATACGAGGAAATCGAAGGATTCGCTGGGTCTATAAATACTTGAGGGTTGTCTGCTAAATGAAGCTTGCTTGCTCTAGTGGATGAGCCGGCGTGTTGACGATGCCGGCACTTGGGGAACCTTAATGGCCTGCTGCATAGTTCGGCTTGGACTATGTGACAGCATGACCACTTTTAATGCTAACCAAGATCAAGCAGGTAATCACTAATTCATGTGGGCTGATTTGTGGGATACGCTTGGTATGCCATGGATATTTCCCCAAGGATAAAAGGCGGAAAGATGCAGAGTTACACGCACACACCATCACACATGCAGACACACAGGTGTCATGAAAAAAAGCAAGAAAAATGGTTTCATTGCTAAACATGGACACCTATACCATGCGGTCTAGAGCTCATGAATTGCACCGCAAGTATACCCTCCCCATCCTGCCGAACCGTATCCTCAACGCCGTCCATATGCAAAAAAGACTTCAGGATGTGTTTGCCCAACAACAGGCTGCTGACATGATACCTAGTTGTGCCGTGCGGCCGCGGCAGCGAATTGCTCAGCCTGTATTTTCTCGAGCTCCTCCATAGACAAACCGCTCTGGTCGAACTTGTTGAGTTTCTTCTCTCGCCCCTGGTTTGTATCACGTCAGCGACATGTGGATAACCTCCGCGACTGCCGTAGGTTGTGGGGCAATCCATACCTTCTGTTGTTCCTTGTGCTCCGAGGCGGCCTCGATGACTGCTGACACGTACTCGGAGAAACCGAGCTGTTCTAGGGCCTTGGTGATGTGGTCGCATGCGATGGTCTTCTTTGCCTCCTTCTCTGAGATCTCGTTGGCCTCGGACGAGACAAGCGTAATGAACTCGACACAGCACTCGATCAACAGGTCCCGGGCCTCCTTTGCGAACGCCACGCCGTTAGCGGGCGGGAGAATCTCTGTGACTATCTTCTGGACCGTGGCTGTCATCACTAGTCAGCATGGAACGATGCAACGGGTGAGAAAGAGGTAATAAGCTGGAGACGGCAGCCAACATGTCTTAGTGCAAGGCTGGACCTCGCTCAGAAATGTCGAGGCAACGTCTCCAGATTGTATCCGAATATCTTCCCCCATCGAAAGCGAAATTGTCGTCACTCACCCTTTGGAAGCGACAGGTCGTCATTTGCTAGACCACATGTTAGCATTGCTGCAGCAAAGATGCCATGGGGGCAACCCGCACTAATGACTGAGTAGAAAAAATCCATCTTGAAGGGCTAGGCAACGATATGATGGATATACGGAGCCGAGGTTATCAAAAAGGAGTATTGTGCAAATAGGTTCAAAAAAAATGCAGTCCCCGAAAATGGGCCATATCGTTGACAGAGGTTCGCTGTGATGAAGCGACCATGGGAACTGTGACGCCATATTTCACTTGAGCAGCGCGTCGATTCACTTGAACCGACAAAGCCGTTGCAGAATGGTTCAGTCTGAACATGGCCCGTATCTGCAGCTCACGGCTGGCCCTCCAAAAGTCTCGCATTCGACCAAATTCGTACAGCGCGTGGGTGGCCTGGCACACAATGAAACTCACCTCCAAACTCGTGATCAGACATGGTGAAAGAGTGGCGCCGCTTGGTGAGTTGCAGTGAGATGAGATGCGAGCGGATGCAGAATGCGGCCTTTCCTCCTTTTGGATGGCCACGTGGAAAATGGATAATATGGAAAAATCGACGGTCTTTCAAACTATGTTATGCTCTTCATCATTACGAGTCTGGTGGTTGCGACATGCTGGAGCGAGATCGTGCTGATTTGTTCCTTTTTGGAAGGCGAGGCCCCCCGTCCCGCCAGCCAGAAGGAGCTGCCTCAGGTCGGCCTTTAAGTACTTTGAGTCGCGTACTTTACGCTTCCAGCACAGGGAAACGTCTCAGTTGGGGGCCGCTTGCCGCTTTGGCAACAAATGTGGCTCAACCTATCGGCAGCCTGACTTATCGCTCCCGGTCTAGCCGCTTTGGGTACTAAGCGGGCAGGCCTTTCACAAAGCCCAGCTCAGCAAACTCGAAGATTTTTGACGATAAAAACGCGACCTGTTCGCAATCTCCTACTTTTTGCTCCTGCAACGCTCGACACAATCTCTGCATTGTCGCACAAAACATCCTCGACGTCCTTGCTGCTGATTTCAGCAAGATCCAACGTCGGCATGGGTTGAATCAGAGAGTCTTCATGTCTGTCTAAACAGACGCGCAAAAGGTTTGTGGTTTCCAACCAGTGTCTCCCCTCCTCCACCAACACAACAATATGATGAACTCGTTGTCGCCCCAGGCATACTTAACCATGGTGATTGACTCGTCCTAAGCCAAACGGACTATCTCTGATGCATTCTTTTCACGCTCATTCTTCGCCGCATACACTCTCCGAGACTGGCATCGACTAACAGCGCTGATAGGTTTGTTCTCAAATTTCCTCCATACTCGCGACGACCACCCAACAACACATCTGCCATGATGTCCAAAAAATGTAGTACTATCAAATGCCGATCACGACATGACGGAAACAATTCAATACCTGAGCAACAAGCATCTTAGTCAGCGCTTGCAGAACAGGAACACGGCAGAGGATGCTGACTCCTTCCGCGTAGTCACTACACGGCCTGTTGGCGCCGTTGCAAACAACAAGAAGCTGAGGACGTTCAAGGTGGGTCACGATTCTTTCCTTGTTAAAAATTCCGATTATCATCGGAGGAGCCTATGATTACAAAAATCATTCCATGCTAAAACTGAATCACCCGTGTGGAAAAAAATGTACTGCTTTTCATCTTTCGAATGAGGCTCCTCTATGCATCTAGATATTCTTTTGCAGTCTATTGCCTGAATCATCTGCTGACATACTGAAACAGTGAACTCTATCAGTCACGATACGAAGCCAGCTCCGGGCCATTCCATCTGCGCATGGTTAGCATTCATAAATGTCGAGGCGGAGTCTGGTGGGCTCACTGTAAAAGTCTGCCGCTCAAGTCGAGCGTGCCATCCAGCGCAAGCTTGGCAATCACATTTCCAGGACCCTCGGGTGGGTTGAGCTTGCCCTCTTCGAACGCAGATACGAAGCTGGCGTGGTCCTTGTCGTCCATGAATCCCCTGCCTTGCTCACGCAAGAGCTTCTGCATGCCCGTATCTGTCCTTCCGGGGCTGACGGAGATGGAGACAATGTCCTTTTCTTCAGCCGCCAAGTGCTGGACGAGAGAGTGCAGGGCAGCTTTAGAAGAGCCGTATGGGCCCCAAGCCTTGTAGCCCTTGGTTGCGGCACCTGACGAGGTGAAGATGATGCGGCCCTTGGTCTGCCTCAGCTGGGGGATGACAGCCTGGACAAGCGCAAGAGGGCTGAAGAAGTTGATGTCATAGATGGTCTTCCACTCATCGACTGCAGAGTCGGCAATGGGCTTGATGGGCTCAAGTGCTCCGTGATTGATGACGATTCCGTCGACCTTCCCACCCAGCTTCACAGCAAGGTCTGTGACTTTCGTAGCATTCTGTCATAGACTCGTCAATCAATAATTCATTTGATACTCATCTTATCTCTTAATCTCTCACCTCAAACTGCGTCAAATCGGCGGCCAAGTATTCGACTTGGGATGGGTACTGCTTCTTGAGAGCCTCAAGCTCTGTCTCAGTTCGTGCCACCAACACCACCTTGTGCGAGTTCTGCAAGAGGTACTGTGAAATTGCTAGACCGATGCCTCGGCCAGCGCCAGTCACGATGATTGTCTTTGCCGCCATTTTCGCTTCTGCTGTGGTTATTGAGAGCAATGTACAGGCGGGCAATTTGGCTGGCCAGCTCTTGATATCACTCACACAAGCAGATTTTGATGTCACTGGCGGGGCGGCAAGTCGATGGCTTATATAATCAAAAGCCAGTGGCCCCTTGAATCAAGAGCAGGACATCCACCCGCAATGTTGGTCGACTTCCATGCTAAACGGTCTGAGATCTGAGTACCTAGGTGGTCACAAAGTGAGGCTGGGTCGCTTCTTGCTGTGCTGACGTCTTGCCCAGAATCGACGGCTTTTCCATCAAAAGCTTCTGCGCTCATCCTGCTGACGGCAAATTCGTCATAGTACCTCAAGGTGGTTGACAAAGTTCAATGGAAATCTGAATGACTTTTGCGTCTTTGATCAAGTGAGTCCACTCCCTTTATGCAAGTGTGATGGGCCTGGATTCCGGCAGTGGGAGTATGGCCTTAGTCTTATGTCGCGTCGATCACGGAGGATCAAGCCAGGGCTATGGATTGAGGCTCGACTCGTGTGAGCAATCTTGCAATCTGAAGACAATTTCTGGCAGGGACGGTGGCCCAGTTTGAATCAATTCCTTAAATCTAGTGGTTTTGGGGCTCAAGAAGGTGGCTTGAACAACGGCAACTCAGTCTGGGACACGTCTGACGCAGATCGGGGAAGGCACAGCAGATATGATGGCCGTGATTGCACCGGCATCTTGGCTGGAGATTAATGATTGGAGACCTTGAGATAGCTCTCGCGGAGAAATCTGAAATCCACAGAGGTTCAAAGAGGCTATGATACTATTGCCAGCCTTGCCCGCGGGCGTCTTTCTTGTGGCAGATATTTTAAATTTTTTCTTGCATATTTACAGACAAACTGAAATTTACACCAGTATTCACCACTCTAGGACAATACTATCCCACATGAATCCCCTCCAAGTAGTGTTCCTAGTGACCTCGAACGTGATAGTATTCCAGCCTGCACTCAACACCCCGGCGTCAAATGGAAACTCAAAATGCCTCCACTCACCAGCCACCGTTGCGGATCGGTACAGGCCCGGGTCGTTCAGAAGCTTCGGAGTCCCGCTCGTCAGGTTGCCGATGATCTGATCATTAGCAAAGATGTTGGAGCTCGCCCCAGTGCTATAACTGGCAAGGGATACAATAAGCGTCGCCTGGTCCGACCCAGCCGACGCGCTGGCGTTGGCCGGGACCTCGAAGCGGATGGTCCAGTTGCCGAGCCACGTCTGCCCGAAGCACCAGTCCTCCGTCTCCGAGGACCCAACGGTGTACGTGAGGCTGGCCGGGCACGAGGCGACGAGGGCGTGCTGGTAGGGCGCGCCGCCGTTGTTGAACCCGTACGCGTAGCGGTCAAAGTCGCCCACCTGGAAGAGCTTTGTCTTGTTGGAGACCAGCCAGTCCAGGGCGCCCAGGCTCGTCTCCTCATCCGCCACCACCTCGACGCCGTTGCGCAGGAACGACGTCGTCACGTCCGCGATCTCGCTGCCGTTCGACCACGCCTGCAGCCCGTAGGTGGCGGCGCGCACGTCCTCGAAGGCAAAGCCGCCCTCGGCGTCCGCGTACCCGGTGTAGTAGTAGTCGCCGCCCATGTCGAGGGCCGTCTTGTTGGGCTCGTTGTCGCCCAGGAACACGGCCGCGCCGGCGGCGGGCCGCCCGTCCGAGAGCACGAGGCGCCCGCTGACGCTGCCGCGGCGGTGGTACGCCTCGTCGTCGAACCAGGCGTACGGCCACGCGGCGAACTCGTCCTGCGCGCGCGCCTCGGCGTCCGCGGCGTCGCCGCCGTTCAGATACCACAGCCAGGGGCCCCACACCTTGCCCGCGGGGAACACGTCCGAGCTGCTGACCTGGAAGTGCGTGCCGTGGATCATGTTCAGCTGCACGGCGTCGCCCGTCGCGCTCTCGCGGTGCACCATCAGCTCCTGCTTCAGGTGGTCCCCGTTGTAGTAGTCCTTGCCGGCGTTGATGTACCAGCTGCCGAAGCCCTCGCCGTATACGCCGTACGCCGTCTGCTCGCGCACGAACGCCGAGAAGTCGTACTTGGTGATGTAGCCGCTGCCGTCTGGCCGCAGCCACGTCTCGTCCTGCACCTTGAGCTCGGGCAGGTAGTCGGACAGCGGCGGCAGGGGCTCGTCGCGTCGGCTGGTGCGCCCGCGCGGGAACGTCGTGTTGTCGAGCCGCCAGAGCGTGCGGAACTCGCCCAGCACGGGTACCGCGCGGTTCACAAAGTACTGGTACGCCCCGGCCAGCCCGGTGTGAATCACCCAGTGCATGTCTCCCTCGATGGCGGTGAAGGATACATCGATCCAGGGGCCGGACTCGTCCGTTCCGGATGAGGCGATGGAGGCGGATGTCCAGTTAAGGTTGGATGCCGCACCGTCTATCGATATTTGGTCAGCGCCTATCCATTTTCCACGTCGGCGGCGGCGGCTAAGTTTCCTAGTAATTAGAACTTACTATATGACACGTAATGGCCCACAGCATCTCCAACAAGATCGCGCTCCTTGTAGAACAGCTTCACACCGTAGGTGCGCTGCTGCGTCAGGTTCCACAGCTCATTGCCGATGACCCATGTCTCGTTGTTGACCTGGGAGAGGAACGGCCCAGTTGCGCGCTCCACGACCGGGTGCGCCTTCACAAGAGCGCCTGCGAGGAGCAAGACCGCGTAGGAGAGTAAGCCCGTCATGACGGAGGAAAGGCGAGCCAGGGCGTCGGAGGCATGTGAGCAACCAGCCGGCCCTCATCCCAGAAGCGGGATACTCGGGAAGCTTTATAAGATATCATGACGCCGTCGCGGGGCTTACTTCGCGCCTTGATGATGCGTGAGGCGTGCAACAACGGCGAATTGGTCCCGAGATCTGAAAGGGGCGAGGTTCGGGCCATTAATCCCACGAGATATGCGAGGAGAAAAGTCTTGGCACCCACCGTTGACGAGCAGGGCTGGCTGGCTGGCAGGGTAATTGACTAGCTCACTACGCAAGCAGTTGTTTATTCCCGATCCAGTTTGGGTACTCCGACGTCGTGTTTCTTGGATCTCTAGTTGCCTTTTGGGCGGCCGTATTGCCCAGGTGTCTACAGGCCCTTGGCTCTAGATACTCGGCTCAAGATTGTACGGGAACATCACTTGGGTAAAGAAAAAATTGATTCGCTGGCTCTATCATTCGAAAACAAGAGGAGTTTTGAGAAACTCGGGGTATAAGGGGATAAGACATTACATAGGCGACAAGTATTCAGTCAAGAAACTCCCATCTCTTTGCTCAATGCCCATTTTCCGCTGCCTCAATCGCCGATGCAGATGCAACGCTTTTGACAAAAATTGGTAACCAAGAAAAAAAAAAGGTAAAAAAGAGCAAAAAGAGAACAAAACGTAAGCCCTTAGGAGCCACAGGTCCAACAGAGCTCTCATGCCGTCGTTGGCGGGCGACTCTCGTTCCTCAGCGCGCTTGGTCCTTGAAAACCTGGCTGCGGCCGCACCTCGTCTAGCTCTACACCTTCTTGTTGTTGTTCTTTGGCCTTGCGCCGGCGTTCCTTGATTCTCAAGTTTGCCAATCGCTGGTCCCCTTCGTTGTGCCTCTTTTTGAAGTGGTAATACGTCGGTGGCCGTGGACGGCACAGCACAACGACCCAGTTCGTGAACCAATTGCCTTGGGTAAATGCCCTGTATCGATCCTTCTTGAGAAACTTGTGACTGTTGAGAAACTCGCGTGTTGTCTCCCCGCGTGCCATGAGGAACATGTGATAGCCCATGAGCGCAGCTGGGTAAAGGAAGGCGATAAAGCCATATATCACCATGGCGAATGGCACGGCATCATGGTTGATCGCTTGGGCGAACGTTACACCCTCAATGTTCATGTATACCAGGATCTGGGCTAGAGAAGCCCCGATCAGATACATTGATAGCAAGGTGGCCGAGGAAACGAACGTGAAGAAGTAGCGGTAATTGCGTCGACCCACGCAGTTGTTGAGCCAGACACAGTGGTGGTCTGCTGTCTCAATACAATTGTCGCACATCCGACAGTGGTGAGTGCGAGGGGGCCGCCAGATTTGGCAAGTTTTGCAGTACTTGGTCGGCACTTCCATGGCAGCTGTCGACGACTCAGCCGACTTGATCAACGTCCAGTCAGTGCTTGGAGGTGCCAGCCTCAAAGGATCTTCGTTGATATCAGGGGGTGGGTTCTGGTGTAGATTGCGAGGCAATATCTATTCCTCAAGTCAGTTTACTTCCGGGTTTGAAGAAGATCAGGTGGGGGATTACTTACACCAGGATCCGACGTTGAAGCGTGGAGGAAAGAGGATATACAAATAAAAGCCAAGTAGGCAAAAATGAGTGGGACAGCCGGTGAAATATCGTGCCAAAGGTCATGTGCGGAAAAGACGAAGAACAGAATGCAAGGAATTACGACAAAAGCTCCCGTGGCAATATTGACGGGCCGCGCTTTGGTGTTCTGCAATCTGCCGCCCATGCAGAAGACAGTATTCCCAAGGAAATACTCCCAGTTGCGACCCATGTCCTGCCTACCAGCCTTTGGAGCAACAGCCGTGTTTGGCCTCGGATCGGTAGCTCCGTCACCAAAGCGTGGGGATGAGGCGACGGACTCGAGTTTCTCGCCGCCTTGCATGTTGCGATTCGACGCATTCTCTCCCTGATTGCTTCTCCCAGGTAATAAGAAGCTGGACCTAAACGACCGAGGAGTCAAAGGGGAGGCCTGGCCAGAGTTCTTGTAGCTTTTGTCCAGGTTCACAGCCAAGCCTTTATTCTCTGCCGTCTCCCTTTGCTTGTTCAGAGGACGAACGCTGTCGGAAACACTGCCTTGAGGATAGTGACCGTTCGCACTGGTGTTCGCCGTGGCGCGGTCAAAAGTCTCGGGAGCTGTTACTTCGGTTCCGCGTGACGGAGGGGGGTGCTCGTCTCCGGTATATCGGCGCGCCGATGTCGACTGGGACTGTATACTATGGCGTACGACGTTGGCCCCGATAGTTGTGGCACCGGCCTCCTGTGACAATGTCTCGGCGGTCTCAGGTGGACGGCTCATGGTTGAGGGCCTCGCCACGCCTCGTTGCGCCTGCAGCTTCTGGGAGCTCATGGGGCGAAAGAAGGAGTGCGAAGAGACAGACGGGACATGGCTCCGGCCTGCTGCGCTGGCAGGTCGTCCTCCAGTTGCAACAGAGCTTGAGCCGATGCTGGCAGCCACGCTGCCTCTTTTGCCAGAGAGCCCGCGGCGCAAGGGCGTCGGTTGCGGCCAGGCGCCGGGAGCCCTTTGCGAGGAGATCTGCGACCTGACAGTACCGCTCTGCGAGGTGGCCATGCTCTGCCTATTTGGGTTTTGCGCCTCGATCTCCCGTCCATCTTCGGTTCCAATATCGGTCATTCTCGAGGATATTATGCTGGGCGGGCCGGTCGCCCTGCCTGGATACTGAGGGAAGCTGGGCTCGTCGTCGCCGGTGCTGGCAGCCCCAGCCGGGGTGTTCGACCTCGAGCCCTCCTGAGATGCCATGGCGCCGAATGAGCCCTTGTGGGTGGTCTTTTGATCTCGGTGTGATCTCGTGGTCGCGGGCGGATTGGGTGAGTCGCAGGATCAGCGGTCGGCTATATCATAGTTTCCACAGGTTGACCACGAGGCATCAAAGGGGCGTAGAGGAGAAGGAAAGTTCAATTCTGGTTGACAGGTGCCTTGGCTCTATGCTAAGGTTGGTTCGGAACGTGGAGAGTTGGGGTGGCGTGCAGGGCACCTCCTGGGCTGGCGAGCACGGAAATTTGCAGCGATCTGGTTGACCGTGGGGATTCAATGGGATGCGGCGACCAGAATAGGAATAAGAACAGGGACGGGGACAGGAGCAGGAGTTGAGATTTCGGCAGGAGGCGGGAAGAGAGCGAAATTAGATTAGGGATGCGTGGGTTGGGATTGCGGTATCAAAGGAGTGGCAGCGCAAGGCAAGGCAGAAAATGAGTGACAGGAGTTGGCGAAGAGGTTGGCGGCGAAAAAGGGAGGGTGTGACACGGTACGGGCGGGTGAGCACGACGAGACGAAGGAGAGGAGGCCTGAGCAAGAGGAGAGAGTCTGAGCAGAGTCCGAGATGCTTTTTCAGGTTCCCTCGCGAACGGACGCGGCATCCTCCCTCACTCCAGTCTCGGTCCAGTCTCCAGTCTCCAGCAGTCCCCAGTCTCCAGTCACAAAGTCACATAGTCAGCCCTGTCCAGGCCAGCCTGTCTGTCCCACCTGCAATGGCCATGCAGCAGCAGCGGCAGCGGCAGCAGTGGCAGCACACACCAGCATTCAAAGCGACATAGCACCGACGCAAGGCACCCGTGGCACCATCATCTTGATAGTACCGAGACTACCTAACCCCCTTATCTACCACCCTACAGTACAGAGGTGCCCTAGGACCACTGCCCAGGCATGCTAGGGATTGGCTGGATTTAGGCTGGACAGATGCGACGTGCACATCTTGGAGATCAGACCTTAGCAGCAAAACGGTATTGATATCAGCGTAGCCTCTTGCGGCTTAGGCCCCGACTCTACCTGCCTAGCTGGACCAAGGTAGACCTGGTAGGCTATGCCACGGGAGATTACGGTGCTGCCGCTGTGCCCGCCAGTTGTCTGCCAGCCAGACGGTCCCGTTCCAGGTGAGGTGGTTCTGTGGTTCTGCCCCACCGCCCCCACAGGCTTATGTCAGCCTCGTTGGAGCACCGCTGCATTGGCCAATGCAGAGTATTCCGGCTGGCGGCCGACCAATCACGCCCCGTTCGTCATAATCCGGCCTGCTGGGCGACAAGCTCCATTCTGCCACACCCGAATTGAATCATACGAGACCTCCATCATCGAAAGTTGTTAGACGACCCCAATCTTTTGCCGCAACGACCGCCTCCACCACGACCATCTCACCAGCCAGACCCGTCGTCACCGTTACCGAAACCCTCATCAGCAGCCATGGCTTCCAGAGTTGCCTTGCGTTCTTTCTCCACCACCGCTCGCCGGCTGCAAAGCGAGCATGTCCTGAAGCAGGAGACCAAGCGAAACCCCGAGCTTATGGTGCGTTGAGCCCAGCCGCTGCGGCGATCCACGAAGACGGCGACGCATTCGTCTATACTGTCCTTAAGGCGCAGCTACAGCCGAGAATCCGGATAAGAGCTGACATTGGCTTCCCGTTAGATCCTTGGTGCGGTCATGGTCGCTGCTTTCGGAGGCGCTGGTCTCTACTTTGGTACGTCTTGATGGCCATTACACACATCGGCAGCAGTCGGGAATTGTGCAGGCAGCCATGAGATACTGAGACAGATCTGGGACAGGACGCTCACCCACCTCCTCCACCTCCGAGCAGAAGGTGCCCCACGCCGGCAACCCCTGGGAGACCGGCGGCACGGGCAAGTACCAGTACTACCCAGGCGGCGACAGGTCCGCCGAGCCCAAGGACGCACCTAGCGCTGTCAACACCGTCGTCGTTCCCAACGTCAACTTGCCAAAGGTACGGACCCCATCAGCACGTTCAGGAGGATGAGCGGGCCGGCTGCTGTCATGGACAGGGAGCCCACGCAGTGAGCCAAAACACAAGAAGCTGACACACGGACTACAGGAGCTGCACGAGAAGTACAACAAGTGGGGCAAGGACGGTTACTAGATGGGTTATTCAAACTGTGGGAAGACGAAGAGCACGAGCAGCTCCCGCATCATGGGTAGCGTTGTGTAGATAGACGGTCACCAATGGAGACGATTCCACCGCCAACCCTCATTCTGTCCAGCTGCGCGCATCTCCAGAACTATGTGCCAGGTCACAGCAAGAGTCTTACTTAGTGGCTCGAAGCCACGCTAAGGCAATGCGCAGTTTCATGATGCAGTGTGTATGGGGAGCAACTTGCGACATTTTGAGAGTCCATGATCATGTGACAACATGGCAGTGAATTGTCAATGCAGTCAGCCCAAATGATGGATCTTGGCTTCTGGACCATTTCGTTTGAATCACTAAAACGTGGTTTGGCGTCCATAAACTCCTGGCATTATTATATACACCATTTTACGGGTATCTACTTTGCCTCCCGGTGTTGAAGGCTTGATGCCTTCCAGATTACAATTGTTTCTCGCAATTTCTGTCCCGTGTCTCGAGACCCATCCCCATGTATTGAGGGGCAACTCATTCTCCCACCTCACTCATAGCAGTACAAATGGGGAGCGCCTACCCCATGTAGTACTACAACTGACAATAGGAAAAAAATATGAACCATGGATGAAGGCCATTTACAATCCTGCCAATAGCGCAGCACCGCCGACAGCACCCAGGATAGCAGCAGTGGGTACGGCGGCGAACACGCCGGCGCCATTCCCGGTCATGCCGCCGGCCGTGAGGGTAGTTGTGGGCGTGATGCCCGAGGTGAACGGCGCTTCCTGCACGGCCGTCGCTCCTGAGAAGGCAGGTGTTTGGGTTGTGGCGCTTGGGTTTGGCGTGGCGCCTGGCATCATGGGGTTGAGGACGCTGAATGAGGGAGAAGAGAGAATGTCAGCGAAGTGGTTGTGGTACAAATGAAAAGGGGTTGAGGAGAGGAGCCCTTACTTGTCTATGACGTGGATGACTCCGTTCGACACGATGATGTCGGCTGTAGTGACCATGGCCGAGTTGACAAAGACCTTGCCGTTCTCCATGCGGACGTTGAGACTGGCGCCCTGCAGGGTCTCGAACATCATAGGCGTGCTAGTCATAGCCTGCCTCCTCATGGGCATCCCTTCCATCCCTGCCATTCCGGGCATGGCCATGGTCGTCCCCGACGTGCTGCTGCCCATCAGGAGATTGGTGCTGAACATGGCCATTTCGCCGCCGTGGAGGACGTGGTAGCTCAAGATAGTAGACAAGTCTGTCGTGGAGGCGCCCTCAGCCGCTGATCCAATCGCCTCAAATGCTTTGTTCGAAGGTGCGAAGATGGTCACATCCGACAGGCCGTCCACGGCTGTCACCATGTTGGTCTTTGTGAGTGCGCCGGCAAGAGACGTCAGTCCCATGTCGACGGCCGTGACGGACGGGGACATCGGGATGGTGAGAACTTTGTCGACTGGGAGTATGTCAGCAACCATTCCAACCTATGAAAACAAAGAGGCGAGGCTTGAGGAGAGGCCACGAGGCATTTTCTGGCGAGATAAAACGATATGGTTCGAACAAGAATAGCCACCGCCAAGCTCGCCGAGGAGAAACATAGAAGAAACATGGACCATTTCGAAGTCACTTACTGACGTGCACGACACCACCGTCAAAGGTGATATCAGCCTTGGTGACGCTGCTCATCTGCTTGAAGCCAGAGAAGATCATGGCCATGTTGTCCATCTTGAGCAACTCAACCTTCTGGTTGCCGTTGACCATAGCGAACGGCATACCCATGAGGGTGCTGACGAACTGTGGCGTCTCGGTGAAGGCTGAGGACATCATAACACCAGGCATGACGTGGTACTGAAGAAGCGCTGTGACCATGTTCATGTCGCTTGTGAGCATGGGCATGGCCTTCATGGCCTGCTCAAAGGCGTCGTTGGACGGCGCCAGGACCGTGATGTTGCTGGCGGTCGTCAACGCCTGCGTGAACTGCGGCATGCCGGCCAAAATGGCTACGCTCTGTTAGTCTGTTGTTCTATCACATGGTCATACCGACCTCCGGGCTTGCGTCTTAGTCTTACAGTTCAAGGTGCTCAGCGTATTGTTGTTGGCGGCAAGCACGTTGGCCAGCGGCTCGGCCGTTGCGACACCGGCCGCAAACGCGGTGGTCAACACCTGTGAGAAACGCATGTTCGCGGAAGACGACTGGGGACGGTACCGGACCTGTGAGAAGAAGATGAGCGAGAGAGGCTATCGCGCTCGAGCTCTGCCTTCACCTCACGACGGACTCCCGAGTATCATATATGCCGCCATCTCTCTCCACGGTCCCAGCCCGCAGCCATCCCGGGGCCTAATCATGACACCCTCAACACAGCCCCTCATGCCCACAAGTTTCCAGCCTGAAGTCTACGACCTTGACAAGGCCCGGGTAGCGAAGCTGCCGTTGGACACCCCAGGCATCTAGACTACCCCATTCGACCAGCTGATCTCAGTGCAGCTGAGCCTGAGAAGCGAACACGACTCGTCTCACGCAGGACCCCCTTGCCCACGATTTGGATCCAGTAGCTATCAAACCTCATCCTCCTCCCGGGTGCCAGTGGGCACAGTCGTGAGGCCAATGAGTGATCGACAACGCTTGTGATTTAAGCTTGAATGCTTGACAGGGCGGGCGGGCCTGCAGGTCGCCAATGGGGTGTTGGGACGAGGGTAAAACGGCCGCTTCATCTGGAAAGTAAAGCTAGCACTCGGAAGATCTGCCCGAGGGGAGGAGCTTGGGCTTCCGGGGGGATGCCGTGAGCTTGGCGGGCTCAGCGAGATCCAAACATGTTCGAAACAGAGGCGGGGAAAATACGTTGGACGTTAAGCTTTCTGGAATGATAAATACACGTATACAGCTATGTTGTCACCCCCTCTTGTGTAGGTGGGGAGCAGAACCATGAGCTTCAATGCTGCAGATGGGCTGCGGATCGAAGACCCGGACGATGTGTCACTTGCTCATGCTATAGTCACTGCATATTAAGAAATCTACAACTCCGATGTGGTCAAGATCGAAGGCTGATCCGATAGGATGGTGTAGGATGGCCTCTGAGGCCACCTCCAAACTCTCATGCAGAACCTTGGCACAAGGCCATGACAGCTCCGGGAAGGATCCATTCCGGTCGAGGCCAAGACGAATGATAATCAGTGCATCAAAAGGTACCGACGGAAGAACCTAAACAGCTACTCCTACAGCGGATATACAGCAGAGAATGTAATATATACCGGTGACTGCAAAAAAGGACCTGCCGTGGTTCGAACACGGGACCCCAAGATAGTTGCTGATTTGCAATCTTATGCTCTACCGCTGAGCTACAGGTCCCTGGAAGAAGTTTCCAGGTCTCCTGGACGAAGTGGCGGCCAGAAATGCTGATATAAGTACTCGAGTATCTTGTTGCGGAGGCGGAGCATATAGGGGGCGGGGCGTATTGGGCCCGCGAGGGCGGCCCAACTAGTGCCCTCCGCACGGACCATTACCGCACGGACCAACTCCACCCACTGGCTCGGCACTCGGCTGCACACTGCAAATATTTCCCAATTGGATGTAGGACGTTCATCGCACTGCTACTAATATGATTGTTCTCTCTGTCTCCCAGACCCTGCACTCCTGCGTCAGATGCAGTGAAGTCGATTATGCTTGGCTCGACGATGGAATTTTCATCCACGAATTTGGCAACGTTGCAATGCACTGGCCTTCCAGTGTCTGATTGTCTCGTGGAAGCCAGCTCCTCTACAGCCCACAGGGGATCGCAGATATTCGGGCACGGTTTGACCAGTACAGTACATAGTAATCCATCTTTCAGTATAACCTCCTATGGGACATTTGGGCAGCCTCTCATATGTCAACCTCTTGTTGACTGTTGGATAACCTCCTATGGGATAACCTCCTATACGGTAACCTCCCATAGGATAACCCCTTGTGGAGTAACCTCTTATATAATAACTTCTTGTTAACTATAGGATAATTTTCTATAGGATAAGCTCTTGCTGGCTATCATATTAACTTGTGTGGGATAAACATGTGTGGGATAAACTTGTGTGGGCTAAACTTGTGTGGGACAGCCTCCCATTGGATAACCCCTTATAGAATAACTTCTTGTTGACTATGGGATAGTCTTCTATAGAATAAGCTCTTGCTGGCTATTGGATAAACTCCTGTGGGATAACGTCCTGTGGGATAACGTCCTGTAGAATAACCTCATGTGGAAAAACCTGTCATAGGATAACCTGTCATAGGATAACCGGTCACGGGATAACCTGTCATGGGATAACCTCCTGTGGACTAAGGTATAGCGTCCTAGGAGATATATCTGATGAAATAATTTACGGAATAATCTGCTCTGGGACAGTGTTTACCCAAACAGGTTCTGGCCCCTTCTGATCCCTTTCCGAGCACTCTTCTGTACCTGGCCCACCTTTGGGATCCCTGCGAGTCGTAGATTTCGGGACTTGCCCGCTTCATACCTACCATTGTTCAGGGGCCATACCCGACTTGATGCGTGTGCAAATCTGTGTGACATCCAAGAGGAGACTGTAAGTCTTGGATTCAAGAGACATGAAATGTTTCTATCTCAGTCGCAGCTTTGCCCAGCCGATAAGAAGTGTCAAGCCTTCTGCCACGGGAAGCTCTGGAACAGACCTGGGGATGCCAGCAGTATTAGTCATTGTCGCGTCTATTCTCCCAGTCGAAGCGCCAGCCGCGCCCCTCCACACAGAGCACAGTGCCAGGCCGTGCGCCCCACACGTACCCCAAGTGAGGCATCTGGTGTGGGTGGTACCACCCGTCAGACCCCAATGGCGCAATCCACGCCAAATTATGCATCTTTTTTTTCATGCCCTCCCGATAACCGCGCAGCCGATCGGTGCGGCTCTGCTGCAGCTGATGGGGCTCCCGAGACCCGTCCGCAGCCGCCGGGAGGCTCCACCGCCGACGTCCTCTCCTTCCCGCCACCCGTGCTTGCCTTGTGGCCTCGCCCAATCCTCCCGGCATCACGACATCGCCGACCCATCCGCCCTAGTCGATGGCGACATCCACGCACGCACGCTTTCCGCTCCCGCAACCCTAGGGTTTCGAGCCCAGCCCGCCCTCCTTCGTGTGTGAGGAGGAGAGCCCCGAGCAGCGGCGCCACGAGGCAGACAGCCTGGCGGCTGGGCTGCCTGTCCGCTTGACGGCCTTGAGTCACAGGAATTGTCGATGTCGCAATGGAATGGGGCTTTTTTTGGCAGGTAGATATAAAATTTTGCTTTTGTCTTGTTCTGTTTGACTACTCTATATATATATATCTATGAGCCATCGCTCTCGCGATGCCATGGCACAAGAGACATGGCATGGGAATCAACATTTATGCCCTCCAAACGCCAGACCATGTATGGGTCACCCACTATTTTCCCCCAGACTCCCAAACGCAAATCACTGCAGGAAAACACACACAAATAAGCCAGTGCTATGCTCGTTGAAATCATCAAAGTCGTTGTCCGGGCGAAGAGAGAAATCACCCATTCAGACGAAGGTGTTCCGGTCTTGCTATGACGAGACTTGAACGGCGGGCGAGGCTGCGGCCTGCCGCCCAGAGTTCTTCTGGAAGGCCTGGGCCAGCTCCTCCTCCTTGCGCTTGCGCTCGAGTTCCTCGAGGTACTGGGTGTAGCGGGACTTCTTGTTGTGGATGCCGCACTCGGTCTTGTTCTGGCCCTTCCACCGGCCGGCCCGCTCGTCCTCGCCCGCCTTGACGGGGGACGTCGAGTGCCAGTCGCCGACAGACTTGTACCCCTGGTCCAGGAGCGCGTTGTAGGGCACGTCGTTCTCCTTGACGTACTGCTGCACCTGGTCGAAGCTCCAGTTCACCATGGGGTTGATCTTGACCACGCCCCGCTCGTCGTCGACCTCGATCACGGGGATCTGGTCGCGCTGCCCGCCCTGCGACCGCCGCCGGCCCGTCAGGATGGCGGCGACGTTGAGCTCCGTGTACGACCGCTGCTGCGGCTCCACCTTGGCGTACCAGTCGTACATCTCGGAAGCAACCTCCCACAGCTTCTCGCCGTATGTGGCCTCGAACTCCTCCACCGTGTCGCAGCCGTCTGGCTTGAAGATGTGGAGCTTGACGTTGGGGTACTTCGCCCGCACCCGGTCAATGAGCTCGTGGGTCTCCTTGAAGTGGTACAGTGTGTCGAGGAAGATCATGTCGACGTTCTGGGAGCTGGGGTTCTCCTTTTGCAACTTGGACAGCATGTCCAGCGTGACGAGCCCCGTGAGGCCGAATGCCGTTGATTGGTAGAGGTTGGGGAAGAGGACCTTGACGAAGCGTAGGATGTCCATGGGGTGCATGTTCTCCAGCTGGCTGTTCAGCCACTTCAGGTGGTAGGGTGTGAAGGTCACGGCTGGCAGCGTCATTGTGGATGATGTTGCGGATGCGTAGCCGGACTCAACGTCTTCGGTTGATGACGATGATGATTGTGTGTCGGATTTCGTGTCGAGGGCGCTCAAGCGAGGCGAGGAGCCCAGAGAGGACACGGATGAATCTGAGTGGGAGTAGTTGCCCATGTTGAGAGCCGTCTGGTCTTTCGATTCCACGAATCTCTGACAAAGAAGAGGAGTCTCTGAAAAATCGTATATGGGGGGTTGTGGAGTTAACACAGGCCTGGGGCACACAGGTCCTGGCAGCGCAGCAGCAGCAAGTGTTGGTGTGGCAGCTCAAGAGGATATGATGATATAGAGGGGTTGGGTATTTGTTTTTGGTGTGGGATGAGCTCGCAAGTGACTGGAACAGAGGAAGAATACAGGAGCAGTTGGCTTCTAAAATGGTTTTCGGTCACTTAGGTTCCGCACGAGACAAGAGCAGGATGAGATCAGATCAGGATGAGAAATCACTGCTCAGCACATCTAGTTGCGGAATTACGCTTGCTCTAATATTGGGCCGTGGTCTTGGTGGGAGGAGCAGCGCGCCCTGGCGGGAGAGACAGGGCAGGGCAGGCCAGGCAGACTTAGACACAACGTTCCAGCATGAATAATGGGGAAACCCCCGGGCGGCCGGGAGCAGCGACAGAAGGCGCTGGATCCAAGTACAAAGCTGTTACAGGACATGGCGCGAATCGTGTCTGCCGCGCAGTACTGTGAGGGGCGTGGGTGAGTGAAGCAGGCCGAGCGATGGCGCAATCCGGCCAGGACAGGCTGAGGCAGGCGATGATGGCAGGGCGATGCGATGTGTGTTGATGAAGGCCATCGATGGTGCAATCCGCGCTATTCCTTTCGTGATCAGGGTCCTGGCGCTGATTGGCCCGAGAATCAAAATCTGCCACGGTACCTCGCAGTGACAAGCGACCAGTGCTTGGGTTGAAAGGGGGTTCCTCTGGGAAAAGGCGTGGCAAGTGGGCTGGCCGGGTTGTTTTGCAGCTGTGACAAGTCCGGGGCCGCGGATGGCATTACTTAACCAGATCTGCATCTGCCGCGAGAACTCGCCCAGCAGATCTGGGGAACTACCCGTCCTGATGCAGAGGCATGTCGTCTCTCGACAAGTACACTTTTGGTTTCCCCAGAGTTTTCCTCAGAGGTCTTTTTCGCGGGAGACTGGGGGGGGCGGAAGGCTGGATTTGGTCTGGTCGGCTTAGACGGGACGCGGCACCATTTGCTCTGTCAGTCAGTCTGGGCTGGAGCCCATGCGCCCATCGTATTGGTCCTGCCGGGCTCCACCAGATACGGTTTCGGCCACATGTACCTCAGTATTCCATCGCCATCCCTGCTCTTCCGAACAAGCGCGCTGGCACTGTCCTCAACCCGTTCCCCCCCTCCCTCTCTTAGACACACCTCTCACACCCTTCGTTGCCTCATCCGATTGGAAATCCTCGAGTGTTTTGTCAGCAGCTCGATTAGTAGTGCCAGGTAGTACTGCGTCCGCCCTTTTGCAAAGACTGACTGACACAGCTAGTAATACCACAACACAACCATCCATTCCATTGAGTGACAGCTGCTGGGATGACGCATCTTGCGGTGCTGTTCCTGGATCGAGTCCTACCGAGTAGTAGTGGTGCTGAGTGACAGTCTATTGACGATGAATGAGCACGACAAACGTCATGTCTTCGACGTCATCAGGGAAGATCGACTCTAAACCACTTCTCCTTCCCCGGATTCCTCCCGCTTCTATCTATGATTCCAGTCAAAACTAAATTAACAGGATCAATAGCGAGCACGCGATCGCACAACCGCCAAGCCGGGTGTACATTCCTAATACCAGTCTGCTGTTCCTCTGTGTAACTGTGCCAGCCTGTCAGCTCCAGAGTTTGTGTGTGTGTGTGTGTGCGCATATCTTCAGCCTGTGAGTCAAGAGGCTGCTCTATGCATGGATGCACGGCTTGCAGGGGCGGTTGCGAACAAGAGCTTCGTCTTGACGACACTGATATGAGCGGGAGCGGTCAGCTTGTCTATCTCTCGAGCCCCCCCAGCTGCTTGTTCGAGATGGTGATGGTGTGTCGGCTAATCATTGAGGCGGTCGTAGTTTTTGCTCAAATAGGAGCAACGGGATTGTTCGACTCGAAATGCCATGCAACACAGAGTGTCTGCCCAGGCGCCTTCTCAAATTTGTCATGTTTACCTGATAAAGGGTTTCGATATTGCCCATCCTGCCCTAAATGGTGACATCGGCAGCAGCTCACCCACTGTCTTGCTCTTTCATCTTGGTGAAGCCTCACAGGCAGTGTTGCCAGGACCATGGCTGATGGCAACGCGCATGGCGGCTTTACTTACATCCGCCTCTTGGCCGTCTCCTCCGTTCTGAGCTCTTCTCCGTCCCGTCCGGTTTCTGCCGAGGTCGGGCAGACTTGGGGGAGCAGGTCCCCGTGGCCCGAGCTCCCCAATTGGCGTTTTCGCCAGCAGAGCTCCGGCCAGCTTCGAAACGTAGAACCCGATTAAGATCTTTTTGAGGTATTTGTTTTTGGCTAGATTGGAAGACAAGGCTGACAGCTGTTCTCCTCCTGACTTTGTTGAATTTCCCCGATTTTCCTTCCTTTTCTTTAGCGAAAATGCTTTCTTCAGCTGCACGAACATCGTGTGCCTCCGGCTCGGCCATGCGCTGGCTGGCTAGGCCGAGGGGTAATGGCATGAGGGCCATGAGCACATGCTTCTCAAGCTCCGCAACCTCGCACTCCGTGCCTGTGGTTGGCCGCCAGCGGCGAACCGACGAGCCTACCTTCTCCTCCTCTCCTCGCGCCGCACCTACGTCACTTACCTCTACGAGACACTTCCACGCCTCATCCACAAGAATGGCTGCTGCCACCAGAACCGAGAGCGATGCCTTTGGCGAGATCCAGGTCCCCGCCGACAAGTACTGGGGCGCCCAGACCGAGCGATCCCTCGAGAACTTCCGCATCAACCAGCCTCAGGACCGCATGCCCCCGCCCGTCATCAAGGCCTTTGGTATTCTGAAGGGTGCTGCCGCCAAGGTGAACGTGCGATATGGCCTGGGTATGTCCGGCCTCTGAACGGAGGACCAGCTTCGACCTCACGCTTACAATGCGCCTATGTAGACCCCAAGATCAGCGAGGCCATCCAGCAGGCCGCCAAAGAAGTCGCCGACCTGAAGCTGATCGACCACTTCCCCCTGGTCGTCTGGCAGACCGGCTCCGGTACCCAGTCCAACATGAACGCCAACGAGGTCATCTCCAACCGAGCCATCGAGATCCTCGGTGGCAAGATGGGCTCCAAGAAGCCAGTCCACCCTAACGACCATGTCAACCGCTCCGCCAGCTCCAACGACACTTTCCCTACCGTCATGCACATCGCCGCCGTGCTCGAGCTCGAGGGCGAACTTATCCCGAGCCTGAAGAGCCTGAGGGAAGCCCTGCAGAAGAAGGTCGACGAGTTCGAGGCCAAGAATATCATCAAGATTGGACGTACACACTTGCAGGATGCCACCCCCCTGACGCTGGCCCAGGAGTTCTCGGGCTACGTCGCACAGCTCGACTACGGTATCAAGAGGGTTGAGTCCAGCCTGCCGGAGCTGCGCCAGCTGGCCCAGGGCGGCACGGCCGTTGGCACTGGCATCAACACGTTCGAGGGCTTCGCCGAGGCAATTGCCGAGGAGGTGTCCAAGGCGACGGGCACCCACTTCGAGACGGCGCCAAACAAGTTTGAGTCCCTGGCAGCTCACGATGCTATCGTGCAGGCGCACGGCTCCCTCAACACGGTGGCTGCGTCGCTGAACAAGATCGCCCAGGACATCAGGTACTTGGGCAGCGGTCCTCGCTGTGGTCTCGGAGAGCTCATCCTTCCCGAGAATGAGCCCGGCTCCAGCATCATGCCCGGAAAGGTCAACCCCACCCAGTGTGAGGCTCTCACGATGGTCTGCGCGCAGGTCATGGGCAACAACGTTGCCTGCACGATTGGCGGCATGAACGGGCAGTTCGAGCTCAACGTCTACAAGCCTCTGGTCATCCGCAACCTGCTGCACAGCACCCGTCTGCTGGCAGACGGCATGCGGTCGTTTGAGAAGAACCTGGTCGCGGGTCTGCAGGCCAACGAGGAGAAGATTGGCAGCATCATGAAGGAATCGTAAGTCCAGCTGCCCCGGACATACTGCCGAGGATTACACGATGGGTAGCTAACATTACGTGTGCATCAAGCCTCATGCTTGTCACCTGCCTCAACCCCAAGATTGGCTACGACATGGCCAGCAAGGTCGCCAAGAACGCGCACAAGAAGGGCCTCACCCTGAAGCAATCTGCGCTGGAGCTCCAGGCATTGACCGAGGAGGAGTTCGACACCCTCGTGAAGCCTGAGCTCATGGTCGGGCCGAGCCCATACAAGGGCTAAGCGCATTGCCTGTGATGATGACCTGTAAAATGCCTAGTTTGAATTGACTGCGTGTGTGCACAACACACACAACATGCTGTCACAGACCCTATATCCCAAGCAAATCGGTCCTCTATACCTGAGTATTCACGTAGCGATAAAAGTCAGCTCTGGAGCAAGAAAGGGGAAATAAAAATTCAAATAAATAAAGGGGTTAAGTGTACTATGCTGTATGTGGCGTGTAGAGTATCAAATAGAGAAAATGCGAGACAAGAGAGCGCAGTACGACGTAACGAAGACACTAGCGAATGTCAACGGTAATGTTGCATATGTCTGGGTCCGCGATTCAGCCCTACACCAGCTGACAGGCTCATTCTTGCCTGATATCGTTGTGGCCCTCCTGACGATCAATACAAATCCTGGCCTTCAGTGCTCGGAGTAGAAGCTCCCCCCCAATGACGGCCCCCCTCTGAGAGCCAGGCGTGGCTGCGGACCCCCACCCCGGCAAGGGGGTTCCCTGAGGGCCTGCCTCTACTGGCAGGTGGCCGCGCTGCAGCCCGCCCCAGCTAAGGTACGGCATGTCTCCGAACCTTGGAAAATAGGGAAAGCCAATTCCTGAAGTGTATTGCCTCGACCCCTCTCTGCCCTCTTCTTCCAAGGTCATAGCCCATGGTCCACGGTCCACGGTCCACCGCCCACTCCAGCCAGAAACAAGAGCCAAAGCCAAAAGCCAAAAAGCCAGAGCCGGTGCCCGAGAGTCAGTCCGTCAGTGAGCGAGTGAGCGGCCCTGGAGAAAAGGCTCTTCAATACCACCGCCAACCCTGTGCATTCTTGTATTATTATTGTACATATCCATCCGTGTAGTCGATAGCCCACATAGGCCCCCTCACCCACGTTATTGACATCGTTATCCAACTATTACATCTTTAGTAAAGAATCACTCATCAAGCGTGTTGGCAGGGAGACACACCACTGCACGCTGCCCGCCGCACCGCTGCCCACTGCCCGCCCAACATGACGACTAACGACAGCCCCTCCAAACCCGTCTCGGTCCGGCCCCGGCTCGACTCCTCCAAGAGGAGCAGCTCATACCTGCAGGAATTCCAGCAGTACCGTCCTCCCAACAAGCCCGAGAGCAGCTTTGGCATCGACACCGTTGTCGAGGATGCCTCTGCCGCGAGCAGGACTCCCGCTGTCACTGCTGCTGCCGCCGCTGCCGTGAGCACCAGCGCCAATGCCAATGCCAATGCCAATGCCAATACGCCCTCGCCTCCTCCCGCCTACCGAGGCGTCCCATCGCCTGACAACCCGCCCAAGGTCGTCGAGAGCGGCCTGAACCACGACCTGTCGCATCCCAACTGCGCACCACCACCCGGCGCCTCCTCGCAGAAGCTGGTCGCCACGCTGTTCTACAAGACCAAGAACCAGCGCATCTCCAACAATGCCATCCCCTCGCCCCAGGCGCCGGCGTCGCCAACGCAACAGCACAAGGGACAGCCGTCCGCGCCGCACTCCGAAGGCTCCGACATCCCCGCCAACATGGCGCCGACCACCGACCCCGAGTCCTTCCCCCTCGAGCCGCCCGCCGCAGAGCCCGAGCCCCTCGACCACCTGTACGGCTCGTACGTGTCGCCGCTGTGCGTCACCTCCTTCCTGCACCTCATGTCGGGCTTCCCGCTGCCGCCCGGGTCCGAGAACATGACCTCGGCGCACCGCTGCCTCGACAACAGCGAGCACCCGCTCGTGGTGGAGCTGACGCTGTCGCCGGCCCCGGCCCCGAGCTACCTGGAGCTGGCGGACCTGCGCAAGCACGAGCTCATCTACCGCTTCGAGCGCGAGTGGAACGTCGACGTGGCCCTGCAGCGCGACCTGCTGTGGCGGCGGCACCCGCGGCTGGTCGTCTTCGACATGGACAGCACCCTCATCACGCAGGAGGTCATCGACCTGCTGGCCGCCACGATCAAGGACCCGCCCGACCTGGCCGCCCGCGTCGCCGACATCACGCACCGCGCCATGCTGGGCGAGCTGCAGTTCGAGAGCGCCTTCCGCGAGCGCGTCGCCCTGCTCAAGGGCCTCCCCGAGACCATCTTCGAGGAGCTGCGCGCCGTGCTGGACGTGACGCCCGGCGTGCGGCCGCTGGTGCGCGCGCTCAAGAGGCTCGGCGTGCGGACCGCCGTGCTGAGCGGCGGCTTCCAGCCGCTGACGGCGTGGCTGGCGTCGGAGCTGGGCATCGACCACGCGCACGCCAACGAGGTCGTCATCGAGGGCGGCAGGCTGACGGGCGAGGTCGCGGGCGTCATCGTCGGGCGCGAGCGCAAGGCCGAGCTGCTGGCGCAGATCGCGGCCGCCGAGGGCATCGACCTCAGCCAGGTGGTCGCCGTCGGCGACGGCGCCAACGACCTCAAGATGATGGCCACCGCCGGCCTGGGCGTCGCCTGGAACGCCAAGCCCCGCGTGCAGATGGAAGCCGGCGCGCGGCTCAACGGCGACAGCCTGCTGGATTTGCTGTACCTGTTTGGCTTCACGAGGGAGGAGATCGAGATGTTGTCTGCATAGTTTAGCTTTTGATATCCAGGTTGGGAAGTGACAAGGGCGGGTAGAGGTGGTTTTTGGGGGCTTGGGGAGGGGGGGGGGGGTTTGACGGATGCTTCACTTCTGGACCCGGCACGGTAGACTGTCCAGATGGGGACGACTTTCACAGGCTGGGCCCGGATGGTCACTTTGGCAAATAGGAGAAATCCAAAGGCTTTTTACTCAAGGTGTATGCGATGTTCCCTGAATCGTGATTGCGCTCTTGAGAACCTAGGAGAATCGAAAGGGATGATCATCTTTGCATCTCTGTGAAAAGCTGTTCCAAACACTGATCGGCATATCCTGTTTTGCCAAAGTACTTTTCCCCGTGTCGTGTCCTTCCCTGTCCAAAAAGACCCCCCAGCTTCAAGCCGGCTTCCGCCTGGCAAACCAAAAGCAGTTCCATGGTCCCACGCCGACTTATTCTGCTTAAGCTGCACGCAAAGATTACTGTTCCCGCTAAACCTCGGTCTCGGGTTTCTCCTCTGCCACTTCCTTCGTTGATTCCTGCGCCAGAGCCTGCGCCTGAGCCTGAGCCTGCGCCTCCGTGTCAGCCGTCTCCGCGGGTTCGCCGGTCTGGGTTGTCTCGCCAGTCTCCACGGTCTGGCCGCTCAAGCCAGTCTCGTCGGGCTGGGCCGGCTGGACTGGATGGGCCACCTCTTCGAGCTGGGTGGTCTGGGCCGGCTCGGCTGTTGCGGTGTCAGGAAGACCTGTAGGAAGAGATGGTGGTGGTGGTGCATCATCTTCGGCCTGCTGGTTCAGACTCGTCGACAAAGAACCCAGGATGTCGAAGCTCCCGTCTTCGGTCGCCACGTCTTCAGTTCCTACGTCCTCAGTACCCACGTTCTCAATGCCTACATGCTCAGTTGCCACGTCATCGGCTCGCGTGTCATCGGCCCCAACAATGTCCTTGACCTCAGCATCCTTGTCGCCCCTGTCTTCGGCTCCCACGTTTGCAGCTCCCGCGTCCTCAATAATTACGTCTTCAACACTTACAGCACCTACACCCTCTGCGCCTGTGTCCTTGGAATCGATGTCCTCGGCCTTGATATCGTCAGCTCCTACGCCTCCGATTACCTCCTCAACTGGAACTTGTTCGACTGAGGGTGGCGAGGGTGCAGGTGCAGGGACTGGCGCAATTATCGGAGACGGTGGCGCCGGCTCAGTGACTGCAGGAATTTGTTGGTCTGAAGTTTCAGGCGCCTGACCTGGCATCGGTTCCTCACTGGATGGTAGCGGGACGTCTTCCTTCGGAGGTGCGATTGGAAGTTCTTGGGTCTGCAGGGGTGCCTCGACTACTGGTGGCGGTTCGATGACTGCTGGTGGCTCGACTACAGGCGGTGGTTCAATGACGGGTGCCGATTCGACTGCGACGGGTTGGACGACTGGTTGATCAGGAATCGGTTCCGGGGCTATCATTTCGGATTCGGTGGTGGTGGAGGTGATGCCTTCCATTCCGGTAGTCTCTGTAGGAGCTGTTTCTGCGGGCACTGGAGCGGCCGGTTCTGCAGGCTGATTGTCAACGGGATTTTCTCTAAAGAACGCCTGCGAGAGCAGAATCTCTTGCTGCGGCTCTGGCACTGATGGCTGAAGGCCGAGGGTGGACTCACCCGGCACCTCAGAGAGACCAGTGTCTGCGTTCACCGGCGCGGCTGTTGTTGCGATTGGCGACAAATGTGGTGATGGATCCGTTGGCGACCGGAGGGTCACGTTCTTCAGCGGGCTCCCCTCAAGATGCGTAGATTCGGTAACCAATGGAGGCGGTACGAGGTTCGCGCCAGGCTGTGGCGCGTCTGTCGTCACCGTAACAGGCGGAGCATCTACCGCAGAGTCCGAGGGTGTGTATGAAGGCGCGTCTTTCATCTCCTGATCTTCTCCCTCTGCGGCAGGTGTCCCACTCTCATCGCCATCGCCCTCATCATCATCGCCGGATCCCTCATCTCCATCCTCATCATCAAGCGCACTAGACTCGTTCATCTCGATGTCACCGCCATTCCGTGAGCCGTCCTCGGCCTCGATCTTAACGCCCTGCGAGATTGTTAGACACACTTGATCTGACTTCAAGAAGCGCATACTCACATCTGGACCAACGTTATCGGGTTTGAGCTCGGTAGTACCATCCTGTTGGGGAATCGGTCGAGAAGGTGTAGCCAGTGGCAGTCTTCCCCGTCCTCTCCCGGCACGGCCGCCGCGGCCACGGCCTTTCTTCTTCTGAGGGATCGGCGGCTTTCTTCTCATCGGGGTTGCCGCAGATAATGCTGCCTCACCAGTCGCCTCGGGCGCAGGAACAACACTTGTGGAAATGATCTCTCCATCGACGGCCTGTCCATCGGGGATGATCACTTCCTGCGTGTATGGGTTCCCTGCAGCATCAACCCTCTTGACCGTGGCTTTCGTAACCATAGGGCCTGTGACTTGTGTCCCGAGCTGCCTGGACGGCCGCGTAATAGTGCCCTTTTGCCTCGGGGCCAGGTGATTGATACCTGCATCCTCAGCGCTACGGTCTAGCCGTACCCATTTCTTGACCTTATAACTGTAGCCCTCGCTCGCCGCCGACTCTTTCTTCTCCTGTTTGTCACCAGGTATACCGTCGGCGTCGGCGTCATCTTCCTCGGGAAGGGGTCGTTTTCTGTACAGCTTGCCGGAGCGCGCCAGCCTTAGGAGTTCTTGGTTGTGGGGTGTCAGCAGCGGTGTATCTCTAGGCATCCCATGCGGTAGCTCCTGGGCCCAGCGATCGTGCTTCTTGTTCTCTTCTCGTTCGGGAGGGGGAGCGATTGTGACCATTTGCTGGCGCCATTGTCGGACAGGTAGACCTTGTAAATCTTCGTCAGCTGTGATTCGGGTATGCGATTCGCAGTTTCTGCAGCATTTGCGACATCCCTCCGAGTGGCCGCCCCGCCACCTCAACCCTCGGGTACAGGAACACTCAAGGTAGTCCAGGCCGATCAAGTCCTGGTAATCTTCGATTGACCTGGAGCCTTCCATTGTTCGTGCGATAGCAGACGATATGCCGATTCGAGCAACTGATATCCAAATAAACGGTGGGAAGCGCCTTTCATACCTTCAAAATCATCGTGCTCTGCAAAGCCACTTCGATTTCCGCGCCTGGTGTTAGTGGCCGTTGTCCTGTACTGTGGGTTGCGCCATTGCTATCAGCACCTCTGCGGACCAGATCTAGTGTTGAGATGGGTCGGGAACCAATATGTGACTCACTCCAGGTGCCATATTCGCAAGGCTTGGACAATGATGGCGGTCGAGGCTGCGTGTGGGAGTATATACGCCGCGGCGTCGCAGAGAGCAACGTCTCGTTCGCGGAAGGCCCTCGGGTGTTAATTGAATAGCAGATGAGATGGACGAGGCTTTTCACGGCTGCGAATTATCAAGCCACAAAGGCGCTGAGAAGGAAGCGGTGGTGATAATCTCGATGCTGCTAATACGACATGGGAATCGAGTCGAGCAATGGTCCGTCGTCGCGATGGGAGCGCTGGGTGACGCGCCAGTCGAGGCTGGTTCCAAGGCTCGAATCGAAGTACAGGTACCCAGGTAGCCGCGGGCGCCCGGCCACTTTAGTACTGGTCAAGGGGACCGACCAGCCACTAGAGGGTTGGACCCTGGCAATCCAACCACGATTGTGTGCTGGGCCTACAACAGCTTCACGGTATGCCCTTTGATATCATCAACCTTGGTGGTCGGAACTGATGTTCCTCATCCTGCTCCTGCTAATCGATTTCATTCATTTCAGCGCTATTTAATCTGTCAGATTCTCATTACTGCACCCGGCGGGAGACCATCTGCCTACCTTCGACAGCTCATGACCCTCCACCGTCACAGGTCACTCGCTCATCACTGCCGCGCCTGGGGCAGTTTCTGTCCTGCCCTTCAGCTTTCAACTTAGTCTGGTCTACTCGGGCCACCCCATACGGGCATTGTGGGTCCATTTTGGTCATCATGGGTGAAGCTTGGGATGAACTCGCCGCCTTGCGAACCCGTCGGGGAGAATGCGCCGAGGAAGTGGCCAGGATAAAAGCCAAATGCGCCCAGGACCATCCCCAGCACAAGCACGTTCTGGAATGTCGCGAGTGCTATCCCAAGGTTATCGACCGCATGCGCAGCTGGTATCTGGACACCAAGAATCAAGAGTGGTTCTCCGGGCGCGAGGTTTTTCTAGCCGAACTCAGGGCCTTGTTTGCCGCAGCGCTGGATCATGCGGTTGGCTTGGAGGAGATCGATGCGCGCATCGACGCGGAGCGGCGCAAATGGTATCAGGAACAGATCAAGGCTTCGCCTAGTATCCGGAAAAGCCTGGAGGAGTTGACGGATCACAGGGAGGTGCTTGCGAAAGTCGGAAGTGGTGCGCCGTTCGAGGATCTCATGGAAGCGATGCAGGCCGCCCTTGATGGTTCCAGCAGCAGAGAGGATGCCAAGAAGAGCCTGGATCGCCTGATGGTGGCCAAGTCACCAGAGGAAAGGTACCAGCTTTACAAGGAGACATTCTTCCAGGGCTCATCGGACGAGCACGTTTCTGAAAAGACACAGCTATATGCCGACAGACTCCAGACTGGTGCGACAATGGATGAGATCGTGAACAAGATCTCCTTGGACCGCCGCTCCAGCATAGGGGCATCGGATCAGAAGGAGAGAAACCGCAAGCGGATAGACGAGCTCCGCAGAGCCAGGGCCGCACACGAGCTGCAAAAGTCCAAGAAGGCGAGCGGTCGCAAGGACAGCTCACAAAAGCCGCAGCCTCCGAGCGAAATGTACGACCAACCTCCGTGCAGCGTCTGCCGGAGAGATGTGGACACCAGGAGCTTCATTCCCTGCAACGCATGTGTAGTCATGGTGGACGCAGGCATCCGGTCAAGGACTACGGTCTACTGCTCGCCTGCTTGCAGGGATAGTGATCGAGGCGAAGTGAGTCCAGATTTCCCTACCCTCATATCCGTATATTTGTTCGGGTGAAATGGATGTTGCACAAGGCGAGGGACTGGGAAGCGACAAGATTCGCTGCCAGAACTTTGAATTACAGCCGAGCTTAGAGGGCCTCTGTCATTTCTTGCGAAATTTCTTATTCATCCAGAACGATTTGTCTCTAGCCTTGCGAATGTTCACCTTTGCATCATTCTGGGTCTGATAATTGCTAACGGGAAACAGGAACTCCACTTGGAAGAAAGTCACGCATGCGCAAGCGGTAATTATTGCACACAGATTACCGATGAGGACATTGATATGGACATGGATAGCAAGTGGCTTCTTCTGTGCCGGGAATGCACCCATCTCCACAAAGTTGAATCGATATTCTGCTCCATGCGATGTGCAGATGTCAATTTCAGGCGTCATCGAGAAGAAGTGCACATACCAGGCCGGATGCGAAGATCGATTCAGGTCAATAGGGACATCGATGACATCGTTTTTGATGGAGAGGACAGGTCCAGGTATCATGCGAGGGACATCAAGTCGCACGTGGTGCCATTAGATGATATGTTGGAGGATTTCGCGCAGAGGAACGGGGTCGACATACATTAAGGGCAACTTATCGTCATTGCATGCTGGACCCCATTTCATGTATCGCGTGACGTGGAGTATCATTCGTGTTGGATATGTACACCTCGGTCAATAAGTACTGAATGGGGGTGGGGCCAAGACAGCTTCAGGTTGTAGACCTGAAGACACGAGATCAAGGCTAGAGTGCATCTGAACGCCTCTCGCACTTACTTGTAGTCAAAAATACATAAGATACCCATGCACGCAGTTTCCTTCTCAAAGGGCTCGCTCTCCGCAGGGACTTCTGCAAGCTCTATCGAGTCTTCCTATGTGTCTTCTGTTCATAGTCGAGGCCATATAATCTCTTCAGGATGTGTGACAACGATAACCTCGTGCGAGAATTGAGAGGTAGACAGTCATGAATTAGTGCTGAGAGTTTCATGAAGCATGAGAATAATGTTGTGGGCATAAACATTGCCGTCTTCGTTCTAGAATTATTGCTTGGTAAGTAGTAAAGCCCTCCACACAGGACAGCGTATGCTCATGTCCAAACTGGCCTCAAAGATCCCGCGTCTTCAAGACAACGGCACGCATCGTCAGATCGACTGTATGTGTCTTGCTGGTACTCGACTTTTCGCAAAGTGAGCATGTACAGAGACTGGTGTATCCATGATATACGAAACAGTGAGTACGTTCATTACTGGCGCGGTGCTGAGTTCCATGCATTAGAGCCGAGTATGAAGAGGCCGGCGAGCGTAGAAAGATATTTACCCTCGCATATCTCAACGGTCAAGATCTTTGGATGAGTTTATTTGTATCAACAGTCCAATAGTAATTATTTTTTACTATAACGTCACTTCGATTTCAAATAGACTGATAGCTCCGAATAGAAGAAAGTAAAAGAATTCAGAGCGACAATTTACCAGAGACATGTCGCACACAATATGCCCAGATAAAAAGATGTCAACGAAAACAATGTCTGGGTCTTTATTTTTGGAAAAGGCAATCGCACGGAGACTATTCATTACCAAAACTGTGACACGGGATATTTAATGGACAACATGGCAGATCCTAATAACTCACAGAAACTCGGAATTTGCTCGATTGTTACACAAGCAAATGCCGACTGTTTCAAAACAGCCCTGACCATCTTGAGGGCTCATGGAAATGACATCTTATAATGATTGTTTGTGTCCACTTACTTATCTGTTGCTGATCGTGTTCTGTCATCCAGAACTGCGCCGTTCGTTCTTTGACGCCTGTTGCCAGAAAACAAACCCGAGCTTGAGTGAAGGCGCTAGAGAAGGCGAGATTGACATAGTTCGGGACACTGCCCACAAGTAATTGTTCGGTTTCTCCGTCTGCTCGGCCATGTTTCTCGGCCGAAGGAGATACGGTAAGATAGAACTGCACCAACTGTGATTCAGCAGCTACAGTTCAGGTTTGAGCAGATAAGCATGTTACGGATTTAACAGAATCAATACTTCAATGCACAACAGAGTGACAGGGAACAGACTCCGTCCCAAATTTGTAGGATCTTGAGGATTGGAAAACCTGCGGGACGTAAAAGAATCGAAGCCTGTGAAAAGTGGTACTGTGACTGTGGCAGATGAAGTTGAAGGAGGGCACTAATAGAGCTGTCATAGAACGGGCTACTGCAGCAGTTGGGGCCTACTGTACCTACCCGGCAACGCCGAGCCCGACCCTTTTCAATGCGAGCGGCCTCGGGCCAAAAAGTGTTGCATCATAGGCCGCGCCGGCCTCAGATTTCAAATAGCTCAGAAAATCTCCTTCCCTCCGCCCCCCATCTGTCCCCATGCACAATCCCTAGCACTCCCGCCATGTCGCTATCATCGGCGCTCAAGGGCGATTCGCCCCAGCAAGTGCGGTCGTTGGTGAGTCCCTCGTGGTTCCGGTCCCGGGTCGCGCAGGCGGGTGCAAGACACACGCGGCCTCGCTTCAAAAACAGTGATATTGACCACTTTTCTTGCCAGTACCGCCAACTCCTCCGGCAGAGCGAGCAATTCGCATCCTACAATTTCAGAGAATACGCGAAGAGGCGGACACGGGACGCGTTCCGTGAGAATAAGGCGGTCGATGATCAGAGGAAGATACAGGAGCTGGTACAGAAGGGCCTGAAGGAGCTGCAGATGATGAAGGTGCGACCATGTCTCATACTTCCACCAAGAGAAGACAGATGGAAGCGTGGCTGTCGTGCCACTCATTGCTCAAGAGGATGAAGAGGCTAATAATATGGCAGCGACAAACGGTGGTTGGCCATTTCTTCGAACTGGACCGATTAGTGGTGGAGGGCGGGATTTCGGTATGCTGGCTTCTCCTAGGAGCATCGTGTCGGACTCCAAGCTGACCTCATTCAGGGCAAACAGAAAGGGAACAAGGGCGGCATCGTGCGACAGAAGGATCAAGGGTATGTTGACGCCTATATTTCGATGTTGAGGCCACAAACTGCTGTGTGATAGCTACTGACATGCTGCTCCTTCAACAGTTGGAACTGAGCAGCTTCACACATTGGTGGCTGCGTTGTGGCATGTGCCCTACGAGCGAGAGGCACTTGAAGGCTATTTTACGTTGACGGTTTGGACATGGTCGGTCTACGGCGTTTCCAGGCTAGGAGAAAGGCCTTTGTACATCAACATTGCCTTGTACAACAGGAGCTCAGCGGCAAGAGCAGGGACGGAGAATATCAAAAGGACAGGGAAGAAAGCGACAGACCCAGCCCGACGATGCTCGCATCTTGGGCAGGCTGTGGTCCGCGACTGGCATGCTGGCTAGGTCAATCTCTGGTCACCGGCGCCGTGTGTCGCTCATTGTCGATTATCTGCACTCCTCACTTACACAAATGATACCATGAACGCTCTGAACTTGTAGAAGTGTTCTGAATCTGAATGCTCATTCCAAAAATCATCATGGTGACAGTGAAACCTGCTGAATATGCTGTTTAGGCGTAGTATTCAACTACCGAGGTGATGTTTCTTAGCTCTGCCGCCCGCCACTTTTCTTAGGCCCTGCAATCGCTCTTCTGTCGCGTTCCGCTCGTGTGCCCCCCAGCCATTTCGCCTTCCTCCTGAGCACACAAGTCAAAATGGTACGTTCCTATTCATATCTTATGCTGTCGCTACAGCGCGTTCACCGGACTAATCCACTTTCTGTAGGCCGACAAGCTCCGTACCCAACAAGAGCTCGAGCGCCTCCAGGCCAAGTACATCGGCACCGGGCACCCGGACACGACGAGCTGGGAGTGGAAGACCAACATCCACCGCGACACGAAGGCCAGCGTCGTCGGGCACACCCCCTTGCTCTCCTACATGGCACTCGCCCAGAACGAGCCCATGGCGAAGGTCAGGGCGCAGCTCATCCGGCAGATGGTCCAGCCCGTTGGACCCCCGCCACCGAGGGAGGACGAGATGGTCCTGCCCGCCGCGGACAACGGAGGCTCATGAAGAGTCAGATGGGGCTATTACGACCGCAGAACCAAACTCGAGTGACGTCTCAGCCGTGGGACAGATCCACTTGACAACGAGCGCACGCCGACCCCGACGTCACGCAGAGCAAACTCGGAGGGAACAACAGGCTTGCCATTACGGTGCCAGAGGGAAAGGAACCGCTGCTAAAGATCATTGTGGGCATGGATGGACAGACAATTCAGAATAGCAATGGCTGCGCCTCAGGGGGTATCAATTCTTGTCCATTCCAGGCATAGCCGCGCAGCTGGAGATGGACCGTCCAGGGTTTTCGTCCACCAAGGACGTTGACCTACAAATAGCAAATACAGATGAGCGAGAGACGCGTTGCCTGTCTTTCCACGCTTCAATCTTCCTCGTCGTCGTCCGCTTCTTCGACTTGCCTCCGCCGGCCCGATCTTCTCCTGCTCGGGCCTTCGCCGTTGTCCTTAGCAACATCCCCATTGTCGGCATTCGAGGCTCCCCCGTTCACAGCATCGCCATTCTCTGCAGGCGCCTTCTTGTCTGGGATTTGCAGACTATTTTGCAGCTTGGACTCAAGCTCGTCGTCGTCTTGCTCGCCCCAGACTTCCCTCACCACCCCTGCCACAACCTCATCGCTCACCTCCACCTTGCCTCGTGGTCCCACGTACCATGTCGTAGCCTCCTGCTCGTCGCCGTGTTGCCTGGCCTCCTTGTCGATGTTCTTGATCAGATAGCCTTGCCTCTGCAGCCTTGCCAGAGTGTCTTCTGTCTTCGTGCTATGGAAGGAGTTGGTCTCCGCGTTGAGGCGCCGCAGGTAGCGCTTCAGTTTGGAGTCGCTCATCTCGCCGCCGTTGATGCGGATCAGCGAGATGAGCAACGTGTAGAAGGCGACGTACGCGGCCTCATCTTCCGCACTCAGGAATTTTGACGGTGCGATAATCTTCGGGGTTTTGTATGCGTCGGGAAGTACGGAGACAAGGACGTAGCTGTTGGAATTCGAGGACTTGGTCTTGGATTTCGCAGCTGTAGGAGGGTCGTTTAGCAGTGCGTGCAAGTGAAAAGATGTTCTTCGACGTACCTTTACGCTTCTCCTCTTTGGTTAACTTATCTCTAACGGGAAGTTCGACCATCTCCATGCCAAAGACTGCGCGGAGTGTCTTCTGTGCGCCGTCAAACACTCTCCTAAATGATCGACTTTGGTCGCCCAGGACTGTTTTTACTGTCAGATCACAACCCAATTGCTTCTGGCACAGTAAATTCCTTAATTGGCACACCTTTCTCCTTGATGCCATCCCTCCGTATTGGTGCTCGAGAGAAATCGCAGGCCATGGCATATCTGACAAGCTTTTTGATTAACTGGCCGTCCGCCGACTCTGCCTGCTCCTCGTCCTCTCCCTCATCAGCTTCCTCGGCATCTTCATCATCGACATCGCTCTCTGGCTCGGCGAGGCGCTGGCGCTGTCTAGGCCTCTGTTCCTCTTCCGTATCGTCGGCGACCTTGAAGGAAGCTGCGTTAGCCTAGCGATATCAAGGACGCGCCGAAGAGGTACGACTCACTTGGCGCAACCTTCTTGATGTAGAGGGCATGACTGTAGTGGACGTGGTAGTTGCTATCAACCTACCACAAATCGAAAGGGGAAAGACAAAAATAGAGGGAAGTTACAAAATGCAATGGAGTACAAGATCATGTGTGCATACAGCGAAACCCAGCTTCCTTGTAAAGCGACGCGACTGGGCAATGAATTAAGACGCGTCTGCGGGCCGAGGCAGTGCTGTAGTCTGTAGTCAATTACCCGTCTAGGTACTGTGCAGCACTGAAGTACCTAAGCACAGTGGTGAGATGCCTGCCGGAGATCGTGTAAGTCGAGAGCTCTCAATAAATTTTTGGACTCGAACCCACCAGCTTTTCCGGCACTGCGCGCCACCCACCACCCTCTGTCTCGTCTTGAGACCTTTCGTCGGGTTCCATTTTGACTTCATGTTCTCTTCCTCGGCATTGGGTGGCTCGATCTGTCTCAGATGCCAAATCCGCGCCGTTTCCCGTCGAGCACCTCCGCTGCTCGCCGCGGCGCAGATCCGCGGTAGACGACGACAATATGCGTCCGACTCAACGAACTCTCGGCCGGGAGACGCCAGGCCTGCAGCGGAAATAAGAGAGCAGGGTCGCGAAAGGGAACAGAGGCTTGACGGATCTCGTCAGCCTCACCCGGATGAGACCTCCAATTCTAGCGTCACTGAGAAAAGCTTGTCCGACACATACGCTTCGATTGTTAAGGATGCTCTTGACCTACCTGACGGGACTGAAACTGGAAGCCACATCCTTAGCGATATCGAGAGAACCTCCGAGCAGCATCAGGACTCACGAGCCAATACCGACCTCCTAGAAAGGACACTCAAAAGCGAGTCCGAATACAGAACAAGAGACAGGAAGGATCAAGGGGAATTGTTCTTCGGCGAATCCCGGCAGCAAAACCTCTCCATGAAGACTAGGACCCTGGCAAAGCGGAAATGTCCTCATTGTCGAAAAGTTTTCCAGACGGCGGCAAGCTGTGAGGCTCACCTCAGGCAGGGCTGTGCGTCAATCAAACAAAGGGACCTCAAATGTTCAAAATGCGGGGATACCTTTGCCACGAAGCAGCTGTTGCATCGCCATACGGCGAAACGCCTGTGCCCTGCAGAGGTGGGACCCGAGGAGCTGGCTGCGAACCAGGAAGCCCAGAAGATGGAGGACGTCCTCGAGCAGGCTGCGGCGAAATTCTCTAGAAATTCAAACCACACAACCTCTAGCAGAGGAAAGCCCGCTTTAGCCGAAGATTGGAGCCTTCCTCGACGTCAGGAGCCTGTGGAGGAATATCATCAGACTGCTGCAGCTGATCATGGGCCCAGCACGTCTGCTGGACAAGATCACAACGCGGACATGGAAGCTGCCCTTCAACCCGACCCTGCAACAACCAACAAGGAGCGTGGCCCAGCGGTGACAAAGGCTGCCATTCAAGAGGAGCCTGCTATAGATCAGTACAAGGGAGACGAGCAGTCGACAGAGGAGGGCTCGGATGATTTCCAGAACCGCAAAATCGTGCGTATCACTAGGGGTCGGAAGAGAGAACATAGAAGGGGTCGCATGATGTTGATAGAGGATGCCTCGAGACTTGGCATTGAGACACTTGGTAAGGAAGCTGAGGTAATTGTCCTGAGGGATGGTCGGCAATGGGAAAGAAGGGCGTCTCCTCTCGAAGCCAGCTCGGGGGAAATAGTGGATGCCGGCATGAAGTTCGAGGATTTTCTGGATGAACAGGGCATCGTCAGTCTGGATGACGTTGTGCAAAACATCCATGGACTGAAACCGAAACGCCAGATCGTTTCTGGGCGGGAGTTCAAGTCCTTGTTCAATACGCTGTTGAGTGGTTTTACGGCTCTCCAGCTCGAGAAGTATGTGTTCTGGTATCGTGAACAGCCAATTTTGAAAGCGATCAAAGATGAGGTCTTTAGCGAGACCTCCGGCGGAGCACAAGTAATGCCAGAGGACATACTCGACAAACATCGGCAATATACCTGGATGACAGAGCAGACACCTTGGATTCCTGCCGTGGACGGTGCTGTAGAAGAGGCACAATATCCCTTGACAGGATACATAATGAAGTCGATGCCGCCAAAGCAGAGACTGGTCATCCAGCTCATGCGGGAATGTTGGGACCTATCAATGCAGGAGCTCCTGGATGGTAATGGCCGCGTTGATATCCAAGTGCGCGATCTGGAATTCAAACTCCTTACTCGTAAGTATAGAACCGTCAGAACAATTCTCGGGTGCGCAGCTGACAATGCATGTTTCAGTCGGCAATCAGCGCTGGCTGAAGCGCATATCGCACATTTTCTTGAAGGAGGGACAGCACATCGAAGTTAGGCGTTCCAGCAACCTCGTTCGCATACAAGCTCCCAAAGCCGTTGCTGAGACCTGTGTGCATGCGCTTGATGAGACACTAAAGAAGGCCAAGACAAAGTCCTTCAATCTGGATCAGGTTCCCTTGCAACAACGCCTTGATGCTGGAATATTTGAAGAACTCGGGAGAATCACGAACTCGGTCGTCGAATATGACCGCCTGAAAGAAGTGGTAAGCAGAATTATCAGCCATCATCCCCCCCCCCCCGAAATGGATAACTGACAGTTGAGTCCAGATTCACGTTACCTGGATCGACATCAGGGATGAAAAATCCCAGACCACACTCGAGAATTCAGGAGAAGTCGTTTTCCGCCTACTTCTGACCGCTCATACACCCGTCAGAACATCGAACAGCCTCACAGTCTACCCTGATGATGTTGAAGGTGGAGGCAGGGTTGTCGAGGACCACAGCAACAAGGAGAAGTTGCCATGGATGGACCGGCGTAGGGAGTGGGCTCGGCTTTGTCTACCGCTCACACCAAAGCAGCCTCGCGCAGCGACATCGTGGTCGCTAACGACTGATGTGCTGAAATTCAAAATTCAGCCTGCGGGGGAAGATCTCGTTCTGCCGACTTCAGAATTCCAGGAAAAGATCGACGCATTCTACCAGACTGTGAAACCGATAGGACTACCCAGATCAGAAAAGGAACAGTCGGAAGAGCAGTCGGAAGAACAGGCACAGGAGCAGGCACAGGAGCAGGCACAGGAACAAGAACAAGCACAAGAACAGGAACAAGAACAAGCACAAGAACAGCGTTCGAAGCAAGATTCAGAGTTGGAAGCTGTTAAAGCCACTCCATCTGGATGGAAACCATTCAAAATCACGACTCACGCAGCGTTCGGGCATGTTCTGCACCTCAATGAACCCAAGCTGGCTCAGAAGATCGCTCGACCAAGTATCTCAACCAGTCTGGCCAGCTGGCCGAGAACATTCGTCCCTCTGATACCCCCGGTGGCTCAAATGGACCTACCTGGATGGGTCCCATACGACGGAATCAAGGACAGGCCATCCACCATTCTCATGCGCTTCACTCCGTACTCTGAGGAAGCTGAATACTCGGACCATCCCACCATCTACACCAACAAAGCACCCCCATTGGAGCTGCGCCTCCTCGCCAACGACCACGACGTCGTAGCAATCCAGTCCCTCCGCGCCATGAACGAGACCAGCATCTCCGACATTCTCCTCCCCGGCGAGCACGTCGACATCCGCACGACGCAGCGCCAGTACGCCGAGCTCCCTGCAGAGAACATCGACGCCACCGCGGGCATGGAGCCCCTGCAGGAGTTCCTCCACAACTCGCGCCTGGAGCCCGCCAAGGGCCAGCTTGTGACGCCCCCGCGGCTGCACAACTTGGGGCTGCCGCGGTGGCTGATAGCGCCGCGGCCGCAACGGCCGCTCCCTTACTCGGCCGAGGGCAACGAGCTGCGCCGGGCGTCGTACGTGTTCGCGGGGCTCGAGGTGCACCGCGCGCTGGAGACGACGTACGACGGGTGGAAGCTCGTGTACACGAGCATCGAGGCGGGCCAGGGCGGCGGGCGCCGCGCCGAGCTAAGCCTCGAGGCCGTGCCGGGCTACGACAGGGACCTGCGCAGGACCAGGGGGGCCATCAACGCCACGTTCTTCCTGCGGTCCATGTACCAGCTCGCGAGGGGCCAGGCAGGACACCTCGTGCGGAGGCCCAGCGACGAGGAGCAGGTCAGGACGACCATCTCGTGGGTTCGGTGACGGGATTTCGATGGAGACAGATAGCCTGGCTGCTGGCCATGGATCGCGGACCGCGATGTTATATGTAGATACTTTGTAGACGATGAGGTGGCAATGGAATGAAAATCCCCATTCAGCTGAGCGCTCAGGGTCCAAGCCTTGCAGCACGTATGAGGCAGGCTATCGGGGCTGCTCCTCACCCGGGAAAACCACTGGGACTGTGCACGGAGACGACATCTTCAAAGCAGTACGCAAAGACATTCGGGGGCGGGAGAGCAAAAAGGGCAGAACGGCAAGTCAGTGGCAGACAGTCCCTATCAAATCGCGTTCTGGGTCGAGGCCGACCTCAGCGGTCATGTTGCTTCAGGAAGCGAAACAGGACCCAATCAGCCAGCCAGCGAGGACGACGGCAGCACGGGGGACGATTGCGGCAGAGCGTAGACTACATGCAATAAACTTTTCAGACAATGCACCAGTAGTACTCATATAGTCACAAACATATCACGATAGTTGAATCGGTCAAAATCTGAAGTACTCAAGGGAATTCCTGATTACTGCGACCCTAAATCACGTCTAAGACTCTATCTCGACCCAAGGCATGAGATGGTTTTACTCGCAGAAATCGCCTGACCATCTCTCATGTCCATACGATCAGTTGCAGAGAACTCGCGAAGATCTCATAGCAACGACCAAATCCGGAGCGACGCTTTTTTGAGGTGTGGATAGGTGGTGTATTGACGAGCTTGTGTGACCTCAAGCTCTTCAAGAGAATGCCAGAACCGGGGGCAGTTTATTTCTTACCAGCCTTGGCAGCGGACTTGGTGACCTTGCCAGAGCCAGCGGCAGCCTTCTCGACGGCCTTGATGACACCGACAGCGACGGTTTGACGCATGTCACGGACGGCGAAACGACCCAGGGGAGGGTAGTCGGTGAAAGCCTCAACACACATGGGCTTGGAGGGAACCATCTTGACGATGGCGGCGTCACCAGACTTGATGAACTTGGGGTTGGCCTCAACAGACTTGCCGGTACGACGGTCAATCTTCTCGAGGATCTCAGAGAACTTGCAGGCGATGTGGGCAGTGTGGCAATCGAGGACGGGTGCGTAACCAGCACCGACCTGGCCAGGGTGGTTGAGGACGATGACCTGGGCGGTGAAAGAAGCGGCGCCCAGAGGGGGGTCGTTCTTGGAGTCACCAGCGACGTTTCCACGGCGAATCTCCTTGACGGAAACGTTCTTCACGTTGAAACCAACGTTGTCACCGGGAACACCCTCAGTGAGCTGCTCGTGGTGCATCTCCACGGACTTGACCTCAGTGGTGACGTTGGCGGGGGCGAAGGTAACGACCATACCGGGCTTGATGATACCAGTCTCGATACGGCCGACGGGCACTGTTCCAATACCACCAATCTTGTAGACATCCTGGAGGGGCAGACGCAGGGGCTTGTCTGTGGGACGCTTGGGGGGCTCAATGGCGTCGATGGCCTCGAGGAGGGTCTTGCCAGTGGCCTCACCACCCTTGCCCTCCTTCTTCCAGCCCTTGTACCAGGGGCAGTTGGTGGAGGCAGTCAACATGTTGTCGCCGTTGAAGCCGGAGATGGGGACGAAGGCAACGGTCTTGGGGTTGTAGCCGACCTTCTTGATGAAGGAGGAGGTCTCCTTGATGATCTCCTGGTAACGGTCCTCGGACCACTTGGTGGTGTCCATCTTGTTGATGGCGACGATGAGCTGCTTGACACCCAGAGTGTAGGCGAGCAAAGCGTGCTCACGAGTCTGGCCATCCTTGGAGATACCAGCCTCGAACTCACCAGTACCGGCAGCAATGATGAGAATAGCGCAGTCGGCCTGGGAGGTACCAGTGATCATGTTCTTGATGAAATCACGGTGACCGGGAGCGTCTGAAGAGCAAGAGCGTTAGCGGATGTCCAACATAGTACCGATTTTCCGCCAGGCTCAGTTCCCTCGAGGAAAGCTTGCCATTTGCGGATGGGTGAGCGCGTATCATAGAACATACCAATGACGGTGACATAGTACTTGGGAGTCTCGAACTTCCAGAGGGCAATGTCGATGGTGATACCACGCTCACGCTCGGCCTTGAGCTTGTCAAGAACCCAGGCGTACTTGAAGGAACCCTTTCCGAGCTCAGCGGCTGTGAAGATGGTAAGTCAGCATGATGCAAGATCTCTTGTAGTAGGAGGATGAGGTGGTAGTGGTGGTGGTATGTAGTGATGTAGTGTGTGCAGGGTTTTCGGGTGGGAGATAAGCTCGCTGATAAGCGCACCCCGCACCCGCACTGAAAATGGAAAATCCAGAGCGAGGGGTGAAAATGCGCCCCCAGGTGTGATGACGCTGTGGGAACGGGCGCACGCCCAGGATTTATGAAGTCGAGCATGTGAAGGGGCATGCAGAATGTGTTGCGATTGTAGAGGTTGATGTTTACTAACCTTCCTTCTCGAACTTCTCGATGGTACGCTTGTCGATACCGCCGCACTGGTAGATCAAGTGACCAGTGGTGGTCGACTTGCCAGAGTCGACGTGGCCGATGACCACGACGTTGATGTGAGTCTTGTCCTGTAGAGATTGTCAGCACCATGTATCGCAATGCCTGGGCATGTTTGATGATGCGAGCGACTGCGACTGCTGCCGCCATCGCTGTTTGTTGCTGCTAGGCGGGAGGGGCTTCTTGTGGGCGGTGACACTTACTTCCTTACCCATCTTGACGGATGTGGATTTGTTTTTTTGAGATGATTGTACTCGCGGAAACTGCTGAGGAGTCAGATGCAGGCCTTGATGAAGGAAGAAAGGAGGTATTCATACGTTTGCAGGATGGATCGCGGACAGGATCTCGGTGTGCAGACGAGGAAGAAAAGAAGTTCAGAAGAGAATTTGAAAGCGGCTGGGAGACTAGAGTTTTGTACTGGGGCCAGATTTTCGAGGGCCAACACGCACGGACCAGGCTGCACGCTGGTGCCCCACTAGCTCCGTCTTTCACTAACAGCTCGACAGTCACCCACTCACCTGCCTGCGAGCCCAGTGAAATCTGAATTCTTCTGTTGCTGTTGCTGTTGCTGTTGCTGTCTTCACACAGGAATCAGCTACGGCATTCTTTCAGATGCCCATTACACGCCGTGCTGAGCCAGGGACATCTGGATGCCGTCATTGAGTCACCCGGTCAGGCCGTCTACAGTATTTGTCCGCATTACAGCTGGGTCTACGTATGCTTATGTGCCTTATCCACCAATACACTCGGCGCAAGAGGATGCCTATGTGTTCAGGCATCCGCATCATGGGAGTGTGCATGGCAAACCGGATGAAATAGAGGAAAGCATGACCTGGAGCCCTGCCGCCACATGCAAATTGATGCTGTTGCTTGACAGGCTTGGATGCTCTTTCCCTATCGCAATGTGGAGGGAGGTACGCTTGTCGTTCTTGACTGAATATTGCAAGAAGCTACCAACGAATGAGCTGGTGCGCAAATTTTTTGATTTGCGAACTCTGCGTTGCGTTGCCATGCCAGCAATCGCCTCCCCTAGCTGCCTGCGAAGCATCTGTGGGGACTGTAAGTTGCGCATCACTTGAAACGCTACCTGGCTGCTGTTATGGATCGACCTCAGATGCCGCCGTCTCCTTGGCCCATTTTTGGGACACCAAGCTGCCTTACCGCCGCCCAATTCTACCCCTCCATGCATCAGCTTCCAAGGCACAGCCAGTCGTCAGTGGCCACACAGTCTAATGTCGGCATGAGTCAAACGGACGAAGGATTTTTTTTCTGGCCCTCGAAATGCGACTGCCTCTGACGGCGTGAGATGCGGTCTTTTATCTGCCGTTAGGAATTCGTCCATCCTGTTGTGAGGCAGTGAGGTCGAGTAAGAGCCCTCTTGCGAGCCTCGAACAACGCATTGCCCAGGCGAGGCCCGCTAAACGCGGGGTAAGGAGCTACGACGTCGCCACTGAAAAAGTTTTTGGCGGGTCTAGAGTTGCCCCTCGAAAGGTTTTGCAGACAAGAGAATAGCTTGCTCGCATGAAGTAAGGGGCGCCAGGGGGGCAATAGCTCCGGAGGTATGGACGGTAACGCCCATTGAAATCCGCTATGCAGCTTGCCGTCTCCAGCTGCGGGACGACGATGACTTCAGGACGCCGCGTAAGGGGCAACGTTTACGTAGCGCACAGCATTGTTATAGACAGACAATCTTCTGTCTTTCGAACTGAGAGCATTATGTCATTGAGTCCACAGTCCGAATCCTTGATCGTCAGGTTCCAGGACTGACCAGCCCGACAGTCCAGCCCAGTCTAATCCTTTGATGGACAGACCTAGATGCTATCGTATAGCAGTCCAGGCAGTGGTCAGCAGCCCCTCAGCCTTGCATGCCATCGGCTCTCTCACGTTGCGATGGAAGGATGGCACCCTCGCATCCAACGCACGAGTAATATTTCGTCTTATCTATTGTACAGGATCAACGGATGCACGCGCGACTTCTGCTGCACAGCAAAGATCATCTCGGTGGCAAGCTCCCAGGCACAGTCGATTGGTGAACTACGCCTCTAGCTTGAACTGGAGTTGCAACAGCGAGGGTCGCGTGCAGCTGACCAGCCCTGCCAGCGTAATCATGGTCCCGTTCACCTACTTTTGAGAACCGGTACTGAGCTTCCGGGGCCCCTGCGAGCTACAGCGGGCTGCTCCAAAATTCCCTGGACTCATGTGTGAAAGCTGCCTTTTTGAGAGAAGCAGTTTCACAAGGGCTGATACGGCAAAAGGGTGTCAAGATGAGGCTTTGTCATGAACGACGGACTTCCTACCACCCTGCTCCGGTCGATTTATTTAACTCATCATGTCATGTAACATATGTTTATTAGGCATTCTCCTGCGGAATTCACTCAACATACAGCAGGCTTGCCCTTGAAATGTCCCAGATATCAAAGTCCTGGTTGGGAACGAGCTCGCACGCCGTATATCCTATTGCATTAAGGTTTTCATTCGACACAATTTAAACACCTGCCTGGCTCTACTTGCTCCCTACCCTCGATCATCTTGTGTTAGAAGCTTTTAGCTCTCCGCAAGAATTAGCAAATTGGCAAAAGGAACAGGCGAGATTCAAGAGCAATGATCAAAATCAAGCAGCGTGAAATATTTTGGCCGGCCACTATGTAAACAGACCAACCGCCGGCCCACTCGTTCATCCCTCGTGGTATTATGTCCAATTGTGACCTCAAAACACCGAAACGCCAAACGTTGATATCGTAACACTCCCGTTCGAAACGCGCTCAGCTTTCAATCTCCAGCATCTGCTTCAGCGCTGCCTCAGAAGCCCTCCACCACCTGCCTCTCTCCTCCAGATCATCCTCAACACCACCTAGTGCCTTCTCCTTCCTCCTGCGCGCCTCCTTCGCCGCCGCTAGGCTGTTCTGCCTCTTCACTTCTAGGGGCTGCAGCTCGGCCTGTAGTCTCTCCATCTCCTTCCGCTTGCGCGGTACCTGCGCACGCAATTGCTCCAGCTGCCTCTCCAGCTCGTGCTTCTGTAGCTTCTTCTCGGCGACCAGCTCCAGCGTCTTGGCCAGGGGCAGGTTCAGGCTCGGGTTCTCCCCAGGCTGCAGCTGCTCACGCAACTCCGCGATCCTTTCCTCCAGCCCGGCGATCCTGTCAGGCAACTCCCGCAGCGTGGCTGTCTCCGTCTGCACACCCTCGTACTTCCTGCTCAGCTCTCGTCCCTTCCTCTCCAGCTCCTCGACCGTGTCGGCGACCTCCATCTTCAGGGCCTTGAGCTGCCCCTTTGCTGCGGCATTCTGCTTCTCCAGCTCCACATTCTCCTGCGGCGTGACGATGAGGGGCGGCTCCCCGACGATGGCGCGGATGAACTTCTCCTTGGTCACCTGCTCCACATACGAGAACCGCAGCTTCGCAAACAGTTCCTTGTAGTGCGCCAGGTCGGCCTCCAGGCTGGCCGGTGTCGCGTCCACGGACGAGCTGGACACGTCGGACGTGCGGGTGCTGTTAGCGTCCTGGCCTGCTTGTGGCAGGGCTGAGGATATAGGCTCGCTGAGTTTTATGATGGAGATCTCGTGTTTTGACTGTAGATCCTCAAGATCCCGAAGGACCTTCTCGGCCTTCTTGGCTGCCATGATGCGTTCTGCCCGGCTCTCGCTGGCTGGCCCGGCTGTCAACTAGGGAGGGTCAGGTTGTTGACTTTGGCGTCGTGAAGTGACAAGATAGAATCGCCCGTTATGTTGTGACAGAGTGTTCAATTGTGTATCAATATCACGGAGTGTAGCGGCTATTAAATCCAATAGTTTCTTGTAGTCGACAACTCTTACCCCGTAAATTGTCTGTCGTTTTGCTGCTGCTGATACTATGTATCTTTGTAATGAGTGAGATTTCGCGGGACCCTAAGGGCGCGACCAGTTTATTTACATTGACCAAACAGGCCTAGCGCGATCTGAACTAAAGTAGCCCGTCCCGAACGATGTCGGCAAGATCCACGCCATCAGTCTCACTTTCCACAGGCGCGCAACCGTTCGACTCACAACCCAATTTTGCTGCATGCTCTTCTGGACAAAATCGCATTCTCCATTGCGCTTTGCTCACTATGGGAAACGACGACTTCCTCACCGACGAACATGTCGCTGATCTACTGGCAAAGGAAGCCAAGGACTGCTCCTTGAAATACTCCACAATGGGGATGGAAGCCTACACCTCATCGCCCTCCAGCTCCAGGTTCGCAAGACTCGACATCCTCGCACCTTCACCTCGCGGCCGCTGATGCATCGCCTCTAGACCGGCCAACAAGGCCAAGCCCAACACACGATTCTTGCGCAACATCATCAAAGGCACCGAACACCACAACAAGACGCTCACAGCAAAGGAGCTCGCAGATTCGCAAGCGCGGTTAAAAGAGCTTGCTGATACAGAAGAAGAGAAGCGCCGCAAGTACAAGCCTACTGCCACCGAGATCCGCGGCCGCCAACTTGGGAACATTGCAGCCCTGCTACAAGGGCAACCCGCCCAGAAGAGGAAACGTGCCGCCCCGACCGAGGAAGACATCACAGATTTACAAAAAGCTCGGGCTGCGGAGGATGCGCGGCGCCTCGCTGACACCGCGGCGGCTCGAAAACGGAACCGTGGCAAGGATGGTAGGCGAAGGAGGTCATTGGAGAGGTATGACGCGCGCAAGGGCCAGGACGGTAATGGAAAGGATCGGGCCAGGCGAGCAAATACGTCTTCTGGAGATGAGGATCGGGGTGTAGACGATCGGAAGCGGAGGCATCGTTCTCGGTCTCCTCAGAGCAGCTCAAGAAAGCATCGCTATCGATCACCTTTAAGGAGCAAAGAGAGAGAAAGAAGTGCACGGAGGACGTCCAATCGACGAGATGACTCTACGGACCCAGCAGATAAATCGTCACGGCGTGCGGACAACGAGGAGGAGGACGCAGACTCAGATCCACTCGAAGACTTGATCGGTCCAGCACCTCCCCCGAAGATGCCTCGAGGTCGCGGTGCGCTCCGCGGGGTCGCAGGCATGGATAGCAGATTCTCCTCCGACTATGACCCCAAGTCTGACGTACAGATGGAAACCGAGGACGGCCGCGACGACTGGGATGACGCCCTGGAAGCTTTGAGGGATAGGGCCCGTTATAGGCAGCAGGGTGCGGATAGGTTGCGCGAAGCCGGCTTTAACGAGGATCAGATCAAGAAGTGGGAGAAGGGCGATGAGAAGAGCATTGACGATGTGCAATGGACAAAAGCGGGCGAGAAGCGGGAGTGGGATCGCGGCAAAGACGACGACCAGACGATCGACGATTGACGCGCATACGAGGAGTTGGTGGTTGAATACACGGGTGATATAATTTACCTGATCTTCAAGAAGTGCAAATCTAATTTAGAGAAAGCTCCGCGTGGCTCAAATTCGGTGCCGCCTGTCCTCCCTTCTCATGAGCATAATGGGCATAACCAAGGTATGGGGCACTGCATCCGGCACTGTTCTATACTGTTTTTCGTGTGGCATTTGATCTTTTTGGATATTACAGTAGAGCATTCAGGTTCGCTGCTTACTCACTTGTCGGGAAACTTAGCAACTAAGACGCCTTCCAGTAAGAATGCATCTAATGTCCAGGCAAGGACGAGGACTGGCTATGTTCAAACCGCAGAAAGGGCCTCGAAATTCCAAGAACGTAATTTGAGGAATAAAGAATCGCATTCTGCCTTCGAGACTGCTATGCTGCACTCACATGCTACACCGAAACCGGCGGGTCTGGACTTGCGCCAAACAGGCCTTGGTGCATATTTTAGCGCATGACGTCGCGCACCCGTCAGAAGTGATTTTGGAGAAAAGGATGGAAAACCGCGACTCCACGCGCCAGCGCAGCAGCAAGGAACCCACCCGCGTACAGCATCGGACCTTCCAAAAGAGAATTCTTTTATCTTGCTGCGACAACCATCCCAACGCAGGATTTGCGCTCTGCTAACACAGATCCTCGGCCTCGCACCACCCACAACGACAGTCACCCGGCCAGCATTGCAGCGCCCCAGAAACAGTCAAGATGGTGTACGTGCGCCAGGAGAAGCTTCCTGGCCTCAAGGAGTACAAGTACTCAGGCGTGGACCACTCGCTCGTGTCCAAGTACATCCTCAAGCCCTTCTACACAAATGTGGTCATCAAGTGCTTCCCCATGTGGATGGCGCCCAACCTGATCACCCTCACGGGCTTCAGTTTCGTCGTCGCCAACTTCTGCACGCTGCTATGGTACAACCCGACCCTCGACCAGGACTGCCCGATCTGGGTATACTACAGCTGGGCGATCGGCCTGTTCCTGTACCAGACTTTTGATGCTGTGGACGGCTCTCAGGCGTGAGTATCTCCGGTGGCTTTAGCGGCATTGCTGCAAGGGCCTGAGGACTGACGTGGCTTCTTCAATATAGACGTCGGACACGACAAAGCGGCCCGCTCGGAGAGCTTTTCGACCATGGCGTTGATGCGGTGAACACCTCATTGGAAGTTCTTCTGTTCGCTGGCAGCCAGAACATGGGCCAAGGATGGACGACAGTCGCGATACTGTTCTGCTGTACGTCACGAGCTGCAAGATCCCGGGGTTCCCTTTTGCGCGGGAATGCGCCCCAAGACATGGCTGTGCATTTTGGCTGACTTGTTGTCGTTATAGCACTCCTGACCTTCTATGTCCAAACCTGGGATGAGTACCACACCAAGACTCTGACCCTGGGCATCGTCAGTGGCCCTGTCGAGGGCATCCTTATCATCTGCGTCATCTACGCGGCGACCGGCTACCTCGGTGGCGGACACATCTGGACATACTCGGCGCTGGACACCATCGGCGTTCCTCGACTACCCTACATCCCAGAGTTCGCCTACAACATGTCTTTCTCGCACTGGTACATGGTTCAAGGCTTTGTGGTGCTCTGCCTCAACACCGTCGAGTCGTGCCGCAACGTCATCAAGGCGAGACGCGCCCGCGGTGACCGCAGCCGCTACGCGCTGGTCGGCCTGGTGCCTTTCTTCGTCACCTGGGCTCTGATCATCGCGTATTTGCTTCTGCAGCCCAACATTCTGCACTGCCACTTAGTCCCCTTCGCCATGTTCTGCGGCATTGTCAACGCCTACTCGGTCGGCCAGATGATCACAGCCCACCTTGTGAAGCTGGAATTTCCCTACACCAACGTCCTGGTGTTGCCTCTGGCCTACGGCGTTTTCGACTCGCTCGGCCCTTGGTTGCAGTATGAGTTTGGGCGCTCATGGCTCGGCTGGCCCAGCGCGCTCGGTGACGGCGTGTACCAGGTAGCATACATGTTCCTCATGCTGGGTGTGTCTATTGGTGTGTACGGGTCCTTTGTCGTCGATGTCATTGTTACTATCTGTGACTACCTCGACATCTGGTGCCTGACTATCAAGCACCCGCACGTGGAACCCCAGACGAACGGAAAGAAGTCTCAGTGAGTATTGCGTCGAGGTAGCGATGGTTGAGGGTCGGATTTGGAGGCATGGCCGGCTTGACTCTGCTACAGATCGTGGCCTGTGGGTGACATGATCATGAGGAAATGTTAGTTCTCGGTCAGTGTCTACGGACTAAGACCTGCTGATTGTCAGCGAAGGAACGGTTATGTTTTATATACGAGATATCATGACTTGTGGGGGGCCAGGAACACACTTCTCGCTTTAGAGACGGAAATGGTCGGTGGAATTGTTGGCGTAAGGATCACGAAAACGGGGGGATTGGACGATCTTTGGTTCTGCTGCATAGGCTTGTGGATTACCTGGTTTTTTGTCAAGCGGATTTCTGAATTATGATACCACTTAATACGAGACAAATGCCGGATTTATTTAAAATCACGCCCGTGGCCTCACAGCCTTTCCCGCGGTCCGTTCGACAATCAGTCGCCTCTCGCAACATTTCGTGCAAAGCGTCACACTTTCAGTCATCGCTCGTTCATTCAAGTATCCGGTCTATCACGACAACGGAAGAAAAAGGCATCGCTTCCCTAAGTAGAGTAAAGAAAAAGGAATTACGGCCAAAAGAATTTTCCCCCAGCCCGTATCGGAATTCCCTGAAGAATATGCCCAAATAAAATGCTCCCAAAACAAGTATCTCAAGTTTCAATGTCCATATCAACCAAGCCTGTCCCCTTTGTTCCGCACTTTCCTCCATATCCACGTGCCAGGTCTAGGTATGCAAGCCAAGCCCTGTGTTTTCCGTTCCCATGCTTTCCATCCTGGCGAAGTGGTCGCCCGTGTACGTCATACTCTTATTGAAGCATTTGGGACAGCCCGATGAGACAACGACCGAGACCGGTGCCCTGAGGACAACGCTGGCCGTGTAAATACGCCGTAAGGCATCCTTTCAAGAATCCAAGCGCCTGCACGCCCACCGTAACCGCGGCGGAATCGGAATCACCCAGACCGCGCGGCCAACGCCCCCCTCATTATCGCAACCTCGAATTCCTTACAATTCTGACGGTGTTGCAATCCGCGAGCAGCCCTGGCACCTCAAAGCAGCTCGTCGCTCCCGGACGCAACGCTCTCCTCGATCGCCTCGAGGATGGCCTTCTCCTCGAACACCGGCCCCTGCCCGTCACACTTGGCCTGATGCTTCAGCCGGTTGCTGATGTCCGCGATGTCCACCAGCCCCCGCTTGTACAACTCATGGCCGATGATGTAGTCCCATGTCGCGCCGGCCGCGTAGAGCCGCTCGCCGCTATCGCTGGTGACGATTCGGTGGCTGGGTGTCTTGTTCGGGTGTTGAGACAGGACATTCGTGTAGAAGTCGGTTGGGTTGTACTGCAGAGGTCCAGTCGTCACCGACGCGCTGCCATGGCCAGGCGAGTGGCCGCCGTTAAGCGAGGACGTCGCTTTCAGAATCTCGTTCTCCGTGCTCATCTTTTGGAGGTCCCGCTTCAGCTTCTCGTTCTCGGATGCGGTCTCGTGCTGTGCAGCTTCCAGAGAGGCGAGCTTCGCCTCGAGGTCCTTGACATGCCGCTCTTTCCGCTCCCTGAAGGCACGCTGACTACACCAGATAACAAGTCAGCACACAAGTCATGTGCAAGATATCAGGAAAAAAAGCAGAGGCACAAAGAAAATTTGTCTGACGTCCTGAGGGGCAAGACCCAAGACAAATCGGCTCCTGCGGTGCGATCTTGTTGCGGCGGCACTTACGCAGCACGGTTTTGGGCTTTGCGCCGTGACTGGGCCGGCGTGAGGTCATCTTCCTCTGCTGAGTTCGAGCCTTGACGGCCAGCATCTAGATCAGCGGCTGGCTCCGGCTTGGTGCTCAGAGACAGGGCATCGGCCTGTGATGGTTTGACTGCAGCGGCGGCAGCGCCATTTATCCCCCGGTGATTGTGGGACTGGCCATTGTGAACGACAGGGTGTTGATTCGGCGGTGTAGGAGGCCCGGGGAATGCAGGCGGCGGGTTGAACTGGGCTGCATATTGATCGAAATTCTGGAACTGTTCGCTGGGGTAGTGGTCGAAGGCATCCTGAGTAAGAGATGTGTAAGCCATGTGAAGCAGTGAGGTGAGGCGCTAGTAATGTGGGCTGCAGAGGGGAGGTTCGGGACAGGTCAAGGAAAAGCGGATTCGAAAGAGCCGCATCATGTACAAGTACATGAAAGACGACGAGAGACTGCTGGTGGGACTCACTGGTGGCGACGTGGTGTTGAAGTCCTCAGAGCCAGCCGAGTTGGAATGTGAAGGCGTCAGAGGGGGGATGTTGATGGGGAACTGGTGATAGGGTGCCTGGGCGCCCGCGAAGTAGGCAGCCTGCGAGTAGTCCATGTTTGCCCACGAAAGAAGGTCTCCAAGACGCGGCGACCGTCTAGCTTTGTCTCTCTTGGTATACAATCGGTGGTTTGAGGAGTTTTCAGAGACCGTCTTTGACGAGAGTGAGCAGGTCCTGCTGGATAGTGTTGCGTCGTTCAGCTCGTCAGAAGCAGTCCGAATTACGGCTAGATCTCCGGGGTAGTCTGCAGGTGGTGGGGAGGGATCATTTATGCGCTGGGCATTTGACTTAGATATACTCCACCGCCCCGGCAGAGGGAAACATGCCTATGGGCTAGTCTAGCTCCTGGGGCACGTCGGCACCCTGGAAACTAGGAGAAACCGCCATCCAACCTTAAAACCTGCCCTGTACCTGGCCTTGTGCGGGACCATGCGCTCGTGGATTCACGGTTGTCCTCCGAGCCTCGAGGGATTGCTGGCCCTTGTTTCGCGGGTGTCAAGCAAGCTCACGCAGGGCGTCCGCCAATTTCCAGAAACTAACACGGACTCGGCGGAGCAATGCTTGGAAGTCTCAAGATCAAGAGACCCAGGTTCGCCACGCGCCTATGTGAACGCTGGTCAGTCAGCCAGCCGCCGTAGGCACGTTTCCCGACAGGATTCTCGTGGACGCCACGCAGCGGGCCGTGTCTCTAATACCCCGTCATTCCACTGTGTTGCACAGAGGGGATGAGACATTGGTCCACTCGAAAAGGCCCAGCATGACTATGTCTGTAACAACAAGCAAATGTCGCTGCAGCCACAGCGCTGCAGGTATCTGGCCCAGGAAGTAGTTCAACTAGTATTCAAAGCCATTGTGGACATAGTTTCCAGGGTTCGGCCGAACACAGCGTGTCTCGCACCAAAAGCTTCTGCTCCTCGAGGTTCTGCGCTTATGAGACTTCAGACCATTTCAAAGTCTCTTGAGATTCAAGGGTCTTGAACCTAGTGGCACAACGGGCCAGTGAATCTGACAGTTCGGATGTCCAGAACCCACATACGAACAGTGCACTGAGTGAGTGAGTGGCCGGCCAATCAACAACATGCAGGATGACTGCCAGCCCAGATTTCCACGCAGCCACGTCCTTAAACTCCAGCATGAGGCCTGCCTTCACCATACGCTGGAACGCTCCTGGAATGCGAAACGCGGTCAGCAGACCCAGCATGCCCGGATTGCATGTTGGCTACATGGACCTGACTACCTGCAACCTGATCCCACTTGGGGACGCTTCTTTGGCTCGGTGTTGGCGAGCGGCGCAAACTTTAGGCATCTCTGCCCAGCAAGGCTGTTGTCAAGCCAGTGACGGACAGGAGCTGGAACCTGGAAAGGATGCTATGAATACGACCGCCATTGGTCCCGGTTAAAATCAGCATGGCACCACTTGCCTGGATTGTCCAACCTTTGCGTTGTAGCGGGAGGAGTTGGGGGTGCGTTCCTGAACCTTGATTTACTACGACGATTCAGTCGTACAGAGGTTGTACAGATCCAGCCTTCCAAAACGCTCGCTAGTCTTGTTGAGGGCTCCACGTCCGCGTGAAGGTGCTTATTTACCGTCCGTCGGGATGCAGCTGACATCTGGCATAACAGCTTCCCGCGATTGTGGAGCCTGGGAGCATTGAGGAAGACATGCTACTAGTGAGTCGATCGACACTCGGTCCCAAGCTGCCCGAGGTACCATCTTCGACGAACCTGATATCGCAAACTGTGCATTTTCTTCGGGTCCGGTCTCTTCGCTTCCTGTGTTTTGCGGTACCCTTGGTAAGGACCTCCTCGACTCTTTGTATGGCTCTGCTTATGCCTCTGAGATGGGTATGCTCAAGCAATTTTGTTTAGCCTGTCGGGGTTCCAAGGCTGGACGACGACACTCATTTCGATAATAAGGGCCGCTCACGTCTCTAAGATGCTTGCTTTTCCCGCAGAGGTATCGCTTTCCAGTCAGCAAAGCATGTTCCCTCGGTCAATACCTTGAGATCCACGGGTTCTCCCATCATCGAGTTCTCGCTTTTGTTAGACACGTCTGACAAAAGTTAGTACGCGATGCGATGTATTTGAAGCTAATTGTTGCGGTGGGACGTCCGGCGATTTTTTCAAAGTATTAAAAAACCATACCTAAGTATTTAGGAATGTGGTTGCGTTCTAGCCACCCTCGGCACCCCAAAGATAAAGAGCAGGAAAGCGGCTGTAGAGAAACCCTGGCGCTGGACGATGAGAGTGCTGACAAAGCTGGTAGGACGCCATTGTGGACTGTCATAGGGTGCTTGGGTGTCAGAATCTCATATTCCATGAAATCTATTTGAGAGAAGAGAAACATGACCTAAGGGATGATCCCGTCGGGCATAACCTCGCTTGTGCGTTTCCTACTGGATAGTGTCCTGTAGGATAGCTCGGATGTGCTATTATGCTGTCCTCGTTATTCCATCATCTTGTCCCCATCGACTCTGCGCCAGCTCTTCTTGGTAGAGGGCCCTTGGGCTTATTTTGCGTTATGGCCTGGCTTATGCTGCTGGCGAGGGCCAGATATGGAGAAGCTCAACAATTCTCCGGCACCTAGGAAGTCTGGCTGAGGGTTTGGCAAGTGCGTTGGACTCCTTGTCATGGTATAATGGCTTTCGTCTGAACTTTCGAGGATCTTTCACAGTTCGACCACAGTTTTTCCTCAATTGTCATTGACCTTTGCGGTGAATGGTCTTCTTTTGCATCGGGTGATGGATAGAGGCAAGTCATCCACTGGCATGATAGCCTTAGATGCAGTTGGACAAACAAAAGTGAATGCCTCAAAAGTGACGCCAGCTGGCAGGGAGCATTTGGGCAACCAAAGGGCGAGAAAGTGACTGTAGCTCGAGGCAACAAGAGTAGGAGCGTCTGAACAGAGCGTTGCAAAAAGGACTGGACACGAGGGCCTGCTTGGAAGACTCGAGGTGACTTACGATTCTATGACACAATGAGAGGCCAAGAAAGTTCACTCGAACTGTTTGACGGGCGCACGATCTCTTGATGGCAGAGTGACCTGACTGGAAAAGACGAGGTACGCGCGGGGACGGCTCGGGGGTTCATTGAATGATCCCACAGCCATCACATCAACTGAGGCCCTTGGGACCTGCAAAGCTTTAAAGACGCAAAAGGGGAGTTGCCAGCTTTTTGGAAGCCACCCAGAGGGAAAGAGCTTCCACCAGCACTTTTGGCAGGTGAACTGTGTAAGCATTTGACTTCCAACCTACACCTCCAACTCCAGCACCATTTTGATCTCCTCCATCCAGCTGTCAGCTACATACCATCTTTGGTCATTTTCTTTTGTTTGTAGCCATTTTCTTCTTCAGCCCTTTGAACAGCCTTTCCTTCCCTGCCACCTTCTCTTGGGCATGGTGGTCCGTCAATTGGAGTTGGAAGAGCAGACAAGCTCTCCACCCACTCAAGGTCAGTCAGCTGCTGTCAAGCGTTGCCTCCTCCCTCTCTGCCTCGTCCTGGTTCCTTCTTTCCTGCCCTTTTATTTCTACGACAGTTCAATTCTCACATCATCTAACTCGCCTCAGGGAACGCTGCCACTCTCTTCAAGTCCATCTCTCGGTGACGGTTTCCGCATTGCTGCCCTGTCGTTTACACCAACTTCCCATTCCTTGTCACAGCAGGCATGTAAGTTGCAGTGGCCCTAGGACCGTCGAAGGACATCGTCTAATTGAAGGCAAGAACAAATTCTGAGAGCAGAACATGACAACATCCATGTCTACTTCCAGCACAACCATCATCCCTCCCCTGGGAAAAGCTACACAGCAACCCACCTACACCACTGCAGGAACTCTCTACAATCCGACCATCACCCCACTCCAGCCACCCTCCCGGAGAGGTCGTGCTTCGAGGTGGGCTCCCCCTTCTCACGCCGAATTGGCCCTTTTCAACAAGTCTGTTCTGGCCGGTTTTCCTTACAAACCCTCCCGTTCTCCTCCCACCACGGCTTCAAGCCTGAAGCACTACACGCCTCTGCAGCAGAATAGCGACCGTGCCATTGAGCCTCCCACGGGTCCAAAGCTCTCAGAACGAACCCTTTCCGAGTCGTCATCTACCCTGTCGCTCAACAGTGCGCCATCGCAAGAGAACATGAACAGCCTTAATAGCAACGGCCGCCTTCTCGAAGAAACGCGTCTCACAGACGACGAGAAGGATGAGGACGAACTGATTCGGATGAGCGTTCTGCCTGTCAGAACAATTACCAATCTAGCATCCTACCCGAACCCTTCCCAAAAGCTGGCCCAAAAGGCCCTCGACCGCGCTCGAGAGACCTTCAAGGCGGCCGCAGAGACATCTCGCTCTTTGACTCCCAATCTATCCCAACATGGTTCTCAGAGACGGGAAGGCCCAGGAGCCAGATCAACTTCTACAAACGTAGACCGAGAGAACCTTCCCCCTTCTGGCTGGATCTCCAAGCACGACCAGTCGAAGAACGCTACTAGATCCAGTGTTCTCTCCAGTGGCCCTGGAGCGCCTCAGCCGTTGACCGCCGGGCCACCAGGTCAGAGGCAGTATAAACCTTCCACCTTGGAGGCTACGTTTCGTGCTCTGCAGTCGGGCAATCAGAAGCAGTCCTCTGCGACCGACGAGACATACCTCAATACGGATTCTTCTCTGGTCAACATGGGAATATCAGCAAAGATCACAGCTGCTTCTCGAATTCAGTCCCCAGACCAAGCGCACCTCGCAACCAAGGACTACTTCGAAGCTTCCCAGCCGATTGTGAACCCTACAGCCAACATGGTGCTCCGGTATGATCCCAGTCAACCACGTCGACGCACACAAGATACCCTCTCCGCTGAAGCAGTCAGAGTCTACTTCCCCGACGGGTTTCCTCCAGATCTTGGCCCTCCAACCGTTCCCTTGCTTTCTAACAGCGCCGGACGTCCCGAGGGCCGCTTTCCTCCCACCCAAGAGGAGCTTCGACTGAGGAATGCTCGCTGCAAGGTCGCTTTCTACAGCGCCACCCAGGACCTTACAAAGACCCTAGATGCGAGAATTGCAGAGGCGCAGGACAAGCTCCGAGATCTTGAGCTCGGTTTCAACAGTGCACGCGAGCGTAATGCAGCTCGCAATGCGGAAATTGATCTTGTTTTCAATTCTTCCAAGCTTGGAAAGCCAAGACATGAGTTTTCCATCGACTTTGCGAATGAGTTGCCAACTCATGAGGCCGCTATACCGCTCGTCAATATGGCATTTTCTACACTGCTCAACTACTGGGCCGATGGACGGCTCATGGACGTCCCAACCGGCTTCGGAAAGATGGAAGACAACAAGACCTGAACCCACAGCGAAGCAACACGTGCCGTCGACATTTGGGAGCCATGGTGGGCTCTGAACGAGGACAAGTGTGACAAGACAATGAAGAAAGGGGCAGAGAGGTAATTGAAAAAAATAAAATGCTGGAGACGCCACACAGATCTGTTGGTGATGAGGTAGCTTAAGGGAGAAGTTTTTCTAATTTTCTCTTTTTTGGAACAAGGGCAGTTTCCACGAGGATAATTATCTTGGGCAACCCTTGGTTGGGCCACCAAGACAGACAGACACACAGTTTGAGTGACCGGGAGATGGCCAAAAGGGTGAAGAGATGAGCAGGAGCTCTGACACTCCGCATGGTCCAACCCTCTCCTGCTTGGAATAGAAGAGCATCGAGTGCGTTTCCCGAAAACAGAATTGAAGAATTAGGACAGGACAAATAGGACGCAGACAGCTTAAAGCAATACTCAAATATAATTTGATGCTGTCTCCCAAATGAACATACAGTGAAGCCATGAATTGGAATCATCTCAATATGATATCTGCGCTTGCATAGAGACTGGCCTCTGAGAGGTGTCAATCTGAGTGATAGAAGCACGCTTGTTGTCTGGTCCAACTGTAGGTATGAATGAGCTCACCAGACTAAGCTATCCGCTCGATACGAGTCGAGACCCCGGCTGACTCGAAAGGAATCACTGCAACACAGGCGACGTAGGACTGGTAGGACGTAGAAGAGCGTTTCATTGAGCATCACAAGCCAGGTAGGGCTGGGGCGGACAGCAAGTCGACAATCTTTCAAGTCACACAAAAACATAGAAGACGCAGTACACACGTTTCGATCATGACTCGAATTATTCCATTCATACCCACGGCATGGATGGTCCCTCGTACCGGCTATGGCTGGTCCTACATGTCACGACGCAAATTTCCTTGTCATCGTCTCGAAGCCACCCACGCAAACATCATCATCATCGTCATCATCGCTGTCGCCGCTTGAGCCCCGAAAAATTGTCAAAGTTTGTTGTTTTCAAGCTGTCTACCCTGCCTGTTGCTTTTCTTCGGGACCTCAAGCTCGGCAGTCAAAGACCTCTCCAGGAGCTCCTGAGCAGCACATTTCCACATTCAAACCGTCCTCCCCTTGTCCCCTGCTCGTAAGAACCCCTCCCCCAAAGCCCGGTACCCCTCACTTTCCATACGTGTTGAGAGACGCGATTACTTCGTCTAGTCCTGCTCTACCTCGGTCCTACTCTCATCTTGGTCTGAATCGTCGAGGCTAGTATGCGCCCCAAAATGGAATGGAAGACAATTGCACAAATGAAAACATTTCGGGAATCGCCCGCCGTGAGGTCCAGGTGGAAGAGGACCTGACCCAGCTGTCCGGCGTCGTATAACAGAAGAGGGAGAATTTATGTCGCCATCCAAAGCCGGTGCCAGCGAATATGCAAAGTGGTGCCGGGAAGTCGGTATTCAAGGTGAAGTTTTGGTTGAAGGTACGCCCTCTGGTCGTGGACGGATGCATCCCATTAAAACGCCAATGTGAATAAACACAAGTTAAGAAAAAACGCCTGTCGTATCCGCGGTATGCTATCCAGCTTGACCTGACTCCCGCTTGACCTTGAGGGGACTGAAACCTAGAAGCTTCAAGATGCGGAAAGAGATTGCCAGACGAGCCGAATGGGTATATATATATGGCCCTGGCTAGGAGCAGATTAAGACCAAAGTGAACAGTGAACTCGAGCCAGGCTCATCGCGAGACTGGGTTCCTGGTCGTGAAATGCCGTGAACATGAGCCAAACCGAGGTCTATGATCAGGGTAGAGGTGAAGCGTATGAGTGAATCGAAAGGCGGTGTTGGACGAAATGTGACACAGATCAGATCACAGACCTCCGGGGTAAGCGCCACCACCACCACGGCGAGGAGGACCGCGCCCCCCGCGTCCGCCTGCACCAGGTAACATGAAGTCGGGGTTTCCGTCTAACAAGACATCACGCGGTGGTTGTACTGGTCGCCGAGGCGGCACGGCCCCAAAGCCGCCCCCCATCATTGGGGGCGGCGGGTTGTTGCCCGGCCAGTTTGGATTGATTCCTCGCTGCGATATCGAGGTGAAGGTTGATCGCTCAGACTCAGCAGGGCTGCGAGCTCCCTCAGGAATGCTGTCATAAGAGTTGTCAGTCTCGAGAGCCGGAGGTGTCGGTCTTTGAGCGGGAGTGGCCACCATTGGAGGCTCGGCAAAGCGAGGGTCTATGTCTTCAACATAGGATGTTTCTTGTGGAGCCGGACGAGGACTTCCAGTATTTGATCTTGGAATGCCTGCCGGGGGACGCAGTGGAGATGGTACTGCTGACTGATGTTGAGCAGCATTCTGGTTCCAACCTGTACGTATAGGGACGTATTGGCTGCACAACTGTTAGCGTTGATTTTTGCACCAATGGTGTTGAAATCACTCACTCGTCTGGTTGACTGTATCTGCTACCCTCACTCATAACAGTGTCGTGGCGGCGTGCTGTATCTCGGCCTTGCTGCAGTCCCACCATCCCAGCAATGTCGGCATCACTGTCACTAAGACCAAAGCCCTGTTGGGCATGTGAGGGGCTGCCAGGCGCACGCATTGGTGTAGCCTGGCCGGGGATATCGCTCTCGGTTCCGGGCAACGGTGGCGGTGACTCTGCTCTAGGGAGGTCGCTCTCTCTTCCAGGAGTGTACGCCTCATAACTGTTTCCAGTCGCAACGCTTGGCATGGATGGATTCAAGTTGTTCATCTGATAGCCAGGGGCAGACGGAGGGCCTGGAGACTGCTGTCGAGCACCATACGGGCCGCCATATTCGATGGCCGGGGAGCCTCTGCGGTCGTAAGGCCCAGAATCGTAGCTTGGCGGCGGCGGTGGCGGCCGGCCTCCCCTCATCATAGGTCCGCCATAGCCACGTGGTGGTGGCCCATATCCCCCTCGGTTTGGAGGGGGGCCATAGCCTCCGCGGCCTCCTGGTGGGCCATATCCTCCTCGCCCCGGACCTGGCCCATAACCACCTCTTGGGGGCCCGTAGCCGCCGCGGCCACGATAGCCACCTGGAGGCATGCCACCACGCCCTCGAGATCGTTGAGTTTCCGTGGACGGCCTTCGCATACCATAAGCATCGGGAGGCGGGTTGATGGGATTACCAAATTGATCCCTGGATGGGGCCCTTCGAGGACCAGGGCCGATAGGGCCATTGTACATGGTCTCAGCGTTGTTCATTTCCACCGGAATGTTGTTCGGAGACCTATCGGAAGGACTGCGTGCCGTCAGTGGGATGCGCTCATCGCTGATGCGGTCGTCCTTCTTTTCGAATGAGGCAAAGGCGGGCAGCTTATCGTTGGCAGCGCCGTTGGCTCCGCTGACAACAGGCATGGTTGGTTGTACGGTGCTCGGTATTTGCGTGTCCTTGGCCTGTCGGTTATAAAAGTTCTCTCCGCTCATCTCTGCGTTCTCATTGATCCTCTTCTTCCTTGCTTTCCTGTTGACAATAGTCCTTCGCATGGCGCATGATACCAGTGTGCTCAACGCCACCAAAATGGTTGCTGCGAGGACAAGATATGACCCGAAGGCCATATGAGGTACGAAGAGTAATACATCGATGAGGAAAGACAGCAGACAAACGATCAAATCGATGATGCTGAGGATGAATACTAGAAGCAGATATCTGGAAGAATGTGAGGGAGAGTGCAGGTGGGACACCAGAGCTAGAATCGCCATGATGAGGGTGATCAGAGCAGCCACTGGATGTACAATAAGGATGGCCGAGAGTGTCGACCTTGTCGAACTGGGTAGGTCGAAATCCCCCTCGTTGCCATTGTTATTGATTGCAGCTGCGGAACTGGTTAGCATTCCGAGACAAGGGCTGTGGGGCGAGAGTAGTAGGAGGCCTGGAACTAACAAGTATCGTAGCCTATCTCAATGGGACTGCATGAAGTGCCTTTACACCAGCCGAAGACGCCGAAGCTTACACCGCCGAACGATCCAAGCGGTATCGCCTGGATGATTGGGGTTGAAAGGACCGAGATCAACAGCAGGCCAAAAGCCACCAGCAACAGGATCGATAGGGGGGTTGCCGGTCGCAGCATGGTGGCGGAGGATTGGCCGTCGGCTCGAGGCTCAATAGGTTGTGGAAGAACCGGATGACCGGGCCAGCGCCGTCAAGACGCGGCAAGAAAAGTTAGACGCCAATGAATCCAGAATTTGAGGCAGGTTCTATTGCAGGCGGTCGGTGTCGTGAACTGAAACGTGGTGTGGAAACGGAGAGGAGATGGCTACAACGCGTCGCGGTAACATGGAGAGGGTTTCTCTGCCGAATGGTCGAATGGTCGAATGGTCGAATCAGTCTGCTCGTGCCCGTCTCCAACAGTCCTTTTCCAAAGTAGTCGTGACTTCGACAGAATGAATTGAATACTGCGAAGAGAGAAGCGAAAGAGGTCGAAGCGAGCGAGGGTCGGCAGTCGGACGGGGGCTGTGTGGTTTCGGTTTCGCGTCGCCTTCCCTCGCGATCCTGTACTGTGTTGCTGGTTTCCCACTGATCCAGCCTCCTGGGAATGATGTTGCGGGTAGAAGTGTTCTTTGTCGGTCCTCGCAACGGTGACAAAGGAATTGGGAGCGATCGGGGCTGATGACAACCTCGTCTGGACCTTGGGAGGGAGGAGAGATTCGGGAGAGTGTCGCAGATGGCGCAAGGTTGTGAGGGACGGGTAGCGGTAGCAGGAGGAGAAGCGCACCGACGCTCAGGAGACCAGGCGAGTGCAACAGGGAAAAGTGGGCGCCCGAGACTTTAGTGCTACTAGGCTCGATGTGGGACTGACCCCATGTGGGCCAGGTGGGCCGGGACCCTGGTTGGGGCCCAGATTGTCCTGCCTGGTAGGTGCCCAGGTGTTCTGTGGTGTCGTACCGCGCGCAGTAAATTTAGCAGGCCCAGGTACCTGGATGCTACCTGGCACCGACCCTATCTACCTACTGTATGTATCTACGCAGTGCATGGGAGTGCGCGGATACATGTACCCAGCAACAGACTCAGGTGGCCCCAGGAAACAAAAATAATGATTCCAGATACATTGCCAGATTCATGTCCAGCCGTTTTCGTCGTCATGCTCCCAATCGACACGGTCAAGCGCAGTGACTAGGTTTGCTGGACGTGCCACTCGGACCTGTCCTGTTGCTGCGAACGATGCTGCTGTCGACTCGACGGGTGACACTGCACTTCGGAGAGAAACCTAGACAGGGCGACAGAAAGGATAGACACACACACACACGGCTGACCAAGCAACTGAGACCGAATCTTAATTCCGTTTCGACAAGGTCACGATGAGTCTGCTGCGCCTGCAGATCACGTCACCCTCTCTCCAGCATTGTGGGAATGCATTGACCGAGGACAGCGCCTATGCCTCACATTGCCTTTGTCTCTATTCCAACACAACATGGTAGGCCCTCTCCCGGTCTGTCGGGTCTGTCGTCAACGACAAGAAACTACTGATCGCAGAGGACTGTGCCCAGAGCCTATCAAGGCGATCCTTCGCTCTTGAACAAGCAGGCAGGTCACGGAACTGGAAGCCTTGTGGATGGGGAGCGAAGGAGGCTATGCCCCAGTCTGGGTTCCCGCCGTGCAACCTCCGAGATACCATCACCAATCCCGCCAATGACCTAGTGGCATGGGGCAAAAGAAGGTTGCCCCGATACTCCAAGGTTATTTCAACCGCTCCTCACCTCCCGTTCGCAGAGATTGCGATCCAATCCGATCCGACTAGCTTCGACTCGACCAACCTGACGTGACCTTGACCTGACCTGCATCCTGTTGGTTCGCTTCCAACTTTCTCGTGCCTCTCTGCAGCTCTGCCACAAATCTACAAATCGTGCCCTATCAGCCCAGTGGCCCGCCCTCCCATCCATTGCGTGTCTGGCGTGGCTGTTCGCCTCTGGGCATCGTCGAGAACACCCAGATCACCCGGGTAGAGATTCATGGAGCATGCAATTATCGGGACGTTAGCGGCAACTCAGGCTCGCCATCAATCCCAAACAAGCCCACCAGTACCATTGCGTACTGCGCCGTGACTCTCCAGCCTATCTGCGCGTCATATCTCCCCTCTGCCAGGGGACCTCCGACCAGAATTCATGCTCGACTGCCATTGCCCTGCCAAAACGAACGCCTGCAACCGCTCCTGCAAAATCTCGCCCAATTTTAGAGGAAAACCCCGGTCCTGACTCTCCTGCCGATCAAGCACAGGAAATTGCACAAATCTTGCAGTTCAGGATAAATGGCGCTGCACTCAGGATCTTCGTCCCTTATCGCCGCCCGCTCGACACTGGCGCCTTCAAAGGACCGAAGATTTCATTTAGCCCTGAGCCAGGAGGATCTAGACTCCAATGGCGACGCAACACTGCGAACCGCCCGTTCTTGGTAAGGCTTGTCAATCTCCCGTGCACACTTGGTCTTGGCCCTGACCGTGACCGTGACCGTGACCGTGGCCGAGTCCGTGGTCATGACCCGCCAGCCTACCTAATCTGATGGAATAGTCTTTGCTGCATCAGGCTGCGGGTCAGAAGAGATGGTGCACGCGAGAAGTCATAGTGCAATCATCAAGTCATGAATGATCGCCAACGTGAACGATCGCAATAGTCAGAGCCAGGATCTTCCGTTGCCGCGATGTTGGAAACCGCCTCAGAGATTGCGCTACTGCCCTGAGCCCACTGCCTCGGTAAGGCCTCAAGCTGGGGCTCATTTAGGTGAATCCTGCCTCTTGCCTGCCTGATGTGCCCATCACGATAACTTCATGTCAAAATGACGAGAGCCTCATTTGTTGGGGCCTGATAGTGAGACACCCCTCCATCGGGCGCTCACACCGTTACAGTCCGGCAGCCCAGAAACTTTGCGCTAGATCTGACGCGGCATGAACCCCAAGATGAGCCCGACTCATCTCTGCGACGTCTGCTGTCTGCTGTCCCTTCTTACCGCCCGGACACCAGCGCCGAAGACAGGTCGATCTGGTTGCCCAGCTGTCCCGCCTGTGATCGTCGGGGACCACTTTATGAAGTCGCTTGTCCTTTGTTCCAGTCTGAGCATGGACCTAGACAAATCATCCTAATAATTCCAGTCACATCATGAGTTTTGAAGACCTTGGAAGGATCTCTCATGCGCCCGTGGGCAGGTTCGCCCATGATCTCCATGAGGCCGATCTTCGTCCTGAAATAATTCTTGGGTGACACCCGTGGATCATAACGTCTTAACTATTGCTATAGGGGCAACAGGATAACTCATGGGTTACTTGACGAGGTAGGGGTTGGTGCGCTGGCCTCAGAAGCTCACAGAACCCCTTCCCGAATGGTCAGGGAAACGAGTTTCATCCTGACCACCCACCGTGTGGCTGTGAGCTGCCTGGCTGCGTCATAACCTATAGTCCAGCGAACTCCCCACGCTTCCGGGGTTGATACAGTGTCTCAGATGTTGTAGCTGCGGAAGCATCCGACACCAGGACTGGGCCAATTAGCGCCGCGTCTCCCGTCCTGAACGACAAGCCTGAGAAGAGAGCGTCGGTCGGCAGAGCTGCAGTAATTGTCATGCGGCCGGCGACTCCTGATGGCCGACTAGCCAGATGCGTCGATGTCTGTCATGCGCTGGACGGAGTGACCTGACTTGACGACGGCCACGTGCGGCAGCTCACTCCTGCCAGCATGGAGACACCGTCCGTTGCAGGCCAATGTTTCGCTTGTCACCGCTCAGAAGACTTAAGCTTTCACGAAGAATTGCCGGACTCTAGCGTGCCTCACCTCACTTTGGCATCAGGGCCTAAATAGATCAGACAGTTTGGAGAGTCCGGAGCTGGCTGAAGCTGTCAAACGTGATGGAGGACTAGGCCGCGCAATGTGTTTTCCAGGGCACGAAGCACGCCTCAGACCGCGGGCCAGAGCTGCATCACAAGCATGCTCGGCGGAGCGGATGAAGTTGTCGCCGTGTCACTGTCGTGTCCCCAAGACAGGAGCAGCTGCGCAGCGACTTGGCTGTCATGACCGCAAGTCAGTGAGGTTGTCCTGCTCGCCGTGCCGCCTACAACCATCAGGTGCCGCACCGCTTCCGCAGCAAATCCAGAAGCGTCGGTTGATAAGCAGAGGCTGGCTGCGCTTGGCGCTTCTCTTCTGTTTACCAAGTCCGGCTCGGCGGTGACAGACGGCCATGGGATCGAAACCCAGGGTGCGGAGGAGGCCAGTCAGTGCTTCGGCATTTGGACTACCGGCGTTGTGTTGAATCACGTAGTCGATATGAGAGGAGTATTCGTGAGCTTCTAAGTAGATCATACGCTTGAGGCTGAGCGCCAGATTTGAAGTCTGGAAGTGACATCCCCTAGGCACCTTAAGTAGCTATCGTCTTCATTGTACGCATTCTCTCTCTTGAAAGCAGGGCACAGCAGCCTTCACCCCGAACAAGGTTGTGTTGACACTACCTAGGGCCATTCCTAGCTGAGTCCAAGAGTATGCCACAACAACAAGCCAGCCGCTGTCAAAGCTCGAGAGTACCATCGTCATAAAGATCGTTCCACCACATGATGTCTCTGAGCGTCTCCTCGCTCAAGTCAGCATTGGCAAAATGCTCCCTTTGAGGTGTTCTGATCCTACGATGGACTTCTCCCGCTGTTTTCCACCCAAAAAAGCCAGCCATTTCCCAATCGACAAGTCCTACAATCCTGTCATTGTCCACTATACAGTTGGACTTGGCAAAATCATTATGCATGAAGCTCATGTCTGGGTCGGTGTTGGAGTCCGAGAAGAGGATATCCGCTTCGAGGGGACGAATACGGCCGTTGGTGAGAATATTGGGATCTTGGACGACATGGTTGCGAGCCCGGCGTCCATCAGCGGGCTTGATAGTGTGCAACAGTCGCAGTATCTCTCGTGCCTTGTTTTTAAATGATTCCTTCTGGGCTGGTGATAGGTACGGCCAAGCGACGTTCAAACCTACACCGGGAATTCTTTCCTGGACCAATACCTGGCGTCCATTGATCTGCAAAGTTGTCAGTGATGAACGCGATGCCAATGAGTTCAAGAGAATGAACCTTTCCAGCAAAATAAATCTCTGGTACTCTCACGGCTTTAAACACGCTCCTGGCTATTGCGACGGCCTGGGTTTCGTTGGCATCAGCATAGGAGTAATCGATCTCTGTGCGTTGGCCGTCTCTTGGCTTGTGCAGATGGCTTGACTTGACAACGACACTTCCAAGTGCAAACACGTCCCGGCCGCCTTCATCGGCTGGATAGATTCTGATAGATTCATTGCACATGTCAACGACTGAAGCCCAGTATTGTGCAGAGTCTGCATCCCGGGACTTCACGTGCCGGGGATCAACATGGAAGTCGTCCAGTCTGGGGAAGTACCGTCCGTAGAAGGGCAAGTCCACATAACTATCAGTGGCAGGTATGTCGTCTGGACTTGACACGTAGGGATTCATGATTAAAAGAGGGCATTTACTGGACGAGATGGATGATGCCAGCCATGCGACAACTTCTTCATTTTGGAGAAATAGCGTTCACGCGCAGAAACGTCATACAGCTGTTGTCAAGCCAACATTCATCGATGTCTACTGTTGGCTAGGTAAATTTCTCGAGCAGATTTCAGGCATGTTGGCTTTATTGACTTTTGCTGGGAGGTGTACCAACAGCCATAGTCGGCCTAATATGTAAGCCGGCCATGTCCCAATAGGGCAATCAGCGCATCTAAGTCAAGCCCCAGGGCCTCGGTATGTCCCGGCCGGACGGTGCAATAGGACGCCAAGAAGCCGCAGCGGCGATAAAGCGGATTCCCCCAAAGACCGACTTTCGTCATTGATTCCCCGAGATCCTTTCGACAAAGAAAACTAGGCATCCTTCCAGCCTCCAGCCAGCGCCCCAGATGCCCGCCTCCTCCTCTCCACGCTGAATTGACAAATATCAGCCGGCAGCTATGTTGCGACAGAGCATAGCACGCCTTCGCCGGCAACCGAGGCTGTCGTGCGCGCGGCCGTCGTCGCACGCGACCAGCGGACCCGTCGCAAGCCCGGGACCCATCCAGTGGGCTGCCCGACGACCCCAACCGCTCTCGACAACCTCACCTCTCCTCGCGCACCGCCGCTCCCTCCAGACCGCGGCGCCATTGCAGCCCCTCCGCGGCCCTCCCACGCCCGACTCCCTCGGCGCACCACGAGCCGCGCGCTCCTTCACCCGCTCCCGCAAATGGCTCCGGCGGCTGCTCATCCTCACCGCGGTGAGCGGCACCGTGTACGTGATCGACAGCCAGGTGTACGCGTCCGGGCTGGGCCGCAGCCTGCGCACCTTCGGCACCGGCGTGCTGGTGGCCCTGGACTACAAGATCAACTTCCGCGCCAAGCCGCTGCCGCTGATCGGGAGCGACGGCGGCATCCCGGAGCTCCACAGGCGGTCCGCGGAGCGCATGTTCGACCTGCTGCGGCACAACGGCGGCCTGTACCTCAAGATCGGCCAGGCCATCGCCATGCAGAGCGCCATCATGCCCCCCGAGTTCCAGAAGATGTTCTCGCGCATGTTCGACGACGCGCCGCAGAACAGCTGGGACGAGGTCGAGAAGGTCATCCGGCAGGACTTTGGCGGCCGGAGCGTGCAGGAGGTCTTCGGGGTCAGCTTCGCCGGCGAGGAGGGCAAGGGCGTGATCGAGACGGCGGCCAGGGCGTCTGCCAGCGTTGCGCAGGTGCACTGGGCGAGGCTGCCGGACGGCAGGGAGGTCGCGCTCAAGATCCAGAAGCCGGAGATTGCGAAGCAGATCGGCTGGGACTTGTGGGCGTTCAAGTAAGTTTACATGCTACGTGCGAGAGTCGAGGCTATCTTAATGCTTCTTCAACATATTGACTGGAAGCTGCACAGGGTAGTCACATGGGTCTACAGCAAGTGGTTCGACCTACCATTGTACAGCCTGGTCCCTTTCATCACGGAGCGGCTGGAACTCGAGACCGACTTTGTCAACGAGGCCAAGAACTCCGAGACGATGCGCAAGCTCATCAACGACGAGCCAACCCTCAAGGGCCGCGTCTACGTCCCCATCGTCTACTCCGAGCTCTCGTCCAGGCGTGTCCTAACTACCGAATGGATCGAAGGCACACGACTGTGGGATAAGGCTACCATGACGGGCCCCTGGCTCGGCGGCTACGGGAAGGGATCCCCCGGCGTGCACGGCAAGCAGCTGGACGCACCCGATATGGCGCGCATCCGGCAGAAGTTGCAGCAGGGCCCCGGCGCCGGCGGCGCACAGCTCAAGCCGGAGCGGAACGAGTGGAAAGGACCGCGCGGCAGGGGCGGGCTGGGGCTGTCGGCCAAGGAGGTGATGACGACGATGGTAGACCTCTTCAGCGCGCAGATATTCAAGTGGGGCGTCGTGCACTGCGACCCGCACCCGGGCAACATCTTCATCCGGCGGCTGCCCAGCGGGCGCGCGGAGCTGGTGCTCATCGACCACGGGCTGTACGTGTACATGAGCCCCAAGTTCAGGCGCGAGTACGGCGAGTTCTGGAAGTCGCTCATGACGTTCGACAACGACAAGATCAAGGAGGTGACGGAGGAGTGGGGCATCAAGGCGGCCGACATCTTCGCGTCCGCGACGCTGATGCGGCCGTACGAGGGCGGCGACCAGGAGTTCAAGCGCGGGCTCATGATGGAGGGCATGACCCCCAGCGAGAGGAGCTACGCCATGCAGCGGCGCATGAAGCAGGGAATCAGAGATATACTCGCCGATGAGGACAAGTGGCCCAAGGAGCTCATCTTCATCGGCCGCAATATGCGCATCGTACAGGGGAACAACCAGTTTTTGGGGTCGCCAGTCAACCGGGTCAAGATGATGGGCGAGTGGGCGTCTAGGAGCCTGTTCATGGACCCGAACCTACCCTGGCCGGAGCGGCTTAGGTATCGGTGGCGCCACCTGCTGTTCAAGACGGTGCTGTGGGGCTCGGATATCTTGTTCTACTTCTTCAAGATACGGCAGTGGCTCGGCATCGGGGGCGGCATGGAAGACGAGGTCGAGGCGAGAATGGCGGACATGGCCAAGGACATGGGTGTCGAACTCCAGCACGGGGTGTTTGAAGGCTGAGAGAGAGCCAGAGGAGTCATACACCGAAGAGACTAGACAAGACTCTCAGGGCTTTTAGACAAAGAGAGAGGGGACCCGCACGAGAGACGTGCAGGGAGCTCGGGCTCATAGATGTATATCAGCTGCATACAGACCACCATACAGGCGTTGGAGAGAAGGCGTAGGGAGCTTCGGCGTTCATGTACTCTTCGACGGGCGGCGGGCAGGAGGGAGGCGGCTACTCCAGTCAATACTTATTCCAAGCAAGTCAGAAAGCCATGGCTGGCAAAAATTCTCTCCTTCAACTTGGGTGTCTCAATTCTGTAATATGATTCCCAAGTCTCCCTTGCTACGTCGACATGTTCCTTGTTGAGATTCCAAAAAGCAATGACGCAATTAAAAAACTATAGCAGACGAGCAATATCTGTATCGCCGGGCTAGATGTCTATCTACATTCTTCGAGAAGTACATTCACGGCCTAATTGGCAGGAGATACATTTCATGCTGTTACTTTGCGGCTGCGAAGGCATCGGTCTAGTTGACGGCGGTCTGTCAGATCTGATCAGTTCTACTGATGATCTTCTGCGTACAGGGCATCAACGTCCCGCGCCCGAGTGCCCACAATATACTGTATGTGTGCAGCTCGGGGAAGCTGGACGTGATTTCGGACAGCTGGTCTAATCCTGGAGCAGTGAGATTGCGTCCATGCGTCAGTCGAGAGCAGGAGCTGATCATCTCAATACCACGCAAATTTGCAGAGTTTCAGAATGGGAGGTGACATCGGGCCGCGGCTCGACGAACGCCCACCCAGCCTGGCCTGCTGTGGCTTCGCTTTGGAGCATTCTGGAAGGGAGATTGACGGCTTCGGGGGCGGCCAATATGAGCGCGGTGAGGTGCGCTTAAATTGGCTTCTGCATAGCCCCGGTAGGGCGGGAGGTTTGTTTCTGAAACGGTCGAGGCCTTCTGTGGTCTCCGATGAGCCACTGCTGTGTATATGCAAGATGCAAGCCTCTGCGTCTGCCTCTGGCTTGCCCTTGGCTAACAATCCGGGCTTGACTATCGCATTCTCGGTTATCTTCAGAACGCAGTCCGGACTGCTCTGGCATCAGGGCGGCGGATGCCCTTGTCTCTGCCGGGGCAGGATTGGACGGAGACGGCGAAGTACCGTTCGGTCGGTGGGGACCGACTTGCTCAATTGCTCACTCACTCGATGAATTAACCGTCATTGCGCAGTACAAACTCACCCCGGGTCGCATCATGTGATGGCCAGAAATGTCCTTATAGGCGAGCTCAGCGGCGGGTTGCAGACCGAAGCAGCATCTACTGCCGCCCGCCATTGGTTATGTTGGGGGCTGGCTGTCCGTCTGTCTGTCTGTGCGATTGATGAACGCCGCGCCCAACACAGACAATGGCAATTCTGGTAGACCAGGGTCGGGATGCTACCATATCAAAAATAAGTGGGATCTGCTTGGTATAGGATGATTGGAGGCACGGCACCTTGCTCTCGCCTCCCGAGGACCACGCTGCCTGCAATTTAAAGGGGCCCTCCGCTGCCGCAATCTTGAGCCCTTGTTGCGTTGCTGATTTTGATGCTGTCGATGCCGGTGTCGTTGCAGAGGGACGCAGGACGCATTGCTGATACTGACATGGGCGCGCTCAGGCTGCCTGTCATCTGCATTGCGTGCAGAAACATTGCTTGGCTTGCTCGATATGAGTCCCGTCAATGCGCTACCTGCCTGCCTGTGGACCGGTATATGTGCTGCATGCAGCATGCTTAGGTAGGTAGCGTGCAGTACCACTACCCAGGTCGAGGTGTTCTCACAACGGCTGAGGAGAGGTTCGCAGCTTAGGGCAGGGTGTCTGTCCGTCTTTCCGTCTTATGTCCCATGTGGACGGGACTGGGCTCCAAGACGGAGGTTTAGTAGAATAACGGTGGGCTCTCTGCAAGGCACCATCTCCATCTAAGTGGTTCCCCCGGCCTGGCCCATGCGCATGGAGCCCCTGAAAGACTGATTGATTGACTGGGGCTACTCAAGCGCCTCCTCAGTGCCGGTCTCCAATAGCGGGTGCGCGACAAGAGCCATCTCTCTACCTAACTGTAGGTACCTTGGCCCAGCTTTCGATCCCATCCAATCCTCTGGCGCAGAGGTAAATTCATCGTCCCATTCTCCTCCTCGTCAACACGCCCTCATCACAGTTCAAGGTCGGGAAACCTGGACTAAAACGGTTCTGCGAGCGCTGGTCATTGGCTGCTTGTCTACCTGCAGTACTAGAGCACAAGACAGACACACAGAGAGCGAGAGAGGGACCGTGTCTCCTCAGGACTGACACCCTTCATTGTTCACTGCTGCCCTGCCCACCTCACCACCACTCGTTTGATCTGTTTCCTTTCCTATTCTTTTTTCCCCCCTTCGCGTTCCTCTCACGTACGCCTGCAAAGTGCGTCGCTGGACTGACTGGACGGCACAAGTCGACACCTTACCCCTGACTAGGCTCCTTTGGTAGCTAGCTCTCCCAGTGTCGCGTTACCACACAATCACCACCCTCCAACCTATATCCTATTTCGAGTCGGACCGCAGAGCATAGCAACTCGGCAATATTACCGCACCCGCGAGCAAACCCTAGGTCTGCAAAGCTGTACGTTGTCACCCCTTTTCTTTACTATGTCGTGAAGCTTCCTGTTGGATCGTGTGACATTCACCCCATGGTTGCGCGGGACTGGTAGAGATCTGCCAAGTGACGCACAAGGCACATTAAATCTCCGAGCATCAGAGTGGTATTTCCTCTGTGTCAACGCGGACGGACGAGTCGGTTCCCTTTCATCATTGCTATTCCCATCGCCGGACACTCTTGCTCCTTTTGCAGCGTCACAACCGCAGATTCACACCGCCAGCATATGCGTCCTGCACTGACGATCTATTGCCGACGCCGATCCGCACGTGGTGTCACGGACTGCTCAGAGTCCCTTTACTGCGCCCAGATACTGACAGTGTATCATTCACAGCAGCCAGCACTGCGAACAGCTTGACTCGGTCAACGAGCACGTTGAGTCGCCGGCGTCAATTGCGGATTCTGGTACGCGAGCAACTCCTTGTCACGTCCCCTCGCGCCTGCCTGCACCCATCTTGATCTTGGCCATATTGTCGTGTGTTCTCGATAGGCCAGCCAAGAGCTGAAACAAGCAGCAGCCGCCAGTCGATCTTTATCCCGTCCTGAACTGACACGAAAAGCAGAGGCGCTTAACCAAGACGTCGACCCATACCTTCCCGCCCCTTACGAAGCCCTGTCCCTAGGTGAGGCTTCGCTCGCTGGTCTCTGTCACCCTCAACCGCAAACAGGGGCTCCTTTTCCTAAGGCTCCGAGTTCTCGAAAGTGCAGACCGAAAGTCACGGTGCGACTCCCACGACAACCCATCGCATACTCCATTTGCAAGACTTCACCTTGTCTCGCTCTTGCCAATTGTCCCCACCGGCAGCCAATTCATCCCAAATTCGGGACCGCTTCCTTGGACGACCCGTCTCCAAATCCCCTGGCCGCCCGCCTTTCCCTCTTTTCGTCCGGAGCACCTTCCGTGCCGCCTGAAACGAACTCACTTTGCTGGTCTATGCCCTAGTGGCTTCCTCCGCAGATAGCGCCAGACCTACATTTCAGAGAATGAGCAATCCTCAGCGCTCAAGCTTCGGGATGCTGTTAAGACGCAGCAAGTCAGGCGAGATGAAGGGAGGAAAGAAGGCCCAACAGGCCAGAGAGGCAGAACTTCAACGCCAGCGCGATGCTGCCGTCCCCAAGTCCCCGCCTCGTCTTCCACAGCTCTACAACGGAGCGCCCGCCCCCCAATTCGACCACTTTGGCGTTGACACCCGCCCCGACTCCATTGCCATTGTGTCAGGCAGAGCAGACCAGCGCCAGTACAGCTCCAGCACTCCTCGTCCTTCAATGGATCCGCCTCGCGCGTCCACCAGCACTGCTCCTGCTGTTCCTCCAGTTCCCAACGGGAACTGGGTCGACCCCTATGCGCGCACCGAGAGCATGACCCACCGCGGTCGGTACAGCTACGCCAGTAGTGCGGTGAGCACCGTCAACAGCCCTCGACGCGTACGCAGGAGGAAGGATCCGACCCCGTTCAAGTATGTTAGAATGTCTCGGTGCACATTGAGCGTCCATCACTGACCCTTTCCAGCATCCTGATCATCGGAACGCGGGGTTCTGGCAAGACCTCATTCCTCGAGTTCCTGAAGACCGCCCTTGCCCTACCTGCCAAGAAGCGAGCCAAATCCACCATCGAGGACGAGAACCCCTCCAACCGAGCCCAGCCCTCGGGCAATTTCATCCCCCACTTCATCGAGAGCGAAATTGATGGTGAGCGCGTTGGAGTCACGCTATGGGACTCGGAAGGGCTGGAGAAAAACGTGGTTGACCTGCAGCTTCGAGAAATGGCAACATTCTTGGAGAGCAAGTTCGAGGACACCTTCGCCGAGGAAATGAAGGTTGTGAGATCGCCTGGTGTACAGGATACCCATATCCACGCAGCTTTCCTGATCCTCGATCCAGCTCGGCTGGATCGCAACATTGCGTCCACTAAGGCCGTTTCGGCCAATGGCAATGGCAAGTACCACCCGGAGAACCGGATCGTCGGCAGTTTGGATGAGGATCTCGACCTACAGGTCTTACGGACCCTGCAGGGCAAGACAACCGTCATTCCCGTCGTCGCGAAAGCCGATACCATCACCACCAAACACATGGAAGTCTTGAAAAAGACTGTCTGGGACAGTCTGAAGAAAGCAAACCTGGACCCACTCCAGGTCTTGGGTCTCGAAGATGATGATTACGAATCCCCGCCGACTTCCAGCAGAATCCCAGAGGAGCCCGAGTCTCAAGAGGATGACCACAGTGATGAGGAGAGTGTCGACGGGGAGGAAGAGGAAGGCGAGGAACTGCCCATCCAAGGCAACGAATCCCCCAGCTCACACAGACAATCGGTCAGTTCTGTGCGGCGCAGTAGGACAGGGGATGAGCTGGGA